ACATGGGTGGCCGCTGGGTCAAATTGGTGGGCCTGCAAACAACCTAGATCCTAGTATACTCACACAATTGGAGCTTAATACACAATCTAGAATGATAGCCTAAATTCGCAGTTAAAGGAACAAATGATCATTTGGTATTTGTACATTTGTTCGAAGTAACAGAATTGCTCAAAAGTTTAAGTAAGGTGTTTATTCTCCCATTCCTGTAATTGGCGTTCTCTTGGATATGGCTAATAAATGAATAAAACTAACTTACTTTACCTTTTGAGAAAACAGAGAAACAAACTGCACGATTTGTTGGTCTCGTATATAACTAAATGCCATTGCTAGCGCACATTAAAAAGTGTGCCGGCAGGCACATTTTTTTCAAAGCATCTTTCAATAATGATTATTTTCTTCCGAGCAATACCATTTCAGGCAGAATCATTTCACAGCAAGGTTTTTGTTATTAAATCAGTATAGGTCATTTACGGGTAATTACTAATTCTTTAAATCTTCGTGCTTTCGAAATAATATCATGTGTGAGTCAAAGTACCTATTAATTCTGCGCGTTATTTTTGTACAGATATCGTGTAATTATACAGCACATGAAATACATTTCAGGCAAACTTTTCTGGGGCAAAAATGTGTCCAGTTTGAGCAGATATGCAGAGTGATATTTTTTGTGATAAAGCCATATATCCTAAATCGACAGTTTGACTACATGTATTTAATGTTTGTGTCTCTTTATTTTTCCTGCAAGTAAAGTTGGTTTTTATATGCAAATTCCCCTTTTCGATTCATGCATATTCAATATTAGTTAGGACTTGGCATGCATATTTTGTACAGGTCTGGTATGCAGTGACGTTATATAGTTGGGTGAGGTTCTTTATGTTTGGTTAGTTGGGCGTGTTCACGGTGTGTGTATGTGTATGATGGGTGTGGATATCGATGGGTGTATTGCATGTCTCAGTTCTAATCCAGTGTGCTGCTACTACTGCTACACCTTATTACTCAGACTGATTACAAACACATTTTTTTCGTAAAAACTTTGACTGATTTTGCAGCTTTTTGAAGTACTGGAGTCATTACAGCTGGGAAATTTAGAGTTCAATGCTGCGGCTAAGCTGGACTTCATGTAGGAGAACACTGCAAAATCGTAAGTTGTACCTCATTTTTGTTGGTAATCTGAGAATTTCTTCAACTATCAAAATGTCTTTTCCAAATTTGAATTGTTTTAAACTTTACGCCTCCTTTACACACTTCAGCAATTTTTAATTTGATCGTCATTATCAGACGGTGCGATGAGAGTAAAATAAGGTCTTCGAATTTTAGATATATTTATCGTGAATTATGAAATGTATTTCAGGAAATTCATTTCATTAAGAAGTCATCTGGGTCAGACCGAAACCAAACCAAACAAACAATCAATCAAACAAAAACAAGAAAAGTTGGTTGAATTTCACTCCACAATTTCCGCTTTAAGCCATCTTGTTGTCCTTCGTCTATTCCTGAAACGCAACGCTATGAATTTCGTCAGGGAATCATTAGTTTACTTAAGCAATCCGAGAATAGGCGGGCGTTATCTGCAGTGCAGTCACGTTGCCCACCTCTTGACAGGCTTTGCAAACCAGACTGTCGACGGCTGTTCTATGCAAGAAGGTATAAAAATATTACAAGGCGGACTTTTTTCCCTCTCTATTAATTTTTTTTAAACGAATTAACATTAAGGCGTCTGCTTCCCAAATCGAGTAGACTGGTTTCATATTGGTTGCACCGGGTTCTGTGCATTTGCAATTTAATACCAATCATTCCTCACTATTATCGTTGGTTTCTTTGGATGATATCAGACAATCTACAATCTTTAAAAGTATTTCTCGAAAAGGACTTAAAATGTCATGAGGTATGTGTCAAGTTTAACACTGTTAATGTTGACATAGAAATCACGGGGTCCAATATTCTCTTGAACACCTCACTTTAATTGTCTCCAAAATGGGACAGAAGTGTTAAAAACTCTAACTGACCTAAAATCGGATTTCGCAAATGGAGCCTCGGTTTCAAAAACTTAAAATGTAAAGACTGATAACAAAAATGACAGGCCTTTTTGCCGACCAAAGCAAAATACAACTAACTTTTCACCCGGAATTACCTGTATGGGCCTCTAGTACGAACATATCCGAGCCTCAATGCAAAGGTACTCGGAAAACTTCGGACATTTTCGGAAACGGGCAGGAATATCTGTTAGCTCGTGATATTTCCGCTCAACTAAATAACATTCTTCAGAATAGTCGGGTTCGCGAGACCTGGGAACCAGACCACATTGGACATAATCCAAGTTGTTTCAGCAAACAGCCGTTGGATTCAGAGGTTACCATTTCGCGTCCAGAAAGTGCAAAAGTACTGTTTGTATTTTGAAACTGCCAATCACGCCTCTGTGCCGTCTTTGTTAGCCGTGTTTACCGTTTGTGACATTGTCAAAAAAAATTGGCGGCAATGTCAACATACTTTAGTACGCATGGGTAAATTTGAGAAAAAAAGGGTTGGTCTCGGCAGCCTGCCAGCCACTTGATAAATTTTCTATAAACGGAGGCCCTGGTAATGTGCGCCCTGATTGTGCAGCAGAAATGGGTTGCGAAATATAATAACTTGGTAATTATAGACTACTAATGGGCCGTGAACATGGGGGAAATGCACATCAACTTTTAACTTGGTTAAAAGCATGAATGTACGCGGTAAACTAAAGGGTCTGCGGTGTCATGTGTATCGGTATATCAAATGATTGACATGCTGTCAGATATTTTTTTTAGTTCAGTTTGTTGCACTTTGGTTGTTTTTTTTCTCATGGTTCTATCAACCTCCGTCTAGATGCACACAAACAAAACAATAACTAAGAGATAATATTTCAGTTCTGTAACATATTAGAAAAACTATATGGGAGGTGGGCCAGGAAGTTGGTATTTTGTAATTAGAAAATTTGCAAAATAAATGATACAAAAAAGGAGTTGAACTATGTTGGATTCGCATGGTTCGTGCGACCGGGGCTCCGTGGGCGGGAACTATTGACGAAGTTATTGTTCGATTACGTTTCTGGTTCTGAGAAGGAACCAGGCTAAGTCTCGACGTTTCGCAGAGACTTTTCTGTCTTCTTTGAAAAAAAATTAAGAAAATGAAGAGGCTCCTTTTCATAGATAGAACTAAGAATCCGACCCATCAAGTCTTGTTTTATAACAGATAAAGCTTTAAATGTGATTTTACAAGGGATCGCAAAGTTTAATTTAGTGCAAGTAATGATTTTATTTCTCTTCTTTTCTTGGTAGTAAACCATATTTATTTTGCTGTAGCATGTGAGTAGATCTTTGCACTTTGTCGCCGACGATTGGAATAATTTAATCATATACCTGCAGGAAAAACATAACTATTTTCAGCTAGCCGAGAGAAAATAAATGACATCCAAATCAGAAATAAAAATGGATGTAGCAATAGAAAGGAATAAATTCTTTAATATTTGTATAAATAGTTGCACCGTACCATCGTTTGAAGAAGCATTGTTCCAAGTATGAAATGCTAAAGCAGAAAACTATATCTGAAGCAAGTGAATTTCTAAGCAAAAATAGTAAATGAAAACCAGTAGCACGTGACTGTAAACAAAGGGAGACATCTTAACTGGTTATCTATTTGCGCTAAGCACATTATTTATGTGTTAAGCACATATTTTTATGTGTAAGGCAAATTTCTGTACAAACTTGAGCTACATTCAAACGGGACATCTGTGGCCCAAAATGACACTAAAAATCCTCGAATGGTGACGCGACTTTGTCGACATTCTGACAAGCAGCAAATCTCAGTTGTGTGTAATGTGGACGGACATAGCTTCGGCTACTTGGAGTGTTGCGATATTGAAACGGTAGACTCCGACACCGGGGGTGACCGTGTCCCATCTCACTCGGTACCTGGCAACGGCACCGCGCAACGGCCAGACAGGAGCGGAGCGCGCGCGCTGCTACAAGGCAGCGTTGTCCGGGGGAGTTGTTCACACCTCGCCCGATACGCAATCGTGCCGGGGATTCCTGGGAAACGGGGTGAGTCTGGAGACGCGCTTGAAAAGATCACGGCAACTTGAGCCACTCCAGGGAAAACGATACATGGTATTGGGGTGGGTGAGCTTTCGTTGCTGGATCGAGCTGCGTATTGAGGGACGGTACCCGGTAACCAATGAAAGAACAAGCTTGGTCAGGAATTCTAGACATGGTCAAGGACTATAGACAGATTTATGACACCTTGTCGAATGGTACGACCATAACAACGTCGTTGTATCGTCACTATGGAGGTATTATGAATGAAAATGACAACCTCCAAAACCAACATCGTCCGTAACGGTGCAAATAACCAAAGCATTTGATATTATTGCTATTGTACATTGTACGAAGTTTGTGACGAGATGTTAAAGGCCAATGTTCTTCTTTGCGTAACTTAGGATCGTCATGGAAACATGTTGCTTTCTACATCTGTTTTATGCATGCACATTGAGTGATTTGGAAATCGTATGCCTTTATTTCAGTAATCATTTTTGTTTTCTTTTAGCCTTTATTTGAAGCAATGACTGCTCTAGTTCTACACATTGGTCGTGCATGTGATAGTTGTGCCCTGATCACGTGAAAGCAATAGATTATAACGTGGTTTAACCAACTTATATTGGTCAAATTAACCATTATGAGGCCAGACACAAATTACCAGCTTTATGGTGAATATTCAACCAACGATTTGGTTAACTTCATGAAACCGATTTAATCCAAAAAAACTCTGGTTGTCGCTGACCAATGCCAACGGTAAATTGTAACCGACAACACGGTTGAAATAACCAACCACTTATTTGGTTTACATCGACCAAAGTTTTGACCTTACGATTGTTCAAGGTAACCAATACGTCGCAACCCATGGTAATTAGTTGACCAACCGATGGGTTTAGCTCTAACCAAAATACAGGTTAAAATAACCAAAAGTAATGTGATATAAGCACTTACCTCGTTATTCAGTCTGGCTCCAGAAAACCTGAACATCAAAAACAAAACATAAAGGTAGAAGTTTAAACGGAAAAAAAACCAATTCACATCTTTATCTTTCGATGCCGACTATGTCATTTTGAAAAAAATATATTTAATTAACACTAAAGTATTTAAATTCCGAGCAGAAACTCAATATTCATTACATAGGCCTAATTACTTGCCATATTACTTATTGATTACTTGCTATAGGCAAGCATATTTGCTCTGTCTTTGTGATCGAAACTTGTATACAGCGCGTTTTGATTTATGTTTTTCATTTGTAACAGAACTGAAGCGGCTGCTTGTTCATTATTGGTCTTTAAATTGCAAACAAAGCTGAAATAAGTTATGTCAAATGTGCATCGCAAGCTTCGGCTACCGTCAGACAGCACGTGTAATGGCCAGAATAGCAAATGCTCTTGAGTGTTCTTTGAATGCAAACTTAATTTATAATTATTAATTAACTACTTCTGATCACGTGCAATATGAATCCTATTTAGATTTATATCAAATTGTTTTGTATGCATATTTAAGTTGATAATTGGCGCCACAGCAAAAAGAAATGTCACACTGTTGTAATGTAATGTAATGTAATGTAATGTAATGTAATGTTGTAAAATTATGATGTCGCTGAAGGATTGCATTCTTTTATGCGAACGCTGAACATAAATGTATCATAAATGTTGTATGCTAACACAAAAAAAGAATAAACTGGCACTGTTCTGATGTTAGAATCGGCAAATTTGAACTCTGAGGAAGTGGTAGGCCTACTTGATGCTATCATTTGTTGGCTCTCATACAGTGAATACTATAGCCCATATTTTTCCCACTGAATTCAAGTGACTTCACTTCAAGCGTTGTACGATCGTTCGTTTACTTGGGTGGTAAGCATAAGATATAACTAGGAAACTAAGTTCGGCAGAAATCGGTAAAGAAACGTCAAATGCGTTTTAAATTTACCTGGTGACGAACTTTTTTATTAGAAGCATGCGTTTTCCTAATCAAAGATTTTCCATGATTAACAACAATGAAATCAGCCTAAGAATTACCTATGCAGTTTTCTTAGACACAGGAATTTCGACAGGATTAGCAAGAATGTCTTTTTTTTTCTACGGACAAGTGTAAATGGGTCATTATTCAATAAGTATATATAATCATAATTTTGGCAGAACAATGTACTAGGTAGATTAAGGAGACATTTCAATGTTACTCTAATGCCACAACTTCTATACATTGTAGATGCAAAATTATATTGTTACAAATAAGCTAGATCGGTTGCTCGTGGCTCAAAACATAAATGTACCAAAAATTCGTGGAGTAGGATTTAAGTACAAATGGAGGTTAGGGGTCAGGAAAGTTTGACATTGTTTCGTGCACAATCCTATTGGAATGTCTCCCAGTGGAACAATTATTGGTAATTATTATTTTAATTGGCATATCATGTACTAATAACTTTGGTAATCCTTATAGTTTTTGTTTAAAGAACAGCATTAACATTCGTACATGGTGGTGTGCCTATTATTCCATGAAGATCATAACATGCCTATGTGAAGAATCTGAGGTAATGTCTTTGTTGTTTTGGGTTATATTTGATGTCAATATTCGCATATCACCCCACTGTGAAGTCAATAGTACGTATATCACCCCGCTGTGATGGGAAATAGTTGCTCGCTCGGCCTTACCCCATCCTCACAAACTCTACATAAATTTACCCTGTTATCGCAGAGTCAATATTTGCCCCGGCCGCTCCAACCCATCTCGGGTTTCAAATAAGCCGATTACACCATCTTTTGGGTATTTGCTCAATCAAGCAAAGCCGTATCATTTATCATCATATATGGAGGTCCCTTTGCCTAGCCTGCAAGAAAACCGCCTTTGCTTTTTTGTGTGTGAATATTTATCTGTGTGATTTATCAGGCGAGTAGCACGAGTCGATCCTAACGTGCACACCACGCTCGCTTTATCGGATAAACCACAGGCTGATCGCATGCATCACTCTGTACACACACGTGAAAATTACCCGTTCCCCGATGCGATCTAGTAATGTACTTTCAGACAAAAAAGTACACTAAAGGTTCTCTCTGATAGATAACTTGGCTTGAAACTATGAGATCGGATACGCTTTGATTCAGTTGTGTCCGGACAAGGAGAGTTGGAGAGCGAAGCACTGCTTGTGTTTTGCCTTTGATCTTCCGGAACTCTTCTGTGATTGATAGTATAGCGTTGGATAGTGCAGTGACATGTTTAACATTAATTAATGACGAAGGCGTATCCGAAAATTACGTGATAACAAATTCGTGCCTGACTCAAAATACAGTGATGTATTTTCACCCTCCCCCTTAAGAAGAGAATACTTTATGAATTAAGGCAGACATGTTTTGGTCATCGTTTGGACTCACTGACTCACTCTAGTGAGTCACTATCATTCACTCTAGTGAGTCACTATGATTCACTCTAGTGAGTCACTATGACTCACTGCCTGATCAATTCTGACTAAATCTGCTTGTAGACTGGTGAATAGAGCCGGGCAGTTATATCGTATAGGATAACCCTTCATCTCTGGATTTGATCAACTCACTGGCTGACTCACTGATTTAGTCACAATTACTCACTGACTGATTCAATTCTGACCGAAGATGTAGACTGGTGACTAGAGCCAGGCAGTGCTATCGTATAGGATACCCTTGTAGTCATTTTGTACTTGATAGACTCACTGGCTGACTCACTGAGTGAGTCACTATGACTCACACTGAATGATTCAATTCTGACTGAATCTGGTTGTAGACTGGTGAAAAGATCCGAGCAGTGCTATCGTATAGGATAACCCGTGTAGTCATCTTTGCACTTGATAGACTCACTGGCTGACTCACTGCGTGAGTCACTATGACTCACTGCCTGATTCAATTCTAACTGAACCTGATTGTACATTCTGCTGAGTAGAGTCAGGCAGTGCTATCGTACAGGATACCCTTGTCGTCATTTTTGTACTTGATAGACCCACTGGCTGACTCACTATGACTCACTGTCTGATTCAATTCTGACTTAACCTGGTTGTAGACTGCTGAATAGAGCCGGGCAGTGCTATAGCATAGGACAACCCTTGTAGTCATCTTTGCACTTGATAAACTCAATGGCTGACTGAGTGAGTGAGTCTCAGAGACAAAATATGAATTTGCAATCATTCTTTTTCGTCACTTTTGTTTAAAAATCAATATTAATACCATTAAATTAAATTTTTGAAATATGCTCAACAAGTAGGTGAAAATTGCTTTCAAAATTGGCTTTCCTTCTTTATGTACTACCCTGAACACCTTGTTTATTGTCTGAATGTCGAAGGTTATATTACTATAAAGCATATCGCTATAAGTTGATTGGCTGAATTGTCCTACCTTGTAAGACCCTTGCCCGAATAGACAGAATGATAGTACGCACTCGTCTCCTTAATACCGATGCCATAGTAGTGATATCTGCGTGAAAAGAAAATACAGGTTACATTTACATGAGCAAAATCAATTAAGCTTGTAGTTAATTTCAAATTCAAGGAAACGATTGGAAACAAGACTATGTTATAGTCTGGCAGATGGGTGCAGGGGTTGTGTCTTTGATGCTACAAGCATGGCATTCGTCACATAGACAGAGTATGTCATGAGAAAGATATTTGGCTATAAGGCCATCGCAGATTTGTCCTTTGAATAAATAATAGGAAGAATAACAAGCAATGGCAGCCATTTTGAAAATTTTGAACATTATTTGTTATTCTACCTATTTTCTTTTAAAGGACAGATCTGCGATGGCCCTATAGCCAAATATCTTTCTTAGGACATACTATGACTATGTGCCAAATGCCATGCTTTTATCAAAATACAACCGGATATCTGTGTCCTTCAGTCCTAATATTTGTAAAAATTCACTCGCCTTACAATAAACAGGGACAAATTGCAACACCGAATAGAAAAAAGGTGGCTGTTCATTTCACGATTTCTCTAAACGCCCTCAGCGTCGAGCCAGCGCGGAGTAATAACACGAATTTCCATGGCTACATACAAGTGGTCTTTATTGGCGAATCAATATACGCGAATTACCGGCAATTCACTAACATCGTGTTAAACAGTGTGGGGCGAGGGTTATAGCAAGTCTAATTGTAACGCCGGTGGAATGTGAGGTCTGGACAGTCTGAACACTTGGTTGTTTACTACTGGACAACGGATTTTTACGGCCATTTTTTTTAGGGGAGAGGTCATTGACATATGTCACAAATTATGACAATTCATATTGGATTTTCTGATTAAAAATAACACGAAAGCGATATACACAGTAAAAGACCTGTTATTTAATTAGGTTGTGATGATAAGTTTCTAGGCATTAATGGTGGTGTTGTACCAGTGTTTATATCCTTAGCTTTTTAATATAATTTGAAACACTCTAAAATTGAAGGTCCATTTCAGCGCAATCGAGAATATCCTTTCTGGAATGCCGTAGGGAAAATACACCCAACGGCATTATGCGAGGAATATTTTACCTTCTTTACATGAAAATTATCTATAAAAAGAAAAATTACCAAAATTAATAATAAAACCATTTACAAATCATATGACACCGGACGTTTCCCTTAATTCCAACAATTTTCGTCTTTAAAGATATGGAATAAACAATATCCAAAATCTGAACAACCGAAAATATTCATTTTAGAAATACTGTCAGAAAAAAAATTAATGTAGGCCTGCATTCATGACGGAATTATTTTAACAATTTTAATTTCTATCAAAAAAAGCTATACATGTATTTACAAAAAGAAAATCACAAACAATGCAGCACGACCGAATTTATTTAGAATTACATGTTTTTTTTAGAGAACAAATGACACAGTCATGTAAGGTTTTGTGTTCATAGATAAAGTGACAGTCTAGTTGAGTGATGGGGAAATAATTGTCGGTCAGGGTGGGGGGGAATTGGTGGCGAAGACGTATAGCATCTGCCTCAAGTCTGTCTTGAGCACTAAGCGAGAAGTTAACGATTAAAAGACAGGAAGAGTTTCTCTCAACCACGACACAAAATGCAGCAAGATTGGTTTATAAGTAACCCCGATAGCGAATACTGTTGTAAGAAAGGCTGTAATAATTTGGAGCTCGCGTACAGCGGCTGTGTCCTGTTCATTGTATTGTATTCAAGCTGTCTGGTGTATAGCATTCAATTCGGGTCAATTCTTCGGATACTGTCTGCGCCATTTGCGTTAAAAGTACATATGGTCATTTTGTGTTTATCCTACAAGTAAGCTACCGAATTACCAAAAAGCTTACTTGGATTAAAGATTGTACTGGTACTAAACACCCCGTGAAATGATTCCGTTCAGGTAGATGTCATTTGGAAGAAAACGAGAAATGTTGATGGTTTCGAATGATCAGTCATTTGACTAATCATTTATTGACGAAATCGTGTTTCGTGATCAAAACGTTTTGCGTGGTGTTTCACTGTTTTCTCGGAAAGTGTAATATCCACTGAGTTGAAACGTAGGTTAGGGTTTGACAATTCTGTGGATTTTGAGTGGTGTTATTAATGGAAACAAACATAATAAATGAAATTTGATGAAAAGCATCGAAGAATGTTTTATTACCGCCTATTTCTGGAAGATAATATATGACTTAATGCGTCATAAGAACAACGCTCAAGCAGAAAGAAACCATTTTTTTAATGCTTGTTTGATTTTTAGTATTTCTAATATGATGACTGTAGTCTTAATTTTGTCCTAAAACATAAATGCTAAAGAGATATTTTTTTCAAACTTCTGAAATTCACAGTAATGGTCAGAGCTTTCGAAACAACTGAAATGCAAGTCAAAGGATACGGAAATTGTGGGGAAAAGGGCTAAAATCGTGAGGCTTGGGAAGTGTAATTATAATGGAGATTGATGTCTTTGTTAAATTTCGAATTCGAATTCTAGGAATCCTCGAATTCCAGCAACTGAAAAGTCACTGAATACACAATTTCATAGAAAACCTTTCAAATATAACAAAACAAAATAGACCCCGACGTTTTTTCTTATTTATTGAATAAGTCTTTAAGGGTTAAAAAATATTGTTAAATGTTTTTGAAAAACAGGTGAAATTTTCCATTTAATTCAAGTATAGAAAGAGTTATGAGGTATAGTATTAATTACTGAATAGCTTTTGTGATGTGAATATTTTTAGTTAAAGGCTTGTAAAATTGGCGAAACTTGTATTCCTTTCATTAATGTAATTGCCTGGCTTCATGTACAATGTAGTATGTTTTATTCGATGACTGTATTCTTGATTTACCCTTAAACATAATACAATTCCAAAGGAATTGTGAATGAGTTTTTATGATGTAGATAGGCCTAAAATTCTATTTAAAGCTTGTAAAAATGGCGAAATGTTTACTTCACTTTCATTGATGTATACAGATTCTATGCTTGGGAAAGTTGCCCCCAAATGCAGTTGCCTCATCCCAGTTCAAACATATATTACCCATTGGCCCCGTCTTCGTATCGCGGAAGTACAGTAAAGATCCCTACTCTTTGCACAGCCGTCCAACATGCAATAAAACGCCGGGCCAGTATCGGCACCGGCCGCGGTCGTCTATAATACACCGTAATGGTTCCGCTAAACGGTGCGCCCTGATGTCGTTTATCACGGAGGGTAGTAAACAGGGCGGAATGATGATGTCATGCACGCTGCAAGAAGGAGACAGTGAAATGCTGGCACACTGTAGCATACTGCTGCTCGATGTAAAATTGTTATGGTTTTGAGATCATCATAATTTTATTTTGGATGCCGTGAGCAAGTGTACACATATGTGATGTGTCTCCGTTACAGTTCACCATACGGTAAAGCTTTTACAGGCAGGTAGGAACATTGGTGACCTACCGAACATGGTACCATACCGAACATTTGTAACCTACCGCACATTTGTACCTACCGAACATCGGTAACCTGAACATGAACCAACTAAACACTGGTAACCTACCGAACGTTGGTAACCTACCGAACATTGGTAATTAGCCTACTGAACATTGGTAACCTAACGAACATTGGTATAAACCTACCGAACATTGGTAACCTACCAAACATTGGTAATCTAACGAAAATCCTTGCTCAGGGAGAAATAAGGACATGGTACCAAATATCCTTATACATTATTCCACCTGAGATGTCTATTGGAATTCTTGTCTATTGTAATTCTTGTGAGTATTTTTAATGTGTACATGTTAAAATGGCCAATTTAATTTCCCCTCTATCTTGGATAATACAGTTTCTATTGAAATGTTATCGTTCGGAACAAAATACTCTGAGCTGAAACTTCAACAGGTTTGTTAATATGCACCCTTCTAGAGATTTTAAGAGATTTGTCGCTTCAAATGATTAATATGCACACACACAAAATGAGTGTATCGTTTGGCCCCTGTAGGACAAGCAGAAATTAGCTCCCTGATACACCAGGCCAGGATGAGCCGCCCAGCGCCAGCGATACTGACCGGTCCATCGCCCGTATGCAACCCGCCTGCACTCGGTCAAAGTTCGCTCGAAGCGTCAACGCCGCGTACGATGATGAATGAGTGCAAAAATAAGATATTTGGCAATAGCCATTCAAATGGATACGAACCATCACTTTGAGGCCGAGATACATCTTTCTTGAGTCGGGTCAAATGACCCGTGTCCGCTGAAAGAATAATTCATTATTCCCCAAGTACTAACAAATAAGATTTCGTCCAACATCAAGTAGGCATGTGCGCACTCGATTCAACAATAACTGGATTAGTTTCGTTCAAGAATTGTGCTTAGATTTTGAATATTTTGAAGCAATAATTGGTCCCTTACAAGTTTTGACAATTTTTGTTACTTAAGTCTTTAAGTTCATCCACTCTGGAAAATCATTTTGTTTAAAAAACACATTCCTCCTGAGATCGTCAGAATTTACAGTTTTTGATTATTTTCAATGGGCCTATTATACATCTAATGTTCTGAAGCTGTGGGTAAATCCAAATAATGTTCCCGTAAAAATTTACGGGAAAATTTTGACAGACCCGGTTTGTGTACGTCTGGTGCGGAAGCTTTTTTTGCCTAGCTGTTACATCACTAGATAGAGCGATCGGGCAATCAAATGAGCCAAAGCTGTTAACGTTCAACCGGCGTTTCATAAAATCAGGCCCCATGATGGGAGCAACATTTGAAGCAACATTCTCGAAAATAAAATGTGTGACTTGAATCAAAACAAGCAAAATTCCTTTTTGCGAGAATTACACAAAATGGCACATTTTCAGGATTGTTGTTTTGTGTTAGGCGTCACATTTATATTCTACCTCTTGCTGAAAAAGTCTGATGTGTCCAATTGTTATTTTTTTTGGTGGGGAAAAAACGACACATTTCGTATAAAAGGCTAAAATAAACTTTTTGTTTTAAATGTATGGTGGGCTGTCTGCCTTTGTGTTTGAGAAGACCATATTCAATGCTACAACAATTACGCATTAATTACCCCCAGTTATAAGAGCAACACAAGTCTCACCGATTAAGTAATACCCTTGCAGACAAAAAAAACAGGCTTGCGGATTTGAATACCTTAACATATTTCTCAGTGGTATCTTTTAAGATATTATTTGGCTGGAGAATATTGCACACATTCTTTTTCCTGTGTTGAGAACATCTTGGACTCTGCATCCCTTCTTTGGTTCGTGACCGACACGAGAGCGTATCGTGTTCCTAGCGATGTTTCAGATCCATCAGACTATGTACCGGATACTTGCTTGATACTCTATACGAAGTGCCCGCATGCATGGAACACATATTAATAGTTGCAAAGTCCCAATACGAAAAACATGGAAGCGTAATAATTGCATAGTACCAGGCTTTGGCAGGTACAACTGTGTTGAATGTCCATAAAATCAATTGCTCTTTGTGTCTTTTTCCCCATTTGAAGCAACAAAACCGTTTAAAAGTTTAATCAAGCTACATGTTTCAGACTGTGGCTACTGTACGTTTTGAGAAAACTGAGAAATAATATGCATAATTTGGGGTCTCGTAATATGTTTTCAAAACACCTTCAGTTATTGTTTTCAGGCGAAATAATTTCACAGGGTATTTGATACTAATCCTTTCTCAATTTGAGCAAGAAGTTTCTTATAAATTCGATGGTTCCGTTTTCGTATAGGCCTAAAGACAACTGTTACTCGGTGCCTTAAGTTAGTAAAATTAATGTATACATACTTGGAATGTCCACGCGTCCCGAGGCGTCTGGTAGTAAGATGCGGAAACTTCTGACGAATCGTCTATAATAGAAGCCAAAGTATCAATAATTTTACCAGAAGACATTACAAACTACAATTGGTGCATTTCTAAATATTAAGTATGTACTGTTGTTTAGAACATCGTTCAATTGAGTTGCAACATTAGGCGTGATTTCAGAGTTGTTTTGTCGACAAGTTTTCAGTCTCAAGTGAAGTTTCTAGCTGTACAAATGAACTGAGATGAAAAGATTTCTTTGTCGATGTTCAATCCTGTCACTTGTAACTTAATGATTCTGTGACTTGTGATTTCACTAATGATAGGCCTTTATCAGCAGATTTATTTCATAAAAAACATACATTTTTATATAGGACAACAGACGATAAATCATACAGTTAGATTTCTCAAACTGTTCGAACTGAAACAGTGCGTCAGTCATGGTTCCATGAAAGTTGTATATTGCTTTTCCCAGTATGTTCATGAGCCTAAACCCTCGGCTCTTTTGGCTATAAGAACAATCCTCAATCCTGCAAAATCCTCCAATTACCACCATGATAAAATTGGATTCAGCCTCAATCCTCAAATCATCCGTTATTTCTTGAATTTGTTCAGTGGAGGGGTGACCACTGCCTCAATCCTTCAAAATCCTCCAACAATCACTGTTAATGGGTTGAGGCAGTGCTGATGACATTCAGAAGCAGCGTGGATGATACCAAACATAATGCAAGGCTTAATTACGCTTGGCTGAACGTAAACATTGCTGGGCACAGCCTACGAACTCGACACAATGCATCCTCCAAAATCAACTGACACTTTTGGCCATTCAGCCTCAATCCTCCAAAACCGCCTGGAAGATTTTGGAGGATTGAGGAAGCTTATTAAATGCTTTGACTTTTTGAATGAGTTCTACTGTATACACATTCAGTTTTATTCTGTAATCCTTTGTTTTAAATCGAATCCACAGACAAGTATGACGAAGTTCTTTCGCGATGTCTTTGTCTCAGACGTAGTACTGCATTGTTTGAACAATGTCAATGATGACGCAAATGAAGTGGGGGAAATCTGATATTAAACTCTTATCTAACCCTGACATGGCGGTGACAAACACAGATGCAACTACACCAGCGGTTGATCCCGATAAATCCACATTACACTGCGATTACACCGTGGATTATCCCCCTTAACACCGCGATAACACGGCACCGCGCGCCCGCTACCAAACGTCATTGGTTTGGTAAAAACATGCCTCTATGTCTATTTGTACGGCAGCGAGGCTATTTACACATCTGTTGTCTGTGCTATATTTGGCTTGCGCTGTAACTGATACATTGGTGTAGTAGCCTCATTAAGATGTGTACGGAAGTGCTGAGGAGACATAGTCTTTTTATTGTCCCGCTTTGTTTGATCATAAGCGTTTGCCATTTCCATTAATGAGCATACATATCTTTCCTGAAGATATCAGCTTAGCTTGGAATGACTTTACCCTTGTAACGGGACAAAATCCTGATAAGCATAATGGCTGTTATTATTGTGACCAATACGTGCATATGAATAAATACGTTTAAGACTTAAAATCGTGACGTCATCATTTAGGCTCGCTCAATGATTATTATCACAAATGCACTGTGAAGTGTTCTAACTTCACAATCCCTGTATCAATCAAATTTTCATTAATTAAATTAAATTCATTTTTTGGCAAGTGTTCTACAGCTGATCTTTGAACTAGGAATGGAACAATATTTTTGATATTTCCTGATCCTTTGTTTGATACAGGTAACAGGAAAATAGCTGACTAATTTTTGGATATTTTAGTATCGTAGATTTTTTTTTCTTTGGTGATTCGTAGTGTTAGTACATGGCAGTTGGCCAATGAGCAACCCTTTCTCACAAATGTTTTCAAATAAGAAAATTGTTGGTTCCCAATTTGAACAGAACACTCCTAAACTGAACAGGGTCTTCCTGGAATGACATCATAGCAACAGTGCCCTCAGTTGTTCGGAAAGCATGGAGAGTCTCAAATGTTTTAACGAAGAAGTGAGCTTAAATTTTCAATAAAATTTACCAAAAAGGGATGTCAAATCATTTTCATACATTTAAGAGGATTAGAAAGTCGCACAAAATGTGTTTCAAAGAAATATTCATCGCATGCCCTTTAAGCATTGCAGGTAATTTAGAGCCGGGTGTTCGTTGTACAATAAACGCAAAAAAATCTTTACACATTCCTTTCCGAGCGATATCTATTGTCCCCTTACTTCACCTTAACACAAGGACTTTTCAAACGGTTGAAACATATTTTGCATTTATATGTAAACTTCGCTTTGTGTACAGTTCCACGTCATTGGATAAAGCACTAAAACTGTTAGGGTATAAAAGCATCTTTGTTCTTCATTACTTCAAGCCATGAAAACATCCCATATCTACAAGTCCCGCTAAACCACAAACAAAGCTTTTGCGTCATATCACCCCATAAAAATGTCCCGCTCAGAACGTTAGCGGCGTGACAAAAGCGTTTCCTGGTCATAAAATGAAGATAACGTTGACCATGTTACATAATATATTTTCCGTGTATACAGTGTACATCTGTGACCTAAGCACGATATCTAGTCCCGTAATGGAACAAAACATAGCATGACATTTAATCGACAACCCAAAATAAAATTTTAATAATTTGAAAACCTTTCCTTGTGTACATCTTCAACTGTTTAATTAACATCAGGAATATATTTAAAGGGGGAATAACATTAGTATTTATACAATATTCATGGCTTTATAACGCTTTGAGGATTTTCTTTCAGGTATTATTTACTTAGAAAGCGGTTCCCTTTCAAGGAATTTGCAGAATCAAAACGTTTTAGTTTATATGCTCTCGTCTTTTCTTTTTGCATACATAATAACATAATGAATGGTATCCTTGTAAGTTTTAAGTTCAATTCGATTTTTCTTTTGGATAACATGGTCTCAATGGTAAGAAGCTTATACTGGTTTAGCTTACCCTGTATACATATTTGAAATACATTTTGTTTTAAATGCAGGGGTCGGAAAAATAGGGGAAAAAAATATACCTCTGTTATGTTTGAGGACAGAGTATTATAGGGTGGAAAGTTGTACACAATGTCTTTTTTTGTTACGGAACGGTTTAATAATGTAGGCAATATCCAAATCGGGCAATTTGTGGCAAATTGATTCTGCCATTGGCGCGCTGCAGTACGTAGCCCTAGCTGATATGTTTGTAATTAGTATGGTGCCTTACCTTGCCGAAAGTGGCGGCACATGCAGGCTCCAGGCTCTCCTTCCGGCAGAAGTCCAGGTAATGCGCGTAGAGGATACAACGCGGTAAACACACGCCCTCGCACATGCAGTAGTTCTCCTCCAACCTATCATTGAGAAGAAACAAAATAATTCACGTTGTTGAAGAAAAAATATAATGAAAAAAGAGATAATGCTTTCATGAAACAGTGCTGTCTAAAAAGGATTCTAGACACTATGTCCTCGCTGTAAATTCATTCATTTTGCCGAAGTCCTTTCACAAGCCCGATCACAAGTAACGTGGATTACGCCTAACAATTACAACGGAATACTTTTCTCACAGTTCATATTTGAATTGCCTATGACTCGACTGTCTTGTGATGGACTTGTGATGGACTAGTGATGGACGTGTGATGAACTTGTAAGGGACTTGTGATGGACTTGTAAGGGACTTGTGATGGACTTGTGATGGACTTGTGGTGGACATGTGGTGGACTAGTGATGGACTTGTGATTGACTATTGATGGACGTGTAATGGACTTGTGATGAATTTGTGATGGACTTGTGATGGACTTGTGATGGACTTGTGATGGACTTGTAAAGACTTGCGAGAACTTGTGCGGACTCGACCTTTACGACTTTTCAAAATTAGATGTTGTGAAATTTCTCAAGCATAGGTAAATTTCTCAAGCATTGTTAGTTTTACTCAGTGTCGTGCGAAACAGCTACTGTATCTCTGTCACATATTGATCTTTCTAGCATTGATGTCTTTTCACACGATATGATTGTGTGAAATTTCTCAGGCATCTATAGATAAATTTCTCAACCAATGTAAGTTTCACTCAGTGTGAATAAGAAACTGTATCGCCATGTGCATTGATCTTTCTAACATTGCTTTCACACGATTAGATTTGGGAAAGTGCTCAAGCATTCAATGGTAAATTTCTCAAACATAGGTAAATTTCTCAACCATTGTAAGTCTTGCTCAGTGTCGTTTGAAAGAAAAACTGTCTCCCTTATACATGTACATTGATCTTTGTTCACACGATTAGATTTGTGAAATTGCTCAAGCATTGGTAAATTTCTCAAGCATTGTCAGTTTCTCGGTGTCGTGTGAAAGAGTACTTACCAGTGGAGCGTGAGAGACGTCTGCTTCTTCTTGTCTTTCATCATCTGGGCCACGGATCGTTTAGGCTGACTGGAAGATGTGCTCTCTCGCTCATGCTTCTTATCTCTAGTTTCTTCCTCTTCTTCTTCATCTTCTTCCTCTTCTGATTCGTCGGATGGAAACGTCTCTCCTTCATCCTCAGTCAGTATAGGGGTTAGCTCTGTCAAAATATAGCAATGAAACAATAACATCAATAACAACAATAAACAATAACAACATCACAGTTCTCGCATATCACTTTTAGGCCCCAGGCGCTGTCACTGAAAACACAAGCAATGAAATATACAGGCACCCAGTTGTTAAAAGTAAAGTTCTGTTAGCTAAATGTTCTCAGGTAAAGAGTTAAATAGATGGGTGGAAACGGCTTGAGAGGAGCGAGAACCAAAACATGTAGCACTTCATGAAACCAGTTGATTTATTAAGGGAGAGTTCTAAATCTGACGAAGAGTTGATCCTGAAGGCAAGTTGAGGCGGTACCAATGAGGTTATGATACTGAACAACAAAACTTTGAAATCTATCTTGGAAGTCAGGTTAATAATGTGCATTTATAAGCGCAGTTCTACATTAATATTGAAGTGTCAAGTCATAATATTACCCCTGCTCATCGGACCCATAAAACATTCTTCATCGTCTCTATGAAAGGTATTATTTTTTTTTAGCTTTTGAGCTACAGTGCCATTGTCATTTTGAGGATCACGTGGTTTTTCAAATAAGTTATATATAGAAGTGAGTTTAGTCAGACTGAGCCAAAATGCCATTTTGAAAAAGGATGCCTACGCTCCATTACAAAATAGAGCATTTTTAGGGTCTAATTACATCCGCATTACACAGAAAAACGTGCTTGCAGTCCGCTTCACGGCTTTCATCCTTCTTTTTTTTTTACAAATCCTCAAGTTCATAGCGCACAAAATGTCTAATATCGGAGAATTTAAGGACATGCAAGTTTGGCCGGCGTAGGCAATTTCGGGCCTATTTACTGGCCTCCAGAACCTCAACAGTTTTCGTGTTTTGTTGACCATCTTTACAGAGTAACCCCCTTAATCATAGTCAGTTATTTTATGACCAGTCTTCATGTTTTACTTCGCATCGTACATGACAAACATTTTGCACCTTCATTTTTATGTGTCAGTTTTACAGGTGGACCGACCAAACACTCTTATCACGAACCGCTGGGAAAGGAAATCGTGTGGTAAGCGATGGTAAACAACAAATCCTGAATGGTCGGATTTTAACGGTCTCAAAGGTCTCGTTTGTAATGTACTCTCCGTGCAGGTTCCTTACGGCACTATGTCTACAATAATGACTATTACTGCTGCATTAAAGCTATATAGGACCATGTTGCTCTTCGTGAATTCTTTGTTTGCAACAAAATTGCTCAAAATTTAAGAGCAGGCTGTATAATAACTGTTCTGTTGAGTATTAGCTCAGTGGATACCATACATTTTGAGAAAACCAGAGACAACAAATTCTACCACTAATCGATGGAAACGCATTTTGAAGAGTGTTTCTTTTCGAAAGTGTGAGATTTTTACAGTAAAAGAAAACATTCAAGCGATTAATTCACTTTACATTTCAAAGTAGCATGGAACACGCATCCCATTTGGCGGGAAATAAAAACTATATCATGATTAATTTTGGAGTCCGTACCAAAAATCTGTGTAACAAAATCTCATTATATGTTTGAGATGTGTGTCTATAGAGTCAGACGACTTGGAAAACATAACTTGCTTGAGTAAGAACGAGATTTTGTTAAAATCAAAGAAAATGTGTACGAGAAAGAAAGTATTGGCATGCAGCCAAATCTATTACTATATTCCAACGAACTACGGACAACCATGAGAATCGACAGTGACAACCTCAAAAACTACATGGTCCCCTCGCCAGAACCGCACACACTAAAGAGCTTCATAGTACTACTGACAAACTCAGTAACTCACTGCTTTTTCAGCGTTCAATCTTCCAAGTCATATTTCATGAAGGATATTTACCTAGCTTGGTCAGCTTGCATTCTTCCTCCGTGCGAGCAGACTTCTTGGCCGGCTCGGCGTGATTCCGGCTGATGACACTGACCGTTCTTTTGAGCGGAGCCCCCGCGTGAGAGTCCACGGTGCGCGCCGGTGACGCTGCCCTGCCGTTCAACTTCATCATTCGGTGTCTAAGTCGACTTTCCTCGCTCAAATTCGAAAGATTTTTGCTCCTTTTGCGACGGTAACTTTAACTTCAATTTGTGCAGTACAGGGTGGTTCGTACCAATTGTAAAGCTCTAGTAATGCGTCTGATCTTATTTATGTGTTCTTATTTACGCAGTTTGGACACACTTTTTCGTCTTGGAAAAGTTTAACAGATGTTTGATTTTCGGCTGTTCTTTCTAGTACACTGTTTGAAGCTTGATCTTTCAGATACGTGAGGTTGTCTGTCGAAGCTATGCTGGAGACCGTGGAAGTGGGTCTGCAGTTGAAGCGCTGCGTTCCTCTTAAGACGCCGTTGGATATGACAGGTTCTCAGTGCATCTCGATAGACCGAATCTGATTGGCTGTATAAGTTAAGTCCAGTCTTCTGTTGTAGCTGGCGATCTGAATTTGAGTCTGGTTCAGCAAGTTGATCTCCTGGGTTTGCTGCACCGACATGCACGGTGCCAAATTCAGTGGTCTCTGGTACGATACTTTGCCCTTCTCAAAATGGACCAAAACGAGTTAGAGTCTGTGGCGGTTGTCTGTGGCGGTAGTGATGCATCCAAAGTGATACCTGTTAAACTTCAAGGTGTTAGTCGTTCAAATCAGTTCACTAAACAAAAAAGCCAGTTACACTGAGATTAATTTCTTCTGATAACCATAAACCAAGCTATCTGGTTCCATGAGACTGATATGTCAAGGCAGTGCTTGTGTACGTGCGGCCCGCGTGCATACACGTCCAAACCCCGTCTCGATCGCTGGCAGTTTGGCAAAACCTCCAAAGTGCAATCTCCTTTGCCTGAGCGGACGACTATTGCCCCAAACCAAAAACCGTATCCGACTGTACACACTGCACTCTCTGAGAGCGATAGAGCCAAGCTGGACTTTGGACGCGTTTAAGAGAGGGTAACGCACACAAATATCCTATCCATCTACACTAGTGAGACTAGAAGCGCGCAAAACAATAGGCGCTGGTCGAAATGGGTAATTTCATCACACCGCTGCAAAACACGGCGCTTTTCAGAAAGAAAAAGGCATAAAAAAAGCTGGGACAATCACCATTGCTGGTTCCTCTTGTGATATAATGAGGATTGGGAACAGTTAAGGATTTTTTTTCTGTGCCGAATTCTTTTGAGTTTGACGGCTTTATACATGACACAAAAACCAACAAACAAAACGCGGGTGAGATTGCGGTGGGTCGGCCAATGCCGACCGCTGATTATTCGCCGGGGATTTTTTTAATAAATAACCGGAGGTACTTGAGAAATGTTACTGAGTAGCAAATCAGTCGGTTAAAGTTTAACGATGAGCACGGGGAAAACTGAAATAGAACCCTGATCGTCACACCGGAGACGAACCGACAATATGACTGTCTTCCTTGTTGATTTGTTTGTAGGACTGACACTGCTACCATGGTTGAATATCAGTTACAAGAATCACAATGGCAAAAATTATACAGGGTGAGTAAAAAGAAATGAAACCCAAATGTCGGGACTATTGTTTTATTGAAGTTCTGCGATATAAAAAGCCCAAGTCATAAGCTTTCTTTTAGTAGACGAATCATTCAAATCACTTATGTACTTTTTAAGTTACGGAATTTTAAACACAACCACCGTTTTAAAGTTCTGTCCACGGATCACAAACAAAGGTGTGCGTTCTTTCAGCAAAACGAAAACAATTCACACACAATCCTTAGGTGATTGTTTCCGTTTTGCTGAAAGAGCACTGAACTTTTTTGTTGTGTTTAAAACTCCGTAACTTGAAGAGTACATAAGTAATTTGAATGATTCTTGTACTAAAAAAAAGCTTATGAAATGGGCTTTTATATCCTAGATTGTGAAAGTGCTACATGCAGAACTTCACTAAAACAATTGTCCCGACATTTGGTTTTTGGGGGGGGGATTTTTACTTACCCTGCACATTTAGGCCCTGCACATCGTGTGTGTACAGGGTGAGTACAAAAACACTAAATGTCAGGACCATTTTTTAATGCAGTTCTGCATGTAGCACTTTCGAAATCTAGGATATGAAAGCCCAATTCATAAGCTTTCAGTTAGTGCAAGAATCATTCAAATCACTCATGTACTTTTCAAGTTACGGCATTTTGAACATAAACACAAACACCGTTTAAAGTTCTGTACGCGGATCACAAAAAGTACGTGTCCTTTCAGCAAAACGAAAACAATTCACATACATCGATCCTATCCCTAACCATTTCATTTCATGTCTTGTGAAACACCCACCAGCTATGTTTATCGCGAATAGTACTAATAAACCTCCTTATAATTGTGTAGAGATTGGTACGCGTGCACCGGGTACTGCGCGATGTGGCGCCGAACGCAGCGGAGCCGGGAATAACATTTTTAAACAAAACAAAAAATACAAAACTACAAACACACAAAATGAACACCAACTTTTCCACTTGTTTATTTTATCCTTAAAATATCCCTCAATGTCTTTGATTACATAAGTACACAAAATAGCATAATAGATACAAATATGTAACACTCCAGCTTTCGATACATTTGTACATGTTATTATTGTAAATCGTGAAATTTGTAACCAGGCCAGAAACATTGGTAAAAATTTGACACTGTATTTCCTGGGCCGTAGAATAACCAACGATGTAGTACTAAGACTGAACTCTTGAGGGCGGGCGACCCCTTGACCTCCATTTTTCCTTGTAAAGTCAGGTTGAAATCGAGGCCGAGGCCGGCTCACTGTGATTACGTAATACCTTCTATTGTGGCCGGTCGTCAATTTGGTGGAGCTACATTGCTTAGCGAACACAGGTTACCAGCGAAAAACTCTATACGGTGATATCTTTTGGCTGGTTCTCAGCGACTGTCGTTTAGCATACCAATTGCTAAGCAATTTTCCGTTTCCTTGGTTTGAAAGGTCAGCCTCGATATGGATTCAACATGCATGGCGACTCCCTGCAAACAACGAATACAGAACGAATACTGGACGTAGGTTTGAGCCTGATCTACTCCTATCAAATCGTAGTATCCAATCTTTTGGTTTGGTGGTCACGTGGACGGTTTTGGTGAGACACAGTCTGGTACCTTGACTTCGATCAATCACAGTGTGGTTGAATTTCGAATTTCACATTCGAATGTGCAATTAATATTTACAAAATCGATATAATTTCTCATCTTTTTTCAGCCAATTATTTACAACTTGACATAAATATACCCTGTATCAAAATTACGAAATAAAATTCATCCCGTAATAAGGTTCCCTGTCTGAACGTTTGAACCCGTCTTCTTGTGTTAGAACACATTCATTTTAACAAAAACTGTTCTTCGAAACTTTTGAATATCTTCACTGACTCCAACGAAACACGCTACAAATTTGTTCATTTCTGTAAAAAAAAAATTAGAAGTTGTAAAACCCTGAACTTTTATCGGTGGCAAATGGTCACAAACTGGAGTTGAATTAATATGGGTGAAGAATTTACGTGTGCCAGAGTGCAATTGCAGTTAATATTGTTGCATATACAATAGTCTACCTTTTCAAAATTTTTGAAACTTAAAGTCCATAACTGTCAACAACTATTAAAAACTATTATTAAAGTTGCTTTTAATATCTAAAAGCATTTATGTTTATCATTCTTCATAATATGATAAGAAATGTTGCGAAAAAGTGACTATTCCATGTTTATCTTGTACGGAGTAGGTGCCCTGAAATCCCTCAATTTCTTTATATATTTGATAACAGTGATTGTTTGGTAAATATAATTTCTAATGTATTTTTTTTCAAATTAAAGACGTACTGCATTGGACTCAGATATTTTCAATAAATTACTTTTGATGTTGTAGTTTGAACAACGCAAACTTTACAACCTTCGATCGATATGCCTTAAGACATGTTTTTATTTTCAGGTTAATACAACTTTGGTGTTACTAGTAGTAATACGAAAGGCAGACATTGCAATATAAAAAGCATTGCCACAACACGCGTCGCACCTGAACGGGTATAGCTAATTTGCGCTCCTGTCTGTTCCTTTTCCGGGGCGCCCTCTATCAAACTGGCAATCTTAATCATTGAGAGGATGACGTCACTGGCAATAGGTGGCGCCCTGCTGTTTATCATGGCGACCACGTCGTTTAGCTGGTTCATACACTCCCAGTAATTCTGTGCCAAAAGAAATGTGTGCATCACTGTTTACGTTGGTCAGCTAACAATCTCTTTTCATGAACTTGGGTCAAACTAACATAGGGCTGGTGGAAATTTAGAGGGCAGGCTGAATTTTTGGAGGGGGCATTCATGATGTTTTTAACTGCAGAGGGAAACATTACCTGTGTAACGTTACGTTCTGAATGAGCAACGATCACGATTCTTCCATCTAGATGGGTACCATTGACGTGGGTACCAGTTACTGTCTTAAGTTCACAGGGTTTCTGTCAGAAAAACAAACAAACACCTTCCATCATTCAAGGTGCTCCAAATGTTAAGTACAATGCACAACTAACATGTTAAGTTTAAGCTCAGTGGGCAGTAAACAATTCAATATCACATTTATTCAATCGGTAGGTCTGTTTCCAGGTTAGTGTAAATGTTCGTACGTGTCTTTAAGTAATAAATCCAAAGTAGGGCCATTTTCACTTTTTCTTTTGGTTTGAAATTAAAATGATCTCTGGCTTTTCAACTTACACGCGAGAAAACACCCGAAAGTGCTTGCTGGAGTTTTGATACAACAGTCTGAGCAGTAACTCGAACGTGTAGTTGACGCTCTATAAACTCACGCTCGATCACACTGTATCCAATTACCATTGCCGGAGCATCAACTGTTAGAAAATTAACAAAACGTGAGCGTCATTATTTGTCACAGTGATTAAGCAACACAGTCGCCAAACCTAAACACCGAGAATTTGACTATAACAATCATATTTATGTCATGTTATGATTTTCAAAACGAGGTTCTCCCAAGTCTTCGCAAGTCAAACACAAATCCACAAACACAAACACAAAGTCCTCGTTAGTCACTCACAAGTCACTCACAAGTCAATCACATGTCCTCGGGCGTCAATCAACATTACGTCCTCACAATGCCAACATAAATCCCCAGCAGTCAATAACAAGTCCTCACAAATACAACACAAGTCTTCACATGTCCATCGCAAGTCCTCACAAGTCCATCACAAGTCTACAAGGCTATCACAATTAAGTCCATCACAAGTTCTCACAAAGTCCTCACAAGTCCAAAAACGTCATCACAATCGAGTCCTCGCAAGTGCATCACTAGTTCTCACAAGACCTAAAACGGTCCTGACCAGTCCTCAAAACTCCTCACAATGTCCTTACAAGTCCCAAAAGTCCTCACCAGTCCTCACAAGTCCTAAAACGTCAACACGAGTCCCCACAAGTCCTCACAAGTCCTCACAGGTCATCCAGTCTTATTCCCCGTTACCTCCTCTGACCGAACTTGTGAATTCACAAAATTTAATAATCTGGTTGTTTGCCTTCTAACCCAAAGCGCGTTAGTGTATATTTCTCGTCAAATCTACGTTCCTTACCGTGTAAGCTGATTTTCGTATCTATGCAGATCTGTTCTCTGCCCGTACAAACGCATTCCTTTGACCCTTCATGACTTATGCGAGCTCCTGCATTGCAAAAAAAGCAGGTTTTCAGGACAAACATATGTAAAAAACAACAACAACAACAACAAAAAACAATCACTAATATTTCACAAGACACAATAAGATTAAAGTAATGACTAACGTGTAGTAAGAGGAGGGCTTACGAGACAAAAGTTTACATCAGTCGAACCCACGACCTCCTGCTTCCTATAATTTGGTACTTTTTATTGATATTTTGGTAATGAATACCTTCGTTACATGGTTGTGTCACATTGCACAGAACGTCGAAACACTGAGAGAGATAGCCAGTCACGCAACGGCATATCTGGGTGCAGGCCGCAAAGTCGTCACTCGCAATCTTAAAAAAGGGAAATTAATTAATTAATAACTGAATTAATGTTGACGTATTATTATCACCCCTGTTCATCAGGCAATGAGACCATGATTTTTTTTTTTTGCAGCAGCAGCAGCAGCATCAGCTCGAGATACCCATCACAGGTACCCATTTGTACTCCTGGGTGGAGAGAGGCAATTGTAGTAAAGTGTCTTGCCCAAGAACACAAGCACCATGTTCCCGACAGGGTTCCGACCTACTATATCGCACATCATGTGTCATGGGATAGCGTGACCATTGCAAAATATTTAATTTTTATAATCATATTTTGATAAAACGAATTTTGAAAAAAGTAAAACAAACAAAGTCCACCATCTTGTTTTCATTCATGTCTGTGCAAAAATTACTTACCCGGATGTTGTGACCCGTGGCGACGTTTACATCCGGGTAACCATTCCACAGCCTGACAACACATCCTGCGAATTGCAAAGTTAAAGTAGGAATATTGGTAATAGGAGACTTTTGAGACGTTGGCGGCAGCAAACACACCAGTCCTTTTCAATTGTTTACGTCATGTTTAATCTTAAGTGCGGATGCTCAATATAATGCAAACAATGGGAAAAGGACTGGTGTGTTTGCTGCCACCAACGTCGCAAAAGTCTCCAATACCCGGATATGGACCTGCCGATTTTATGAGAAAAACCTCGCTCAAAGTGAAGATATATAGAGCTGGTCTCAAATACCATGTGAACTTATTCCGCGTGAAGTGGTTATGACCGAAAGAAAACAACCATTGGATGTGGTATTAAAAGAGTGTGCCCGCAGACAAACGTTTTTCTAACAATTTAACGATGTCCGTCAAACACTGAAAATAACCAATCCATTGAATTTTCGTCATGTACACCGACCGGCTGAATGAAAATTATGTCCCGAGTGATGATTCAGGGATGTTACCACGAGAGGGCGCAATTCGACATATGAAACGCATTTTGAATTGGAAGCATAAGCAACGGCATCCATTAACTATGCAAAAGAAAACAAAATAAGCATAGATTTTTTCTCTTTTCCCAAAATGTATACTGTAGCCACTGAGCTATAACTTCAACAATTTAATTGGTATGCACCCTACTTAAGATTCTGAGCAACTTAGTTTCAAAATTTCAAAATCTAAAATGATTGAGATTGTAAACACTGAGGAACAGAAAGATATACATTTTGTACTTTGACAAAACATCGGAAACAACGATGGTATAAAATTTGTTCTCACTTTAACAACAATCTGCCAAACCGTATCTGTTTTCGTTCCTATTTAATTATAAAGTAATGAGTTTAACTATTCTATAATAATTAAACTTTGACACCCTATTAGGCCTACAAATGGTAAGATTTGTCAATAGCTATCAAACGTTTTACGAAAGAGCAACAGAGTGACGTCACATGCATGGAAACAGCACTGTTTTTGTCTGCGTCTCCCGCTATAGTATGTATTTAACTACATCTGTGCGGTTACTGAGCGCCGTGTTCGTACATCCGACCCTTCTATCGATCACAAGATGGGAGTCAATTTAGGTGAAAGGATCGGGTTTCTCACTTAATAACTCCTCACATCCATTCCTTGCAATTGCAATCAGACATTGGTTTTGCAAAAGCAAGAAGGCAATCACAACGTCAAGACGCCAAAGCGCTTTCGAATGAGACTGCTCAGTTGGCATTATAAAGGCAATTTCCTTTCAAAATAGAGCTATATTGGGCAAAATTCCGCGAAATTTGCAGAAGAACTGAGTTACGAAGCACTTGACATCCGTTGGTACAGATGTAGATACAGCAATGCATATTCTCACGGGACATCTTCGTATGAAACACACAAACGAACATTGTACGGTGGCTAATGAGGATTTTTTTGTGCTCAAATTTGTATCCTTGTAGAGACACGCACACAATAGGGAACAAAACATTGTAAAGGTCTCCACAAGGCAATTTCTATAGATGAATAGGTCTACTCGAAAACAAGGAATTTCCAAGGTGGGTTGATCTGTCGCAAATGGAAGAGTTTTAGAAAAGGGATATGAAGTCCGAATTTCAACCAAGGAAATTAATTCTGGTTAAAATAAGAGCATTTTGAAACTTCACTTTCAAAATTGATAACTTTACTACACGAGAACAAAGAAATGTCTCCACAAGGATACAAATTTGAGAGTGTGTGTGGCAACTTAAGATTTTTTCGACTCCACTTATCCAGTTTTAAAATAGTTCAAATGAGTAACTTACCAATAATCTTACCCTCCTATGCAAACACGCATTCTGTGCAAAGTTGTCCTTTCAGTGAAAATCAGTCAAGTAACTGTTTTTAATAGTTAAGAGTTCCCAGCCTATACATAAGCAGGATTGACTGGCTGTGACTGTCTATGTAACTTACCACAGCTAGGCTTTGACTGTAGGTGATTGATAAGACAACCGTGCCTACCAGTTGCCTGCTTAAATCGTCTGTTGACTGAATTTGACCAGTCGAAGTGATTGCTTGAAATATGATCTGACTGTTGGTGACTAGTCTGTGTTATAAGTATGGCAGTGGAAGTGGGTGGAAATTTTGGCTGTCTGTGACTGTTTAAATAGTAGCAGGAATGAGTTATACGTTATTTATTCTGTGCCTTAATTGTAATTATTCCGTAATTAAAAGATGTCAAACTTATCCATGATGATCTAGACATCACAATCGAATTGTTCAACGTACTGAAGTCCTCACGACACGTGACAAGTCACGTGACAAGTTATTTAAATTAACTGAGCTATGACAATGGCATTCCTTTGATATTTATATTCAAAACCGGTTGATTAAAATATGGACCTTACTAAGGATTGGACTAATCGTTGACTTGTGATTGGATTTATGATGTGCCAAATCTAGAACTAAACACTTACCGTTCTTGACGCGTTTGTTGACATGGATCTGCGGCTGCGCAGTAGTATGGGCGCCATCTTGGTTCTTGGTTGATGGGTAATAGGCTTGGCTCGCTCGGGCTGGGAACGAAAAAAGAGATGAAATCAATTGCAAGAAGTTGAGGCTGCGACATGAAATGAAAATATTGTGTGTAACAATCTCACCTTATACGCCACCGTACATACTCCCTGTACACTAATTATGCGCATGCGCACGTTTGCTTCAGTTGGTCATTGATGTGGAGGTGCATATTGTTAGGTCACCGAGTCGAGATATCAACTTGGGAATCTCATTTTAATGTGGAGTTCCGTGGTCCAATGGTTATAGGTCTGCAGTGTCCAACCCATGTGTGGTGATGCATGGATTCGAACCCTCACTGGAAACGCGGTGCTTGTGTTCTTGGGCAAGACGATTTAATTACTACAATTGTGTCTGTCCACCCATGAGTATGCTTGCTCTGATGTCAAACTGCTACAGATAATGGTGTCCAACTAATGTGGGACGATACGTGGTTCGAATCCTGGCGGGGAGCTTGGTGCTTTTGTTCTTGGGCAAGACACTTTACTACAATTGTGTCTGTCCACCAAGGAGTGTGTTTGCGCTGATATTCAGCTGCTAAGGATAATGGTGTCCTAATGTGCGATGGTACGTGGGTTCGAATCCTGGCGGGGAACATGGTGCTTGTGTTCTTGGGCAAGACACTTTACTACAATTACCTCTCTCCAACTAGGAGAATACATTAGTACCATGCTCTCGTATAGAGCCATTGGCTTTACAGGCAAAATTAGCAAATGTTGCAGTGTCTTTGATAGTGTAGGAGAAAGCAAGGCAATTGTGAGACTAGATTACAGGAGCAGGATTCGAACCCACGACCTTCTTATCATGAGTCAGGAACCCTAACCACTAGGACACACTCTTACTCACCAAAGCAGGGGTTGTCCAGCACAATGAGTTGTTGTTGCTTGCACGCGTCCAAATCCGACCCCTCCACGCCTCTACACGTGCAACTGGCTGCCACGATCGTTCCCAGAATTCCCAGCCGAGAGTCACGGCATGCGCCGTAGCTTTGTGCGCAACCTGTCCCGGTCGCGTCGCTGACTGCGCACTGGAATTTGTAGTTCTCGAAATTTGTGCTTTGCGTGGCGAAAGAAAAAAACGCCGAGAAAGAGATCGTTGTCAATCCGACCATCGTCATTATGTGCATGACCAACCTCGTACACATGGCCTCATGAAGTACGCCACCATTTTAGCTCCTCACTCACCCTTATATTAGATACATTTGCATATTAAACTTTGGCTGCATAATCAAATGTAGTGCCAAGCACTTATCTCACTGACTGACTCACGAACTGACTTACTGACAGTAACTTTGCAAACCGGGCAGTGCTATTGTATTGGATGACCCCGTTGCGTCAATGAATGCGCTAAATCCTACACATTTTGCGGATCAGATGCATGAAAAGACCCGAATATCCATTATGAGTCAACTTAATAGGATATGTGTGCTCTGGACCAGGTTTTCTAGGTTTGCATTTTTTGTTTTCAAAAACTTTTTTTCAAATCTCACCTGCACAGTGCAGATCGGATGCATTGTTCCTTCACATCCAGACAGCTAGGTAGTGGTGTCAGCTTGTACGCACATTCAGCATTCAGACCCTGCCATACTGTATCACACTGCGTATCGTCACTAGCGCAGTAACAATACAACAGTGGGTGTGTGTACCGGGGCGATACGGCATCTAAGAACGCTCGTATGGAGTGTCTACAGGCGGTCATTTTGCAGGTGTTTGCGACAGGGTCGCCTCTGCACTCGGTAAGATACTCGTAAAGGCTCTGACGGCAGGTCGCGTCGACGTTGCAAGCGTTCAGAGCTTCTATACAGGTGCTTTCTAAAGGGAATATGAGTTGTAATTAAGTGATCACAGGCCATCGCAAGCCATCGCAAGTCATCATAAATCATCACAAGTCGTCACAAGTAATCACACGTCATCACAATGCATCATAAGTCATTACAAGTCCTCACAAGTACTTACAAATCATCATCCCATGTCATCGTAAGTCATCATCAGTCATTAAAAGTCATAACAGGTCATCACAAGTCATTATAAGTCATCATAAGTCATCACAGGTCATCACAAGTCATCATAAGTCATCATACGTCATCACAAGTCATCGTAAGCCATTATATGTCATCACAAGTCATCACAAGTCACCACAAGTCATCACAAAGTATCACATGCCGTCACAAGTCGTCACAAGTCAATCACAGATGATCAACTCTCGGACATGCAGTTAAATCAGGCTCTTCAATGAGGATCTGCAATACAGCGCGTCCCAAAATATTCGCATCTTTTTTGCGAGGCTCTAGCGTCGGCGCGGAAACACTTACTGCCATTATTTTTGGACCATTTTCAAGATGGGAATATTTACTTTTATCCCTGGCGACTATTGGTTTGATATTTAAAAGAGTTTTCGAATTATCTGTTGTTCAAATAAAGGCATGTCGAAAACAAACTCAACCGATTTCAAGGAAAATCGATGATGCGGTATATCAGATGCAAACTCGAGTTAACAAACTGTTGAAATAAAAAAATTAAAAAACAGTTGATTTATATTTAAAAACCCATTGAACTTGAAACAAAAAAACTATATTGTGAATTTGTTTAAGGTGTAGTCTACGTGGATCGAAAAGAAAAGGAAACAGTAAAAGGCAACGAGATCGTCACATTATGAACACGATGAAGCATTTCCACATCAGAAAAAATGCGCATAATTGATTTTCCTTTAAATCGGTTAAGTTTGTTTTTTACATGCCTTTATTTGAACACGGATAATTTCAAAACCCTTTTGAAAATCAAACCAATACTTACAAGGGATAAAGTTAAGATTCCAAGCTTTCCAATGATTTTAAAAAATAATGGCAGTACATGTTTGTGCGGCAACGCTAGAGCCTCACAAAAAGGTTACGGACGCACTCTATGTAGTGCACTTGTCTACGTCTAGTGCAATACTGTTTCAACTCGTGCAATATAATCTTATATCCCCTCGTTGCCATCCAATATTGTGTAAATATTTACCTCCGGTCGGTGCAGGGCCAACTTGATCAACATTTGCCATGTACTGCCATGGGGAAACAGCGAAAGGATCTCCGCAAGGATAAAAAACAATGGTATTTGAAATACGTGAAAACATATGACATCAGAAGCAGTTCAAATATGCCTAGAAGGTAACGTAAACGCTGCCATAACTGGGAGCTGTTTTGTAGTCTATGGAATAGAGCTATGCACAGAAATGGTGTATGATATGTGAGCAGAATCAGCGATTAATTATGCAAACAAGACTGCGTCTTGACCTCAAGATTCTGACCATTCAGCGGGCGCCTTTGGGTCTTCCATATAACCCGTTGTTGTGTTACAAAAACACGGCATCCAAATTGACCAATCAAAAGCTAAGTCCACATTTCTGATCGAAATGACGTCACGACTTTCCAAAGTCGACTCCAATTTGGCTGAACTCTACAGGGTGAGTAAAAAAAGAAACCCAACAGTCGGGACCATTGTTTTAGTGAAGTTCTGCATAGCACTTTCAAAATCTTAGATATAAAAGCCCAATTCATGAGGTTTCTTTTAGTACAAGAATCATTCAAATCACTTATGTACTTTTCAAGTTACGGAATTTTAAACACAACCACCGTCTTAAAGTTCTGTCCACGGATCACAAGAAGGTAAGTGTTCTTCCAGCAAAAAAAAAATCACATGGAGATGTATGTGAATTATTTTCGTGTTGCTGAAAGAACAAACACCTTTTTTGTGATCCGTGGACCTTTAAAACGGTGGTTGTGTTTAAAATTCCGTAACTTATGATCGATGCTTTGAATGATTCTTACACTAACAGATAGCTTATGAATTGGGCTTTTCATATCCTAGATTTTGAAAGTGCTACGTGCAGAACTTCACTAATACAATGGTCCCGACATTTGGGTTTCGCTTTTTTTCAACTCACCCTATATGCCTACATGTACTCCTTTTTCAGAGAAAGATTGGCTTAGGCCTACTCTAGCTTGCACAAATTACCTTGCACGGGTTGAGTTGGAACCTCTTGAACGACTTCTTCGTCCGAGTCTTAAAGGAAATTGAAGATGGAAAATGCATTAGCGGCGCACCTTAACTTCGAATTGTAATTCGTGTTTGCTAAAGCACGGCATCATTCCGATCACGTACGTCTTCAAACACGCGCCTACGAACCCATTACGATCTCTACGGAGACTCAAGTGCATTGATTGTCTGCAAACTTTATCACGCAGGTCGTGCACGTGATACGAAACATCGTTACTTCTCCCCGCATTTTTGTCTGTTACTGGCTTATTTTGAGTTTTTTACCCTTATCTCAAACATTGTGGCGTGTTTAGCATGTGTATCGCCACACCCGTACAACCAAGTCATTTTGTGTGTTGGCTCCTTCCGTCAACATGGATAGTTCAGACGACGATTTCTTTCTGACTCAAATTAGTTTTTGCAGTGACGGCGGAGAATCTGACAGTGAAAATGCAAATAATTTCGGAATGAAAGTTTTCACGCAGACGGTCCTATTGAACCTCCTTATGAAGAAAAATTGTTCAGAGTGTGGATTCGTAATTCCGAATCCTGACTTTACTAAGTTTCGAATCCACACTTTGTGACCAGTGTAACAGATTCGTAGTTCCGAAACCATACTTTTAACAATAGTGTGACGTCATAGCAATGGTTTAATGAAGTCCTACCCCTGCACTGTTCCCTGTACAGCTGAGAGTATACGGCCTGACATTCTTGATAGTTGACGGCGAGCGGATCGCAGCTGCATCCTCTGAAATGCTGGCTCTGCCGTAAAATCTGAAGGATCCCCTCACATTGCGGCCTATCAGGCGCGTCACACGTAGTCTCCGAACCTGTCGTCAAATAAGAACTTCAAGTCACTTTCCATATTCGCGGTGCGTTCTGGGTATGGATTAAAAGCAAGCTGGGAAATTTTTGCATAATCCTTTGCATCAGTAATTGTCATTGTTTCGTCTCGTTGACCAATTATGAAGCGAATTAAGTTCCTTAAATAAAACAAAATCAGAAAAACCTTTTAGAATTTAGTGAATTTAGTCAAGTGATGATTTCAAATCTATAGGCCCCTATAATTAAACAAAATACACTTTCTAAATTTTATCAGAATTACGATGTTTTAGATGTCTTTTAGTAAACCGGTTGCAGCTTGTCTTTTCGCCTGTTACTTGAACAGCTACTTTTAGACCAATAACGATCTAAAAAAAATTCCCCGAAATCTCGCCGATTGTGACCATTTCAGCAATTTTATGTTGCATGATTGTTTCAGGCTTAAATGCCAGTCTTGAATGTATTATTATGGGCATGGTAACATACATCACAATGCTTAACAAAAGTTGTAAACACTTTAAATTCACTGTAGGAATGTTCGATTGGTTTGAAGTCTGCTGAAAAACAAAGCTCATTTGAAATAATTTTAGCTGAATGGAGAGCAAATTGAATGTTTCACAATTTCAAGTATATATGTTTCATAGTTATGGACGTCAATTCCGCCTCCTTTGCATTAAACACATTAACACATCATTATTGTATGGACGTCAAGTTTACATTGCCGAAACAAAAATGAACAGTAATGCACGACATTAAACAAAAATACCCATTAAAATGTCGAACGTTAAACCCCAAAACAGCTAGTCAGTTTTTCAGCAGTTTCTGTAATTATGAACGTCTTGAACATGCACATTTTAAATCTCATGAATAAATCACGCCTTTCGATGTTAAAAATAGACCGTCGCAAAACGCATATTTGTAACTATCACATAGGTAATCCGTCATCTTGTGTGCCAGATTTTCTCATAAATACCGACATTTGTCCAAGGTAACCTAGATGTGATATCCCCCCGGGAAAACACGCGTTGGCGTGGAGATGGTTGCCATGGTAATATGTGGGGGCGGCACCATGGCAATTGGACAAGGCTTGCCTAGGTGGCGTGAGGTTTTGGTGTTATATAAAATCCGGACTCTGTGAAAAAACAACCGCATTGACCGTACTGCGCATGTCTCTTACCTGGGTTTCCGCACAGGTCAGGGACCATCATCAGCATAACTGCGCATGTGCGGTCCTCGGTGCACTGCGCCTGCGCATGTTGGCAGTCTAAGGCGTGGCCTCTTAATGCAAGTAACCATAGCACCGCGTATAAGCCTGAAAAGAAGGAACATTTGATTGGGTAACGTAACAAAACTAAGCTGGCTAGTCAAGTTGCACCTAAAAAGTCTCAGTATATGCCTGTGCTGACTGAGCCAGCTAGTCAGTCATTCAGCAAAAATTACCTATCATATCACAGACATAACCTGTTATGTCTGTGATAACCTGTTATGTCTGTGATAAACTGTTATGTCCGTGATGATGTAGGTAATTTTCAAATTCGTAGTTTTTTTAAAAGTTATGTATCGAGTCTTAGCCCCCACAAACATTGTACCACTTTCTATGATGTTTGATACCGGTGTCGTGTAAAATTTAGACTCAACGAAGTACGGACTCATTGGTTGTATTGCGCATGCCTAAGTGACATGTCATGTGTTAGGCTCAGAGTCCATATAAGCTAAAAGAGACAAGATTTCATAAGAGTCCAAATTTCCTATGACACCGGTGTACACAGTGGCGTTCCAACACAGGCTACTGTGTGTCTGGACAAAAACTCCAAGTTTCCTTATTTTTTAAAGAAAATCCTGAATTACGAAATGATTGTTTATGTAATACGTATACGGAGGTTCCTTAATTATGTCCCGAATTTACATCTTTCATCTTCGATGTATTGACACATTGTGTCGGGGAGACTAGGCAAATTTGAACAGCGCAGCTGACTATAATTAAAAGTGCAGATTGTTGCCACATCGTGTTCTGTATTTTAATTGCTGTTAAGAAAGGCACCATTGTGTTTGTTACTGGCGCAGGAGGCGATTGGGCAAACACATATTCAAGTAATTATGTAGCTTTTTTATGAGAATCGCCAATCACACGGCCAGAGGGCCTTTCAAGGTGCGAACTAAAGGAAAGTATAAAGGAAAAAAAAAGAGAGGATAATCTATTCACAGGGATAGATTATAAGTTGTGGAAAACGGGCGATTTTTCACTAACATGAAGTTTAGAATTTCTTCTTCCGTTATAATTTAACATTTCAATCACACTGAGCATATTTTCTGAGAAACACTACCGTTCAAAAAGCCATGTTTTTTGGGGTGTATGAATTTCACTTCCGTTTGATTTAAAGAAGTGTCAAAACGTAGGCGGGGCATGAACCACATTGAGTGGGCGGGTTACGGCGATCGCCCATAGCTAGCCTATACGCCTTGCCGCCTCCGTATAATGGCACTTAGGCTAAGTGTTGTGCAGGATTAGCATAAACGAATCAACAGACTGTAAAATAACTCTCAGATCTTAAAACTAAAATACTCAGAAATATTATGATTGATGTCTGAAGGCCGAACGTTTCTCGCGCCGTCGATCATATATTTTTTTTAATACGGTACGTGAAGGCTGATATTGTACTATAGTCGCACGAAATACATGCAGTTCTGTTCAGATCTTGCGTGTGCACTGAATTTTTTTTTTTTTCGTTTTGTACTCGGAGTTAACCATAATTATAAGACAGTCTTAAAATGCTGTGGTCAGTTTCGACCATGGGCGTCGCCAGGATTTTTTTTAGGGGGGGGGGGGAAGCACACCCCCTCCCCCCCCAAAAAAAAACCCCTTGTACTTTCTCAAGCATATTCTCAAATTATCATTTTTTTTCGAGGGTGGGCGGGGGGACATTACCCACCCCACCCCCATTGACACCTCCGCAGATGCCCATTTTGTTAAATGTGTATTAAATTAAAAGCAAATATGACTTTTCCAGGGGGGGGGGGCTTGCCCTATCCTGGCAACGCCCATGGTTTTGACTGATTGAAGTAAAAACAAAGAAAAGTTGTCTCCGTTTGAATAATCATCTGCACAAATCACTGCCGCGCCGAATGTATTATAAACAACGGTTTTTTGTTTTCCATTTTCTTCGCCTATATACGGGGAAGACGTTTCTGTAACCCAGACTTTTGAAATGTTGGCAATCGTGTTGTTTATGACACCTCTTATGTTTTACTAGTTCTGCTCTCTTTCCACAAAATTAAGCTAGCTGATATTCAACATGGTATCTTAGCGAACTATTTATCATCCACACAGGGAAACACATACACAAAGTGACTTTTCCCAATTGTATCATAGCCAAATGTTTAGGGATTAAGTCCTAAAACATAAAATGTGTCTTTTTGTTCTTTTATATGGGATCGGAGTCCTAAACTATACGCGATTACAGAAATATTACTAGTATGGTTAGAAAAATCTAAGAACCAATTTTCGCGATATCCTTTTAGTGTGCGGCTTTCAATCCAGCGTTTTCTCTTTACCCTGCGAATTAAAGGCATATCTATAGGATCATTTGCAATTACCCCAAAAGCAACCTAAGTTATCAAAAAGCTTACTTGGATTCAAGATCGTACTGGTACTAAACACCCTGTGATATTATTCCGTCTGGCTTGCTTTCATTTAGAAGAAATCAAGAAATGTAGGTGGTTTCCAACGATCATAATTGACTGATTTTGGGAAATGACTAAAGAGTGCTTTTGACGAAATCGTGTTTTGTGATCAAAAGGTTGTGCACGGGTTATCACTGTTTTCTCGAAGTGTAATATCCACTGAGCTGAAACTTCAACAGGTTAGGTTTGGAACTTCGTCTTTGGACTTTGAGTGGTGTTTTTATCGGAAACGAACAAAATTCATGAAAAATCCATATGCCTTAAAGCTATAGTCCATCATTTGTAATTAGTGCATTTTGTTCGTTTGAAGCAACAAAAGTGTTCAAAATCTAATGAAGGATACTGAACAACTTACTTGATGAAGTTTCAGCTCAGCTTCAGCTTTATATTCCGAGAAAAACAGCATTTTAGGATCTCAATTTCTAATCAAAAGTTGCTAAATCATGTTTCGAATTGTTTTGAATTGCAGCTTTACGCGATGTCGCGCACTGATCCGACGAATTATAGCAACCGCGCGCGCCTGTGCGTCGTTCCAATGCTTGTGCGCGCTGCGCCGAATAACAAAACGAACTACTAATTTAAATTTTCCTACGGTGCTTCTTAAGACGCACCGTTGGAAATGCCTTCTTTCGTTGATTTCTTCAAAATGAGAGCTTGCCAGAAAGGATAATTTCACAGGGAGTTTAGTCACTTACTATCTTTCAACCAGTATGTTTTTCAACAATAATTACGCCAGTTACTTTTTTGGATAGCTGCAAATGATGGACTCGGGCTTTAAAGGCGCTGTATCTTCAGTACTTTCCAAAACTATGCATCGTTTCTGCAAATATAGCATCATGATTGTAAGCCCCGAAAAAAAATCGGCTTTTAAATCGATATGATCGCAAAAAAAATCATCCAGGTCCCCCGCAAAAAATTAATCTTCATTTCCTAACACTTTTTGTTTAATCGTACTGAATCGAAAATTGTTGGGCGAATTTTAACACACATGGAAAATAAAAGCCGGTTCACAGTTTTTTACTGGTCAAAAAGCATTGCTGCGCAGTCTTTACAACAAAACCCTCGTTTCTTTTGCTAAACCAAATAATTTGCCAGTAAATTCCCGGACAAATCATAAGGCCTTCAAAATCATTTTGATAAATCCGAGCTGCGTAATTTTTTTTATAGAAAAACAAGCAGTCACTGGATACCCTTCAGCGCCGGTCGTGAAATCTGATGCAAAAATAAAGATGAGTTACAAGATTATACAATGCATCAGTTATATGACATTTAATCTACATTCACAGTGCTGGATTTGCAATTGTAAAAGCAGACAAGGCATGCACAAAATATGCAATGATGATAGACGATTTTTTTTTACTATAGCTAAACGTACCTGCATGGAAGATAGTATCCATTGCGTGTAGGCCTACGGAGCGGCAACGCAAGAGTATGTCCCGGGGCACTCAACGCGAAACACGGCGGCGGTGATCACTGCGCATCGTGTTGTCACAAGTCGTGATAATCGACGCTCCCAGCCTCAAGCTGTGGGTATCAAAGATGTATTTAGCAATCTCTGATGAGCAATAAGTGAACGTGTTGTGTCAGTGAGGTAACCATGACGCTATCAACGTACGCGCTGTTAAAATCACGGCTTTATTTACAAACGGATTATTCCTTGGTGGAAACAAATTGCATTTTGTGCGAAGACGCGTCGCGTCGCCCATCGTTGCAAATGCGGTGTTTCTGTCGTGATGCTGACAAGTTGATCTAAAGCTGGCCTACATCCAAAATAACTATTCATAATTATTTAGAATAAAAGTAGTAATTATTATCCTGCATGCTTGAACCGATTGAGGGAGGAATGAGTGGTAAATAGTTCTTGCCATTCAGTATTTGTGTATTTATCAATTAATTTATCAATTATAATTAATTGGTGCTTAATTTATCAATCAACAAATGAATTTTGTCGTGCTATGAAATTGTGACTTAATATCAAGAAAACCAGCTTATCAATTGTCTGTCCGTGTGAAGCTGTATTAATTAATCAATTCAAGATCGATTAATTGATATACTAAAATCGATTCATTGTAAATTTATTACTCAGTGTTAATTATCGATCTGATTTTACTTACGTCACATGAAAAATGATATCCTAGTGATGACAAGAACATCCACAGTGATGTGATTTTTGTTGCGATCGACAGCTCTTGAGACGTGGACTACCCGGCCCCTGCGCGCAACATGTTTGCGACACACAATATCGAGTTACCTTCGTAGCATCGCGTTGTCTTGGCCAGTATGCATAACGTGCGGAGGCTTTTACGTGAGGAGGCGAAACACAGAGATCATGGAGGCAGAAATCTTGCCAGCTTATGTGAAGCGTTTTGCCCCTTCTTGCACTTAACCTTTTGTGCGTGGGCGGCTAGTAGCTTGTCCGAATCCGAATCCTGCATATTCCGTGGAGTGTAGCAGCTGGTAATGAGGCTAATTTATAACGTGTTTGCAGGTTTTGTATGTGGGTGAAAGCGTTTGTTAGAGGCAATTCCAGGAGACAGTTTATTTGTCGTTTGCTTTTTTACATTGCATACATTTGCTCCGTGTATCTATCGGCCGGTGATAAGGCTAATTTATAACACGGTGCTTGCAGATTTGAATGCCTGTATTTAGTGCGTGAAAGCAATTAGAGGCAATTCCAGGAGACAGTTTACTTTTCTCATCTCCGCATACTACATTCAATGTTGCTCTGGTTGCTCCGTGGTCATATATGGGTCGATGTGGCCGGCAGCCAGAGGCGCCTTTACGTGCCAGCGGCCCGACCACGTTGTAGCCGCGTCCTTCGCAATTCAGCATCCCAGCTGCGAGTAAGGATGATTAGCCTCCCAAATTATTATTATTATTATTATTATTATTATCTATCGTCCGGTAACAAGGCTAAATCATGACACGGTGGCGCGCGCAGATTTAAATAAGATGTTATGTGGGTGAAAGATTTAATGGCCGTTTTACAAACCCCGGCTTCGTTCCGTCTCTGGTTTAATTCGTGCAGATTGGAAAAGTGTCTGGAGCCGGATCGGAACCAATGCCGGGATTTGAAAAAGGGCAAATTGAGACCGGGGCCGGGGGCCGGGCCGGGGGCGGGCGCGAAAGCACTTGCTAGATGCAATACAAAGAGTTTTTTATGATCTCTTTGTAAAATCCGTATTCTCTGTTGCTCGTATCTGTGTACCTTTCAGGTGGTAATAAGACTAATTTGTGACGGCAGTGCTTGCAATTTAAATACCTAAATGTAGATGAATAAAAAAAAAATTAAAAAACTTTTAAAATTTGGTGAATAACTTGACCCATATTATGTCACCGAATCATTTCAGAGGCCAACAAACCAACTACCTTGCAAAATTATCAAAACGTGATCAGAAAAATCAACTAAAATAACTCAAATACTTAAAAATGCCTTTATGATTTTTAATATTTCCAACGCAGAATGTATGTTCCCTTTAATATTCAGCAAGGGTTAAAGTGAGGGGAAAATATCCTGCAGTCACAGCTGTAACGAAGCCGAGGTTACGAAACACCAAAAGTGGCACCGGTGATTGTGAAGAGCGCCATCTCGTGGTAGAATCTGTATTCGATAATCCAAGATGGCAGCCTACATGGGACGTCCACGCTAAACTGCAAGAAAAGTTACGACCACATTGTTTGGTTTTTCTGCAAGTGCCATCATGGGTGTAGATACTGAGAAGGAGCCAGCTGCTGATGCTGATGTTGCCAAACTGTCTGCACCAATTAAAACTGTCGAGGTACTGTTAAGTTAAACCTTTTAACTTGGTTTTTGACATTATTGACCCCCGGTCATGCCGGTGCCATTTTTGTGTTGTTATGATTTAGATTGTATTGCATCATCATGATGAATGACAAACAAGCAACGTTGTTTTAAGGCAGTGTATATTTTGCCGGAGACGGCAAACCTTTAGTAAACGTTAGTTTGCCGGATATGCACTGAACATGCGCAGTTACTGTTTTTTTGTACTTAAACATTTTCCGGTGAAAAGTTTTAGTCTGGCTCCATGCCAAAATTATCGTTGTTACCTCGTATTCACAAGATGGGATTCAGACCATTTTATAATTTCGGACTTTATTTCCCTTTTAAAAAAAATCCTCCAGAGCCACAAATCTGAAAAAGAAAATGTAATACTCTGCAAAAAATGTTTGAGACATGTTAAAATAATAAAAGAAGAATATTCTTATTTATTTGGGGATGAGAAAAAAAAACTTAAAAATTTGGTGCGATCGGAATCGAACGCGAGTCATCCCGCTTACTAGAGCCTTTGCTTAACCATTACACCAAACGTGCTACACGACATTTGGTGGGAATTTAATACATCTTATAATTCAGCCCTATTTTAAAGAGTACAGCGCCCTCTGTTGATATGGATTGCCGCCGGCAAACCCTTAGTAATCGTTAGTTTGCCGTCATTACCTCCGGCAAAATATCCACTATCTTGTTTTAAAACCTATGCTATGGGGGGCAGTGAGTTCGCCAAAGCTTAATACATTTTTTTCTTTAGTATTTTTCCAAAATTAACTGATCATCGATTCACAAATTAATTAGGCCTAAGCCTAGTACGAAGTAGTAGTATAAATAAGAAATGAGTGTACAGAAAATGTTTGTCCCCCCCAATTTTTTGTTGAAGACATGTCCAAGTTGAATAAAGTTTTGTACTGTGTGTTTGCTAACCCTAACAATTCCCAAATCCTCCAAAACCCTCTTCGCAAAACAGAGGATTTTGCATGCATGACTGAGGCTACGTGGAAAAATGTGTGGCTCATTTTGGAGGATGCACTGTGTTAGGGCTGAGTCAATTCAAATAATTGAATATTCGAATATTCGACCTTCCAATCGATCGAATATTCGAATATTCGGTTATTTGGCCATTCCAAATTCCCTCAAAAGCAAAAATATGCCATACATGTACATGTAGTCAACGTACGTGCGCACGTCAGCATGCCATGCATGATTTCTTCACAGGTAAGTCAGGTATTTGACAACAATCAGTTGTTCTTCAGTCGTCAGTAATTTAAAGATTAAAGGGAATATACAACATTTGCAAACATCGAAAAATAAAACTACCAAGTTTTTGCGAAATACCTTAATAGGATGTTGGTAAATGACAGTCTAAAGCATCCTGTAAAATCATGGCACCTGGTATACTGTCATTTTCAAGAAAAGTGGTATTTTTGTATCAATTTCCAACGCTGATCGGCCGATCAGCGTTGGAAACAACTGGCTTTTTTTTTCAAATACTGGCCCCAATTGACCATTGCACTTGTTTGCAATCGATTACAAACCTATGAACGGGTACGAGCCAGCTAGACTGGTTCCCTGACCTTACAATTCCCAAATGTATGTAAACTGCTCTGTTTCTTCTTATATGGAGTCAGGGAACCAGACTACAGGAAAATGATCGTTTTTCTTGGTTTTTATAGCATTTTCGAACCCAAAACCTCCAAAAAGTTAGTGTAACTATATTTGCTTTATATTTCAAACCCCCCAATTCCATCCATTTCTGAAAATTACAGCAAAAGCAAATGATGTATATTCCCTTTAACAATAACCAGAGAAGCTAGAGTGAAGGATTCCTTGTTTGCATGGGGGACGTATTAAGCCGTGATCCCCAAACACGGCGGGTGGCGTCAGCTATTGTGACTCTCCGACCCTTAACTCGCAAACAGGAACCGAGCATATCTATTACTGGAAGCTTCTTGAAGTCTACAAAACGGTGTACTTCCTAGTCACAGTATTGAGGATGAAAAAAATCACTTTTATAATAATAACTCGCACTTTTGTCACCAAGAATTGAGGAAATGATTTTATATCATTTTAAATAACTTATTCTCAACAACCAAAAACTCCAAGAAAAAAACCTATGATATTTAATGTCTTTATTCAATGAAATATGGGTCTTTGAATTGTAAATGCATATTTAAGTTTATGCAAATAATGGGCGTGGGCGCGGCATACACACGCCCCAGCTTGACATGTGCAAAGCAGTATTTCCTTGTTTGCCCACAGGGGATGTATTATAAGCTGTGTACCCAAAACATGAAGGGTGACATTTCAGCAAAAAAAAAAAAATTGCCGGCCGAGCTCCGGCGGGCGCATTGTTGGCGGGCTAATTAGGGCACAGGTGCGCTGACCCGGTTCTTTTGTCTGGCTAAGTGCGTGCTCTGTAGATAACTTTCTAACAAATAGGCCACTAAAAGGTTTGGATATTCCAACTTGCAACATTTTGATACATTTTGTCTAGCTGTGGTTTTCTATGCTGGGAATCAGGGGTACGGTGCGGTGAGTTGACCGCAAAGTCTGTCTGGCGAAATAAATGAGAGCTCTTTTGAGTTTGAAATCCTCTCTGTTGTCTGCCCTTTTTCTTGCGTTTTGCTCGACTTGGAGGAAATAAGCCAGAGGTTCCCGCTATTATTACTGAAAGTATAATTGCTGAACTAGTTTTTGAAGTGTTTATGTATGTTTTATTTGTGCAAATATTGGGTGCAATTAGCAGACTAACCCAGCGAACAAAGCTGACAGACAGCGAACGAAAATGTGTTCGATAAAAGGGTGCTCTGATCAGTTGAGAGAACTAGATTATTTTGTACATGTACATGTATACGGAGGCATTGAGGCGAACATCGAACAGCCATAATAAATTTACCCCTAAAAGTAAACAAGAAATTCTTTTAGAAAAATCCCAGAGTCCGTAACGTAAATTAACCAAGGTTTTCAAAACGTTTTAAAGTAATGTTGGGGTTCATGACAAGTTTTCTACACCGCCACGTGCTGTGGGCAGCATACTGCGTGCAAGGCGATTCCCTATAACCACGTGCATTCGACACGATTGAACAGGCGATGGAAAACTTTGGGGGGAATTGGCTTCGCTGTATCAGTGTAAATATGTACCGCTTCTTGTGCGACCCTGTGCGAGCAGTACGTCCTCAAAATAAGTACATGAAAACGGAAAATACAAAGGCCCACACAGAGAAAAGAAATCAAGTTCTTTGCATGAGATTGCAGAGGTCTTCTACATCGATGTTGGCATGCCATTTTCGCGATGTCAATAGCCGATCCAGTAAGCCCCTCCCACTGCGCACGTGGGCAAATTAACACGTGCTCCTCTCCAATGCCGCGCTGCATTTTCCTATGCTGCACACATGTACATGTACATGTACATGTAACACCAACGCGCGGGGAAACTTGCCAGGATCGCATCGGGGAAAACAGCGGCAGTTTTCTTTTGAAAGTAGGGATTGTAAGTAGGACAACAACAAACAAAAATACGGACAACGGAAACGTTACTACTCATGCTAGAAGTTTGATATGAAAAGGTGTCAGGAAGTGTTTTGTGAAGACATGAAAGACAAAATGTCTTGTTTATCTTGTCGGAAGCATCAGCGATTGGTGTTGCAGTCCGGCGTTAAAAAAATGGGTTGGCTTTACTGCAAGCACTCCCAAAGCAGAAGTAATATATGTATGGCATTATTGCTTGGCATATATACAAGCTACTTTTATGTTTTTTTTGGCAGCAACTTGAAACTTAACTTTGAGAATACACTTTTGTTGTTAAAAAAAAAGTTTTTTCCACCTTTTTATTTCATTGCATATCACCACCGAATATTCTTATTCGAAAATAAATATTCGAATATTCGATTATCGATCGAATAACCGAATATTCGAATATTCGGCACAGCCCTACACTGTGTCAATCAATATCTTAGGCGGGACCTTAATTGTGTTGTTTATGCTCAGCCGTGCATAAATTCAGGGCTGGATCATTATACTTGAAGTCGTCCGCACTGCTCCAGGATGTCACTGGCTCTGCTTCAGGGAGTTTTGATCATGATTAATTATTTTTGTGTTCTCTTATAGGAAAAATGGAAACTCCTTCCTGCGTTTCTGAAGGTGCGAGGTTTGGTCAGACAGCATATAGATTCCTTCAACTACTTCATCAATGTTGAGGTAATCTCCTTAAGGCCAAAAAAAAAAAGTCTCCGGTTTCTGGTATGCGCGCGCGTCGCCGTAGCCATGAGCGTCGGCAAAATGAAAAAGTTTTTTTTTCAATGAAAGATGATGTCTCAAAACCGCCAAACTCACTGGTTTGACTGGAATCCTGCTGCTGCACAATTTTAACAGGTTTTTAGAAGGGGTTATGATCGAGAATAAGCTTTATGTGGCCTCTCTGGTCTCCCATAATATTTAGTCGGGCACCATTTGCAGTCATCAGCCGACATTTGAAGCAAAAAAAACAGGTAAAAAAAAAAAAAAAGCCATGTCGCCGCACCACTTTTTGGGCAAGCTCCATACTAGAAACCGGAGACTTTTTTTTTTTTAACTTGAACACGTGACAACTTTGAAGCACAATGAGTATCTTATCACTACATAACTAAACAACAGAAATTTGTGTAATTGTAAGTGTAATTTGTGTTTAGAATTATGGCTCATATTTCTACGTAGGTCTTTTATATTAAGATGTTGAATTGAATTATTAAAATGCGTTGCCACAAACCAACTTTTTTTTTTATATTTCTAGATCAAGAAGATTATGTTGGCCAATGAGAAGGTTATGAGTGACGCCGATCCCAATTTCTACATGAAGTAAGTGCACTTTCTATCCATTCAAAAAATCATGCAAAAAAACATCAATCTGTTTCACAATCCTCTATTGTGAAGGGAAAGGATTGCTGGATTTGTACAGAATCTTTCACATTATCCATACTCCTGCGTGGAAAGAGGGAATTGTAGTGAAGTGTCTTGCCCAAGAACACAAGCACCATGTTCCCCTGTCAGCTTGGGAATCCATGTGCTATGGGTAAAGTGTCTTGCCCAAGAACACAAGCACCATGTTGCTGTCAGGGTTCAAACTGATACACCGTTGCACGTGTTGAACACTGTAACCATTGGACCACGATGATCTACATTTATCAACTTTCCGATTTTTTATTTCAAGGTATCTCAACATTTATGTCGGAACGCCAGATGTTGAGGAGAGTTTCAACATCACTAAGCCGATATCTCCTCATGAATGCCGTCTGCGAGATATGACCTACTCCGCACCCATCACAGTAGATGTGGAATACACTAGAGGATCACAGAGAGTCATAAGAAACAATTTACCTATTGGAAGGTATGTGGAATTCCTTCACAAGCCAATCACAAGCCTTTTACAAGTCTATCATAAGTCTATCACAAAGTGATCACAAGTCTATCACAAGTCCATCACAAGTCCAACACAAGTCTATCACTAGTCAATCACAAGCCCATCGCAAGTCTATCACAAGTCCATCACAAGTCTATCACAGAGTGGTCACAAGTCCATCAAAAGTCCATTACAAGTCATTTACAAGTCAATCACAAGCCTATCACAAGTCAATCACAAGTCAATCACAAGTCCATCACAAGTCAATCACAAGTCCATCACAAGTCCATCACAATCTATTACAAGTCCATTTTAAGTCCATCACAAGTCCATCACAAGTCCATCACAAGTCCATCACAAGTCAATCACAAGTCCATCACAAGTCCATCACAATCCATTACAAGTCTATTTTAAGTCCATCACAAGTCTATCACAAGTCCTAACAAGTCAATCACAAGCCTATCACAAGTCAATCACAAGTCAATCACAAGTCAATCACAAGTCCTAACAAGTCAATCACAAGCCTATCACAAGTCAATCACAAGTCTATCACAAGTCATCACAAGTTCACCACAAGTCCATCACAAGTCATCACAAGTCCATCACAAGTCCATCACAAGTCTATCACAAGTCTATCACAAGTCTATCACAAGTCCATCACAAGTCCATCACAAGTCATCACAAGTCCATCACAAGTCCATCACAAGTCCATTCAAAATTGTGATTGACTTGTGTGGACTTTTTATGGACTTGTTATGACTTTATGGGACTTGTGATGGACTTGTGATAGAATCAAATCGAAACTGGTTTGGTAAAACCCCATAATTTAATGTGATTGTGATTATTCTGTGTCATAGGATGCCAATCATGTTGAGAAGTTCCAACTGCGTCTTGAATGGGAAGAGCCCCGCTGAGCTAGCAAAACTCAACGAATGCCCCCTAGACCCAGGGGGCTACTTCATCTGTAAAGGCGTGGAGAAAGTCATCTTGATCCAGGAACAACTGTCCAAGAATAGAATGATAGTAGAGTCCAGCAAGAAAGGTGGTGTCACATGCAATGTTACCAGGTATGTTCATCCTAACCCTAACTCTACCTCTAACCTTGGGGTATTTTGGCTAGATACCCTGCCAAACGCAGCAACATGCAACATTTGTCTAAGTGACAAGCCTGCCCAGTGCAGCAAGATCCATCAGGTCAAAAGTCTCAAGGCCAAACTGCCTCAGAGTCTGTGCTCACCGCATGCAGCAGGACACAACTGTGTCCTTGTTCAATGGGACTAGCTCTTGTTGTCTCAGAATTGGCTGTTTATGCACTGGTGTAGCAAGGTCCCACAGACTTTTACACCTGATGCACTGTGTTGCACCTGCCAGGGTTTTGGGGTAATGCAAAGTTTTGGCATTTTTTCAAGCAATATTGACATTGATTTTTTTTATCGATGACCTCAAGCTAACAGAATTCAAGCTTCATGTATGTCTTCATTTTTTCTTAGTTCAACTCATGAGAAGAAGAGTCGAACCAACGTCATCCTCAAGAAAGGACGTCACTTCCTCAAACACAACACCATGTCAGAGGTGGGCAAATGACATAGGCTTTGGATTTCTCTGCACGAGAAGCGAAGAGAATTGATTCCAAAATAAATATTGGAAAGCTGAGTCCACTTTTTTTGGGGGGGGGGGGGGGAATTGAGTCTCATAAATGGCTTTAATCTAGTTCCATAACAGTCAGAGAGTAAGCAATCTAATGTGCCCTCACAGGTACTCATTTGTACTCCTGGGTGGAAAGAGGCAATTGTAGTGTCTTACCTAAGAACACAAGCATTGAAGAGAATTGAACCAATCCTTTCAGGAATTGAACCCACGTGCCTTGGGTAAAGTGTCTTGCCCAAGAACACAAGCACCATTTCAACTTATTAGGGTTTGTACCCATATACCATGGGTAAAGTGTCTTGCCCAAGAACACAAGCACCATGTTCCCCTGTCAGGGTTTGAACCCATGTGCCATGGGTAAAGCGTCTTGCCCAAGAACACAAGCACAATGTTCCCTTGTCAGGGTTTGAACCCATGTGCCGTGGGTAAAGTGTCTTGCCCAAGAACACAAGCACCATGTTCCCTGTCAGGGTTTGAACCCATGTGCCGTGGGTAAAGTGTCTTGCCCAAGAACACAAGCACCATGTTCCCTGTCAGGGTTTGAACCCATGTGCCACGGGTAAAGTGTCTTGCCCAAGAACACAAGCACCATGTTCCCTGTCAGGGTTTGAACCCATGTGCCGTGGGTAAAGTGTCTTGCCCAAGAACACAAGCACAATGTTCCCCTGTCGGGGTTTGAACCCATGTGCCATGGGTACAGTGTCTTGCCCAAGAACACAAGCACCATATCCCCCTTTCAGGGTTTGAACCCATGCGGCGTGGGTAAAGCGTCTTGCCCAAGAGCTCAAGCTCCATGCTCCCAGGCAGGGATCGAAACCACAAACAAGCGCACACGATTCAGACACCGCGATTGTACATTGGTTCAAAGCCTGCCAATGAGCATTGGGCTTGTGTTCTTGGGCAAGACACTTTACCACAACACATGTGAACGGATTTTCCTTGTCGTTTAACAGGACATCCCTATTGTGGCAGTCTTCAAAGCCATGGGTATGGAAAGCGATCAAGAGATCGTCCAAGTCATCGGAGTTGAGGAGAACACGATGGCAGTATTCGCACCCAACTTGGAAGAGTGTCATAGACTACAGATATACACACAGACGCAGGTAAATGATTCGTGGCGTTTTTGAACACTGGTTGGTTCCAAAAACCCATGGACCATGTCACAACAGACAATCGTTTTTTTATATCGTGGTATATCAGAGGACTAGAATCCTCATTGTATCCCACTGACTGACTGTAGTTTGTGAAAGACAGCCGGGCAGTGCTATTGTATAGGATTACCCTATGACAAAATACGGCCAACTGTGCACACCACATGCGTGAAAGTACCAACAGTGAATAGCCATTCTGAATCAGTACGGGCGATTCCCAATACAGTGCGCCACCAAGAGTTTGCCACGGAGAGTCCATTTTCAACTTGACTGTCGCCAAAAACATGGCCGACTTGCCACCGTTTGAACAAATGTCAGATAACTAGAGGAAATTTTTGATGGATTGGGGCATACCACTAGCATTCTGCCATCTCAAAAAAACAAACCACCAGTTCGATAAAAAAAAAAATCATATTCGAATCAAATGCTTACGAAACTACTGACCGGACAAACTTACAATTTTAAGCGTCCTTGCGCCACAGCGAATTTGTCGACCGTCTCCCACAATGCGCTGCGAAAAAAGGACTCTCCGTGGCAAACTCTTGGCGCACTGTATTGGGAATCACCTACATTGAATAGAAATTCATGACTACATATATAAGAAAAGATTGTAACAACTAATCCAGGAAATGTCAATTTTTTTATCATTAGAAACCGTGTAGCGTTGAGTCCATGCTTGAACTGTACACGTCTGCATTGGACTAACTCAGCTCCCTAATATAAAAGTTTCCTAAAAATGTGGTAGTGAATTTAACGTTCATTGTGAAGTGTCTTTATTTTTTTTACAGGCCCTGAAGTATATCGGAAGTAAAGTGAGACAAAAGCGCATGTGGGGCGGAGCAAAACGGAGCAAAATTGACGAAGCGAGGGAGATTTTAGCAACCACAGTACTAGCCCATGTACCCGTAAGTACCATATCTACGAGCTTGGTTGGCAAAAAACTTTCCAGAAATCAGCCACACGCATGTTACAGCACGTGGCCTTCGTGGGCCACGCATATATTTATTTGAATAATGCATGGAAAATCTATGCATTATTTAACGAATATCATCATAAAGAACTTTTAAAAGTGTGTCCACGGGCACACATTTTTTATTACACCACCTTCAATTGTCGTTTCTTTAGAATGGTCCCATCAGTATCATCAAATTTTTAAAAACTGTGTCCGCGGGCACACTTTTTATATAACTCCACCTTCTACTGTCGTTTCTTTCGAATGTTACCATCAATATATAAAATTTTAAAAAGTGTGTCCGCGGGCACACCTTTTAAAAAAAACACCTTCAATTGTCGTTTCTTTCAAATAATACCATCAATATCAAATTTTTAAAAAGTGTGTCCACAGCCACACTTTTTTTTATAACACCACCTTCAGTTGTCGTTTCTTTCAAACGATGCCATCAATATCAAATTTTTAAAAAGTGTGTCCAAGGGCACACTTTTTTTTTACAAGTGTTTGGACATGTACCTTTAAATTCAACAAATCTGATGTAATGTTCCCTTTTTGCTGAACGTTGTAGGTCGTTCAATTCAACTTCAAACCTAAATGCATTTATCTGGCGTTGATGGTTCGTCGTGTGATCCAGGCCCAGGGAGATGCGGTCAAAGTCGACGATAGAGATTACTATGGCAACAAGAGACTTGAATTGGCCGGGCAGGTACGTCGACTTTTTGCTGGTCCCAGAGGGCCAGCCTATTGTATTTGTTGTACCTCTATGACTCACTGTCACTTGTGAGTCGGGCAGTGCTATTGTATAGGATTACCTGTAATAGCAATGAATGGGCTAAATCTGGCCATTGTGTGGAAAGATGCATGCAAAGACTTCCAGAAAATAGCCATTCTGAATCAATTGAGTAGAATTGTATGCACTCTGGGACCAGCTTTACTAGACTTGCCTTGCCTTGTTAAAGTTTAAAATGAAATTGACTGGAGCGGGGTTTGAACCTGTGACCTCCGGATTGCCGTTCCGGTGCTCTACCAACTGAGCTATCAGCCCTATGTTGGCGGTTCCCCATTTTGTCAATGTCTTTGTTCAAGGGGCGCTAGTCAGAAGCCATCAACCCATACCAGTATTTGCCATGTAGCCAGGGATCATGCCCAAAGTCACGATGCTAGCAACATTAGCAATGCTGCAAACCTAGGAAATAGCAAACGGGGATCACTCAAAGAGGATACAGCTTCATGGTTTATATAAAAATTTAAATTTCTCTCCTTTTATTTGCATTCTTAGGAATTTGAGGTTTATGTATTTGGTGTCATTTTTAAATTTGTGGATATTGATATCATAAATGAGAAATGTTTATGAAGATGTTATTTGTTTTTAGTTGATAGCACTGCTCTTCGAAGATTTGTTCAAGAAATTCAACAGTGAGTTGAAGAAGATCGCTGACCAGACGATTCCCAAACCTCGAGCTGCGCAGTTTGACATCGTCAAGCATATGAGACAGGATCAGATCACCAATGGCTTGATTACGGCTATATCAACGGTGAGATCATCATAAAACTAGTTAACAAATCAATAACCCTAGTTAGCCCACCATTAATCCCAGATAACCCGTCACTTAATCTAGTGAGCCCATCACTAACCCTAGTTAAAACATTGCTAACCCTAGTTAACCCATCACTAACCCCTAGTGAAATATACCCCCGGTATGAGACAGGATCAGATTTACCAATGACCTGATTACAGCTATATCAACTGTGAGATTATTGGTCATATAAACTACTTAACCCATCACTAACCCTAGTTAACCCCTCACAAACCCTAGTTAACAATCACTAATCCTAATCAAACATATGAGACAGGATCCGATTACCAATTGGCCTGATAAACACTACATCAAACAGTGAGATTATCAGTCATAGAAACTACATTTCGTCGCGTCAGTACAACAAGGTCATAACTCCATTCTGCAACATAGTCGTATCTCACGCGAATACGCTCCGTGCAACAAAGTCATATCTTGACGTCCATTGACTTTGTGTGCACATCCTTGTTATTTTACATGAGATACGACCTTTTGACATTCTAAAACTTGTGTTTCACGTCCGGCCCATTTTAGGAAATATTACCTTGTTGCACAGACACGATGATGTATAAAAATAATTGTATTAAAATGTTTTTCAGGGTAACTGGTCAGTCAAGCGTTTCAAGATGGATCGTGCTGGAGTGACTCAAGTACTGTCCAGATTATCCTACATCTCATGTCTGGGAATGATGACAAGAATATCAAGCCAGGTAGGCTTATAGATGCATTGTGATGGACTTGTGATTGACTTGTGATGGACTTGTGATTGACTTGTGATGGACTTGTGATGGACTTGTGATTGACTTGTGATTGACTTGTGATGGACTTGTGATGGACTTGTGATTGACTTGTGATTGACTTTTGATTGTGATGGACTTGTGATGGACTTGTGATGGACTTGTGATTGTCTTGTGATTGACTTGTGATTGACTTGTGATTGACTTGTGATTGACTTGTGATTGACTTGTGATTGACTTGTGATTGTCTTGTGATGGACTTTCGATGGACTTGTGATTGACTTGTGATTGACTTAATGAACTACATTACATCTCTATATTTGTTGTATTTCAACACAGTTTGAAAAGACCAGGAAAGTGAGCGGTCCACGGTCCTTGCAACCATCACAGTGGGGCATGTTGTGTCCATCGGACACGCCAGAAGGAGAGGTCAGTTTCAGGATCATTTGCTCTTTGTGGGTTTTTGGTTCATTTTGAAGCAACAAAAATTGCTCAAAATCTTAAGTAGGGTACAAACAACTAACATGTTGAAGTTTCAGCTCAGTGGATACTATACATTTTGAGAAAACAGAGAAAAAAATATGCAAAATTTGTTGGGGTCGGTAACTAGATTCTGTAGGCATCGCAAAAGTGTGCCAGTGGACAAACTTTTTAAAACCACTTCCAAGATTGTTATCTTTCAAATGATATTACATTTCAGTTGAAATAGTTTCACTGGGTAATTTGATACCAGTCTAGTTATTTTATCTTCACTTTTAGCAAGATTTCTGTCAATTAACCCTCCTGCTGTTTAAAAGGTCACTTCCTTCCACTTCCCCTGGTGTACTTGTAACAAACCAATGGGTCACTTGAACAATATTGACCCAAGTAACAGCATGGCTCAGAATGCATGTTTGCATAGGAGGGTTTTAAATTAAATTTGTAGGTACTTGGTGAAAATTGCAAAAGGTCCTACTGTACACTTGGGCATTTCCAGCGGTGTGAATGGAATTGTACTGTCCGTGACAGAGCCAATTAACCATGATATCTCATTAATGATTCAGAGAAATGATCCAAAACTCCTAGTCTGTAATCTCCTTGACCATTACTAGATGATGGATGTATAGATTTGAAAAAAATTCAGGTTGATTCACTGAGCTCTTAAAAGATCTATCCCAGACATTTAATAATGTTGGAATTGCCCACTTTTGTCCTACATGCCTTCAAGAAAGTATAGCATTTTAGGACAAACGAAATAGGAAGATTTTTGTTTATTTTCAGGCATGTGGACTTGTGAAAAATCTTGCCCTAATGACGCACATCACCACAGACATGGAAGAGCAACCCATCGTCCAGTTAGCTTTCAACCTCGGCGTCGAAGACATCAGTCTATTGTCAGGCGAAGAGCTGAGTTCTCCATACACCTACCTGGTTTTCTTGAATGGAAACATCCTCGGAGTCATCTGTGATCACAAGAAGTTGGTTCGGACGTTCCGCATGATGCGGCGCGCCGGTTACGTCAACGAGTTTGTTTCCATCTTTGCAAATCATTCGCAACGGACAGTCTACATCGCGTCAGACGGCGGCCGCGTTTGCAGGTGAATTGTCAGCTTTTTTATTCTATTAGCCCTAACCCCCGTCAGGTTCTCTTCAGGTACCATGCTGAATGCAACCCAGCTGAAATGAGAACCATGCTAAATGTGACATAATCCAACACATCTAAAATGAGAATCTTGCTTATTGCAACAAAATGCAGCACAGCTAAAATGAGAACCCTTTTAAATGCAACAACATGCAACACAGCTGAAACGAGAACCCTGCTAAATACAACAACATGCAACGTAGCTGAAATGAGAACCCTGTTAAATATAACTACATATGCAACCCAGCTGAAATGAGAACCCTGATAAATGCAACAACATGCAACGTAGCTGAAATGAGAACCCTGTTAAATATAACTACATATGCAACCCAGCTGAAATGAGAACCCTGATAAATGCAACAAAATGCAACACATCTGAATTGAGAACCCTGCTAAATACAACACAGCTGAAATGCGAACCCTGATAAATGCAACAACATGCAATACAATAAAATGAGAACCCATCTCTGTGTATTTGAAGTTTTTTAAAAGGTTTTTCTTGTAAAAAGTTTATTTGACGATGTTTTCCACACAGACCGTACATCATAGTTCAGAATGCTCGGCCCAAAGTGACCAACCAACACATGCAAGAACTGAATCAAGGAATCCGCAGCTTTGAAGATTTCCTTGGAGATGGACTGGTGGAGTATCTGGATGTAAACGAAGAAAACGACTGTCAGATAGCGCTGTATGAATCCTTCATCACCAGGTTAGTGCTTTGGTTACTGAGTAGTTAGTGGTTTGGTTAATAGTTTAGTAGTTAGTGGTTTGGGTTAGATAGAAGATTTCCTTGGAGATGGACTGGTGGAGTATCTCGTTGTTAACGAAGAAAACGACTGTCGGATAGCGCTGTACGAATCCTTCATAACCAGGTTAGTGCTTTGGTTACTGAGTAGTTAGTGGTGTGGTTAATAGTTTAGTAGTTAGTGGTTTGGGTTAGATAGAAGATTTCCTTGTAGATGGACTGGTGGAGTATCTCGATGTAAACGAAGAAAACGACTGTCGGATAGCGCTGTACGAATCCTTCATTACCAGGTTAGTGCTTTGGTTACTGGGTAGTTAGTGGTTTGGTTAATAGTGTAATAGTTAGTGGTTTGGATTAGATAGAAAATTTCATTGGAGATGGACTGGTGGAGTATCTCAATGTAAACGAAGAAAACGACTGTCAGATAGCACTGTACGAATCCTTCATAACCAGGTTAGTGCTTTGGTTACTGAGTAGTTAGTGGTTTGGTTAATAGTAGTTAGTGGTTTGGTTAATAGTTTAGTAGTTAGTGGTTTGGGTTAAATAGAAGATTTCCTTGGAGATGGACTGGTAGAGTATCTCGATGTAAACGAAGAAAACGACTGTCAGATAGCGCTGTATGAATCCTTCATAACCAGGTTAGTGCTTTGGTTACTGAGTAGTTAGTGGTTTGGTTAATAGTAGTTAGTGGTTTGGTTAATAGTGTAATAGTTAGTGGTTTGGATTAGATAGAAAATTTCATTGGAGATGGACTGGTGGAGTATCTCAATGTATATGAAGAAAACAACTGTCGGATAGAGCTGTATGAATCCTTCATAACCAGGTTAGTATTAAGACCATTTCAGTCGGTCTTTTTTTGTCTTTGTTAAGGCTCGTACCCAGAAGGGGTTCGTGGAGTCTGATGTTTAGAATTATATAACCAACATACAGATCCTTGTCATTTGATTGGTGGAACCTACATCATGTGATATTCGTTATTGCTCCCATTCACGCCGGGGCTCAAAAAGTCCCATTTGCCCATGGGGAATGGGAAATACTATTCAACAGTTAGGATCATTCTTGTTCCATGACACGGTTTTGTGTGCAAATGCATACTGGTGAGCGCGTTCAGCGTTGCGCGTAGCGCGTATTGTTCCAAAGAGCCAGCGCTACAGAGTTGGGTTTAAACATTTTCGTGAAGGGGTGGTTTGGAAGAGAGAAATACATTTTCCACCAATTTTGTTTTGAAATAAAAGTTCAAACAATATCAAATGACAAAGATCTATGTCAGTTATATTAAACAAATATTGAGTGGCTTTAAATTGTGAAATGGGAGGAATATTATGGCTCTGTAAAATCTGGACTTTTTTAGTTTATTCGGCTTCGCCTAGTGAAATGGAAAAGTCCAGATTTTACCTTTCGATAATATTTCTCCAAATTCACTCCGAGCCACTCAATAGTTGTATACTAATACCCACTAATGTAGTGTTTGATCGTTTTTCTGTTGTATTTTTCACAGTGAGACGACCCATTTAGAGATCGAACCGTTTACCATCCTGGGTGTGTGCGCTGGGCTCATCCCCTACCCACACCACAACCAGTCACCCAGAAACACGTACCAATGTGCCATGGGCAAGCAGGCAATGGGTAAGTCACATGACTTCAGAAGTCACATGACCCTCAGAACGGCGTTCCGGAGTCGCGCCAAACCAAATTATTTGCGAAGATTTGGAATGGGTAGATGAAAAGTTACGGCCACTTCATACTGAAATAAGTGAAGTCACACAGCAAGTACACGCAGTCTTGTTTTACTATACTCTCGAGGACAAGGCTTTGTGTTTTCCTTTGTCCCTATAATATAACACTCTCCCATAGACTAAGCACACACGCACTAATGATCAAGGACCGTTGCCAACAAAAGACGAACACTCGAGGACAACAAATAATCTGTTGTTCTCCCTTTGTCTGCCTGTCTGTCTGTCTTCGGGGTGTTTGTAGTACATGTACATTTATCTTTGAGTAATCTTAAATCCTCGATCCTGATTTGTCGATCCATGGCAACAAGCCGTGCTACATATAACCATGTAACACGGCCACGGTCCATACCGCACTCCATGCATTGGGCTATTTTAAGATGTGCGCGCCATTCCGTACAAACACGCATAGGATAACTGCTAAAAAGTTTTTAGTGCGTCAAGTTGCTTGAAGATAAATTCATTATCGCGCTCGTGCTCGTAGCACACGGAATAATGTAGTTCGTCTGTGTCCCACTTACCACGAGGCCTTCATTGTCAAGTTTCTTTTAATTTGTGATAGGAACCATCGCCTACAACCAGCGGAATCGCATCGACACCCTGATGTACCTACTGGCATATCCACAAGCGCCTCTCGTCAAATCAAGGGTATATTTGCAAATTTGTTAATACATTTTGTACCCCTCAAGAAGTTTTGTACATTTTTGCAACCGTGAGATGTTCTGCCAAAATGAGACAGAACTGGGCAGAGGTCGAAATGAGGGTTTGCGGATATTAGGAAAAGGAAATGTCCTATTCAATTGGACATTCCGTTGACAAGTTATGGCTGTTTAAAGTTCGCATTTATTGACATGTCATAAATAGTGAAATACTGAGAAAAAGCCTTTAAAGTTATGACTGTCTTGTAGTCGTTAAAATGAAAGATGCCAATTGTCTTTCCTTTAAAAACAGTTTTAACCCATAATTTTATATTTTATTTTTTTAAAATAAGTGTAGTAGACATATTAACGATTACAAATATTAATATATATACATCAGCGGGCTCTGCAGTCATTCTCAAAATGCTCTCAATAATTTAAAAGTTGAAAAAAAATTGACTGGAGTGGGGTTTGAACCTGGGACCTCCGGATTGCCATTTGCAGTGCTCTACCAACTGAGCTATCCAGCCCTATGTTGGTGGTTCCTTTTTTTTCAATGTCTTATTCAAGGGCGCTAGTCAGAAGCCATGAATGTAATCGTAAAATTAATAATGATTTTATTTGTGCTGTTTTTTTTTTCAGACGATCGATCTGATCGGCTTCGATAAAATCCCAGCCGGCCAGAACGCAATTATAGCCGTAATGAGCTACAGCGGTTATGATATTGAGGACGCACTCATCTTGAACAAAGCATCCGTAGATAGAGGTACTTATTCATTTATTTTTTGGAGCATCAAATTTGTGGTCTGCGGGTAATTCTGCAGGTTGTGGGTTTGAGTCCAGCCTGGGGTCATGGTGCGTGTGCCCTTGGGCAAGGCACTTTGTCACTCATTGCTTCTCTATCCAGGAGTAAATGGGTACCTGTGAGGGCAGAGATGGTTATTGTGATTGACTTTTGTGTCGAAATGGCTGCATCGAGCTGTATACTCCCCAGAGAGCTGAGATTGTCTATGAATGGTTTCATTTTTGCAGGTGTCGGACGTTGTCTGGTATATCGCAATCAGAAGTGCACACTGAAACGCTACGCCAATCAGACATATGATCGTATGATGGGTCCGATGCTAGACGCAGCTACTAAGAAACCAATATGGAGACATGAAGTGCTGGACTTGGATGGCATATGTGCGCCAGGTATGTACAATAAAAATAGATGTATGATACCAAGTGTGAAATTCTTCGACTTGCTGAAAAATATTAAAGAGTTGGTGACATTATTTTTACGCTGGACCATGTTTTGTCCAATTTTTCATTTTTCAGAAATATTGCAAATTGTGAGACATTCTTTTTTTGGTAAAAATATTTGTAAAGTGCAATTTTTTATAATATCAAAATTGTTCCATGCTTTTCCTGACAACTGAGGGCGCTGTTGCAATCACCTGCAGTCAAAGCATAGCTGCATCAAGTTAAATAAATAGTCACAGCCAGTCAATCCTGTTTATGTAGTTTGGGAGCTCTTAATTGTTGAAAACAGTCACTTGATTGATTTTGACTGAAAAAGGACAAATTTGCACAGAATGTATGTTTGCATGTTAGCTTAAAAAATTGTTGACTTGTTGACCATGTTATGATCCATAGTTGTAAATTTTTATTGATTTATTTTGTTCCGTATTTCAGGAGAGCGCGTGAAGAACAAGCAAGTCCTGTTGAATAAATCCATGCCGGTTGTCACCATGAACCCGTTGCCTAGTAACGCCACCGGTGAACAGCAAGCCGAGTACCGGGATGTGCCTATAACGTAAGGTTTTATTCATCATATGTTTTGTACAAATATGTTAATTTTGTTCTGTGTGTTCAGAAAGGGAATATAAACATTTGCAAACATCAAAAACAAAACTACCAAATTATTATGAAATATCTTACTGGACTGTTAGTGAATGACAGTCTAAAGCATCCTGTAAAATCATGGCACCTGGTGTGCTGACATTTTCAAGAAATTTGTATTTTTGTATCAATTTCCAATACTGGTCAGCTGACCAGTGTTAAAAAACGGGCTTTTTTCAAAGACTGCCCCAATTTACCATATTTAGTTAGTCTGCATTTTGTTTGCAATCGATTACACACCTTTGAAACGTATACAAGCAAGCTAGACTGGTTCCCTGACCTTACAATTCCCCGACGTCTATAAATTGCTCCGTTTCATCTTAAAGTAGGGTTTAACCCTGAAAATCTACCAATAATTTATATATGAACCATTTCTTAGTTCCGTCTGATTTTGCAAGATCACATTATGTAATTTATTTATTTTTCAGCTTCAAAGGTGCTCAGGATTCCTACATTGAGAAGGTTCTGATCACCTCAAATCCTGAAGAAGCTTTCTTGATCAAGGTGCTACTCAGACAGACCAGAATACCAGAGATTGGCGATAAATTCAGCAGTCGCCATGGACAGAAAGGGTAAGCCAACACTGATTTTTGGCAGGAACTTTTAATTTTGTGAATGCACACCAGGGACGTTGGTGTTTGTGCCCCTGGGCAAGACACTTGACTACAATTGCCTCTCTCCACTCAGGAGTACAAATGGGTACCTGTGAGGGTTGAGGACCGAATGTATGCTGATATCGTGGCCTGATGAACGAGGAATAATTGTATTTTTTTTCTCAACAGTGTATGTGGCTTGATCGTTCAGCAGGAAGATATGCCCTTCAATGATCTGGGAATGTGCCCTGATATCGTAAGTAAACACGTCTCACTTTTCAGCTTAACACTCAAAATCTTGGGTGATAATTTGCTCATGAATATGAATTTACTTCTGCAGATTATGAACCCTCACGGATTTCCGTCTCGGATGACTGTCGGCAAACTCATTGAGCTGCTGGCCGGCAAAGCGGGGCTCCTGAAAGGAAAGTTCCATTATGGAACGGGTAAGTTACACTCCTCTTTAATAAGTTGGAAGAAGGAAGCATGTGCAGATCCGGACCAGTTGCTTTCAGCTTTGTTCAACTTTTCCACCTAAGAGTTGCTGATAGACTGAGTGTGTGAATTGAATGTGATCAGGTGGGAGTTGAACTCACGACCTCCTGCTTACTAGCACAGATGTCTGACCAACGAAAGATTCACAGTTTTCACTGCAGTACAACTTCAGATTTTATACTCTTCTCCAACTTGCTAATGATCGTTAATAGTTTATGGATTTTGCATTTTGCACATTCTTTTTTGCAGCATTTGGCGGCGACAAAGTTGTCGACATCTCTCAGGATCTCATCAGTCATGGCTTCAACTATCTAGGCAAGGACTATGTCACGTCAGGCATCACAGGGTAAATTCTTTGGGCACTTATAGATCCATCGGATTTAAGACCCCCGTGTAACCCCTTTAGTTCTTATCTTCACCTGTCCACTCCGTTCACAAGTACCCCCTCACCGGCAAAGAAAGTACGGTTGGGGGTGTCCGACCGACGCCATCTTGCCTGACTGCAATTTTGTGCAGAGAAGCGCAAAGCGCGGCCACTGCGTGTAGTACAAATCCCAGCAGGACGCATCGCAGCTGCGACGCATCGTAGGGATAAGACGCGTTTTATAAAATCGGGTGCAGGTGTACGTGCGTCACACACAAGGAACAGTGCACGTCAACCAGCGAAATGTCCCGCCCATGGGACGTCGTTGCTAGGTGAAAGGGCGCCCTCTTTGGTTGGTGCACGGAGCCCATATGGAAGGATTTCTAATTTATTTTTAAAAAATGGAACCCATGGAAGTTATAGAGCGTTGTTTGGTGAACTACTTTGTTCCCTTAAGAAACATAAGAAAAGCAGCGCCCTCTATTGACATAGCCAGAAACAGTTTGCACAAAATGAGTGCAGGCTATGATACTTTTTTTTAAGTTATATCCCAGCTTTTGTCATTATTTCTCAACAGGATGCCAAAAATTCTTCATTACAGTTTTGTTCAATTAGAAATTATCAGGTTTTATGTTCGCAGGTTATTTATTTACTACATAAAAATTGATCGGTACATTAAACCCTAGATCGAAATAGTTTTGTGAACCTTATCTCAGGGTAACATTTTCAGTTCTGCTCCCACAATTTTTTGGGGGAAAAAAAATTATTTTAAAAAAGTTGGCCATTTAGTGAGGTGACTGTTGGTGACTAGCCTGCTTAAAAGGCATGGCAGTTCAACAGGATTGAATTTTGACTGTCTGTGACTTATCAAACCAAAGGAGGATTAATATATTCTTCTTTTTAACTTTTTGGGGGGTTTTCTTGTTGCAGAGAGCCATTGAGTGCCTACATCTACTTTGGTCCAGTGTACTACCAGAAACTCAAACACATGGTGCTGGACAAAATGCATGCCAGGGCCAAGGGACCTCGCGCTGTGCTGACGAGACAACCGACAGAAGGGCGATCTAGGTAAGCTCGTATCCGACAAAACTTGTGACCTGTTCTCGTAAAATGAGACGGTACTGGCACAGGCCGTATTGGAGAAAAATGCAAAAATCCAAATAGGGTTGATTTTATTTTTTAATTTTCAGATGTGTTGATAGTTGTAATCTTTGATATGTCTACTCAAAAAATTTTCAGAAATAATGTAAAAATTGCGGAATAAATATTTTTAAGGAACATTTTTGCATTTTTTGTTTGTGAGACTTACAAAACAGTTGAAACATTAAAGGCCTTTTTCTCGGTATTTTACTTTTTTGACGTGTTGATAAATGCGAACTTTTATAAACAGCCGTAACTTGTCAATGGAATGTCTGATTGAAGTACAACAAACAGTATTGTAAGGAGAATTTTATTCTCTTTCCTAATACCCACAAATCCTCATTTCGTCCTCTGCCCAGTTCTGTCTCATTTTGTTTTCATTTTATTTCAATCATCTAATTTTTAGCCACATGTCAACAAAAGACTGGCGCCGCATAAAATGGATTCAATTCACTGTGTGATTCACTGTGCAGTACCAGGTCCCAGACTAGCTTCAGAATAATACGCAAAGCGATCTTTTGCACCCAGGCATTTTGAAGAAAGTTTTGAAAAAAGTTGTGACTGGAATTAAGACTAGTGCTCCAACAGTTTGATTTTTGAGGACCAAGATTTTGTTCCCTGAAATTCCTTTGCGTGGGAATTTCATTAAAAAAAACACAGCAAATTTCAAAGGTATAGTTGTGTTAACATTTGCATTCTATATTTTGACAAACTTTCCAACTATTATCATTTCCTTGGTTATGCGAATTTCGAGCCCGAATGGGTTCTTACTCTTGAGCGTACCCCTTTAATCTTCCTCTCTGATTGATTTGATGCCATGCAGAGATGGTGGATTGCGACTTGGCGAGATGGAACGTGACTGTCTGATTGGCTACGGTGCTAGCATGCTGCTACTGGAGCGGCTGATGATCTCTAGCGATCAATTCCAAGTAGATGTGTGCGGAAAGTGTGGACTGCTAGGCTACTCAGGATGGTAAGTAGAAAAGTCCAGTCCCCATCCCACCCCCACCCCCAGCCCCCCTGCCCCACCCCCAGCCCAACCCTACCCCCAGCCTCACCCTCACCCTCTTCCCAACACCACCCCAACCCCATCCCCACCCCATGTGTTTGACTTGTGATTGACTTGTGATTGATCTGTGATTGATCTGTGATTGACCTGTGATTGACATGTGATTGACTTGTGATTGACTTGTGATGGACTTGTGATTGACTTGTGATTGACTTGTGATTGACTTGTGATTGACTTGTGATTGACTTGTGATTGACTTGTGATTGACTTGTGATTGACTTGTGATTGACGTGTGATTGACTTGGGATTGACTTGTGATTGACTTGTGATTGACTTGTGATTGACTTGTGATTGACGTGTGATTGACTTGTGATTGACTTGTGATTGACTTGTGATGACTTGTGATTGACTTGTGATTGACATGTGATTGACATGTTATTGACATGTGATTGACATGTGATTTACTTGTGATTGACTTGTGATGACTTGTGATTGACTTGTGATTGACTTGTGATTGACGTGTGATTGACTTGTGATTGACTTGTGATTGACTTGTGATTGACATGTGATTGACATGTGACTGACTTGTGATTAACTTGTGATTGACTTGTGATTGACGTGTGATTGACTTGTGATTGACTTGTGATTGACTTGTGATTGACATGTGATTGACATGTGACTGACTTGTGATTAACTTGTGATTGACTTGTGATTGACATGTGATTGACATGTGACTGACTTGTGATTAACTTGTGATTGACTTGTGATTGACATGTGATTGACATGTGACTGACTTGTGATTAACTTGTGATTGACATGTGATTGACTTGTGATTGACTTGTGATTAACTTGTGATTGACTTGTGATTAACTTGTGATTGACTTGTAACTGACTTGTGATTGACTTGTGATGACTTGTGATGACTTGTGATTAACTTGTGATTGACTTGTGATGCCTTGTGATTGACATTATGTGATTGACATGTGATGACTTGTGATGACTTGTGATGACTTTTGATTGGCTTATGACTAGCTTATGACGGTTGTTCTTTTCTTTATCTGTTTCCAGGTGTCATTACTGCAAGTCTTCAAGCAGCGTATCATCTCTACGCATCCCCTACGCCTGCAAACTCCTCTTCCAAGAAATGCAATCCATGAACATCGTGCCTCGCCTCAAACTCCAGAAATACACCGAATAACGCATGTAATGTATGATATGCAACGACCTTCCAAAACAATGCAGGTCATATCAATGGACTCTGTGCGAGAACTATAGAGGGCGCTTTTTGACCGATTTCAAGTCTTAATGGGAGGCCGCACAGCATGTGCGTAATGGTTCGCGCATAAGGGCACGAAATACGCACGACTTGTTTTGCCCTGAATTTGCACAATTTTTGTACGTCTTCGCATGAGTGTCAGGCGTCGTCAGCGATGTGTTCGAATGTCCCTCCAAGTGGTTTCCCCCAACTCTCCATTTTTAAACATTGAGGGGGTACTTTCACGTGCTCCATAAAAACACATAAACCTAAATCAGAGACTAACAAAATTCTATTATTTTTTTTATTCGTTTAGCAGTCTTTTTTGAGATAAACACAAATTGTAAACAATCTGAAATTACAGGTAAACAAGTAAAAAAGAAAAAATTCTCTTATTTCTTTGTTTTTCATACTTTTTTGGAGATAAAACACAAGTTGTATAAAATTTGAAAATACAAATAAACCTCAGAAAGAAAGAAATCTCACAAAATTCTCTGATTTGTTTATTTTTTTTTTATTTCTTTATTAAACACAAATTCTTTAAAATTCTATAAAAATAGAGTTAAAGTAAATCCGATGGCCTGTTGTCAATATCTTTTGTTGCGTTTTATCTTGAAAGGCCAACTGATAGTGTCCAAACCAAATTTACACATTTTCAGACGCATATTTCTTGGAATTGGAGATACATGTTAAAATTGTTTTACGAAAAATGTTCAAAAACCAGTTTGTCCTCATGCAAGTCTATGACATATGGTCAACACAATAGCACTGCACGCACACAGAACTGCAATAATTGTAATTAGGTCTACATGACTGACATAGACGTGGACAAACTAGTTTTTGACCACTTTTCTGTAAATAACAACTTCTTAACTTCAGCTTTATTTTCAACTCCATTTTCACCATATACTGTCGAGATCTTGTAGTTTAGGAATATCTAAAAAACAACTTCAACATATCTCCCCAATTTTGTGAAATCTGCTCTGAAAAAAATTTAACTTTTCGGGAAACACTTTGTATATTTGTTTCATGTATAAAAGTGCTGGTATGCAATAAGTTAAACTGTTCCAGTCGGACGCACACATAGCAGTAAACAGGCAGATTTGTTTTTAGAGAATTGAACTTTGTCCTTAAACAGACAAAGACTGTGAAGGACAAACAGAACAAAGCACTGCCAAACTGACCCAGGGACACTGTCGTATTATTATTCAAAATGAGGCCTTCAATATCGAGTGTAATACAGTCGATAAGTTTTTGTCTGGATCGACCTGACAAAATGTTTGTGAAATCAGATTTTTGTACTAGGTGGAGTGTTGGCCCATTCGTTGTGCGCATAAAGGCACGATAGAACTGGATTTTATGCTCACTACAACCAGAATTTGGTTAGGTTTGAAATTTGTGTAGATAAGAGGCTACCGTATTCATGCCAATATTGGTGATACTTTTCGTTCAGAATTAGTCGAAAAGTTATTGCTTGAAATCTCATCGATGGACCATAACGAAAAAACTTAGTAACTTCAGTTGTTTATTTAGTTTTATTAGGCCCAGAATTCGTACATCTTCCATAAAACAAACAATCAACCATAAGAAAAGACAAAAAACTTCATGTATTTATTTGTATTATTTTTTACAGTACTGTGATAAATTGCTATTAATAAATACACCATGTAAACCACAAGTAAACTCATTTAAGTTAAAGGACCTCAAAATTAACAAAATTAGTTTTTAAGTACGAACTTGAAGAGAACTTTTGAAAGAGAAAGACCTAATACCCTGCACATGTGCAATACTGAGTTCATTATTCCAAACGACACAACATCACATGATTAAAATCAATGTAATTCAAGGCATTTTTTCCTGACAACAAAAGACCTTCGTCTACAGGAAAATTCTTTTAGTCATTCATATGCAAATACTGGTCTTTCATATGTAAATCTAGTCATGCATAGTTAATACTAGTCATGCATATGCAAATATCTGCCCGGAAGAGGGTACAAAAAGGTGGCTTTCACTTTACGTGCAGTAAATATGGACGCACCCGTTTCGAGAATTGTTTAGCAGGAAAGATTTCAGGAAAAGTTTGTAAACTTTCAAGTTATGGAAAATTTTGTATTTGTTCAAGTAAACATCAGTTAAAAAAAAAAATTTCTATAAGAAAAAGAACTTTTCTGTAAACTTCGTGAACTCATAGCAGTTTATGAAATTAAACTTTCCTGAGTTTTCCCTGATACATGTATTTCCCTGAGAAATTTCCAAAAATTCCATGAGAAATATTTTTACTTGAACGAGGTTGCTGGGAAATCAAGAGGTGGTTGCAGCAAAACAACCAAGATACTCACACTGCATAAACACTAGAAAGCCACCATAGCCAGTCAGTCAACAGACACAACTTGGACACACGGCACAAGACACACATACGCCAAACTGGCGAAAACCTTTCCCTTCTGGGTCACTGTCTAATTCCCTGAGTTTTCCCAGATCTCGAGTGTTTTTCCCAAATTTCCTGAGTTTTCCCTGACTGGAAAAATATAAAACTCATTTTCAAAGTTTTCCCAGATTTCCAGAATGGTTGAGAATAAACTAATAAACTACCTACGGTAATTAAGAAAGAAAATCACTCTTTTATTTTACTGAATTTTTTTTTTTTTTTTTTAGTAAAGCCTACTTGTGCAAAATAATGTAAAAAATATTCTACAAAAAATATAGAATAATATCTGTATTACTGTACAAATGATACTTATAAAAGAGCCTCTCCATTTAAAATTGTAACTCCACATTAATGTACTTTTCCGTTTTTGAAAGCGTTGTTATTGGAATTTTCCCAATCAATCGTTAAGATACCCTGCCTTGACTTCACTCTACGTAAATGCTGCTTTTTCCAGATCATACCCGTGAAAATACCGATTATCGCGATATTTATTATTAGAGCAAAGAGCGCGACGCCTGCCGTGTTTGCAAAAGTCGGCATCGGTGAAACAGAAAGTAAATAATCACGTCTGTACTGCATGTCTAAAATATTGCCTTGTAGTTGGCAGTAGTTTGCGATGCCGCTCAAAATGTGGAAAAACTGGTGGCTGTGACCGAAGACGTCAAACTTCCCCGGAGCAAGGACTTCTGGGAAATGCGTTGCATAAACGGCGACGGTAACTGCGCATAAGATGAACTGATAAACGTGAAACTGGATGGCGTTGGGATCCTGGCAATCGTCGTCTTCGCAAAAAATGCAGCGATACAATAAAGGAAAACTGCAGAATAGATATTTTACAGCAAACGCCGACACGCGAAGCGCCTTCCAGTTTACGAAGCGTGCTACACATCCTAGTGATGTACACAGTAGGCTATTGATAACACTACATGGAATGTAAACTGTATGAAACGTCGAATTAATCCAGCTTTTTGGAAAGACGTAAACATTGTACATGATACAGCAAGATAGACTGTAGATACTGATAGCGCTGTAGTCCATAAAGAAGCAGATATGGTGAGCCCTTTCTGACATACAGTTGAAGAGATGCGCTATACTGCTGACAAGCATATACAAGCTGACCGACGCCAAGTACACTTGCAGTGGGTACGTGAACGGGTCGACATCGAATCTGAACTCGTACCACAACCATTGCGTGAAAAGCCACGTGAAGTAGACAAAACTTGCGAAATGAGTCCAAAAGTTGAAAGTTTCGTTGTTCAAACTGAAGGCACTCCGTATGCAGGCTGAGAAACTGCTGCGGCAGGACCGGTACCCGGATACGATAAACGGTTCCCGGAAGTCTTTGGGAACATGGTTGACCCGTAGTAACTTGGCACACATCACGATGTAACTGTAGCAACCTAGCAATCACACATAAAAATGGAGAAGTTGATCAGTGAACAAATTAAATATAGCTGAATTGGGAAAGTTTTGAATATGCCATGCCCCCCCCCCCCCCCCCCCCCCTTCTTAGGCCCCACCCCCAATCCTCACAGTGAAATTATGTCAGAAGTCACCAGAAAATGCTGTTGACTTACAGGTCCTTATCAAAAATCTTTCACAACTAAAATCAATAAATCTATCAATTTCTTTTTTTATTCACCAACATAGCATCCGTATTCATCATGAGGCCAAACTATACATCAAAATTAAGAGCTATTTCTAATACTTGTAAGAAAATGTATCTGTGACAAAAATAATTTTTAGACATATTTCATAGAATCATTTCATAGATATTAAAATGAACTACATGACCAAGGCATTTCGATTTCATAAATAAAATTATGCTTATGAGCTGACCTGTGATTGGTCGACATTTTTACATCTGTATTTAATATTTTGATTCCCAGGCATGATTTTAGAACTACCAGCAAAAAAAAAAAAAAACCACTTGACATCTGTTTAAGATCAGGGATAATTGCCTTTGCTTAATAGACTGTATTTATTTTTCATTTTATTTCTTATTTTAACTGGGTAGTCCATTCAGTGGAATCCTCTGGTCTCCCATGGGGCCCAGTAAAGAAAAAACAGTATAAAGAAATTACAGTTTTAGAGGTGGGAGGAAAACCCCAGAAGAAAATTCTGGGGGAAACCCACGGAATCAGGCAGGGACTGAAAACCCAATCCACATGTTGGCCCAGGCGGGATTCGAACCTGGGTCACAGAGGTGGAAGGCAAGGCCCACCTGACTCCCCTAGTATCACACAACACCCAAGAAAGCAAATTCAAAAGTTTTATACATAGGCGTGGATACTTGGTCCAAAATCTCACAACTATTCTGCCACAACTTTTCTTTGCACTGCGTATATATCTCTAATTGAAATATGAATGGTTGATATGTGTTGACATAACAGATTAATGTGGGCTAAATAACGTGCAAAAGCTGCTTAAATGTTTGGTTGTCTGTTAGTATGATGTCACATTAACATGCTGTAGTTTGATGTTTATCTTCAATTTAACACATATATTTCTTTAAATCAACTTAAAAGAGAAGTTGTTTTCATAAATCAGTTTTCATGTACCTACCTTGTATGTGTAGTGATGCTGCACTGCCTGTGCATTCGATCCACCCACTAAACAGCCTTGGTGCAAAATCAATAATAGTGTGTAAATGCTTCACTCGAACCACAAAAGTGTTTTTCACAATAGTGGGCAACTTTTTGTTCGTGTGAAGTTATTCTTCCTGTGGACTGATAGCACTATTCTGTTACTAGGTACTTTATAGCCTTGGCTATGCATGGTTGCATAGAGTCAGTGGATGAGTGCTGTGTGTATGGGCATTCATTCAAATCTTCTAGCAATTGACTAAATGCAGCACACCCACGTACCCAAAACAGATGCCAAAGCATTTACATGTACACTGCCCCAAAATATATTTTTTTAACATGGGTTTTTCTTTTGCTTTCATGACAGGAAAATTTGTCTTACATTTGGAAATATTCTCCTAATATGAGAACAGTTAGAAAATTATTTAAGAAAATATATTTCACATTTGTTATAAAAGGACTCTCCTAAAATAAGAAAATATTCTTGAAATGAGAAAATGGTTATGAAACCAATCGTCAAGACAATTTTCCTGGAAATATTAGATATTCAAACTTTAAAGAATTTGTTTCTAGTTTTTTGTTGTGAATTTCTTAAACCAAGAAAAATTCCATGTATGTCTAGAATCATTTTCTTACAGAAGAAAACTATTGTGTTTTTTTTATTTGTTTTTTTTTTTTTTTTTTTTTTTGGCGACCAATGGGGGGAGGGGCTTAGATCACCTAGCACACCCCCCCCCCCCCCCAGAATAAAATACAAGGTAAAAGTTTATTAAGAGAAAAAAAATTGAATTTGTTCAAGGGCATGGGCGATGCAACTTTAAAATGTATTCATCATCTTTTGATTTTAAACTTTTCCTGTACATATCTGTTCTGTTCTGATGCATACAAAGTTAAGTGACTTTCAAAAACAGTTTTAACTGCTCTGTAGTCTTGTGGTTATAGTGTTCAACTTATGTGCCATGGTACATGGGTTCGAACCCTGACAGGGAACATGGTGCTTGTGTTCTTGGGCAAGACACTTTACTACAATTGCCTCTCTCCACCCAGCAGTACAAATGGGTACCTGTGAGGGTAGAGACCAAATTGCGCTAATCCCGGCGACACAAAAATGGTCTCATGGCCTGATAAACAAGGGTAATAACTCAGAAGTGCTTTGAGACCTAGCTTTGGTGGAAGAAAGGGCTGTTATTTTCATTTTAAAATAATTCCCTCCTGATGTTTCAGAAACTGACAAAAATAAGAATAATCACACTGTTCAAACTTTCAGTTTGTTGAAAGCAGTCCGATTTATTACACATGCTCAGTTCACACAAGTAATAAAACCAATCACCAAAAAAATAATCAAAACAGTTTTTTGTCAAAAACTAAATTATTAATTACAGTTTGTTTGCATTTAATTGCTTGCGTAAGGCATGCTTACAAAAATATTAATGAAATCGCAAGTTAAAAAACTATTTCATTGACTGAGTTATTTTATATGAAGACATGGATCGTACATGTAGGCACATAAAGTGTATGCGTGAACGTGTCGTTGAACAAAATTTGACCTTTTTTACTGAAGGTCGTTCCTGTAACAAGGCTAAACAACTCAGGAAACTACAAAACAGGAAAACGAACGGGCGAACAATGACCACCTCAATGTCAGTGTGTTGTACAAAAAAAAATATCTGCAAAGAATTCTTTTTGGGAAAGGGTCCTTTTATAAATTTCGGGGCCAAAGTACAATGTTTTTCGTGTCTCTGTTACCTTGGTACTTTTTAATTTTGTTATTCAAGTATCATTAAGAATGACGATTTTTATATTTGTTGGGTGGGTAGTTTTCTATTCATAATCACTCTTGGAGGATGACTGCATTAAGGAGTGCGTTAGAATTATAAATCAAAGATGTCAGATGTAACAGGGACAGGAAAAAAAGTGGAACCCAAATTTATAGAAAATGAGTCAAAAGCAAGCCAAATTGCATAAAGTTACACAAAAAAGTTCAGAAAACTATCCAGATTTGTTTTAGATTAATTAAGAATGAATTGAAACGAGATAATTTCTAGTTTAATTAATGTTTACTGATATCCCAAACCATACAGCAATCAAAACATCACTTTTACTTTCACAAAACAAAAAGCATTCACTGTCATGACTGTTTTAAGTCTTGCACATTATACCTATACCTTATATTCCAACTTGGTACATTTTTCCGAATTTGTCATTCAAAAATGTCATTCAGCACCACAATATGTTTTGACTTGTAAGTAAAAATGCCTGCTTTCACATAGCGTAACGATGATTAAATGAATCACGTAGATGCATGAAAGAAGCATTTTACATGTATTTTTTAAGGCACTTTGGGAAAAAAAGAAGAAAAGAACTAGACACGCGTAGTAAAGCTGGTCCCAGAGTCCACACATTCTATTCAATTGTTTCAGAATGGCTATTCACTGGAAGTCTGTTCATGCATCTGGTCTGCACAATGGGCAATTGGCATTATGGGTAATCCTATACAATAGCACTGCCCGGGTCGCAAATGACATCAGTCAGTGAGATAGACACCTGGCAGGCTCTCTGTGGCTTACAAAAATATATACAATGTATAACCTCTTCAAGTACGTGTACATGTGATATTTAGGTTTTAAACGTTACTGTGTCAATACAAAATAGACCCTTTAAGTTAAACCTAAAAAAAAGAAGATAACTTGAAAACTTAACCAAAATACAAAGAAAAAATGTACAAAAATATTCGTAAAAATCTAGTTCTGTAAAAGAAATACATGTAAAGTACCAGTTGTGTGCAAATGCGTTATATTGCAATATACTTCGGAAAATATAAAAGTGTATAAATGTTACAAAGCAGATTATGAATAACATTCCATATTACAACTTTTCTCACAAAGTATAGGCCTACTTCTTATTAAATGCGTAGCGATCACGAAAATGCAGATTTTGCTTCATGTATGAAAAGGTACACGAATGAGCAGAACATTTACTCAAGCATAAGTATTGAAAAGTAACAAAACTTTTTTTTTACGAAAGCGCAGAAAAATATATCGTTAACTTGTTCATGCACCATATTTAGGAAGCGCTTGAAATCGATTTCGTTGACACAAAAATATGCAGTTCAAATTTTATACCATAATTTCAAAACATTCTATTAATGTATTAGCTCAAAACAGTTCTAACTTTGCACTAAAAATTGTTGGAATCGATTTAAATGCTACAACCAAAATATCTTATTTACAAACATGTTCGCTTTACAAACTACCCTTTTGTTTTAAAACTGTCGTTCTATTTATCCAGAATTCAGACCTCTTATATACCAGGTACTGTCTACCAGCACAAAAACATACAGTTTAATACTCGTATGCATGTTAGAAAAACAAGACAGTTTTTGTTGAAGTTCATGTACAGTATGTATAATGATAAAACCCAGGCGTACATATGTCAGGAACAGTCATTAAAAATAACATAATAATCCTCTTCTACAGCGTATGTCAATAAAAACGCAGGATTAGAAACAAAAATATTAAGAATATAAACCACCCCTATTCATCATAATGTTAACCCTCTTTTCAAAGTACCTTTCCTTCTCTTCACTATGCTTTTTATCCCATCTCATTTGTACAATCCTGTCCAGAGATAGAGTACATTGAAGAAGGGTTATAAATTCCAAGCTGGTCTGATTTGTGAAATCACACATACCTAATGAAAGGTTTGAATTCAGTACAGGTGAAAGTATTTGTGGATCACAAAGAAGGACATGTGTGGCAGGATTAGGTTTACATAATCCTTTAGTCCACAATCAATGTTATTAGTCAATAATTCATGATGCTTTGAAACAATGATAGTCCAGTTATTAAATTTAATTGATACTTATCATCAGTTGTTTCAAAGAAAGTTTTGTTCTGGTTTAATTGTCTTCAATGCATACCTGCATTGTACATAACTGGTCGTTGTGTTAAGGTCATTGAATCAGACCAACTCGCTTCAGAAGGGCTTCACAAAACTTGTCATAACTTTTGAACCAAAAGTCCACATTCCACCAAACAAAAATCTTGTCAAAGATGAAATTATGGACAATCAAATCCTTATCAAATTAGGCACACCAGTAGCATAATTTTCTCAGAAAAAAAATCGCTTTGAATCCTGCGTTTTTATTGACACACGCTGTAAATAAGGCTGTGCGTCGGAACTGGGTACCTGAGTACCCGACCACTGATGTCAGGAAACGGTTCCAGATTATGGGATCTGGTACCCGTAACCAACTTTACAAAGTACTTAAAGATTTGGAGTCCATTTGTGGAGAATTTTGTCAATAAACGCAGGCTACATTGAATATTAAAACTGATGTCACGTTTACAACGCTCGCAAAGTGCAGTAATGATAAGCTATAAAGCTCACTGTTGTGTACACACGTGACTTGCTGTATTGACGCGCTGTATTCTCGTGCGGACCTTTATAAACAATCTGAACAGAAACTTCCGAGATTTGAATTTTGGGGTTGTGTTTCTTTAACGGGTTCCTGGTTACCCGTGTTATATTTAATCGGTCCCTGGTTCCAGTACTACACGTACATGTACATGTATATACACCCATACGTCATATGCTGGAAGATGATTTTATTCTAAATACATATATTTATATAAAACTACGCAGCAAAGGTACATGTAATGTTTTAAAAAACTATGAATAACAGCGTTGTTGCCCTTGTTATTTTCAGATGTTCTATTATTAAGTCTTAAAATGGCCAAAACCTCAAGTGAAGTTGAAGCACCAATTCGTTTTAAGTTTTATTTTTCCTTCGTTCTTTTCTCGTTTTGAGCTGAAAATATGTTCCTCATTATAATACACTTTTAAACAAACTTCACCAACTTCTACTTAAATCTACCTTCAAAGGTTCTCCTTTTTTCCCTGTAAAACCCAATATTATAATATACAGTACTTTCAAAGACAACTCTTAAAAAAAACCAGTATTTTTTTTATGTGCAGACGTGTATGGATAGAAAGTCTCACTGCAAATATCTTACAAAATCTATTTTTCATTCATTATCTATGTGTACATCTCAAAACTAAATCGCTTTTATAAGTTATCAAATTAAAAATTTATAATCAATTTTAAGTTAAATAGGTGAGCATCATTTTCAACTGGCAATAACGCTTAAGAATTATTTAACTAAAGCTTAGAAAATGCAACTAATTCAATGCCCATTTGAAAACTTTTGATGAAAAAGCACTCAATTTCATCTCAATATATATGTGGACTGACACTAAGACCCAAGAAAATACTGTGCATAGAAAGAAAAAATATAAGATAGCATTTTGAGTTAAACTGCAAATAGATGTAGTACAAAAATATAATGTGAAAACTGTTCAGCATAGTAAAGTGCACCAATTTCAAAAGTTTCTGCCAGAAAGCATTTGGGCATATTTTAACCAACCCATATTTATGCAAGTGTACAAGAAAAATATTACAGCTCAGCCGATTTAACACCGTGTGTTGTTTAAATACTTACTAAAACCCTGCTTATTTCAAAACTAAAAGTAAACAAATATTTCTTGCAGATCTTTTAAGTTACAAGTATAAACCCTGCAAGTGTAACCTGATGGTTTTACGGCGACATGTTTGTTTGTTTTTGCCTTTTTTTCCAATCCAAGCAATTATTGCATGCGATTCCCCAGTTTGTTGCTTTAAACTTTGCCTAAACTTTACGGGAATACAAATCGAATTTGACATCACGAAAGATTCGCTGCGAAACTCGCCAGAGTTGAACTGTGTTGAACTTTACGAATTTGCAGCACGAAAACTTGCCATGACGTCACAATTCATGTTTGTGTTACGAGTTCACGCCGATTATGACTAGGCCTTAAAAACTCAGTTTTTTAGACAAAGGCGTATGGAGTTGCACGACATTTACAAATGCCTTTCCCTAAAGAACTATTATTTTGTTCAGGACTAACATTGTAGGGAAGTATTTTAACACATTAGTTTTGTTTTATGTGCCCGTTATTGGGGTTGTTGTTGAAATTCTCACAATCAATGGTCAGGATACCTTGCTTTGATTTGACCCGGCGTAAATGTTGCTTCTTCCAGATGAGACCGGTAAAAACACCGATTATTACAAGATCTGTGATCAGAACAGCCAACACGACGCCTGCCGTGTTTGCAAGTGTAGGCATCGGTCGGACGTCAAGCAAGTATGATCGTCGGTGCTGCATGTCGATAATACTGCCTTGCAGTTGGCAGTACGTCGCAACGCTACTGAAGACGTGGAAAACCTGATGACTGTGACCGAAGATATCAAACTTCCCTGGAGCTAGAACTTCGGGGAAATGCGATCCGTAGAAGACAATCGCGATGAAGCAAAAGACAAACTGATAACTGTGAAACTGGGTGGCACTTGGGTGATGATAGTCATCTTCTTCAGAAACAACGCAGCGGTATAGGAGCGGGACACTGCAAAATACGTAGGGTAGCATAAACGATACGATGCGAAAAATCTTCTGTAGCTTCAGACCGGCGACAAGTCGCGACAGGCACGCAAGGAACGTGCACACCAAGGCATTGAAGACACAACAGGGTACGTAGACCGAATGGTAGTAGGTATTGATGAAGCTTTTAGGAAACACATACCAGCTGTACATGATTGAACAGGCCAGACTGTAGATACTTAAACCGCCGTAGTCAAGAAAGAAGAAAACATGACGCGACCTTTCCGACATGCAGTTGAAGAGATGTGCGCTGCTGCTTGCAAATGTATACAAGCTCACTGACACCAAGTACGCTTGCAGAGGATAAGTGAACGGGTCTACATCGAATCTTAACTCGTACCACAACCATTGTGTGAATAGCCACGTGAAGTAGGCAAACGGGATAAAATGAGTCCAGAAGTTGATGGTTTCGTTGTTCAAACTGAAGGCACTTAGGATGCAAGTTGAAACGCTGCTGCGGCAGGACCGGTACCCGGACGTAATAAACGGTTCCCGGAAGTCTGTGGGAACATGGTTGAACCGTAGTAACTTGATGGTCCACATTGTGTATGTACAATGTGCGTCGCTCCCTGCAAACAAAAACAGACATACACAAAAATACAATGAGAGACTGTTAAAATCGTTTACAAGATTCCAAAGTATTTATACTCTTATTAAAACACAACATGTTGAATTCACAATCTGTGCGTGTCATGTGTATCGACTCTATTTACAAAGTTTCAAACTTTCTCTATGTTCGTGTACAAATTGTAAAGACACACCATGGGGAATATACATCATTTGCTTTTGCTGTAAACAGTAATTTTCAGAAATGGATGGATTGGGGGTTGGTAATAATATAAAGCAAATAACTACACTGACTTTTCTGACATTTTGGGTTCATAGATGCTATAAAACAATCATTTTCCTGTAGTCTGGTTCCCTGACTACATTTAAGATGAAACAGAGCAATTTATAGACATTGGGCATTTGGGGAATTGTAATGTAAGGGAACCAGTCTAGCTGGCTTGTATCCCGTTCATACATGTGTAATCGATTGCAAACAAATGCTGACTAACTAAATATGGTCAACATGGGGCCAGTATTTGAAAAAAGCCAATTTTTTTTCCAACGCTGGTCGGCCGACCAGCGTTGGAAATTAATACAAAAGTACCACTTTTCTTGAAAATGACAGTATTACCAGGTGCCACGATTTTACAGGATGCTTTAGACTGTCACTCACTAACAGTCCAGCAAGGTATTTCAAAATAATTTGGTAGTTTTATTTTTTTATGTTTCCAACAAATGTTATTTTCCCTTTAAACTTAAAGATGGCCGCACCCATATCTACCCATGCAAAAACATTGCGCAATTAAGTTGTGAAGAAATGAGTTCCAACTCCAACTTAGATCATCATGCCTCCATGCGGCCATGGTTTCATCAACATTCTTTATTCTCATCAAACCTTGATTTTAGGCTGAACATGGACAGCAATTTCTGATAAAAAAACTCACCGAAGTTTGTTGTTTTTGTTGTTATGGTGGAGTTCGGTGAGCGACGTCCCGCGACCGACAGCGTCCGCCTTAGTTCTGTTGATTGATTTTTGATTGAAGTAGTATGAATTCTCCTTGCAACTATAGATGGCGCTCTTCATAACTTACGGCCCAACTGTAGCGATGATCCCAACTTGGGCGAAGGTGAAAAAACAAAACAATTTTGAACAAATGAGGGCGCTGTATAAACGAAGGCACCAACAGACAGGTGGGTGAGAAATCTTTTATTTTAAATAATTTAAGGGCAGAGGATTTTGGGACTTAATAATGAGATTGGGCACTTGCTGTACTTTTAACATGTTTAAAGCCAGTATTTAATCTTAATTTAGTGTTTTATTACTAGTAAATACTAGTTCTGCAGAGTTCCGCAGAGTTCCGCACGTTCTGCAAGTTCCGCAAAATACCTATTACCGGGTTTGAACCGTCATGACCGTTTGGTTTGTGGCCAATACTGGACTAGGCTACCTCCGTAAATAAAGGCCACACTTCCACCATGTACAAAAACATGTCGAACTTTGTCAATTTTTGATTTTCGCATTTAGGCTTAGTTTATCACGATCAACGATCAGTTACTGAGTTAGCTTAAACTTAAAGTAACAACGTGACAATAAGGACGGGTGTCGGTAACTTCGCACTTTCGCCGAATTTGCACTTCGCCGCCAACCACTTTGCTGCCAACCACTTTGCCAATTTGCCAATTTGCCAAATTGCCACTTCACCGAATTAGGCCTACCACTTCGCCGAAATTTCATGGCCTCCGCCATGTACGTGCGTGTGCACGGTGGGCGAAGGCAAATGGGCAAAGTGTGAATTCGGCGAAGTAGTAGGCCTACATGTAGTTCGATGAAATGGTTATTCGTCGAAATGATTGGTGATTCGGCGAAGTTGCAAATCAGCGAAGTGGTGGTCGGCGAAATGACTGTAAAACGAAAGGACTGGTGTGTTTGCTGCCACCAACATCTCACAATTTTCCCAAAGATAGGCGCATTTTTTGGCATAATCTGTCCGCGGAGCACTCCTCATTCAGCGACTTCCTTTCTTCTTTCTTATCACTGTACGTTTACAATTACATAGTACATCTTGAACACGATTAATCAATTGCAAAGAAAATTCGGAATAACTATTTACATCATGAAAAAAATAGGAGCAGTATTTGAAGAAAAAAAAGCCAGTTTTTTTTAAATGTTGGCACACCAGGAGCCATGATTTTACAAGATGCTTTTACTGCATTCCCTAACACTAGTAACAGTCTAGTAAGGTATTTCGTGAAAATTTGATCATTTCGTTTTGTGATTTTTGCACATTAAAGAGTTGTCCGTACATTTTATCACCGTTAACATAAATCACAGACTCTCTTCTAGCCTTTGTATTCTGTATAATTTTATTGCACAATTGCAAACTTTTTAATCGTGAAACAGGTTACAGTCATTTGACAGTTGAGGCCTTGAACCCGAAGTAAAAGGAAGCTGTTTCCTCAAGCAAGCCCTCTTCAGGTGTAGAAGCGACCATATCTGGTAAGTATTTACCGGAAACACACAATTATTTTTGATTGGCCTTCTTAAGTAGTTATGGAATGAGCTCTGGTCAATTTACAATTTTGCATTGATATATATTTTCCTTCCTTTCTGGCCTGTATGCAGTCTGACGTTCACCGTTTAATGATGGAGAATGGTTCATTGGAATCCGTCCGCTACGTAGACCACAAACTCCACGTTCTGAACCAGCTTCTACTTCCCAGCAAGTTGGAGTATGAAGAAATTACTGGCGTGAAAGACGGATGGCAAGCAATTAAACAAATGAAGGTATCTGTTCACAAGCACCCCCTCACCGGCAAAGGAAGTACAGTTGGGGGTGACCGACCGACGCCATCTTGCCTGACTGCAATTCATTTGCCGCGAAGCGTGGCCACTGCGTGTAAATAGAACAAATCCCCTGGTGTACGTGCGACACACACAAGGAACGGTGCGCGTCAACCAGTGAAATGTCCCGCCCATGGGGCGTCGTTGTTAGGTAAAAAGGCGCCCTCTTTTGGTAGCGCATGGAGCTCATAGTAAAAACAGTAGATGGGTTTTGACCCGGAGATCGTGATGCTTGTGTTCTTGGGTAAGACACTTTACAATGAAATATGAAGAAAATTGCCGGTTTGAAAGCACAATTACTGTGACACAAATGAAGGTATATGTACATATAATGCAATGGTACGGTGTCAATCTAAGGTCGGCTACAGTAATTTGCAGGTTTGAACCCTGAGAATTTATGGTGCTTGTGCCCTTGGGCATGACTCTTTTCTACATTTGCCTGTTTCTGTAGCACCCCAAACCACCCTGCCTGTTACACCCTGTACTGCCCCAAACCGCCCTGCCTGCTACTCCCTGTACCACCCCAAACCATCCTGCCTGTTACTCCCTGTACTGCCCCAACCACCCTGTCTGTTACTCCCTGTACCACCCCAAACCACCCTGCCTGTTACTCCCTGTACCACCCCAAACCACCCTGCCTGTTACTCCCCGTACTGCCCCAAACCACCCTGCCTGTTACTCCCCGTACTGCCCCAAACCACCCTGCCTGTTACTCCCTGTACTGCCCCAACCACCCTGCCTATTACTCCCTGTACTGCCCCAAACCACCCTGCCTGTTACTCCCTGTACCACCCCAAACCATCCTGCCTGTTACTCCCTGTACTGCCCCAAACCACCCTGCCTGTTACTCCCTGTACCACCCCAAACCATCCTGCCTGTTACTCCCTGTACTGCCCCAAACCACCCTGCCTGTTACTCCCTGTACTGCCCCAAACCACCCTGCCTGTTACTCCCTGTACTGCCCCAAACCACCCTGCCTGTTACTCCCTGTACTGCCCCAAACCACCCTGCCTATTACTCCCTGTACTGCCCCAAACCACCCTGCCTGTTACTCCCTGTACCGCCCCAAACCACCCTGCCTGTTACTCCCTGTACCACCCCAAACCATCCTGCCTGTTACTCCCTGTACTGCCCCAAACCACCCTGCCTGTTACTCCCTGTACTGCCCCAAACCACCCTGCCTGTTACTCCCTGTACTGCCCCAAACCACCCTGCCTGTTACTCCCTGTACTGCCCCAAACCACCCTGCCTGTTACTCCCTGTACTGCCCCAAACCATCCTGCCTGTTACTCCCTGTACTGCCCCAAACCATCCTGCCTGTTACTCCCTGTACTGCCCCAAACCACCCTGCCTGTTACTCCCTGTACTGCCCCAAACCACCCTGCCTGTTACTCCCTGTACTGCCCCAAACCACCCTGCCTGTTACTCCCTGTACCGCCCCAAACCACCCTGCCTGTTACTCCCTGTACCACCCCAAACCATCCTGCCTGTTACTCCCTGTACTGCCCCAAACCACCCTGCCTGTTACTCCCTGTACTGCCCCAAACCACCCTGCCTATTACTCCCTGTACTGCCCCAAACCACCCTGCCTGTTACTCCCTGTACCGCCCCAAACCACCCTGCCTGTTACTCCCTGTACCACCCCAAACCATCCTGCCTGTTACTCCCTGTACTGCCCCAAACCACCCTGCCTGTTACTCCCTGTACTGCCCCAAACCACCCTGCCTGTTACTCCCTGTACTGCCCCAAACCGCCCTGCCTGTTACTCCCTGTACTGCCCCAAACCGCCCTGCCTGTTACTCCCTGTACCACCCCAAACTGCCCTGCCTGCTACTCCCTGTACCGCCCCAATCCGCCCTGCCTGTTACTCCCTCTACCACCACAAACCACCCTGCCTGTTACTCCCTGTACTGCCCCGAACCACCCTGCCTGTTACTCCTGTACTGCCCCAAACCACCCTGCCTGTTGCTCCCTGTACCACTCCAAACCGCCCTGCCTGTTACTCCCTGTACCACCCCAAACCGCCCTGCCTGTTACTCCCTGTACCACCCCAAACCGCCCTGCCTGTTACTCCCTGTACCACCCCAAACCGCCCTGCCTGTTACTCCCTGTACTGCTCCGAACCGCCCTGCCTGTTACTCCCTGTACAGCCCCAAACCACCCTGCCTGTTACTCCCTGTACTGCCCCAAACCACCCTGCCTGTTACTCCCTGTACTGCCCCAAACCGCCCTGCCTGTTACTCCCTGTACTGCCCCAAACCACCCTGCCTGTTACTCCCTGTACCACTCCAAACCGCCCTGCCTGTTACTCCCTGTACCACCCCAAACCACCCTGCCTGTTACTCCCTGTACTGCTCCGAACCGCCCTGCCTGTTACTCCCTGTACAGCCCCAAACCACCCTGCCTGTTACTCCCTGTACTGCCCCAAACCACCCTGCCTGTTACTCCCTGTACAGCCCCAAACCACCTTGCCTGTTACTCCCTGTACTGCCCCAAACCACCCTGCCTGTTACTCCCTGTACCGCGACAAACCACCCTGCCTGTTACTCCCTGTACTGCCCCAAACCGTATTACAGGCGTTAATGGATTTAACATTTTTATGTTCGTTACAGGTGCGTGGGGCGCCCTGTATAGCCATAGTAGGCTGCCTCTCATTGGCTGTGGAGTTGTTTAACTACACTCCAACAACCAAAGAACAAGCTGCAGGCTTCATTGCACAACAACTTGACTACCTGGTAACTGCAAGACCCACAGCCGTTAACATGAAGCAAGCTGCGGACAGCATTAAAGTGATGGTTGTGAAGATGTTGCAGAGTGATCAGGACGTCACAGCGCAACAACTGTGTCAAAGGTTATATAGCATGTGACTTAACCTTTAATTCTGTAAACATTTAGTAAATATTTTAAGATCCGTTTCAACATTTAAATGTTCAGCCATTTCACAAAGGTTGACGCCTGCCCAATATGTCTGCAGATTGGTGTGATTGACATGATAAATCAACAATGATTGACATTATAAATAGTGGACAGCCATCTAAAACTGCGTACAAACTTAACTACGTATCAATAAATGTAATAACTACTGCAATGCGCCTAAGGTTTGGAAAATTAAGGTTTGAAAACATCAATTATTTGACCAGTGATGACTTGTGATAGATGTGATGGACTTGTGATTGACTTGTGATGGACTTGCGATTGACTTGTGATGACATGTGATTGACTTGTGATGGCATGTGATTGACTTGTGATTGACTTGTGATTGACTTGTGATGGACTTGTGATGGACTTGTGATTGACTTGTGATGACTTGTGATTACTTGTGATTGACTTGTAAAGTACTTGTGATTGACTTGTGATGACATGTGATTGACTTTTGATTGACTTGTGATGACATGTGATTGACTTGTGATTGACTTGTGCTGACGTGATTGACTTGTGATGACATGTGATTGACTTGTGATTGACTTGTGATGATCTGTGATTGATTTCCAATTAATTTGTGATCAACTTTTATTTTGTCAACAGAGTCATTCAAGAAGCAGAATCGATGCTCGTAAGTGACGTCAAGTGTAACAAGAGTATGGGACATTACGGTGCAGAACACATCAGGCGACATTGTAAGCAAGGAAAGCAGTGTGTTATGACGCACTGTAACACAGGATCATTAGCTACAGCTGGCTACGGTACAGCATTGGGTAAGCTTATGTAATGCCTTGTGATGGTCCATCATAAGCAATCATAAGTCCACCACAAGCCAATCACAAGTCATAAAGTTTAAGTCAATGTACAAGCTATGGTTCAGCATTAGGTAAGACCAAGAAGAGGTCTGGAGTGCCTTATGACATCACAAACCATCACACAAGCCATCACAAGTCCATCACAAGTCCATCACATGTCAATCACAAGTCCATCACAAGTTCATTACAACTCCATCACAAGTCCATCACAAGTCCATCACAAGTCCATCACAAGTCCATCACAAGTCAATCACAAGTCCATCACAAGTCCATCACAAGTCCATCACACGTCAATCACAAGTCCATCACAAGTCCATCACAAGTCCATCACACGTCAATCACAAGTCCATCACAAGTCCATCACAAGTCCATCACAAGTCCATCACAAGTCCATCACACGTCAATCACAAGTCCATCACAAGTCCATCACAAGTCCATCACAAGTCCATCACAAGTCAATCACAACTCAATCACAACTCAATCACAAGTCCATCACAAGTCAATCACAAGTCATCCGATTCCAAGTCAAGTCACAAACTATTCAAGTGAACTTTGACAAAGACATTACTTTGTTTTTTATTTTCTTTTAGTTTTATTTAAATGTATTTCTTCTGGTAATGAAACCAAGATAGCAAACCTGAAGAAACCTGTAAAGAGAAGACAATGAGAAGAAATTACAATTTTAGAGGTGGGAAGAAAAACACAGAATTCATTTCTGAGGAAAATCCACGGAATCAGGCAGGGACTGAACACCCAATCCACATATTGGCCTGGGCGGGATTCGAACCCGGGTCACAGCGGTGGAAGGCGAGGAAAGTACTTCTCCGCCAACCTGACTCCCCTAGCATCACACAATATTGTTTAACTTCCGTTACTTGTAAATGGACTCGTGGAATTCTTGTGATTTACTTGTGAAATGACTTGTGATTTACTTGTGACTGGACCAGTGTTGTAGTACTCATACTCGGTACTCGTATTCGAGTACCACTCGAGTACTTTTTTGGAGTACTCGTACTCGTACTCGAATGTCAAAGTACTCGTACTCGAAATAACGGTACTCGTACTCGGGCAGCAAAGTACTCGTACTCGGACTTTTACCACAGCCTTATTGGTCTGACTGGGCCTGGGTCAATTACACACAATGAACCATTCATGCCATTTGCCATATGGCCGTATTCAGAAATTATACAAGTACTCGTAGTAGTACTTCGTACCCGGAAGTATAAGTACTCGTACTCGTAACCTGTTCTTGTACTCGGAGGTACAAGTACTCGTACTCGGCAACCTAAGTACTCGGCAGTACTCGATACTCGGAAAAAAGTACTTGACTACAACACTGGACTGGACATATGACAGCTATTTGATCACTTGTGATGTACTGCTACAGTTTTCTGTGGCGATTTTAATCAAGGCAGCTTTTTTTAACATTCCCCCGTTATATTTGTATCCATGTATTTACAGGAGTGATCCGCGCTCTGCACGAGGCAGGGGATCTGGACCACGTGCTGTGTACAGAAACCAGACCTTACAATCAAGGCGCCAGACTAACAGCGTTCGAGCTCGTACATGATAAAATTCCGTCCACCCTGATCACGGATAGTATGGCAGCATTCGCAATGGTCAAGAAAGGAGTAACCGGTAAGGACAAGTGAAAAAAAAAGTTTTTCGTCCAAGCATTTGGAGGTGGCAGCATTTTTTCCCAAAGATGACGAATTTTCCAAGATGGATTCTTCCATTTCCTCGACAATTTTGCTGATACTTTTATGTCCAAAGGAACCATCATTCTTTCTGTAAACTGGGGGGGACATTTTGATGCATTGCCGATCACTCACGTGATGACATCACCGGCTTGTGCATATTCAAAATATAATATGTCGTTTGTACTTCGCGCAATACGCACTCGAACCAGTATGCGCCAACAGTGTGTCGCCCCCTGGAGCTCGTATAAATGGTCGCGAAGTGCCCCCTAATGTTCAAATTAAACAAACAAATATTAGGTGTCATGATAACATGACTCGACGTCATTTAATTTTTATGAGCTTAATTTTGAACCGTTAACGTTCTTATCAGTCTGTGTGCGTTGCTTTTCAGCTGTAGTTGTTGGTGCAGACAGAGTGGTTGCCAACGGCGACACGGCAAACAAAATCGGAACTTACCAACTTGCCTTAGCAGCAAAGCATCATGGTATTCCATTCTACGTAGCCTGCCCCTCAACGACATGCGATTTAAACCTCGTTAACGGAGACAGCATTGTGATTGAGGAGAGACCAAAGAAGGAGTTGACGTGCATCAACGGCACACGGATTGCCGCAGAGGGTAAGGCCAGCACAAGTCTGTCACAAGGCCGTCACAAAGTCATCACAAGCATGACAAATCTTCACAAGTCCAAACACGTGCATCATATGTCCATCACATGTCCATCACATGTCCATCACATGTCCATCACATGTCCATCACATGTCCATCACATGTCCATCACATGTCCATCACATGTCCATCACAAGTCCACCACATGTCCATCACATGTCCATCACAAGTCCACCACAAGTCCATCACAAGTCCACCACATGTCCATCACATGTCCATCACAAGTCCATCACAAGTCCACCACAAATCACGGCTTCACAAGTTCATCACAAGTCCATCACAAGTCCATCACATGTCCATCACATGGCCATCACAAGTCCACCACAAGTCTACACAAGTTCATCACAAGTCCATCACATGTCCATCACATGTCAAATGTCCACCACATGTCCATCCCATGTCTATCACATGGCCATCACATGTCCTCACAAGTCCTTACGTCCTCACAATGTGTAGGTAGCCAGGAGGTTTTCCCTGATCACCTCGATGCTGTTATATTGAAATGGGGGGGGGGGGAAGCAAACACTCTGACTCACTGATCAGAACGTTATTCGAACGAGACTGGACACTAGGGAACAATAGGTGGCACTTTTCATTGCAGCATAATGCCAACAGATACAATTTACTTTGTCTTCATTTACTGCAGGAATCGAAGCATGGAATCCTGCGTTTGATGTGACTCCAGCGTCGCTCATAACAGGAGGCATCATCACAGAGTTTGGAGTTTTCAAACCCAGCGAACTCCGAGAAGAGTTATCTAAATGCCTGTCAATGTAGATACTATAGACATGCCTAGGTTTATAGATTGTTTGCACGCATGAGAAAACCTGTTGTGCAGTCATTGTTAATGAATTAACATAACAAAACGTACCACGAGGATGGCCGCTTAATGCAATCAGTCTATAGCCAGTACAACAAACACGTACAAGGCAACTGGCGACAAGAATTGGTTATGAGGTTTTTAATAATGGTCAAGGTTTATAAATTATATTCCCAGGTTTGGAGCATTGCTAATGTTGCTAGCATCGTGACTTTGGGCGTGATCCCTGGCTACATGGCATATGCGCGTTTATGGCTTCTGACTAGCGCCCCTTGAACAAAGACACTGACAAAATGAGGAACCCCCAACATAGGGCTGGATAGCTCAGTTGGTAGAGCACCGGAACTGCAATTCGGAGGTCGCAGGTTCGAACCCCGCTCCAGTCAATTTCTATATTCAATTTTTTTTTAAATGGCACCTGGTTTATGCAAGCCTGTGTATTTAATACCACTTTCTATTTGGCCATCAATCCAGATGTTTGTATTCATATAAAAAAAGAAAATTTGTTACGATCAAAAATTTAATTATACGAACTAGTTTTACATTTTCCAATGTTCACAAATGGATGCAGGTAGAAGGGCCAAGCACATGTACAACAGAAAGTACTGCTGTATTTTTAAAATTACATTATATCATCTTTTTTTAAGGAAGGTAATCTGGTATTTGTTAAACAATTTCGCTTTGCTTCGTATATCATTCCACCGACGGTTGGAATAAAACTTAATTAAACTGTGTTAATGGATACTCGAAATACATGCAGATTTTAACGCTTACATGTATGTTTTTGTTCCCGTCTTCTTGTGATTGTATTTTTGTATTTCACTCTGTGGATCAAAAAGGACTGAAAGAAACCAGAGAAAATTGGGAATTTCCGAAATGAAATATTACTTTTATTGAATTATTAAATTGATTTACATTTGTTACATTACAAAAAAAGGGCCTGTTTTAAATGCCCTGTTATCTGATTGGTGGAAAGTTGATCACGTCATTGAAATATCTGTCCCAACCCACAGCCCCGTCACACCGCAAAAATAGAAGTTCTATTCCACGGTAAATTGAAGTTCCATTGCACGGTCACACTACTGGTGGCTTTGACCAATCAGATGACGAGGATTTAGTCAGGTGTGATATAAAACAAATAATGAATGTTTCACATTTGTGCAATGGAAAGAATAATTTCATTCGGTTACAGATGGAATGTTCAATTCCACTCCACGAAATGTTCATCTGTCACCTCATGAAATTATTCTTACCATTGCACTCATAAACATTCGTTATTTGTATACTATCTTACACAAATTAGGATGGAATTTGTATTTGAACTAGAGTGCAGTTTTATCTGGTCAGCTGGTAGAACAAAATGTCAACTTGTATTAATGCATGCTATCCTCATATACTATCCTTGGTTTTCTTTTTCTTTTTCTTCGCAATATCTGTTTTCCTTTCCCCAATATCAACAGAAACTCCATCTTCATTTTCTACTACACACTTCAATTTTCTCTTCTTTTTCTTTTTTAAACCATTTGTTTCACTTCTAAAGCTTGACGACTCATTCCCATCAGCCATGTCATGTGACATGTCATGTGATTTGTCATGTGACTTGCTACAGTCTCCATCCTGACTCGAATCTTGGCTGCTTTGCTCTTCCGCCAGCACCTCTAGTTTTTCTTTTCTTCTTTTCTTTTTTGACTTCCTTTTCTTTTTTTCCTTCTGGTTTACATCCTCCGAGTCTACACTATTACATGTCACTGAAGTCTCCTCTGTTTCCATGGTTTCTGCATCGTTGGGGTCACTGTTGCTACTAGAAACAGTGTTGCTATCGGATACTGCTTCCACTTTCCGTTTTTTGTGTAACTCTTTCATCTTCAGTGCAAAGTACTCCTGTGGTAAAATTGAAAAAGAAAACTTGGACTTTTGCAACCATATTGGTAAAATGCAACAAGTGCGCATCAACAGTCTTTGAAGACTACCAAAGTAAAAGACTGTTGATGAATTTTTTGGAAGACGTACATTGTGCTGGTCCCACTGACTGACTCATTTGTGAGCTGGGCAGTGCTGTTGTATAGGATCACCACGCCAATGATTGGGCTAAATCTGGCCCATTGTGTAGACCAGATGCTTGAAAAGACTTCCAGTGAATAGCTAAGCTGAATCAGTTTAATAGAATTGTGTGCGTTCTGAACTATTTTTACGAGGCTTTCATTATTTTGTTCATATTGGATTTTGCCTGATGTAATGACATAATTTGTATTCCTACCTGAATTGAGTTAGAGCTTGTGATAGTCTGCACTCCAAAACTGTTGTCCTCAACGGAATGATTTTGCTGTGAACTAGTTGATGCAAACCCAAAACCGGTCCGCGCGACATCCTCGGGATCACTGTCGGATCCTGCCGCAGAATTTGTCTCCTGAAATAAACACGACACAAGCACAACGATTACACCTAACTCTAAAAATAATCAGAAAGACTCAATATTGACTAACAAGGAAGGAATGATTTTCATGAGGTGACAGATGAAATGTGCATGAAATTATTCTTACCATTGCACTCATAAACATTATTAGTATACCAGTCATACAACACTTATGTTTGAGATAGATACTGGAATAATGCATACATGTATGTGGGCATGTATAATAAAATGTTGAAAAGAAAACAGTGGTTATTGACACGTTACAAATTTTCTTTATACTCACTGATTGGTTACGTGACGGGTCACGTGATCTGTCCTTCGGTGTACCGCTGTTGCTTCGGACTCCCATGATGCAATTCATGTCGCTTGTGCTACGAGACGATAGATCCTTCCCACGAGTAAATTTCTTGTATCTATTAACGGAATCAGAGTAAACGAGTTGTTAACAATAGATGTCACATGTTCACAGCCATAACTGACAAAATGTCGAAATTTGAATGTTATCACAACTACTTCAAAAAATTCACAATTTCTAGAGATAAAGACGTCTATGTTAGTGGGAAGTTAATTCTGAGCAATATGTGAAACTCTTTGCAGGTCAGTTTCAGGTGAAGGAATATAAAGTGTTCAAGTAACTGTGTCACACAGAGAGTCACTGCACACAAAACAGCACTGTGGAGAGCAGTGAAGCATGACTGAATCTGCCTGCTTGCCCTGAGCTTAACCACACCAAAGAATTGCGCAGGGATTTGAAGTGTTATCCATACTCCACAGAAGATTACCTCAACGGAATTTGAAATGTGGATGCTAACTCTATGGGCAAAAGTGGTTTTGCAAAACTTGAAGGGTTGTGAGGCTCGGAACACTACTTACCGTTTTGCTTTCTTAGATTTCTCTTGCAAGTTTTGCGGTGCGATCGGTGTTTTCTTGTCCTCCGACATACTGTGATCTTGATTCAAAGAACTCAGTAAATCGTTGAAATCATCTTGATGACCGATCCAGTTATCGTCATGCTGCTGGCTGAATCCTAGACCTTTTAAAAGATAATTCAAATAAATTGACTATAAATAATTGTCAACATGGTCAAAGGTGATCAACGCGTCTCAACCAGTGCAATTACATGGGATATCGAATCCACGTGACAGCGCCCTCTGTGGTTCGCAGATGGAGTCCACTATACATACCTAGTGAGTTGTTCTTGACAGATACCGAGATGGAACTTGTCGAGCCGTCTTCGTTCATTCCGAGGCCCTTGCCTTCCTGCCAACCCATCTTCTTCATCAGCTTCTCGCCAAACTTGCATCCATCTAGATGTCGCAAACATCAGAAAAATTTCACAAAATTAAAGTTTGGGGGGGGGGATGTGAAATGAAAGTGGTTTTTAGTAAATATTGTATGATAGGTTTGTTTGCATGTTGTTCAATAATAGAAACTGTTAGACGGGGCTTTATAAAGTTAAACATTGCTCCGATGTATACTGTGTTTGAACAGCGCCCCCAGGTGTCAACTGATCTCCAGTTTGAGTTGGTCATGCTGGTCTGAGTTTGACAATGTTTGAGCAAAAAATTTGAGGGGTCGACAAACGACTCATTTAGCTTGATTGCATCACATATATCAGTACGATAATTGCAAATACATGTACATGTATGTTGAAAAGACATGAATCTAGGACTGAGAAACATTTCAAAATTTGTTGGAAAATTCTTGTAATAAAATGTTGCAACCTGACGCCACTTTTTTCTTCATATATTATCATCTCAATGAAGGTCACTCATTGCAAAAATGAAGACCAAGGCAAGAGCAAATGAAGAGTTGACATGAATCTGGGACTGGAAACATTTCCAATTTTGTTACTAGAATTTATCATGTTTAAAGCATGATCAGATTAGAAATACTTCTTGACTCTCCATAGACTTTGTACACAATCGCGGAAGTGGCGTCAGGTTGCAACATTTTTCCCCATCAACCGTTTGTAAAGTCGTCCATTGTACAAGTCGATTTCCACGCGGAGACAACTCGACCGTCAACTAACGGTCGACCCGTCTCGACGGTACGGGCGAAGTGGTTCGATCGAGACGAGTTGACTGACGGTCGAGTTGTCTGGTTACCGAGTTGACAATTCATGCTATCTGCAAAAAATTACGAGTCAACTTCAGTCCAGATGATCTGGACAGAAGTGGACTCGTCATTTTTTGCCAGTTTTATTTACCACTGATCCACGCCTTGTTTCTTGGGTCAACAGAGAGTTTCTGCTTCCGTTTAGGCTCAGCCAACATAGCCATCGTAATCGTAGTCAATGCAAAATTTACGCGAAATCAATACGGCCAGGAAGACGCCATCAAAATTGTGTACACGTGCGCGCGTGCTTCGAGTGCATGTATTTTCGAAAACTTGTCTTCAATAATCACCGGCTGTAGAGGGGATTTCAGGAGATTTAATGCTCCTGATGTGAAAGGGGATCCTGTTTAAAATATATGGACATATTTCGGCTTTAAGTATCAAAACCTATTATACCAGGCAAAGTGTTCGAGTATTAGTTTAATATGGGAATTAAAAGCTTAATATTCCAAAGCCGAAAAATGAATCCGAAATCTGGACGGAGCCTAAATTTCAAAGACGACATAATAACGTAAATGTTCACTGGTAGTTCCTGTAATAACAACGTTTATCACACAATCTCGACGGACACCAGCGAAATTTAAAGCCCACTTCGTTGCGGGTCAAAGGTGAATCATTAAAGGCCAGCGTCAGCCAATCAGCGTTCAGAAGTATTTTCCATCGACCAATTACAGAGGGGCATTTAAAAGGCGGCCGTTTTGAGCACAATACACAAACCGGCAGCACCACACACCGATTCAAAGAACAGAAGGATGTTGACGTGCTGACACAACTCGACATAGCATCGTGCAAACTGCAAGATTTTAGTTTGAAAACTTCACGTGAATTTACTGTACTTCTTGCTGAGTTTCTTCCAACGAGTTGAAAGGAAAAACAAGTGAACATGTCGGCTCGAGCGAGGGAAGATTTGAGGGTTAAAGATTCGTGTATTCCCGAGTTCGTCGTGGACCCGCGGTCACAGAAGAGATACAAAAAAGGCCGATTTCTTGGGAAGGTAAAACCGGAACACACGATTTTGGATTTGAAAATAGGCCTAACGGACAAGGGACATTTACAAGAGGCTACGCAAAGGCTGCAGTATTTTCAATGAATTTAGCCTGTTAACCATGATAACCTATGTTTAAAATAATATTTTCATGTTCTCAATTTTGTTAGGCATTTTTATTTGTGAAACTGAAACTATCTTGTGCATCTTTTTTGTAACTTAGTCATGAAAGTTTAGTTTCATTTTCACAAGTTTCATTAAAACAATAGTTTTAATGAAACTTGTGAAATTGCCTTCACAACATTTGATCAATCTTTTTATAATGACAGTCATGTTGTTAATGTTAATTTGTTGTTTTGTTTTGTAAATTTGAAGAAGACACATTTTCATTGTGCAGTTTGTTCAAAGCAAAATGTTTTGTTAATCTGTGTTAGCCTAAGCCTAATAATATTTTTAATTAAAAAAAATAACACTACAATTTACAAACAGTAGGCCTACTATTCCGTATTCGTATTCAATTATTTCAAATTTAAATTCAACAATGTTCAATAGGCCTAGACCTGTCATGCCTGTCTTTCTTTTTTGCAAAATTAAAATTTGACAATTGAGTATTGACTTTCTTATTTATTTTCAGGAAATGGTCAATGGTGGCCTGATCTGTAAATCATGTTTATGAAATTTTCAATTTAGCAATCCGACTACATGTATTTATTATTTTCCTCATACAAAGGCTTGCTTTTTTTATATCCGCATTATTGGAGTAACGTTAGAGCAATTCATTGCAAAACTGCTCAGAAGAACATGTGCTATAGGCCTACATCAGTACATGTACTTTGAAAATACAGGGGGGAAATGTATCATGTGTATCAATGTTGTGATCACAAGGCAACTCATTTGTAACAAAGTTGATAAAGAAGAATGTAGGCTAATTTTCAAATTATTGCACTTTTGGTTTCTATCTTGATTGCAAAAACAAAAAATTAAGAAACCCAAGTTTTCATATTAAAACTTTAAATTGAAAGTTTGGCCAATAAAATCCTACCTCTTCCTGTCCTAAGTTATAAATGTTAAATAATTTTGCTTAATGAGTTTAGGATGAGTAGAGTTTGCCAAAAAAAGGTCCGTCCACAGATTTTCTGCAAACTTTACAATATATTTGGTGTCACAATTGTATGTGAACATGTACACTTTATTAAAATTGCAACTTTTTTGTAATCACAGTTTTAGAGTATGTGTAGGCCTCTACAAGTTTATAACAATTACAAAAATTATTTTATTTGTTTATCTTTAATTATAGGGTGGATTTGCCAAGTGCTATGAGCTGATAGACACTGCTACCAACACCACCTATGCAGGCAAAATAGTCTCCAAGGCACTGCTGGTCAAACCACACCAGAAGGAGAAGGTAAAATTGCCACAATGCCCACAAAAGATTGCCATAAAAAGGACCATGAAATAAATATCACACTTCTTTAACTAATATTGTAAACGTGTGCACTTTGCAGTGAAAGCATTCAAAAATAATAATTGAAGATGCATTCCCCATGCGATTTCGGGTTCTACCACCCAAACAATGTATTTGTTGTTTCAATTGCTATTTTTGCTAACATTTTAATAAAAGTCATTCACTATTGAATATGACATCGAAAGAAGAACAATAATCAGGGACATTTACTTTTTGAATATCTTTACTTTACAAACTTTCTAGTTAATCAATTCGGCTCTTCCATGGTGGGTTTATTTGTGCGCAATATGAGAGCCCCTTTTTCAGAGTTTTGCAGATCTAGGCCGGAAATTGGAAAAGTAATTTTTAACAAAAATTTAAAATAGTTTTTAATAGTTTAAGTAGGAGAATTTTGTGAAAAAAATGTTGCAACCTGATGCCACGTTTTTATAGGTCTATATCATCTCAATGAAGGTCAGTCATTGCAAAACAATGATGATAAGACATGAATCTGTGACGGAGAAGCATTTCCAATTTTGTTAGGAAATACAAAATGTACTTGGAAAATTGTTTGTTTGTTTAACAGCATGGACACACTCTTTAAGTACCACAAACGTTCTACTTCTTAGTGAAAAACACATTCATATCTTCCATTGGTCTTGCCCAAATCGATTCCCAATTTAACTTCAGATGGGGCTCCAATCCGCTCCATAAAATACCAAAACAAATGTTAATGCAGGCATGCAACTTTTCCTCGGATCAGCTCTTCTTTTTTAACTTCACACTTATGCCATTAAAAATTGTAAAACACTACAAAGTCTTGTAAAGATTGGAGTTTCCTCGTTTTTTGTTTCTTCCAAGTTGCACGCCTGTTAATGTGATCAGCAAGGGTTTTTTTCAGTACTTTTACAACACAGAAGTTTCAATAACAAGACTGTCATCTTATTGAACGCAAAATTGTTTTTCACAAGATTTGGATCATTGCTGTGACTGATTTCATTGTATTCTATTCTAGATGTCTATGGAGATCGCCATTCATCGCAGCATCAGCCATCCGCACATTGTGGGCTTCCATGGTTTCTTTGAAGACTCTGACAATGTCTACATTCTACTGGAACTCTGCAGAAGACGAGTAAGTGCCATTAATGTATTTCCAACTTACAAAATTAATTTGTCTGTTCAAAAATTTCAGAAAATTTTCCTAAGGTGGTAAGCTACCGGTAAGCTTTAAAAATTAAATCTAGATATTAATTCTTCTAATACATGTACTACATTTTCAACTTATCTTTATAGCAGATGCTTGATTTAACCTTATGGGTCATTTTATAAATTTGGGTCCACTTTTTTCCTGTCCCTGTTACATCCGACGTTATGTTTTTAATAAATCTGATGCACTCCTTAATTAATGCAGTCGTCCTCCAAGAGTGATTATGAATATCAAACTACCTACCAAAATCGAAGAAAAACAGGGGACAGGACAGGAAAAATGTCACACTTTAGACCTTAAATTTATAGAATGTCCCTTTTGCAAAAGTCTTGCCCTTCTGCAAAACCCTTGCACTTAGTATATTAATTTCTTCCTTTTTCTTCCTCAGTCGTTGATGGAGTTACACAAGCGACGTCGCGCTATCACGGAGCCAGAGACGCGTTACTTCATGCGTCATGCAATCCTGGCCATGCAGTACCTCCACAAGAACCAGATCATACATCGCGACCTGAAACTCGGAAATCTGTTCATCAACGACGACATGGACTTGAAGGTTGGACTTGAATATCTGTCATTTTGGACTCCGTCTATAAACAGTAGAGGGCGGTGTGTAATTAGTGTTGACAGCTCAGTGGGAGGGACAGGCCACATGCGCGTACTGGTTTGTGCACATAACGGCACAAAATATGCACGACTAATGCACACAAACCCATAGTGTCTTCGCTTTCAAGAGCGTCAGGCGCTGTCGGCAATGCATTTGATTGTCCCTACCAGTGGTCTCCCCCAACCCTCCCTTATGTAAGCCTCTCCCCCCTGTGGCCCGGGTTTGATTCCCAACTCAGACCATATGTGAGTAGAGGTTCTTCATTGATTTTCGACATGGGTCATATGGTAACTGCCTAAGGCGCCTTTACATGCCTTCTGTCGACCACGTTGTAGCCACGTCCACAATTCAGCTTCTGCTGTGAGTAAGGACGATTACCCACAAAATGTATTCATTTATTCACCTATGAAGGTCTGCAGGATACTTTTTCTATTTTTTTTTTTTCAAGGAGATCAAATGCTTCAAGCCTGCAACTGTAATTTTAATTTATTAAATTTTTGTTACAGCTTGGAGATTTTGGCCTGGCCACAAAAATCGAGAGAGAAGGGGAACGCAAGAGAACTCTCTGTGGAACTCCCAACTACATCGCCCCTGAGGTCCTCGCTAAGAAAGGACACAGTTATGAAGTTGATACCTGGTCTCTGGGATGCATCATGTAAGTAATAGAAGAGAACGTCAGAAACGTCTTGTATGATTGTATGCAGGTTTTAATTACAGGTCTGTAAGGCCAAAAAAAAAAAATGAGTCGGTCTCTGGTCAGCGCGCGCGTCGATTTTAATCATGCGCGTCGATCTTTTTTTTTTTCCAAAATGTTCTGCGGTAGCTCCAACAGCGCCCTCTATTTCCGCACTCCTCATTTTTTTTTTTACCAAAGAGCACCAAGCAATGGGAAATTGCACCAAGGCAAATGATCGAAAGCACCAAGGCAAATTATGGAGGACACCAATGTACATGAGGACACCAAAAAAGCAAAATAGTACCCACCTTGTCTGTACAATCCAAGCTTGAAAAAAAAAAAAGCAAACAATAAAAAAAATAGCCGCGTGGCTGCGTCAATTCCGGAACTTTGGTCTGACCAGAGACCGAATATTTTTTTTTTTGGCCTAATCTGTATGTATTTAAAACTAGGCCTCGTATTTGTACAATTGACAGGCTGTGGTAGGTATGTTAACTAAGGGTACCATGCCTTGACTGACATTGATAGGTCAGCGCTGGTGAGTGCCTGCCAATGATGGATTTAGCTCAGTAACAATGAAGGCACAAAAGGTTCACTAGCTGTACATACCAGGACTACTGGTCACCTATCTATCAAACCACTTCAAAAAGCTTCGACAGTTATAAGGTTTAATCCATATGAGTTCCTGTTAGTTGCACGGTGACCAGCCTGTACATACAAAAGCTATTGAGAGACGGGTCAGGGTTTTTGACAGTTTGTGACAATTATAAGTAGAGGTTAGGTAAATAATTGATGGGCAACTTTTTGTTATTGATAGGTACACACTTCTAGTCGGTAAGCCACCGTTCGAGACCTCATGTCTAAAGGACACCTATCTACGCATCAAGAGGAACGAGTACAGCATTCCGTCGCATTGTAAGGTCTCCCCCACGGCGCGCTCGCTCATCAGTCGCCTCCTCAAGAACAATCCCCACGAGCGGCCCAGCATCAACACCCTCCTCGAGGACAGCTTCTTCACCAGCGATTACCTGCCGCCTAAGCTTCCGACGACCTGCCTGACGATCGCACCGCGATTTGCCCCGATGGCGATGCCCCGTAAACCACTCAAAGAGATCAATGCAAAAGGTAATTTGTCATTTGAAAAGGGGGGGGGGATTAATTCAAAGTGTGTCAACACTAAACACAAACCGATAATACTTATTAGGCTCCGCCCACTGCAAACCTGCGCAACATGTGCCCCTCTACAGTGCCACACGATGATATGTTCCAAAGGCGCACTTATATTTCTGTCAATCCAAACTTAAGATTTAAAAAGTGGAGTGTGGTTTTGTGGTTAGAGGGTCAGAATCAATCAGGATACCGCTGTTGATTTTGTTAATTGTGTCCTTGGGCGAGCCGCTTCACCAATATTCGCCTCTCTCCACCCAAGAGTATAATAACATAGCTGCCAACTGTTACTAATTTTTCGTAATTATTACGAATTGTTTGTTAAATTACGAAAATACGATTTGCCACTAAAACATTACGAATTTCCCATTTTCTACCTAACGAAAAAAAAATACTTGTAAAGTATCGTTTTTGACCGAAAACTTCTGGCAAAATGTCGCGATAATGGATGGACTGGTGACAAGTCTAATGAGAATGCAGTCAAGCACCTGATAGACATCAATGCAGTGTGCACAGTGGAGTACTTGAGGACCAGACTAAAACTATTTTTCAATGGTGTGTCATTTGTGTGCATCTCGTGGATGTGTGGTTGTGTGTACTATATGTGAGGACTTTTCAGTAACGATCGTGAGCACATTTGGTCGCTTATTGCCGGGATGAGACCCATCAGTGCGAGATTTTAATCATGGAATTTAATAAGAGTATGGTTGCAAAAATTGGTAATAGAGTTTGAGTTTGTCACAATGTCCAGAAAAGATAAATCAGCATGTGTTTGCAAGATATGTTGGCGGGATATTTCTATTGCATACGTATGGTGGCCCTAAATCATTGTGTGTAAAAACATTGATACAAACTCGAAACTCCACATTGATAGCATGCATCTCCCAAAAAATATGCGCACGTTATTATTGTTATTATTTATTTGACTTCAACTTAAACGAATACAGACATTAAAACAAAATTAATTTAAAAAAAAAAATTAAAAACAATTATTTTTTTTTTATTATAATTATCTTTTGGCCTACAGTACATCATTATTCACAACAAGAAGGGTATGCACAATATGTATGTGTACATGTAAACCATGTACCTGTACTCGATGTTGGTAAACCTTTTGATAAAACGAGCAGTTGAAAATGACCGCGCGGGTTGATTACTAATTGGGATTTTGAAAAGTTGGCAGCTGTGTAATAAGTAGGCATTATAGCTGGGAGATAACCTGTAAAAGGAACTGGCATCCCAGCCAGGGGGAATAGAAATTTTTTTCAATCGTTTCATGCCATAGGAACAAGAGATAAACACCAGACTTAGTAACTGTTAATACATTATCTTGATATTTTGGCTTCGTAGATGAAAACGTGTCGCCACTTTTTGGTGCCATGAAGACTGGAACGGACATGCTGCATAAAGCCAGTGTGCCCAAAGCCTCCCAGGGTAACAGTGAGAATCCGGATCGACCAGCCGTCTCCGCTATCCCATCCGCTAGGCTGCCGTCTACAAAGGCCGAAGAAGGTACAGTCTTCGACCCTAACCTTCCAAAATCCTCTTTGCAAAATTGAGACCATTATGGTGCGGTTGATGTTAGAAGATGCACTGTGTCAAGGTCTTGGGCCGGACCTTGTGTTATTTTTGCTCCGCCGTGTATTTTGTTTTTGCAGTCTTTGTAATGAGCTCACAGCGGCTGCTCCCGTGGTAGTTGGGGGTGTAACATCTGTTACACACTCTTTTCAACATTTTTCCATTTATTTATTTACTTATTAAACTATTTTTAAGTCTTGTATTTTATCTTTGAACAACCTCGCATGAGTTTTGATAGAATGGATATGTGTTTTTGTCACAATTACAGATTGTTCTTACTTGACCGAGCTGCTTGGCCAACTTGTATCAGTCGTCCACTCAAAACCACAGGATATCAAAGACATGAGAATGGGTAAGAACTATAGATCCATACGTCGACTTATAATCCTCCTGCTGTCTGAACAGTCACAGATAGTCCACTGCCATGCCTTTATATGCAGGTTAGTCACCAACAGTCCGATCACATTTCTAATAAGCACTGTGACTAGTCGAACTCAATCCATGGAGTACAGCTGACTTATCAATCACCTTCAGTCAAAGCATAGCTGTATCAAGTTACATCACATCCAGTCTCGCTTGATGTACATGTCGATCAAAAGTACCGTGATAGCAACACCCCTATGAGACATCCAACTCCCATAAATATTAACTCAACCAGACCTACATGTAGCCAATAACTTTAATATGTCAGAATTTGGTATTAAACAGGGGCACTGGCCCATTCACTGAGCACTGTTGGGTCCAAGGCTGTACACATATCACAGAAACCACATTTGTTGTAACAGTTTGTATTAACGAGAGTCAATTGTTTTGTTTGCGTTTGATATTCAGATGATGCAGAGGATCCAGCAGCCGCCCCCGTCCTATGGATCAGTAAATGGGTAGACTACTCAGATAAATACGGTCTGGGGTATCAACTCAGCGACGGAAGCTTTGGGGTTCTCTTCAATGATTCTACCAAACTCTTGCTACAGACAAACGGAGAGTAAGTGCAGCATCAATCACCAGTCATTAGTTATCACAAATCATCATAAGATATCACAAGCCATCATAAGTTATCACAGGTCATCACAAGTTATCAAAGGTCATCATAAGTTATCACAGGTCATCATAAGTTATCACAGATCATCATAAGTTATCACAGGCCATCATAAGTTATCACAGGCCATCATAAGTTATCACAGGTCATCATAAGTTATCACAGGTCATCAACAATTATCACAAATCATCATAAGTTATCACAAGCCATCATTAGTTATCACAAGTCATCCTAAGTTCAGGGGTGTGAAATCTCATCTTTAAAGCTGATTTCAGCTTTTTTTTTTGTGTTGGATTGCAGCTTTTACCCTCACTTGCTGTGTACAAAAGTATAGGAGATTTCCAAATTTCAGCCTTTTTACACCTTTTTTAGCTGTTTTCAGCTATTTTTATCAGTGGTCACTCACACCCCTGTAAGTTATCGAAAGTCATCGTAAATTATCACAATGCATCTCAGAAGTTATCACAAGTCCATCACAACTCATGTAACTTGTGATGACCTAATTTTTGATTGACTTACGACATTAAACAATTTTATTCCTTACTTAATACATGTACACCAACAACTCAAATACTGTGCCTTAATTTCATTACATCAATCATTTGCAGACCAAAACCATAGTTAAGTACAAAGTAAACTGATTTCATGACTTGTTTTTTCCCTGCAGTAACATGGAGTACATAGAACGAGATGGGACCGAGAAAATCTTCACCATTGACACTTTCTCCGAAAGCATGCGCAAGAAAGTCACCCTCCTCAAGTACTTCCGCAACTACATGAGTGAGCACCTGCTAAAGGTATGGGCAAAACTTTATCCGGTGGTGACTTGTGTTAGACACTTTACCCATGGCACATGGGTACAAACCCTGACAGGGGAACATGGTGCTAGTGTTCTTGGGCAAGACTCTTTACCTGTGGCACATGGGTTTAAACCCTGACAGGGGAACATGGTGCAATGTACTTGTGTTCTTGGGCAAGACACTTTACTATGATTGCCTCTCTCCACCCAAGAGTATAATGGTTTACTGTGAGGGTAGAGACCAGATTGCACTGATCTCAAGCTGCTGCAGAAAACTGGTCTCATGGTCTGATGAACAGGGGTAATAATTGTGAAGCGCTGTGTTATGAATTCCTTAGTGACAAAATACAATGGAATACTAGTAATAATACTGATAGTTAATCTTAAAAATGTACATTTTTACATGTTTGCAGACTGGTGCCGGCGTGAAGCTAGAATCAGACAACCTCGCCCGTCTGCCGTTCCTCCGAACCTGGTTCCGGACTCGTAGTGCAATTGTCTTGCATCTCAACAATGGGACGCTACAGGTAGGCAAAACATTTAAACACAACCTACAATAAAACACTTGAATTTTGAAGCATTTTTTGGAGCATGGAGAATACTAGCTAACAATTGTTGAAAATCAACAGCAACATCTTCAAAACCTGTATATATTTTTTTCAGATCAACTTCTTCCAAGACCACACCAAGATCATCCTGTGTCCTCTAATGGGCGCCGTCACATACATCGATGAGACGCGACAGTTCCACACCTACCGACTCAGCCTGATCGAGAAGTACGGATGCTGCAAAGAGCTGGCTAGTCGGTTGCAATACGCTCGCATTATGACCGAGCGATTGCTAGCGCCCAAATCACAATCTACAAAACCTCACAAGGAAAGCGCGTCGTCAGCGGTAAGCTCTAAAGAAACTGCCGTAGCAGCTATCAGATAGGTATGCTATGCTGAGTTAGAGTTGTGGTCAAGTCGAATCTAAAGTCAATTCACAAGTTGATAACAGGTTGAAATCCTAACACTGGTCACGTCTTGTGTCCGTGGGCAAGCCGTTTTACCCTAATTGCCTCCCTCCACCCAAAGTATAAATAGGTTCCGGCATTAGCTGGGGAGTATTCAAATTCAGCTGCTGGCCATGTCCTTGGGCAAGCCACTTTACCCAAACGGCCTCTCTCCACCCAAAGTATTAATGGGTTCCAGTATTAGCTGGGGAGCATTCAAATTCAGCTGCTGGCCATTATTTGTGTCCCTTGGCAACTTATTTACGCCAATTTGCCTCTCTTTCCCACAAGCCTCTCAACCAATCACAGAACACTACGCATGCCTAAGGGCAAGTTTGGCCTAGTGGTTAGGGTTTGTGACTCATTTTCAACAGTCAGGTTTAAACCTGCTGCTGGCAAATATTGTGCCCTTGGGCATGCCACTTTACCCTGCTTGTCTCTCTCCACCTGGAGTTTAAATGGGTACCGGCATTAGCTGGGGGTAATCTGCGAAGGGCTGGCATCCCATCCAGGGGAATAGAAATATTCTCATTTTGTTTGATGAGAAAATGGGTGACTCGTGATTGACTTGTGAAAACTTGACTTAATCACTGTAAATAAACAAACTTGAGAGCTCTTAAGTTTGGGGCTAAAAATTAAAAAAAATTGTTTTGCTCAGTTATCCTGTACTCCTTGAGGCAATCGTTTATGTAATATTCTTGTAACACATTTCAGCTACATTTTTAATGTACAGGCAAGGAAAAAAACAACTAGTGGTCAAGTAATTTTAGAAGACCAAATACATTGTAAGGCACAATGTAGCACTACAGTGCTAATTTTTTTCCAAACAAGAATTGTTTCTTTCATGAAACGGAATTGTTCAGCAAGGCATAGACAAAAAAGTTCAAGTTTTACTAAATTTAACGCCAAACAAAAATGATTTTTTTTTTCCAAAGGAAATTATTTTACTTTGATGGGCCTAATAAAATTGGGGAGTAATCATGAACGCTCAATTTTTAAATACATGGGAATTCCGTTAAAATTAAAAAAAAAAAAATTCCAAGCAGAAAGGATTTTATTTACTTTGATTTGATGGAAGTATCAGAGATTTCTCGCTGTTTATCTTCAAATCACGTTTTTGAATTCATCAGCTCGTACATGCAAACCAAATAAGAAGAAAATTCATCAATAGAAACTTCATCAAATTTGAAAGTGTTATTTTACAGGGGAAAAAATGCAATTTTGCTATTGCGCTGATTGACTATACTTTATGCAGATGTTTAGGAATATCAATATGTAGAAATAAAAAGTTGAAATCACATTGTTTACTGTATATAAAAATGTATGAATGTAGATATATATAGCAGTGAGATAAATATTGCTTGCGTGTACAATGTGTAACAAGTTATTGGAGAATTACATTTTGGGGTTTGTTCATAGCAAGTTTCAAGTCACTCAGAATAACATTTCAATATCGTTCTCAACCTTTAAGATTTAATCATTCTAACATTTAGATTTCTTGGTACAGGAATTGAGATATCTTTGAAAAACTGGAATGCCATTTTACGGCAAATCTGATGCTCCTTAGGTGCCCGACCTAGTATATTATTTGTATAAACGTAGATTAGGTAATTAATGGGTATATTACTGAAAATGTTCCAAATAGTAACAACTCAAAAAGGTAAAATCAATGATTTTGAGGCTCTGCAAGGTTGAGGGTACATGTACTTGTTGAAGGTTTGTACCTGTTAAGAAGTAAAACTTGGAAGAAAATGTCGGATTTTACAACCAAAACCATGTCTATAGTCCACCGAGAAATTCAAATATGGATTTATCATTTTCTTTCCTTTACACACATTTAAGTCTCTTTGTATACATAATGTACTCCTTTGTTGCGATTACAGAAGAAAAGAAAGTATGGTCGCTGAAAATTATCTGCCTTGCAGATTTGGTCCTTAAAATGCAAATCTAAATTCATATAGGAAAATGATTGTACCGTGTAAATTAATATCTCGAAGGAAACAACATCAGCTGCGACTTGTACATAAATAGTGCATTAATAAATGAAACATCGCTTTGGAAATTGACAAAAAATCTCAGGGTCAACACTTCATTTTCGTTTAGTTACATGTAGATATCAGAGCAGAGTCTGTGAGTACAAAACAATACTGACTGCCAACTTGTGGGATAGTAAAACTATTTGCCCTGGGTGATCCATGGAACATTCTATTTGTTTTTCAACTTGAGGGATAATATATTCAGTTCAGATCACCCCGGGTGGAGAATAGTTTCACAAGACCACTCAAAGCAGTCAATATCTGTATATTGAGTTTGTGTTGTACATTGTAAAATAAATAGTGACTGCTTCAACTTGTGGGATAGTAAAACTAGCGACCTGCGGTGATCCATGAAGCATTCTATTTTTTACCGCAAGGGAAACTCAACAGTGGTATAGTTCCACTATACCACTCAACTCAAGACAGTCAATATTTGATGATGATGAAGATGTCCATTGCAATGCATTGCAATAACTATCAGGCAATAACCCGCAAAATGTCCTCGAACATCGGGTATTTTTGTTTTTTCGCCTAGACAAACAAAGTCAGTCAACAGATAGGCCTAACCCCAGAAGAAAAGTTTTACTATACCACTCAAAAGCAGTCAATATTTTATCCTATGTCCACGGTAAGAAATTGCAATGCATTACAATACCTATCAGACAGTATCCTGCAAAGTATCCTAGAACTAGCTTGGTTCTTAAACCCTGCTCACGCCATTTCATATACTGCACTATCAATTCGTTCTTGCTGATATCAAACAAGGAGATATTACCACGAAATGCGGGAATATTCTGTGTTGTATCGCGCTGGTTTCGTTGCGGTTGAGACGTTTCTGTGTTCTCGTCCGTAGTCAAGTGAGCGGCATACCAGAACACAATTGGACAGCTAGATGAGATGAATCTCGTCACGACCTGTAGATAAACCAAACATTGAAACCGTCACTGTTAGCCATGTTATCAATTTTATCACGACGGCCCCCTTCAATGGTGAAAACATTGTGTAGCCATTGTTCCGATAATCCGTCCCGGTAGTTGCTTTGTACAATAGCATGCACAATGGTTTCTCCATTGAAGCGTGCAGTGAATACGAGCCCGGATTTGTCTGTACATGTATGTATCGGGAAGATTACAAAGCGGGGCTGGATGGCATCTATCTCAAGGGGGCGCTGTTCAAATACAATGTATGCATATGATCTTATGCTCGTTTCATGTCCAATTCCCTGAAATAAGTTGTTACATTTACGAGAAATTGCCCGATTAGAAATATTGTCCAGCTACTGCTTTCAAAAAGACAAATCATAAAGGCTTTTGGAACTCTGGCTGCGGTATTCGCGAAATTTGAGGGTTCCTCAAGCACTTTTGCAAAATTAGCTTCAATACAGTGCACGTGGGGTAGCTTAGAATTCTGAGTAGCATTGCCAAAGTTCCCAAGACCAGATCAGATTCAATTTGTTAATAGCGCCCTCAACCCATTCGTACCTGTACGTGCATGCACGTCACTCCAAAACCCAGAAGCGCTGCCAAGTGGACAATGTGCACGAACAACTTGTTGCCGAATACATCTAATCCCGACTTTCCAAAAATAGTTCTGGTCTCGAGTCGAACTTTCTGTGTCTCTACAAGTCCCAGTACACAAACATAATGCCATCGTTTCTTACAGTACTTCAAGATCGCATCAGCACACAAGACGACCATTGGGAATGCCAGCAGAAAGTTCGGAAACTTTTTGAATTCGTAGTACCTCAAAAAACCCACATTCCAATGTTTAGACTGGATTTCCGAATACGGTATCGGAAAATTCTTGTAGCACCACGATTCTCCGTGATCCGATACAGGGACATTTATGGTCAGAAAAGATGGAATGTTTCTCTCATCTGTGCAAATCATCATAAAAGTGTATACTTGGAATGAAATAAACGGAAGCAAAACGATGACAATTAACATGGTTAAAGGCAGAATAGATACGATCACTACGATGTATTTAACATGACAGCGCGTCAGTTGCCATAAAACTGGTCCGCTTTTTTGCCGTTGACATTTCACATCAATCAACAAATCCGCAATTTTCCTCATAGCAAAGTAAACCAGAAATCCGATTGAGATGAAACCGTTTGATCGCGCTGCGCCGGAGAGCGCGAACAGAATTGCGGACCCAAGAAATCTGTCGCATTCCAACGCTAACATTCCTGCGAAACTGAGCGACGCAAATAGGGATTCCGTATAAGCGGCTGTCATAAACACACTAGCGGGGTTGATGCAAAACAGCAACGCTGCTTTATACGCAAGTTTTTGACTGGACAACACGCGTACTCCGAGATAATACAGCAGAATTGCTGCACTACAGAAAAAACAGATGTTTAGTGTTACTGCAGACAGAACAACACAACTATACAAGCTCATGTGTAGCGAAAACAAATTTTGCACAGGCATAACGAAGAAGTCCGTGAGCACGCGAACTAAACTTGGGTACAGTGGGAAGAACGCGAACATCTGCGGTTTGGTGTATCCGTGCTGTGCGATGTGGAGGAAGTACGAAGCATCCCATTTTGTGAATCCATCCACAAGGAAGTGAACAATTTCATCGGATGCTGAGGGGTTAGGGACGGGGTCAAGATGAAAGGCATCTGCATGATGATCAGGTAGTAAATTACCAACGATAACCTGAAATAAACAACAAATATTCTAGTTATTTATGACGTCACAAATTTTAATCACACAAACTTATCTTGTCATGAACGATGTAATATAAGGTTTACCACTCGCATCACAGCTTTGGTACTGGAACCGCAACCAATAGTGCATGAAACAGTCATCGGGTGTTACGCTTCCGCGTGACGTCATGCGCCAACAGCCAGCGCAGCCGGCAAAAACGGGTAGTTGACAGCGATCGCTCTCTGTGCCTGTTAATCGACCGCCATTCATTGTACACAATTTTTTGTGTGCATAAACCAATTGCGGTCCTGGCCATGCCTGAAAGGTTGTCAGGTTAGCGGTTATTCCTCCTGTTTTTCACTGCAATTGTAGGCTGAATCTTCATTGTGGATCGTTTTTTACTTCAAGGACCTGTGTAATGGTTATTCCAGGCAAGTTTGGGGTGAGTTGCAGTTGCAATTAGTGTGTAACGGGGACAAAATTGAACATTTTCCAAAATGTTTTGCCTATACTACAATTTTTTACGAGAAAAACTCGCTCCAGCCCTAGATGACAACCCAATGATAAAACTCAGGGCTGGGTAACTCCAGCTAGCCACTACATGTATACAGGCATGACACATTGACAGGTTTTCGTTTTACTTTTTAACGCGGTTAACACCCGAATTTAATCTTTACCTGCATCAGAATAACTGATAGTCGTGACAAAAGAGCAAAAACAGCTACAGAAACTGCATAGAGGCCTTTCGCTTTATGTTTTCGTGTCATTTTGGCTGTATTTTCATTCACACTGCACAACATGCAGCCGGTCAAAATAAGGTACATGTAATGATGTACACTTGCAGCTACGACTGCGGACTTTTGCCACTGTTATTAGAATTCTACGATACAGTAACAATCCGTAGCTGTAGTCCTTTCTTGACAACAATAGACTGGTACTGTAAGGCTAACGTATTGCTATGTAATGTATTTGTGTATGGATACAAGACAATAGTCACAATAGTCTGGCACTATAAGGCGGAATAGATTCAAATATACATGTATCTAAATAACAGAGGGGACCAGACTTTAGTAATTTCGCACTCCTTCTCAGGGACCCAGCTCAAGGTAGCCGCAAAATTGGCCGGATTTCTGGCCGCGTATTCAGCCGCGCATTCACCAAAATTTTAAAAATGTATAATACATGCAGCAAAAGGTGATCTAGTTTAAAGAAAGATAACTTCATTTATTCAACGAATTTTCCATAATAAACGACAAATAACAATATTTTTGTAACGCCATATAAAAAAACCCACAAACCGTTTCATCCATTATTTTTGAAATTTTGATGCAAAAATTATTATTAAACTAGCTGCATAATGGGAATCATGACATATATTTACGCTTTTGGAGACGTTTGAAGTAAGTGCATCATTTGAAACGAAGCTGTACCACACATAATATCAAAACTCACAATTTTATTTCATAATCTAAGAGATCATTATACTGGGCACACTTCGTTTTGGTATAGGCTTCAGCCGAATACTAATTAGTGCCTAATTATAGCCCGTTAAAGTGACCCTATTTTGCTGCACAATAAGAAGGCGTTCTTTTCAACTACGCATATCACTACCTCTTTAAAACAAAGTGTACCTTAAGTAGAACACACAGTTTATAAGACTAAAATTAAATCCGAAAACAAGTGAACAAAAATAAAGACTTCTGTCAACGCGGATCACGATCTGCACAAACGAAGCCGGTGTAGCATGAATTTAGGTTTTATGAAATACAGACTCATTGGTGGTATTGGGCATGCTCATACATAGATAATTAGGAGAGGGACCGGTCACGTGAGAGAGTTTAACCAATAAAAGGGGAAAAGAGTCTGATTTTCATACGAGTCCGAATTTCATATGACACCGGCATTAAGCGAACAAAAATAACCCACTTTGTGGAGACCATAACTCAAGAACAACAGTGCACTGAATTGAAATTTCGTTCAAAAATTGTTCAGGATATAGAACACAAATGGTTTGAAAATCAACGGCAACTTTTGAAGAAAACATTTAATATGATTTAATTTGACTTTGTCCTTTGTGTTCCCCACCTCTTGTGGTCAACCATCCCCTTCCCCCAATCCCCCTCCCTTTTGTTACCCTCCTTTCTGTTCAGCCACCTGCTTTCTCTGTGTATTTTCCTCTGCATCATCTATTTCCACTTGACTGCTTTTGTTACATCAGTAATGTATACATGTACCTGTTTATGTTTATAGTCTTGTCATTCAGCCTTCGAGAAAGACTCTGCTAGGGTCGAAACGTCAGGCCACTAACTATTTTTTTGCATGATTTAAAGAACATACAGTTTATTAAAATTCAATCCAAATTCAAGTGAACAAAACTAAAGCACTCTGTGGCGACGATAACTCAAGAAAAACACACTGCATTGAATTGAAATTTCGTCCAATAATTGTTCTGGATATAGGACTCAACCAATTTGAAAATCGACGGGAACTCTTGAAGAATAAATTTAATATGATATAAAGAAAGTGCAGTTTATTAATCGCGAAAAATTCAATTCGAATTCGAGTCACTTTTAATGGAACAAAAATAAAGCACACTCTTTGTGGAGACGATAGCCTAAGAAAAACACATTGCACTGATTTGAAATTGCGTCCCATAATTGACTGTGATATTCGACACAATACATTTGAAATTCGACAGAAACCGTTGAAGAAAATAAATATAACAAAAACAAAAACTACAGCGTGTAAGGGCACTCCCGTACATTTTACCAACATCAATTTCTTCCAAAAGAGGGCGCGCTACACAAATACTGGTCACCACTGTAAAGACTTCTGTCAAGCGGATCACGATCTGCCCAAACGAAGTCGGCAATAAGTGAACAAAACTTAAAACACTTTGTGGAGACGATAACTCAAGAACAACACAGTGCACTGAATTGAAATTTCGTTCAATAATTGTTCGGGATATTGGACACAAATGGTTTGAAAATCAACAGGAACCCTTGAAGAATAAATTTAATATGATTGAAAGAACACACCGTATATTAAAATTCGATCCGAATACAAGTGAACAAAAATAAAGCACTCTGTGGAGACGATAACTCAACAAAAGCACATTGCACTGACTTGAAATTGTGTACAATAATTGTTCTGGATATAGGACTCATCCATTTAAAAATCGACGGGAACGCTTGAGGAATAAATTTAATATGATTTAAAGAACACACCGTATATTAAAATTTGATCCGAATTCAAGTGAACAAAAATAAAACACTCTGTGGCGACGATAACTCAACAAAAACACATTGCACTGAATTGAAATTTTGTTCAATAATTGTTCGGGATGAGGACACAAATGGTTTGAAAATCGACGGGAACACTTGGAGAATATATTTAATATGATTTAAAGAACACACCGTATATTAAAATTCGATCCGAAAACAAGTGAACAAAAATAAAGCACTCTGTGGAGACGTTGTTTTGATACTCGACGGGAACACTTGTGTCTGTTAGTGCAGTGAAAATGGGATCACTTTAACAGACTAATTAGTATCCGGCTGAAGCTAATACTAAAAATTAAGTGTGCCCAGTATAATTATCTCATACATTAATGAAACAAAACTGCGACTTTTTACTGAATAGATCTAAAACGCGTTCAATTGTGCAGTAAAAATAGTGTCAATTTAACGGGTTTATTAGGGACTAATCAGTGTTCTGCATACCAAAATTAAGTGTGCCCAGTAACAATGATCTCGTAGATTATGAAATCAGTGAAATTGACAACATGTGCGGTACACTTTGTTTTAAAAAGAGGCAGTAATATACGCAGCAGAATAGAACCAATTATGTGCTTGGAAAATGTGGTCACTCTTACGGGCCAATTAGGCACTAATAAGTGTTCGGCTGAAGCCTATACCAAAATGAAGTGTGCCCAGTAACATGATCTCCTAGATTATGAAATAAAATTGTCAGTTTTTAATATTACGTGTGGTACACCAATTCCTCCATGGGTACACTTTGTTTCAAAATAATGATGCATCTACTTTCAAACCGTCTCCAAAAGCTTTGAAAATTAACGCGAAATGTCATAATTCCCATTATGCAGCTAATGTAATAGTGATTATTGCATCAAAAATTTGATAAAACGGTTGCTTATGTCGATTTTTTTTATTTGGCGTGAACAAAATATTGTTATTTGTCGTTTATTATGGGAAATTCGTTCAATCACCTTTTGCCGCATGTATTATACACTTTATTTAATTTTGGTGAATGGGCGGCCAAATCCACGGCTACCTTGAGCCAGGTTTCTCAGGGTCTCATTTCAATCTGACGTACTGCTCAACGACATGAAGACGAGGTTGAAAGTGGACCAGCGGAAATTGTGCAAAACCATAGAGGAATAGCAAAACAAAGCATCGCACAGCAAAATGAGCTGAACAAATCAACGATATTTCTGTTGGACAACAAAGTGCAGAAGCATAAATAAACCAGCTTCATCAGAGGGAATTTTGTATATTGTTGGTATGTGATTGGTCTTTTTAATTTGCTGTAGTGTTATGAATGGAAAATGAATAATTATAACATCGCGAGCGGCGAGGGGCCGGATTTGGAGGAGGGCCGTTGAGGGCGCTGTGGCGTATAAACCCAGGATTTTGTTTGTTTGGGGATATTTATTGTAGGGGGGTGTTTCAAGGGAAAAATTTCCATATTTGGCCATCACTAGTAATTTTGCCCTTCAGTGACCTATCACTAGTATCAGCCATCAGAAAGTGATAATAATATGTTAATAGAACTTTAAAATTAAAAAGTAAAATTCAGCTGGGGAAATTTTGAAGTTTTTACTAAAAAAACACATCTACTCTAGCTCGGACGAATTTTTAATTTTAAAGGGAATAAAGGCAAGGCAGCATGGGCTGATGTATGTGGGCAGGGCCAGGGGTATGTGGGATAAATTTAATGGTTGCATATTACCGTGAAACACCTTATTCACGTTGAATGATTTATCATTTATATATTTCTTTGTTTAATTTTGTATCAGTTTTTGTACAACCGATCTGCAAACATGAAGATGACCGAGGTGAAAGATTGCCCGTTGCAGTTCCAGGAGTTTGTGCCAATCGACCACGAGAAATCCTGCCCAAGATACACCACGGGTAAGCGTCAAGACCACGCTAGTCTATAAAGCTGGTTCCAGAGTGCACGTAATCCTATTCAATTGATTCAGAATGACTATTCACTGGTCTTTCCATGTACCTGGTCTACACGATGGGCCAGATTTACATGTAGCCCATTCATAAAGAGGTGGTCCTATACAATAGCACTGCCCAGTTTACAAGCGACAGCCAGTCAATGAGTCAGTTTATTCAGTGAGAAACATGTTACAAAGAGGACACTGTCTGACCCGTTTCGAACCAGCCAAAAAAATACTGTCATTTGCCATGTGAAGTCCGGTTCATGTTGGCAGAAAATGAAAGCGCAATACACATTTTGTGATTGTCGTGAAGAGTACCGCGCTACAATTATGCAACAGTTGGAGACATTTCAACTCTGGCAAATTTTGCTTTGAATGTTTCATGATGTCAAATTCACTTTAAAGTTAAAAGTTCAATTTATATGAAAAAGTTTTTAAAAAGGACACTAACATTAAGAAAATCATGCTGCATAAAATGCATCATACATCCACAAATTTTCCAAACGATCTGTCAAATATCTTATAATTTTTTTTTCAGTTTAAACACTCAAATAAATTGACAGTACAGAAAAGATGTACATGTCACACCAGTAAAATGTAAAATAACTGGGTCTGTTTTTTTTTTCAGGGCTGAAATTTATTAGTATTTGTCCTGATTTCAGGAATTTTTGTTTGCAGGATTTTATCTGATTTTTGGATTTTTTCCAGATTTTGGGCAGGATTTTGCCTGATTTCATGAATTTTTTGGTCAGAATTTTCTTTATTTCAGGATTTTGAAAGAATCCCTCTAAAATCTAGAATTAATGAGGTGTTATTGTAATTTTAACACTAGAAGCTTTTTAGTGTCTCTGAATTAGACTTATACTCAAGTCTGACATAAGTGTTAAATGTTTCAAGAATCATGTCATTTGTATCCTTCAGTGTTGCAGCGTGAAGAGGGGGAAGGCATCGTCATGGACGAGTTAGACACCTTACAACTGGAGTTGGAGACTTTGCTTGCGTCGGTGTCCAAACGCATGCTGCAGTTGGAAACGGAGAACAAAACTTTAATTGACTGGTTGGAGAGACGCGATAAGAAAGGCGCAACTACCCCGACGCCCGCAAGTGGCAAGGGCAAACCGGTAAGAATGTTGTCATTTTTCAACAATTTTGTGGAGCTGTCATGAAAAACGATGCCTGTGTTTCCAGGTACCCAACAAGGTCTGGAGCATTGAGATCGTGGTCTGCGGGGAAATCCTGCAGGTTGTGGGTTCGAGTCCAGCCTGGGGCTATGGTGCGTGTGCCCTTGGGCAAGGCACTTTGTCACGCATTGCTTCTCCCCACTCAGGAGTAAATGGGTACCTGTGAGGGCAGAGATGGTTATTGTGGTTGACTTAAGCTGCGTTGTGCCGAAATGGCAGCATCGAGCTGTATACCAGGGAGCTGAAATGGTATTTGGAATGTTTCATTGGCCCAATAATGATGTAGCGCCTTGAGCACCAATACTGGTGGATAAGGACGCTTTCAAGGTCACGTTATTATAATTGAATGATACCAGCTGATAAAATTTGGTTTTCTATCTGTTAGCAGAAAGATGAAGCGTCTACTCCATCCGGTAAGAGAAGTCGTGTCGAGGAAAAATCTGAAAAACCAGAAAAACCACCAAAGAAAATCAAGGAATCGGGCGGCAAGCAAGGCGCGATGGCTGCTACAGCTACTCCACCAACAGCTGCTGCTTCAGGGAGACCCAAGGCAAAGAGCATGCATGTAAGTCCGATCAGGACAAGCAAGAGTTGAAGTTGAGTCATGTGAGTCTTGAGTCACTTAGGTCATGTCTGAGTACGACTCCGGAGTAGTTTTAGCCCAAGTCATAAGTGTAATAATAGTTGGTCTAGCGCCCTGTACCGACCAGTCTAATAAAAGTTTTACTTAATGGCCACTGAATAAATACAACCCTTATCAACGTTACCCGAGAATAATCGCCTTGAATCAAGCATCATTCTTTAATGTCCTACTAGCTTTTAATTGGTGTCAGAAGTGGGATAGTCAGAAGCCCTACTAGCCACTTACATGGTGTCAAAAGTAGGATAGTCAGAAGTCTTACTAGCCTTTTACATGGTGTCAGAAGTGGGATAGTCAGAAGTCCTACTAGCCTTTTACATGGTGTCAGAAGTGGGATAGTCAGAAGTCTTACTAGCCTTTTACATGGTGTCAGAAGTGGGATAGTCAGAAGTCCTACTAGCCTTTTACATGGTGTCAGAGGTGGGATAGTCAGAAGTCCTACTAGCCTTTTACATGGTGTCAGAAGTGGGATAGTCAGAAGTCCTACTAGTCTTTTACATGGTGTCAGAAGTGGAATAGTCAGAAGTCTTACTAGCCTTTTACATGGTGTCAGAAGTGGAATAGTCAGAAGTCCTACTAGTCTTTTACATGGTGTCAGAAGTGGGATAGTCAGAAGTCTTACTAGCCTTTTACATGGTGTCAGAAGTGGGATAGTCAGAAGTCCTACTAGCCTTTTACATGGTGTCAGAGGTGGGATAGTCAGAAGTCCTACTAGCCTTTTACATGGTGTCAGAAGTGGGATAGTCAGAAGTCCTACTAGTCTTTTACATGGTGTCAGAAGTGGAATAGTCAGAAGTCCTACTAGTCTTTTACATGGTGTCAGAAGTGGAATAGTCAGAAGTCCTACTAGTCTTTTACATGGTGTCAGAAGTGGGATAGTCAGAAGTCCTACTAGCCACCTACATGGTGTCAAAAGTAGGATAGTCAGAAGTCTACTAACTTTTACATGGTGTCAGAAGTGGGATAGTCAGAAGTCCTACTAGCCTTTTACATGGTGTCAGAGGTGGGATAGTCAGAAGTCCTACTAGCCTTTTACATGGTGTCAGAAGAAGAATAGTCGGAATACCTACTAGCTTCGTACAAAGTATGCAGTTAAGTCATATTAGGACAACCAGGAGTTGTAGCCAGTCACTTTAGTCTAGTGTGAATGTGAGTCTTGAGTCACGTTAAACCGAGTCTGAGACTGAGTGCCGAGTCATTTTTAGTCTAAGTCACAAGGAAGACCTAAGGCTAAGAGTTTGCATGTATATGTGAATGTAAGTCATATTAGGGCAGTGCTGAGTTGAAGTCATGTCACTTGAGTTGAGTGTGAGTGTGAGTCTCGAGTCACTTTTGTCGAGTCTGAGTCGCGAGTCATGAGTCCAATTCATGAAGCTATAATTCTGAAGCTGTAAGTCTGTATACCACAATCAAGAGCGGTAGTCGAGTCGCTTGGGTTGAGTGTGACTCTCAATTCACTTCGGCTGAGTCTGAGTCCTGAGTCAAATTGATTGAATCTGAGTTCGAGTCAAGAACCACTCAGCCATATCCATGAGACACCTGTTTAAATTGAGTGGATACTTGGAGTCAGAATCTCGATACACTTCAGGTGAGTCTGAGTCCCGAGTCATTTTGGAGTCTGAGTAACAGAACCTTAGACTCAGCATTTCAAACATTCTTTCCATTCAAGACGTACTTAATTAATATTGTCATTTGCTTTCAGCAAAAACTTCAAGAGTATGAGTTCACGGACGATCCCTTAGCCGAACCACCCCCGCCTCGCGTCCCTCGGAATGACGCCCCGGATCGTTTCTGGACGTCGGTGGAGCCCTACTGCGCAGACATCACAAGCGAAGACATAAAAGTTCTAGATGATATTCTTAAGACTTCTGATGATGACATGGATTATTTTAAGATCCCGCCGTTAGGGAAGCACTACGCTCTCAGATGGGCGCAGGAAGACTTATTGGAGGAGCAGAAGGAAGGTAAGACTGTGAAACTGATCACAGACAGATCACAGACTTGTGATTGACTTGTGATTGACTTGTGATTGACTTGTGATTGATTTGTGACTTGACTTGTGCTTGATTTGTAACTGACTTGTGATTGACTCTTAATTTAACTCCAAGTTGACTTGTTATGAACTCAAATTGAATTGCAATTTTATGTGTGATTGACTTTTGTTTTAATTCACTACAACTTTAATATGTAATTGTCGGAAAGAATACTTTCATTGGCTTATTTTTGGCATCTTCATCTCAAGGAAGCAAAATTGGCGACAAGAAGAAAGGTTCCATGAACAACGCAAACAGCAAGGAAGCAAAGGCTCTTCTCAAGAAAGCAGAAAGGTACGGACATCTTCAAATTTTTAAAACTCTGAATTTTAACCGTCGCTTGACAAAAAAATGTATAATTTAAAGCTATGTTAAATATCTTCAGGAGGTAATGTGCTGGTCCCAGAGAGCCAGCCTAGTGTTCTCACTGACTGACTGACTGTCACTTGTGAGTCGGGCAGTGCTATTGTATAGGATTACCCTGTAAGCCAATGAGTTGGCTGAATCGGCCCACTGTGTAGGCCAGATGCATTGAATAGAATGTGTGCACTCAGGGACCAGCTTTACTAGACTTGCCAAGTCTTCTTGTAACATAATTGATACATTTTATGTTTCAGTCGCGAAGAAGACATCTGCCCGTTTGGACCGTTGACGCAACGACTTATCTCAGCGTTAGTTGAAGAAAACATCATGACACCTATAGAAGACATCATCTCAGAAACGTCTACTAAAGTACGTATCAACATTCAATCTTAAAGCTACAGTCCATCATTTGTAATGTGTGCATTTTGTTCGTTTGAAGCAACAAAAGAGTTCAAAATCTAATGAAGGATACTGAGCAACTAACCTGATGAAGTTTCAGCTAAGCTTCAGCTGTATATTCCGAGAAAAACAGCATTCTAAGATCTCAATTTCAAATCAAAAGTTACTGAATCATGTTTTGAATTGTTTTGAATTGCAGCTATACGCGACGTAGCGCACTGATCCGACAAATTACAACAACTGCGCGCGCGTGTGCGTTGTTCCAATACTTGTGCGCGCTGCGCTGAATAACAAAACAAACTACTAATTTAAATTTTCCTACGGTGCTTCTTAAGAATCACCGTTGGAAATGCCTTCTTTCATTGATTACTTCAAAATGACAGCTTCCCAGAAAGAATAATTTCACAGGGAGTTTAATTCCCTTACTATCTTTCAACCAAGTTTGTTTTTCAACAATAATTACGCCAGTTACTTTTCGGATGGCTGCAAATGATGGACTCTAGCTTTAAGTTTAACGTTGACAAAAGAAATTGACTGGAGCAGGGTTTGAACCTGTGACCTCCGGATTGCCGTTCCGGTGCTCTACCAACTGAGCTATCCAGCCCTATGTTGGCAGTTCCCCATTTTGTCGATGTATTCGTTCAATCTTGTACAAATTTGGAGAGATTTAGATTTTAATGTTCAGTTCACCGTGGCAATTTCTTCCAATACATGCATATTCATAGCCTTGGTCAATGCTCTCGTCGTTATTCGTCCCGTACGCGGTCAATCGTCTGCATATATCCTCACGCGCTATGCACATGCATGTAAAAATACAGCGCGAACAGCGACCTCACGCGGCCACTATTTTTATGCAAATCAGTTGGAGACGATGTCGAGCCTTGGTTCAATCATCGGCCAAAGCTTATGTTTTCTTTACTTTGCGCTAGATTTCCAGCGCACGACCTCGTATGCGAATACAGATAATGTAGGCGGGGCTAATATGTGGAGTGTCCAATCACACCTTGGTAAATCCGGACGTCATCAAATTATTTGCAGCTATTCCGGCTTTTGCGAACGTGACAGGAACCACAGTTTTTGTGCATTGGTGCCGTGTGCAGAGACACACAATGTGTACGTGTATGGATTATGTACGGTGCCACGTTTCACTATGCAAGTTTCGTGGACTGGTCTGAGGTATTCCTGACTTCTCAGTTGATTGGAGTTCAAATCTGAGTGAGGGCTTTTTCGCTTCGGAATTAAAAAAATCAATCACTTTCAGTCTCTGGCTGTGCTCAGTGGTCAGACATTGGCCGTATGGCTGGCTGCCTAAGGCGCTTTTACATGCCAGCGGCTCGACCACGTTGTAGCCGCGTCCTTTGCAATTCAGCTTCTCAGCTGCAAGTAGGGATGATGAGCCTCCCAAATTATTATTATTATCTTTTAAATAACGGCGAAGAAGGAACATTTCTTACAGCACGTAAAGTTTATTCACTGGGTTTGTTTTCTTGAGACTAAAAGGCTGATTCAAAGTGCAAAGGAAAGCGATTACAGTGAAATCTCAAGAAGTTAAACTCTGATAACTCAAAACAACTGTTTAGTCAAACAAAGAATCCATTGCCTTCAGTAGTATAACAATGATATACAACCCTGCTTAACTCAAAACTCTGCTTAAGTCAAATTTTGAACTTGTCCCCTTGAGATTTGACTTATCGAGATTTCACTGTATTGCAATTATTGCATATTTGCAGTGTGTGTTCTGACCGTGATGTCACAAATTTGGCTTCGCATTTGCTTTTGCACCATGTATGAACCATCCTTTAAGAGGTTGTGGAATGCTCGAAGACATTTCCGTCATTTTATGGGTATATGTAGCCTAAGGTGTGGTGAAATAAAAACGACTATTGTTTCTGTCATAAAATGAGTACAAAAGGTACTTTTGAGAGCTGTTTTTCAAGTCCTGTCATGCCTGTTTCGACCCGAACGTGCAATTTGTGTAAAAGTCGTCGTTGTGGGCAGCAAACAAAACACAGTAAATCGTGACGTAATAAACAGGACTCCCGATGCAGAGTAGCATAAACGAGTCCTGTTTATTACGTCACGATTACTGTGTTTTGTTTGCTGCCCGCAACGACGACTTTTACACAAATTGCACGTTCGGGTCAAAACAGGACCTGAAAAATAGTTCTCAAAAGTACCCTTTGTACTCATTTCATGACAGAAACAATAGTCGTTTTTATTTCATCACACCTTAGGCTACATATACCCAAAAATGACGGAAATGTCTTCGAGCATTCCACAACCTCTTTAATCAATTAGATGTGCACGTAATTGACCTATCGCCGTTTGCGAGTTAGCCACGCCCCTTAGACAACCTTATGAACTTTTGTACGTTTAGTTTTGTTTGTCTCAGATTATGCGCGTTCCGCATCCATTTTGTATATCATGAAATAGGGCAATATTTCATAAGCTGCGTACACGCGATTCTACTGCGATCTGTCAGTTGGACCAATCAGAAGATAAGAAACCCGATCCATTTCGGGGAAAAAATCACCTGCAACTTACCCCGTCAAGCTCGGTGGTCAAGTGGTAAGATGTCTGCACTTGTAAGCAGGAGGTCGTGGGTTCGCATCCCACCCGTGTAAGCTTGCAAATTTTTGAGATTTGGTGTACACGATAGAGGGCACTATTTCAAGTGGACACTTTTCTTTACCCACATTTGCCTTTTCCAAATAACGCCCTCTGTTGTGTCCACCAATCTTGAAATGCTAATTTTGTTGAGAATTTTTTGTTTAGGGAGACGGCACAGAGAGCAAAGATGGAGTGTCGCCCAAGAACGGAAATCGCTTCACCGTTCCACACACGCGAGCCTTAGAAGCCAGACTCCGAGAAGAACTACTCCATCTAGGTAAAACTTATCCCAAGATTTATTCCTTATGAGAGGAAATATGGCCGTCTTTGAATTTTCAGTGTTTGCTACGGCTTAATATTACATAAATATTTATTTATTATTTGGGCGTAGCAAATAATAAAAAACACAAAAATTCCATCTTATGAATATTTATAATTCATAACATGATATTTTTGCATCGGGTTGATGGTAAATCAATATTAGGTTTTGCCCTTCACAGACGTATAAACACTGTATACTCACGAATACTGCAATTTGCATCCTTGTGGAGTCATTCCTTTGTTTTCGTGTACTGAAATTTAACAGTTTGAAAGTGTAGTTTCAAAATGCTCCTATTTTGACTAGATTTAATTTCCTGGGCTGAAATTCGGACTTATGTATCTTACATAAAATACTTCAATTTGGGACGGATCAACACACCTCTGAAATTCCTATTTTTTAGTAAAATCCCTATTTCGTGATAACCTTGTGCAGACGTATTCACCTATAGAATTTGCCCTGTGTAGACTTTAACAATCTTTTGTTCCTACTATGCACATGTCTCCACAGGGTACCATGTGCCGGATTTCGATGTGGACATAAACGAATCAAAATGTACAACTTATTTAATCTGTTACTTATTATTGGCCAAGTTTTTTTTGAGTGACAACTACTTGAGAAGCTGAAAGTCTCTTTGTTTGATTTAAACTTACCACCATACCAAAATTGTAATTGTTTGATTCTCAGGTCTGTTAGATGCAGATGACCCGGTCACCGACGACATGGATGACGAAATACTGGTGGAACTGCAGAAGCGGCAAGCTGAGTTGAGGGCGCTCTCCGCGCACAATCGCAGCCAGAAGATGCGATTATACCGACTAGCAAAGGAAGAGATCAAACGACAGGAACTCCGACAGAAAATGCGAGCTTCAGATAATGAGGTATTTATGTTTTATTTCAACGAGAAAAAAACAACGACTTTTTTCTACTTTTGGTCTCTGCAATCCTCTAGAATTGGTGTTTGTTTTGGGTCGATTTTGTTAACGAACAGATCTACCCTGTGAGAAGACTGGTTCCCAGCCCCGCACTAATGGTTCTGATAGGGGAGGGAACCAGTCTGGCTCGTGTAAACTGAATGACTGTGGTTGCAAATTATTTGACGTTTATTTTTTTGTTCGATATCTCTATAAAAAGTGCATAACTTTCATATTGCTAAAAAAACAGCAAATTAGGAATGTATTTTTTGGTGAAACTTGATATTTACCTCGAGCAGTACATCTTTAAACTTTACCATGTCACTTGTCCTTGCTACTCGATTGCTTGTGATTGACTTGTGATGTTTTGCGATTGACTTGTGATGACTTAGATTGGCTTGTGATGTCTTGCGATCGACTTGTGATGGACTTTTGGTAACTTGTGATGACTTGTGATGAACTTGTGATGTCTTGCGATGGACTAGTGATTGACTTGTGATGGCGTGTGATGGACTTGTGATGGCTTGTGATTGACTTATGATTGACTTGTAATGGACTTTTGATGACTTGTGATGGACCTGTGATGGACTTGTGATTGGCTCGCGATGACTTATGATTGGCTTATGATTGATTTTTGATGAACTTGTTCTGACTAATATTTTTATTTTACATTTTTGTAATTTTAGGCAATGGATGCTTTTCGACGCATCATGGCAGCAAAACAGAAAAAACGTTCACCAACGAAAAAGGAAAGAGACCAAGCGTGGAAAATCATCAAAGAAAGAGAAGCGTTAGTCAAACAACTCGAATCCATGTGATAAACTCAACTCAAAAAACAATATTACAAGTACATCGTAGCCAGCTACTTTCTTCATTCAGGGTAGTACGTGGATCTCCTAATGTGTTGCAAGTATGTCGGAGGCTGTTGTGTATGTATTTATTATCAACAAATATACAAAAGGTTCACCCACTCTTGTTTTACTATACTCCCGAGGACGATGCTTTGTGTTTTCCTTTGTGCCTGTAATATAACACACTCCCCTAGACTAAGCACACAAATGTACTACAGAGGACCGTTTCCAACAAAAGACCCAACTCCCGAGGACTGAAAGGATCTGTTGTTCTCCCTTTGTGTGTCGGTTCTCGGGGGTTATGTAGAACAAGTACACTCTTACCTATTCTAGCGATACAAAACCATTGTCGTCTAACCGCGCCTTAACGCAAAGTCTGTTGGTTTGCAACAATTATTTGGTAAATTCAATTATGTGATTGTTGTAGCAGTATTCAGTTCGGTTTTGACAAATTGAATCAGTTGCTCATCAGTAAATGATGATTGCGTAAAGCCCTTTCCACACTAGACAAATCTCGGGGTTGACGCAGGGTGGAAAACATGCATCGTTTCACACTTGAGGAATTTCAACCCCGTGTCAACCCTGCGTCAACCACGAGATTGATTTCACCCTGGGTTGAACTCAACCCTGCTCCAGACCAGGGTTGAGATTTTCGACCCGGGTTGAAATTCTTGCCAGGGTTCAAAACAGTAGTAACTGAGCACGATAAGCTTGATTTGCATGAAACGTGTGAAATGATGCGGGGTTGAACGCGGGGTTTAAAATCAAAAACTCAACCCCTAGGCGGCACTGGGTTCACCCTGGGTTGAGGTCAACCCGGGTAGAGAGGCTCTAGTGTGAAAAGGGCTTAAGCATGTATAGTCAACTCTCATTAACCCTAACTGAACGCAACCCTTCAAAGTTCAACAGCAGGTTTTGTTTAAATCTGTTGGGATAGGTACAGTACCCCTAAACTGATGGTCTTTTACACTGGGGTTGGCATACCTCCAGAAACTAAGTCCAACAGTGTGTGTGTACAATTTCCCATGTGGGTGTTGGAATTTGCCAGAATGGGTATGGTTCCTAGTAAATTATGCTGGGGAGTTGGGGTTAATACAAACTCTTTTTTGTATACATTTGCTTTTGCTGCAATTTTTCGGAAATGGATGGATTTGGGGTTCGTATTTTATAGCAAATATTGTTACATTGACATGTTTAAAGTTTTGTGTTCGTAGATGCTGGGAAATCCAAGAAAAACAATCATGTTTCTGTAGGTTGGTTCCCGGACCCCACTTAAGTTAAAACAGAGCAATTTATAGATGGTGGGGAATTGTAAGGTCGGGGAACCAGTCTAGCTGGCTTGTACCGTCCTAAGATGTGTTATCGATTGCATTAATGTGGACTTATTAAATCATTGTAAATTGGGGGCAGTGGTTTTTCCTTGCTGGTCAACCAACTAGCTTTTAATTGAAATTGAAATTTTGAAAATGTTTCGTTTTGTTTCAAGCAGTGTCAATATTGTGGACATGAGTACACGTGTACTTATTTTTTTCCCCAGGTCTCAGCGTCTGTTTTTACACCAGAATTTGAAATAATGATGTGACTGTTTTGGAAAATAAAAATTGTATGGGAATATCCTTGCATTTTAATTGGAGTTGATTAAAGTTGGATTTTCTTGAAAATCAAAACTGTAAGGAATATTCATCACTGTTATTTTTAATTCAAAAATTCAAATTCTTAGAGTTAATGTTGCTCTTTTCATCGAAATTGGGAAACATTCGATTTTTCTCCAGAATTTAAATTTGTAAGGCTTTATTTAACCTTGCTCTTTTCATCAAAATCAGGCAAAATTTGATTTCTATTAAAAAAAAAACCACCATCAGTTATAAGGGGTTAACCCTACTCTTTCCATCCAAATTGGGCAACAATTGACTTTTCTCAAGAATATATATTTGTAAAGGCAAATTAGACGAAATTTGATGTTTTCAACAATTCACTCCCCCCCCCCCCCCCCCCCCCCCTCTAGAAAAGCGAAAAGAAGAAAATGTCCCTACCCCCTCGAAAAATGATATAGCGAGAATTCGCTGGAAAAATACAGGGATTTTAGGGGAGGGGAGTGTACTTTGCCCCTTCTAGAATTTTAATTTTTTTTTAAACCTGGCGACGCCCATGCAAATGTTCTGGTTGGACTGTGACTGCAGATTCACAGGTTATTCTCCGTGTGGACACAAAAACACTTGGTGGAGAGAAAAACAATATTTTGTCTCAATATTCTGTCTTGTTTGTCTATTTTTCATGAACTATCATCGGGCAACAATTCAATTCAATGCATCACCTAATGTTTGAGTGCATGATTAGCGTGTCCACCAGGACTATGGTTTTTGTGCAAACGTGAGGCAAATGTTCTGTTTGGACTGCGACTGCAGCCTGTCGCCTAGTTTTTCCGAGTCAACACATACAAGACACTGTTGAGGGAGAGAAAAACGATATTTTGTCTCAATCTTCTGTCTTGTTTTTTTTTTTTTCATTTTCAATCGTCTGGCCAGAATTCAATTCAATGCGTCATTTAATTTTGGACATATCGTGTCCACTAGGACTATGGTTTTTGTGCAAAAGTGAGGCAAATGTTCTGTTTGGACTGCGACTGCAGCCTGTCGCCTAGTTGAGGGAGAGACACTGTTGAGGGAGAGAAAAACAATATTTTGTCTCTATCTTCTGTCTTGTTTGTCTATTTTTCATTTTCAATCGTCTGGCCAGAATTCAATTCAATGCGTCATTCAATTTTGGACATATCGTGGGTACCCGGACGAGCGTTTTTGTGCAAAAGTGAGGCAAATGTTCTGTTTGGACTGCGACTGCAGCCCGTCGCCAAGTTTTTCTCCGAGTCAACACAAGACACTGTTGAGGGAGAGAAAAACAATATTTTGTCTCAATCTTCTGTCTTGTTTGTCTATTTTTCATTTTCAATCGTCTGGCCAGAATTCAATTCAATGCGTCATTTAATTTTGGACATATCGTGTCCACTAGGACTATGGTTTTTGTGCAAAAGTGAGGCAAATGTTCTGTTTGGACTGCGACTGCAGCCTGTCGCCTAGTTGAGGGAGAGACACTGTTGAGGGAGAGAAAAACAATATTTTGTCTCTATCTTCTGTCTTGTTTGTCTATTTTTCATTTTCAATCGTCTGGCCAGAATTCAATTCAATGCGTCATTCAATTTTGGACATATCGTGGGTACCCGGACGAGCGTTTTTGTGCAAAAGTGAGGCAAATGTTCTGTTTGGACTGCGACTGCAGCCCGTCGCCAAGTTTTTCTCCGAGTCAACACAAGACACTGTTGAGGGAGAGAAAAACAATATTTTGTCTCAATCTTCTGTCTTGTTTGTCTATTTTTCATTTTCAATCGTCTGGCCAGAATTCAATTCAATGCGTCATTTAATTTTGGACATATCGTGTCCACTAGGACTATGGTTTTTGTGCAAAAGTGAGGCAAATGTTCTGTTTGGACTGCGACTGCAGCCTGTCGCCTAGTTTTTCTCCTAGTCAACACATACAAGACACTGTTGAGGGAGAGAAAAACAATATTTTGTCTCAATCTTCTGTCTTGTTTGTCTATTTTTCATTTTCAATCGTCTGGCCAGAATTCAATTCAATGCGTCATTTAATTTTGGACATATCGTGGGTACCCGGACGAGCGTTTTTGTTCAAAAGTGAGGCAAATATTCTGTTTGGACTGCGACTGCAGCCTATCGCCAAGATTTTCTCCGTGTTGCGACACAAGACACTGTTGAGGGAGAGAAAAACCAATACTTTGTCTCAATCTTCAGTCTTGTTTGTCATGACCAATCGCATTTTCGTTCTTGAAAATTCACTCCTGAATGTAATACATCATGAAGAGTTATTGCACGGACTTTCAGTTAAATTCAATTAGTACATTGTGCCTTATCACCCGAACCACAGAGTATTTTCGTTTTAAGTTGTTTCGGTCATATTTTCTTGTTGTTTGACGAGTTCTCGTGAAATTTGACTGGCGATCATGACACGTCAAGGACAATTTTTTTGCTGTGATGGGAATTTATAGGCTTCTGTTGCTAATTTTGTTTAAATGTGTAAGGGGTTAACCTTGTAGCTCTTTTCATCTTAATTGAGCAAAATTAGATTTTCTCAAAAATTTAAATCTAACATGGGTACAACCTTGCTCTTTTCATCAAATTTGGCCAAAATTTAATTTTTCTGAAAACTTAAAAATTCTAGGGGGTTAACCATACTGTTTTCATCAAAATATTGGGCAACATTTGACTTTTCTCAAGAAAGGCAGCTTTCTAGCAACTTTCAAAAAATTTCACTTTTTTGGCCAAAATTGAAAAAAAATGCAAGGGGTTAGCCTTACATTTTTAGTCAAAATTGGCCAAAACTTGACTTTTCTCAAAACAAGGCAGGAATTCATCTGGATGCAAGAGGAACATCAATCAATACTCTAACACGCAGAATGTTGAAGATTTGGGCAAAAATCATCCATTTTTAGAGGGAAAAAAAACATTTTTATAGCGATGTTACCTTAATTTTTCTTCGGAATTTCCCCTGTAATAGCACATCTGTCCAGCAATCGATTTGAAATGCGTTCTAGGGCCTTTAAGGCATCTTTCTAGCAACTTTGAAGAATTTTCATTTTTTGGCCAAACTTGAAAAAAATGCAAGGGGTTAGCCTTACATTTTCAGTCAAATTTGGCCAAAAATTGACCAATTTCAACTTTTCTCAAAACAAGGCAGAAATTCATCTGGTGCAAGAGGAACATCAATCAATACTCTAACACGCAGAATGTTGAAGATTTGGGCAAAAATCATCCTTTTTTAGAGGGAAAAAAACATTTTTAAAGCGATTTTACCTTAATTTTTCTTCGGAATTTCCCCTTTAATAGCACATCTGTCCAGCAATCGATTTGAAATGCATTCTTGGGCCCTTAAGGCATCGTTCTAGCAACTTTGAAAAATTTTCATTTTTTGGCCAAACTTGAAAAAAAATGCAAGGGGTTAGCCTTACATTTTCAGTCAAAATTGGCCAAAAATTGACAAATTTCAACTTTTCTCAAAAAAAGGCAGAAATTCATCTGGTGCAAGAGGAACATCAATCAATACTCTAACACGCAGAATGTTGAAGATTTGGGCAAAAATCATCAATTTTTTAGAGGAAAAAAACATTTTTAAAGCGATTTTACCTTATTTTTTTCCCGGAATTTCCCCTTTAATAGCACATCTGTCCAGCAATTGATTTGAAATGCGTTCTAGGGCCCTTAAGGCATCGTTCTAGCAACTTTGAAGAATTTTCATTTTTTGGCCAAACTTGAAAAAAATGCAAGGGGTTAGCCTTACATTTTTAGTCAAAATTGGCCAAAAATTGACCAATTTCACCTTTTCTCAAAAAAAGGCAGAAACTCATCTGGATGCAAGAGGAACATCAATCAATACTCTAACACGCAGAATGTTGAAGATTTGGGCAAAAATCATCTTTTTTTAGAGGGAAAAAAAACATTTTTAAAGCGATTTTACCTTCATTTTTCTTCTGAATTTCCCCTTTAATAGCACATCTGTCCAGCAATCGATTTGGAATGCTTTCTAGGGCCTTTAAGGCATCTTTCTAGCAACTTTGAAGAATTTTCATTTTTTGGCCAAACTTGAAAAAAATGCAAGGGGTTAGCCTTACATTTTTAGTCAAAATTGGCCAAAAATTGACCAATTTCAACTTTTCTCAAAAAAAGGCAGAAATTCATCTGGTGCAAGAGGAACATCAATCAATACTCTAACACGCAGAATGTTGAAGATTTGGGCAAAAATCTTCTTTTTTTAGAGGGAAAAAAACATTTTTAAAGCGATTTTACCTTCATTTTTCTTCTGAATTTCCCCTTTAATAGCACATCTGTCCAGCAATCGATTTGGAATGCGTTCTAGGGCCTTTAAGGCATCTTTCTAGCAACTTTGAAGAATTTTCATTTTTTGGCCAAACTTGAAAAAAATGCAAGGGTTAGCCTTACATTTTCAGTCAAATTTGGCCAAAAAATGACCAATTTCAACTTTTCTCAAAAAAAGGCAGAAATTCATCTGGTGCAAGAGGAACATCAATCAATACTCTAACACGCAGAATGTTGAAGATTTGGGCAAAAATCATCCTTTTTTAGAGGGAAAAAAACATTTTTTTCAGCGATTTTACCTTAATTTTTCTTCGGAATTTCCCCTTTAATAGCACATCTGTCCAGCAATCGATTTGAAATGCGTTCTTGGGCCCTTAAGGCATCGTTCTAGCAACTTTGAAAAATTTTCATTTTTTGGCCAAACTTGAAAAAAAATGCAAGGGGTTAGCCTTACATTTTCAGTCAAAATTGGCCAAAAATTGACCAATTTCAACTTTTCTCAAAAAAAGGCAGAAATTCATCTGGTGCAAGAGGAACATCAATCAATACTCTAACACGCAGAATGTTGAAGATTTGGGCAAAAATCATCAATTTTTTAGAGGAAAAAAAACATTTTTAAAGCGATTTTACCTTATTTTTTTCCCGGAATTTCCCCTTTAATAGCACATCTGTCCAGCAATTGATTTGAAATGCGTTCTAGGGCCCTTAAGGCATCGTTCTAGCAACTTTGAAGAATTTTCATTTTTTGGCCAAACTTGAAAAAAATGCAAGGGGTTAGCCTTACATTTTTAGTCAAAATTGGCCAAAAATTGACCAATTTCACCTTTTCTCAAAAAAAGGCAGAAACTCATCTGGATGCAAGAGGAACATCAATCAATACTCTAACACGCAGAATGTTGAAGATTTGGGCAAAAATCATCCATTTTTAGAGGGAGAAAAAAAAATACTTTTAAAGCGAATTTACCTTCATTTTTCTTCGGAATTTCCCCTTTGATAGCACATCTGTCCAGCAATCTATTTGGAATGCGTTCTAGGGCCCTTAAGGCATCTTTCTAGCAACTTTGAAGAATTTTCATGTTTGGCCAAACTTGAAAAAAATGCAAGGGGTTAGCCTTACATTTTCAGTCAAAATTGGCCAAAAATTGACTTTTCTCAAAACAAGGCAGGAATTCATCTGGATGGAAGAGGAACATCAATCAATACTCTAACACGCAGAATGTTGAAGATTTGGGCAAAAATCATCCATTTTTAGAGGGAAAAAAAAACATTTTTATAGCGATGTTACCTTAATTTTTCTTCGGAATTTCCCCTTTAATAGCACATCTGTCCAGCAATCGATTTGAAATGCGTTCTAGGGCCCTTAAGGCATCTTTTCAGCAACTTTGAAGAATTTTCATTTTTTGGCCAAACTTGAAAAAAAATGCAAGGGGTTAGCCTTACATTTTCAGTCAAAATTGGCCAAAAATTGACCAATTTCAACTTTTCTCAAAACAAGGCAGAAATTCATATGGTGCAAGAGGAACATCAATCAATACTCTAACACGCAGAATGTTGAAGATTTGGGCAAAAATCATCAATTTTTAGAGAAAAAAAAATACCCTGTAATTGTTATTCGTCGCCCCTAGAGGTACAGATACCTTTAGGGGCGACCGTTATCGGTCGCCCCCAGCGGTCTAGCCTTTAGGGGCGACCGTAAGTGATCGCCCCCAGCGGTAGGTACCTCTAGGCGACTGTTGTTGGTCGCCCCCAGCGGTATACCGCTACGGGCGACTGTTGTTGGTCGCCCCCAGCGGTATACCGCTACGGGCGACTGTTGTCGCCCCTAGAGGATAGAACTACCGCTACGGGCGACCAATAATTGTCGCCCCCAGCGGTACGTACCTCTGGGGGCGACCATATTGTCGCCCCTAGAGGTATACCGCTACGGGCGACTGTTGTTGGTCGCCCTCAGAGATATACCGCTACGGGCGACTGTTGTTGAGCGCCCTCAGCGGTACGTACCTCTAGGGGCGACCTTTTCTGATCGCCTCCAGCAGTATTCCGCTACGGGCGACTGTTGTTGGTCGCCCCCAGCGGTATACCGCTACGGGCGACTGTTGTCGCCCCTAGAGGATAGAACTTCCGCTACGGGCGACCAATAATTGTCGCCCCCAGCGGTACGTACCTCTGGGGGCGACCATATTGTCGCCCCTAGAGGTATACCGCTACGGGCGACTGTAGTTGGTCGCCCCCAGCGGTATACTGCTACGGGCGACTGTTGTTGGTCGCCCCCAGAGTATACCGCTACGGGCGACTGTTGTTGGTCGCCCCCAGCCGTATACCGCTACGGGCGACTGTTGTTGGTCGCCCCCCAGAGATATACCGCTACGGGCGACTGTTGTTGAGCGCCCTCAGCGGTACGTACCGCTACGGGCGACTGTCGGTTTGAAAGCGAATTTACCTTAATTTTTCTTCGGAATTTCCCCTTTGATAGCACATCTGTCCAGCAATCAATTTGGAATGCGTTCTAGGGCCCTTAAGGTATCTTTCTAGCAACTTTCAAAAAAATTCATTTTTTGGCCAAAATTGAAGAGGAACATCAATCAATACTCTAACACGCAGAATTTTGAAGATTTGGGCAAATTAACTTTAAATTCTCTAAAAAACATTGTAAGGGGTAAACCTTGCATTTGAATCAAAATTGAGTAGGCCTTAAATTAGGTTTCTCAAATATTAAGAATCGTAAGGGGTTAACCTGGCATTTTGATAAAAATTTGGGCAACATTTTATTTCTCTCAAAAACTTAAAATTGTAAGGGGTAATCCCCGCATTTCAATCAAAATCTAGCAAAGGTTGGCGTTTCTCAAAAAATAAGATTTGCAAGGGGTTCATCTTGCATTTTAATCAAAATTGGGCAAAATTTGTTTCTCAAAAATTAAAAATTGTAAAATGTTAACCATGCATTTTAATCAAAATTGAGCAAAATTTGATTTTTCTAAGGGGGTAGAACTTTACATTTCTAATCATAATTCGGTGTAGGACGATCAAATTTTCGTATCGAGTCACCGAAAAATAATAAATTATTCAGAAAAAATAAATTTTTACCTATTTTAGCCCTCATTCTCCATTTTAAGTAATTAAAAGCAGATCACACCTTTCATCACAATAACAACGACTAAAGAACAACCTGGTTTATTTAGGAAACGTGAAAACCATTTTTATTGCAACTTTTTGTTCGTAACTGGGGGAAAAAAAGATAATGATGGACACATCTAAGTTCAGACAAGTAGAGCTAGAATGAACGCGTGACCGGGCAGTCGGCCCAGAATTGGCAAATCACAACGGGTAAGGAATGGCACGAGCCAAGCGACGCTATGAGCTACAGTATAGAGCATAACAGACTAGAATCGATGTTGAAAACACAGGAAACTTGGAGCTCATTCGAACAAAAAAAAAACCCAAACTATTAAGAGTATTGAAAAACGAAAGTCACCAAAATAAAAATAAATAATTACATAAATAAATCGTCACATTCCAATTGCTAATGCAAGACTTATCAACGGGGACATCGAATGAAAAGTGTTACAAACTACATAGGCGTTTTCTACAGTTAAGTATCTGCTGGTTAAAAAGAGTGATTACTATGAACGTGAGTCAAGTTCAAAACTACACATACAATACTGCCGTCGTGACGTCATTTTACCGCTTGGTTAAAGATACCCACGTGATTATCTTTGAATCAGTTGCAACCACCGACTTCTTATAACGGGACTGGTTGAAAAGTTTGAAGCAGCCGCATTGAAGCCGATGTTCGCCATCTTGGGACACCAATGACGCACGCGCAGTAAACGCAGTTTGTGTTTGTTTGTTTGTTTGTTTTCTCAACAGGCGGCAACAAACAAAAGAAATATATATTCCGATTCGGTTTTCAGATTCAAAGGTTCCTGCTCCAATTGACTAACACTTAAAGAGTTCTTTTTGTTTTTGTTTTCGATTTTGGGGGAAGGAATTGTTGCAAGAACAAATCTCCGCCACAGAATGATGAAAGGCCCACATGAAACATGTAGGCTTAGCCTAGTCCTGACGTGACGTTTTTGGGGAACCAAAGTGGCGAGTCCATTGCTTCAAAGCGCACTAGCATAGAAGTCAGTGATAACAAGAGTAGTTTATGTTGTTCACAAAGCTTAAAACCGTAGAAAAAATGTGCGCTTACTCGCAATGCATATGCATCGGTACATATTCCTTTGTTAGGCATGAAAGAGAACATCAATATACCAAAACAATAATAAATAACTAAATGGATAAATAAATAAAATGAAACAAAAACGTATCCCAATAACAAAATCAAGTACAAATAAAATTTCAAACTTTGAAGTATACAATAATAATATATGATTCACAATGTACAGATAATAAAACTCTGCTAATCTACCATTGATTTCGAATATTCAATGCTATTAAAAAAAAAATTATATTTCAATCTGGTACTGTTGGCTACTATTAATTTTTTTGGAATCGTCAACACATTTCCCAGCACATAAAAGATAGCAATACCTATATGTCGTGTACAAACCACAGCAAAGTCATGAAGACGGGTTTTTTTTATCTGAAAGGTATAAAATTGTTAATTTTAGAAACCGTGCGAACTATGTGCTCTAAGAAGATTCTTACCTAGAGAAAAACGCTTCCTTAAAATCACAGATTCTCTAGAAATTATTATTTGCTGAACTAATTATATACAGAACAAAATGATAAATAATCAGACTCTACGTACATGTACTTCTCATTATCAACTGCATAGGCTGTGAGTTCACAACTTAAACCATGTCAATAGAACTTGGTGATTATTCAATTTGTCACTTATACAGCGCAGAAGTCCGAATCGACCGATCCACGAAGAGGCGCCCAGGAATTTTGACCAATCACGTCCGTGATTCAGGTCTGGCGTTGCGTGCACATCACGCAGCGCGTCTGGAGCACGCAATGCGGCATTGGATAGGTGTACGTTTTGTGCACGCGTGGTTCACGTGTTGTTCACGTGTTGCCGACGTGCACGATGGGCGGAGCCTCACAGATCAGTCTGTTGTATTGTTTTGCGTGTGCGTCTAATAATACTGTCACTTTCAATTCAAAGCGTTTTCGTGGAAAGGTCGTATTACACTTATAATAGTCAAGAAAGAGAGATTTCAGCAACCATTAGCAGGCAGGAAAACGATAGAAAAATCTCTAGACAATTTTAATAAACAAATTTCAAAGTAAATATACGAATGTAATATTCAGTATATGTAAATATTTAAGGAAGATTTAAATGCTGAAATATGTTTTCAATATATTATTATTTTCTATTTACAATAGTGTACAACTAAAATGCTGAAAATACGAATAGGAGTCAAATGCTTCATGTTAATAATTTTTATAACAACGACATGAAATAATGTACACACCTAGGCAACTATTACTAAAACCAACACACAAAAAATCATTAAAATTCAGATTGAATAAATATCAGAGAAAGATCTCTAATAACACAGTCATCTAAAACTTTTGGGTCCTTTGTTTTACACAGAAATTGTCGAATGCAATGCTTAAGGCAAAATTCAATCTGTATTTGACAGTTTCTGATAAAAAAATGAAACACTGCATTTTGTTTGTTTATGTGCTGGTCCGAGTGGGCCGGATAGAGTCATCTTAATATCCGGCTGCCTGACCAACTAACTTTCGCTTGTGAGATGGGCAGTGCTATCATATAGGATCGCCTTGTAATACCACTGAACAGCTAACTCAGGCCCTTTTTGTGGACCAAATGCACAAATAAAATGAACAGACTATTGTAAACTCTAGAACCAACTTGTAGTAGTCTTTCCCTAATGTTTCTAGAATTCTAAATACAAACCTCTATCCAATTTGTAACATTTACTCTGCACCAAAAACAAAATGTCCGTGCTGCCACTAAACGTCCGCTTCATTACAAACTGTTAACAAGTCAATGTGTTTTAATACGAAATGTTTGCATGAAGAATGCATAGAACATCAATGCTGTATAAAGTGAGCGATTTTATAATAATACAGTCAAAAAGCCCAAATTTTTGGGTGAATGGGGCGCCTTCAACTGTTGAAGAATATAAGTGGCTATAAGAAAATCCAAACTGTACAGTGCACGAGATTCAATATTTGAATTAACATTGGAAATATTTTAATGATCAAATTTTAGTAATTATAAGTCTTATTTCAACTTTTTGAATTTGAAAATAACTTAGGTTTTTTAAACTTTTAAAGCGGGGAATATTATTTGGAAGTATATTATTAGTTTTCTTTTTTTAATTATTAAGACTTTACGTCTAGAAACTTCAATTTATCATTTTTAATTCACTGAACATTTTAACCCTCCTGCTGTCTGAACAGTCACAGACAGTCAAAAATCAATCCTCTTCCCCTGTCATGCCTTTTGCACAGGCTAGTCACCAACAGTCACATCATATTTCAAGCAAACACTGTGACTAGTCAAAATTCAGTCAACCGACAAAAGCAGGCGAGTGTCAGACATAGCTGGCTTATCACTCTTCTACAGTCAAAGCATAGCTGTATCGAGTTACATAAACAGTCACAGCCAGTCAATCCTGCTCTATGTAGACTGGGAGATCTTAACTGTTGACAACAGTCACTTGACTGATTTTGGCTGAAATGACAACTTGGCACAGAATATTTGTTTCCATAGGAGGGATAATGTCTCAATGATCTTCAGACTAATAAACGTCTTCATTTCCCAAAATGTTTTCAAACAAACGCGAAGAACTTTTTAGAATGACAAACGTGAGAGATACAGAATGAATGATTACAAAATCTATGGACTGCACGCACAAGTACCCCCTCAACGGTAAGAAAGGGAGAGTTGGGGGAGACCACTGGGAGAGACATTCAAACGCATCCCCGACGACGCCCGACGCCCATGTGAAGACACAACGGATTGGGGCGCATTGTGAATATGAGTTGAGCGTACTTCACGCCATACACGTGCATACACTCTCGTTTTACTATACTCCCAAGGACAATGCTTTGTGTTTCCTTTTATCCCTGTATTACAACACTCTCCCATAAACTAAGCACACAAACTTATTACAGAGGACGTTTCCAACAAAAGACCCAACTCCCGAGGACTGAAAGGATCTTTTGTTCTCTCTGTGTGTGTGTCGGTCCTCGGGAGGCTATGTAGAACACGTACACACCAGTACGCACTCGCAGTGTCCCCCTCTTACTAAGGTTCTCAACTGCGTTGACAAAGCGCCCTCTACTGTCTCTCAGTGGAATCCATATGATCCGGCTTTTTTTTTAGCTTTTTCATTAATTTCAAGAAATCTACTAATGCTGTAGGAGATAAAAATTACATTCATCAACCCTAATTTTCCAGACGTTTTAAGTTTCTTCCGAATCCTCCAAAATCGTCCACCGAGGATTTTTACCGAAACCTTGCTCCGCAAGTTCCCAGAAACTTACCGGTGGATTTCTGAAGGACCAGCGGGGGTAAGGGTTAAACGACGGTCTGTTTCGGAGGGAAGTGGTCCTGTGCATTGACGCTGGCTGCATACTGGCCATACAAGGCGTGCCCTATGCGTCGAATATTGGCCTCCACGTCTGGGAATTGTTCTAGCACGGCTTTGAGGTCGCCCACGGACAGGGCGTGGAGGTCTACATGGGTCCGGGCGCGGACTGAGGTACGTCGGGGGACATCGTAGAGGAGGTTGATATCGTCGATGAATTCGCCAGCGCCGATGACTCGGTCTACTTGTGATTGGTGGTTTTCATCCATCAGTTCAACCTGAATTATGTGAGTAAAAAAAAGTTTTTTCAAATATTTCAATTTTTGTATTCATGTTTAACCAATTTCAATTTCTGTTCATTTTGACAAACAATGGTGTGATAGTACATGGTTCAAACACTGACAGGAAACATGAGGTCCTTAACACATGGTGCTTGTGTTCTTGGGCAAGACACTTTACTATGATTGCCTCTTTCCACCCAGGAGTACATGTATATTGGAGCTTGTTAGGGTAGAGACCAGATTATTGTGATCTGGAGCTGTTGCAAATATCTGGTTTCATGGCCTGATGTGTGATGGTACATGGGTTTGAACCCTGACAGGAAACACGGTGCTTGTGTCTTTAGGCAAGACACTTTACTACAATTGCGTCTCTCCACCAGCAGTGTAAACGCATACCTGTGAGGGTAGAGACCAGGTTGCACTAATCCCAAGCTCTTGCAGAAAAAATGGTTTCACGGTCTGATGAACAGGGATAATAATCGTGAACCGATTTGAGAGTTTGTGTTAAGATTCAAAACTTTTTCATTATTATGCTTACCGTTCCCCTATGAATGAAGTACATTTCATCACCCACATCTCCCTGACGAACGATGTAATCGTTGGGCATGAAGAGAACCGGACGCAGCATCAGAGAAAGGGATCGGAAGAAACTTGGCTCTGCATCCTCAAACAATGACACCTTAAGAAATACCAACAAATCAGTGACGTAAAATCATCCACATGTTTATGCTGTGACTTTTCAAGACAGATTCCCTGAGCCGCACTTTGACTGTAAGTTGAGTATCACCCGTTATCCGCGGAGCCAAGTCATTTCATTCCGAAATCTGGACTAAGATTGTGGTTAATCAATTTTGATGCCGCGTTTTTGTAATACTACAACCTCTACAAAAATGTTACTCATCATGGGCGTGATGTTTACGCACGCAGGGAGCTCGCATTACGCGCTTATAGAAGGCGCCTACTGATTGGACAGTTTTCGAGGTCATATGCAGTCTAGTTGCATAATTAATTGCTGAATCTGTTTACGTATCATAGACCATGGTTGGCTTTGCCTGGGCCAGGGTCTGTTACATAGACTACTTTGACGGTTGCTAAATAAAACATTTGTTTGTGTTTTCCCAGCACCTATGGCAACAAAACATTAAACACCTCAGTGGAACGATGTCGGCTACAAATTTATAGTTCTTAAATCGGTCCATTTCATAAAATTACAACAAATGCAATGATCCAACGGACATTTAAAGCCACACAGGAAAGATACGAATGGTATAAAATCCCCATGAAATAATTCCACCTGAAATGGTATCGGTTAAACTGCTTATGTGTAGTGCATCAAAACAAATTTGCCTTACCTTTTTGAGGTTCGATTCGTTGACGGCAAGTCCTATCTCTGTCTGTAGGCAGAACGGAGCATCCTTGAATAAAGTGTGTTGATCGATTCCCCTGCAAGAATAAAAGGGGAAAAAAACCACAAAATAAAGACAGGCAGAGGACTTTTTCTGTTTTCTTGACCCACCTATAAACATGATAAACACATACATTCTGTGCCAAGTTGTCCTTTCAGTCAAAATCATCAAGTGATTGATTTCAACGGTTCAGAGCTCCCAGCCTACATAAAGCAGGATTGACTGGCTGTGACTGTTTATGTAACTTGAGGCAGTTATGCTTTGATTGTAGGTGATTGATAAGCCAGCTGTGCCTACCACTTGTCTGTTTTTTGTCTGTTGACTGAATTTGACTAGTGACAATGCTTGCTAGGAATATGATCGGACTGTTGGTGACTAGCCTGTGTAAAAGGCATGGCAGGGAAGAGGATTTATTTTCCTTAATTTATCTGTGACTGTGCAGACAGCAGGAGGATTAAGCTATGTGCTTGAACCAGAATTGATTGGATATATTATTTTTTTGTCTACTGTCCACTGAGAAAAAAACTGTTGTAACACTGAAGAATTTGCAAAACTGATGCAACAAATTCTGGGATATATTTAGGAATTCGGCTTGTGCACAAGCATACAGTACATCTTGAAATAGGGGATTCCATTCAGAACTTATCATAAGTGATCATAAATCATGGTAAAGGATCATAAGTCATCATCCTCGATCATAAGTTATCGTAAGTGATCACAAGTCATAATAAGATGTCATAAGTCAGCCTAAATGATCATAAGGGATCATAGGAGATTGTAAGAGATCATGAGTGATCATAAGTGATCACAAGTCATCACAAGTCATCATATGCCATCATATGCCATCACAAATGATCATAAGTCATCATTGTGATCGTAAGGGATCATAAGTCATCACTAGTCATCATAAGTGATCATAAATGATCATAAGGGATCGTGAGTGATCATAAGGCATCATAAGTCATCATAAGTGATCGTAAGGGATCATAAGTGTAGAATTCTATGGTCCAGATATGGTACCATACACTAGCTTTGATTGGGGACGTTGACTTACTTATTGCGCATCCAGAGATAGTCAAAGTAGCTCACGACGCGATTCCTCAGCTTGCTGTTCAGCCTCATGTCTTTCATTTGAACCTGCCAAATAAACGTGTAACCGGTAATGGAAGACAGTGAAAGCACAGCAGTCAGTCATTGTCAATCATTTCAGAAGTACATTAAAATTTCATAGTGCTGCTTAGCACGAGATTTTACGCTAACAGAGCCTCCATCTATTTCATGCAAAAGGCATGCTTACCTCAGAGGAAAAAGTTGCTTAAATCAGTGATGTTACAATTAAAGTCTCCATGCGCACGCAATCAGTAGCATAATCCACGCCATGAAATAGTGCTTAAGGTAAGCACAATTTTCTGCTACAGTAAGAAAGACTTTTTTTTGCTTACTGTTAACCAGTTTCGCGCCGCGATTGTTTTTGCCGAAAATTTCAACTTTCGAAAAAGGAAAAATGTAGCAGCCAACTTTTGATAAACAGCCTAACGCCACAAATACTGATTCGCAAGAGTCATTTCAACAGTATTTGTACAATATTTCTAACCGCAAACTCATATTTTTTTAACACTCTGGGGTGTGCCCACGGAGCGTTAACTGTACCCCAACAGGCCGTGCACAGTGGCCCAGTTCAAGTTTAACACACAATCCGCCTCAACAGACTTCTCGGACTTTGTGTGTGTACAAAAGAAATGAAAGACTAGCATGTTGAGACATCACCCAGAGGCCAGTCCAGGAGCTTGACATTTTCAGCCGTACTTGTATAAAAACAGCCAGATCTTGTAAACACTCCAATGGTTACAGTGTTCGACTCGTGTACCGTGGTACATGGGTTCGAATCCTGACCGTGGGAACATGGTGCTTGTGCTCCTGAGCAAGGCACTTTACCATTATTGCTTCGTCCTTCGGATGGGACGTAAAGCCGCAGGTCCCGTGTGTTGTGTAATGCACGTTAAAGAACCCAGTAACACTTTTCGCTAAGAGAAGGGGTTTGCCCCGGTGTTTCTGGCAGTGGCTGCAATATGCGCCGCAGCACCTTGTAAACCATTATAAAGGTGCTACATAATGGGTCTCATATTTCTCATGTACTTCATTTACCTGTCTCTAATAATAGACATAATTTCCAGCGCCTTGAGTACCTACTTGTTGGTAGATACGTGCTCTATATAAGACTTCGGTATTATTATTATTATTATTAACACGTCATCCGACGCGAACTGGTTAAGCAGTGCTATGATACTTGAGCCGCATATTTGAAATCCTACAATACTGTGCTGTTTTAGGTTGCCTGGCGAGGCTGTGAGTGTGGCGTTACCTTGACAGCAGACAATCTCTGCTCGTAAGCAACTCGGCCGGATTCTTCGTTGGCGAGGGTGGAGGCGATGTTACCGAGGATGGAACCAAAGAGCAACTGTCCGATCACCATGACGAGACTTGCAAAGACTAGAAATAAAGAAAGTAGTAGCAATTCGTCACTTTGCTCACGAAGTGACAAAAACCTCGAAAATCGATAATTGTTCGATTTTGAGTTTTACTAGCCTTTTTACTATTGTTGTCTCAATGAACGATTTGACAAAGTTTCAAGGCGAAATAATATTTACTTTTTAATTATTGTAAACAAACATTTGATAAAAAGCCTGAAATTCGTGAAATCGATCTTGGGTTTGTTGTGCAGCCGCAGAACAACTTTTTTGTGTGCAAATTCTTACACATGGTGCAAACTAGTTACTCACTTTCTTCTGAAAATCGGCTGCAAAAAGAGTCCTTTTCTGACAGAACTCATTACGTATACTCACTCATTTCCAAGAGGCTATGAGCGTGGAAGTCTCCGTAGCCAGTGGACGTCAGGGTCGCTGCGCACCAATAGAAACTGTCTCCGTAGCGAGTTAGCCAATCAGCATCCTTCTCTTTGTACACTGAAACGTCAACAACCAATCAAAATTGTTGTACCGTGGTATTGTTTGAGAAATTTCATTGGTTGAGACCTGTTCATATGATGTACTGCAGAAGTCAACACAACATGTTCCCTACCATATCAGGTACCATAATCCTAGGTATATGTAAAAAGAAGCAATGGTAGTAAAGTGTCTTGCCAAAGAACACAAGCGTTAATTACAGTCTCGGTTCAAACCGCATACTGCCACAACTGAGTCAGACATTTAAAAAAACTGGTCAAGTTGCTAAAAGTTCATGAATTATATATTAATTATCATCATAATGCTTTTAAATTTACACCAGACTTTCCGACGTTTCTGTTCGTGAATATCGGTGCACTTACATTCTGCATCAGCCCACGTGCCTTCGTTGCATGTGCCGAGTGGACAGGCTAGGAAGTACCAAAGACAAGCGAACAAATGAATGACGATCAACAACTGGCCAAAGAACTTGGTCAGACGAACTTGGAGCACGCTGTGAAAAAAAAAAAAGTGAAGGGTTTTGTTTAGTTGCCACTCTTGATGAGGAGTGCCACAAGTACAAGTTACGGGTCACATCCTCTTGAAAGCCACGTAGGCTTATTGATTATTACCCGGGAGTGGAACTACTGCTTTAATGAGAAAAACCTTGCTTACATCTGGGACGAGTTCCGGACAAGTTCCAGACATTGTATCGGGTATAAGTTGCGGGATTCTGAACAACTTCCCCGCAAACTTCTCGCAATGAAGTTATCAGTATTGGTGAGTCAAGCAGTTGTTGATGATAATCTCCCCGGAACATGCCCAGACAAACGCAGAGCTTCTTCTGGACAATGTGAACGATTCTACACCCGTAACTTGTCTGGAACTCATCCCGGTTATGAATTGAGACGGCCCTTACTTGATGTTGAGCTCCTTCTCCCAGGCGTCGAAGAACTGCGTCACCCGGACAAGCCTCAAGAGGTGAATAATCCTAAGAAGCGTGAGTGCCTTGAAGCGTTTCAGCTCCCCCTCTTCGTTGGTGAAGCACAACGCGATGAGGTCTAGTGGGAGAGCGGCAGCCAGATCGAGCAAGAAGCCGCTCAGCTTCTTGAAGTAGATCATGTAGACCTTGTTAAAGTCTGTCTCAAGTTCGCCGTACTCGTCGGCACAACTCACATGAAATTTGACGTATATCTGGAAAAAAGTACCCAACAAAATAGTTGATGTTTGAACAAAACATGTTGAATATAACAAAGTCAACTCCTTGACTTACTAAGACGGACATAGTTTAACCTTCATCACACCAACTCCATCAAAATACATCCCCCTCCCCAATTTTAGTGGATTTTGGGGGACTTGGTCCAGGTGGCCAAATATTGATGGAGTATGATGGACTTGGGCCTAATGGCCTGAAGCAGTGCTTGGGGTATCCGATTGATTTTGCCTAGCTTCCTGTACTGCTATTGTGATAAAAGCCATGTGAAGCAAGTCCATGAATGTCAACCAGTGCGTCAGTGGTGGATTCCATTATGTCATGTACAGCTTTGTATTAGACGCACAGTGATTGATGGATTTTGATGGACTTGGTCCAGTTCCTAGTATAAAACACTAGGGAGTCCAGGGAGAAACTATTTGTACCATTCTTGTGGAGCACTGGTCCTATTCTTCTGCATGTATGAATCCATGGTGGGAACCAAGGATTTATATTCCCAAAAACAAGAATTTTGCTGTAACAGTGTTTGTATTAGCTAAGGATGTGATGTTTATATGTTTAAACGTTTCAACAAAACAAAACAAAATCCATATCTGTTGACAAATTTTTTAACCCAATAAAACGAAACCCAAATTATATAAAAAAAGGGACAAGCTTCGTTTATGTGATCTTCCTTTGAGTTTAAACATACACAGCAGTCGATTACCAGAACATCTTGGTAATCTTTCATTAGGGCGTGACATAATACGCAAAGTAAAAGCGCACTGGTGGAAACAAATGAGCTGTTCCGAAAACTTTCTTCAGTTGACATAACGTACATATGTACTGCATAGCACTATGTGCTGACCGATCGGTCGATTCACGCATTGGTCGAATCATGGCCACGCTCAAAATGATGAAGTACATTGTTTTGATTTTTTTTATCAGTTTTCCAAGGTTCAGTTTTCTTTGTAACAAAACTGCTGGCTTTGTCCACGCGGACCAACGTCTTTGATCCAACAATGCTTGCTGTACAGGCGTTGCTTGGAAAACTGCAGTACGTACCCAAACCAGACATGCTTTCGTCACCAACGCATGCGAATGCACACACAATTCTGCTCGGTAATTCCCGAGAAGACACACAAGATTCCCGAGACATCTTTGTGCGCTTGTCGGCGCCCGCTTCGGTGAACCACTGCTAAGTCCAATAACCTGTGCGCGCTAAGGACGTCTTGGAACCAGACTACTAGTTGATTGAAAATTTGCATGAAATCTAGCTCACCTCCAAGATGAATATGGCCTCACAAATGTAGCTGAAGACGAGAATACCATCACTCTGTACTTGAAAGGCAGCCTGTGGAAAAAAAAACACAACAAATAACAACAATCGGCAGCCGATTTCACGAAACTTTACGCAATGGCATAACTCCAGTTGCGCCACAATTTATTGCTTAACACTTCACACTGTGCAACCTTTCAGTTATGACACATTTCACGAAAGTTTCATAGTGCTATAGTGCTTCAACTGTCTAAGCTTTTTATGAATGGAGTACCAAAATGAATACGTCACACGCACAAAAAGTGTGTAAAAGACATTAGCGCGTGATTCAGCCCGAGAACCAACACGCGCGCGTACTCCATTCGTTTGCACTTCACTTTCTGGTTCTAAATGACGTCACACTTCGGTACTCCATTATGACTATTATCGGAATACAGGCCCCACGCTGGTTTGGATCGTACTTGTTTAAAAACCAAGCACATATTCATTGACTTATTTAATTACTACTTGTTTTAATACCTGAAACATGATTGTGAAGGATGTAAGGAAGGCAAGGAAGCACGTAAGGCGATTGAGATAGCGCACAGCCTTGCTGTCAGGATTCAGAACAAATCGGTTGGCTTTGAGCAGTTCCTCCAGGTAGTTCTTGTTGCGCATACAGCAGCGCGGCTGTCGCGTCTGAACCTCGCTAGAGTCGCTGCCGAGCTCCGGACGGGACGCATCCTCTGGCTCCGAGGAAGATGCTGACGCGAAGAGAAAAAGACAAAAAGATCATCGTTTTTCAACAAAATATCTAGTAAAGTAACAATGGAATCAAAGTTAATGCTAGGTTTTTCTAGCAATTCAAATCTTATTAACTTTTAACCAGACGCGTCAGAGGCCGTGACAACACGCACTGGCTGTTTTTGTTCACAGGCACAGCTGACGGGTTAATACGTCAAGATTGGCGCGACTCGCCCCCAGGTGACGTCTAGACACGCTAATCCCTACGCACACACAAAGTCCGTGAATGGGTGAAGGCAGACTGTGTGCTGATCACGAATTTGACGTTGTGCACGGCCTATTGTTCTACAATTTACGCTCAGGTGCACACCCCGGATTATTGAAACATATGAGTTTCGGCAAGAAACATCATACAAATACTGTTGAAATGACTCTTGAATATTTGTGTTTTGCTGTATGTCAGAAGTTGGCTGGAAAATTTGAAAATTTGCATAGTTGAGAACAAGAATTTTTTTCTGGACTTACCAGCCCCCGGCGCTCTCCCGTTCTGCGATTTCTTCTTCTTGTCCTTGTCGTTGCCGGTCTCAGTCGTCTTCTCCGCATCCTTGTCGTTATTCTGGTTTTCGTTTTTGCCGTCCGCCTTCGAGTCCGCGGGCTGGCTCTTGGCAGCGTTCTTGGCCGTGTTTTCGGCCGTCGCGGCGTCGTTGCTGGCTTCGTTGTTTGCGTCGTTATTATTGCTGGAAGTACTGGTACTTTCGTTTGGGTTATTGCTTGGGTTGTTATTATTATTACTTGATTTGTTGCCGGCCTGTCAGAAAACAAAAGCATTACTAACGTTTTTTTCGGACTGAAAACAAAGTCTGTCACATTATAGGTAGGGTAAATCATTTGCAGCTATCCAAAAAGTAACTGACAAAAGTATTGTTGAAAACCTTACTTGGTTTGAAGATAGTAATGGCACTAAACTCCCTGTGAAATTTTTCTCTTTGGCATGCTGTACAATAACAGAAGGTCATTTCCAAAGATGCGTCAAGTGTGCATTTTTGGAAATTTCCGTTAGTAGTTCATTTGTAATTCAGCAAAGCAGTGAATGGGTGCGCACCAGCGTTGACAGGATGCACGCGCGCATGGTTGCTATCATTCGTCGATTCAGTGCGCGACATTGCGTAGCCGCAATCGGCTGAATGAGAACGTGTCCCGGACGTTGATTTCGGCGCAATTCAAAACATGACTCGGCAACTTTTGAATTGAAATCAAGATCTTATAAAAGTCTTCTCGGAATGTACAGCATACACAGAGCTAAAACTTCATCAGGTTAGTTGTTAGGCACCCTTCTTTAGATTTTGAGCACTTTTGTTGCTTCAAACAAAAAACAATGCACCGATGACACAAATGATCTACCCTACCTTTAAAAGTCATCAAAAGTCAATCATAAGTCCCCTATTCCAATGAACTGTCAAAGGCATTTTCACAATTTAGGTTCCTGTAAATGTTTAGGGAAATTAGTGAACAGATTCTTAATTTCTTCACTTAAAAGTTGAAATGGCTAAACAGGAGGTCAGGTTGGCATAGCGGTACTTTCCTCCAACTTTCACTCCGGAGGTAACACACTGAGTATGCAGTGTTTATACGTCGGTGAAGGGCAAAACCTGATTTGATTTATATCACCCCGACGCAAAATCCCATCTTAAAATAGTTTATGTGGTACCCGCTGCTATGTACATCAGATTTGAACCAGCCAACCGATCCAGTTAGCTCGGTGGTAGAGTGGTAAGACATCTGCACTAGAAAGCAGGAGGTCGTGGGTTCGAGTCCCACCTGAGTGATTTTTTCCAACTTTCACTCGGGAGGTAACACACTGAGTATACGGTGTTTAAACGTCGGTGAAGGGCAAAACCTGATTTGATTTATATCACCCCGACGCCAAATTCCATCTTAAAATAGGTACTTTCCTCGCCTTCCACCGCTGTGACCCGGGTTTGAATCCCGCCCAGGCCAATATGTGGATTGGGTTTTCAGTCCCTACCTGATTCCGTGGGTTTTCCTCGGAATATTCTTCTGGGGTTTTCCTCCCACCTCTAAAACTGTAATTTCTTGACATTGTCTTCTCTTTACTGGGCCCCATGCGAGACCAGTGGATTCCACTGATGGGCTACCAGTTAAAATAAGAAATAAGTAAAATGAAGTAAACGTCGCAATCGTACTCACCACTCCTACTTTGGCGTTGCTGCGTTTGCGTACAGCGTTGATTCGTTCCTCAGCTACTCGATTAATCTGTTCTTTGATGGATGGGTAGTGAGTTAATACTTCATCCAGGTTTTCTTTGGTCAATACAAACATGTCGCAGTTGGTCTGGGCCCTGGAAAACATCAAATTTTGATTAAAAACATTAATTTTTTAACAATCGTGACACATTTTGACAATTATTGGGAGGTATTGAGGGACATATTGTAAATTGAGTTCTTAGGCAGTTGTTCTTCCTTGTACGAATTTTAGGGAAAGTTTGGACATTTACAAATTTCAGATGATAAAATCGTAGATATTGCCATTAACAGCTAGATTCTTGATTTTCATCTTTTGCCCTCCATTTTTGAAAAATGTGGCCCCGCCCCAAAAGAGGCAAAACTCTTGAAAACAAATTCTCGGATCGTCTGTCTAAATGCAAAGTAGAAAACTGAATTTATCGAAATAGTATTTTTACGCGGTAAGCCTCTTTTTGAAACCGTGGTCCCGCCCTATAAAAGGGTGGCGAAAATAGCATCAATTGGTTTTGAACTTATCGAGGTATCCATAGGTGATTCTGAGAATTTTAAAGAATGGACCCCAAAATAAAATTAAAAATCATCATTTTGAAGCAGCTGATTTTATAAAAATTGTACCTGATAGATGCAGTTCTTGAGCAGCTGAAGACTAGACTAATCTCTCCAAAGAACCGACCAGCGTTCATGGTATCGAAGACCGTGCTTCCATCCTCAGATACAACCTCCACAGTACCGCGATGAATGAAGAACATCTACACATTGCAACAGAAATCAATCAGATCAAAGCCAGTTATTTATAAATAGCTTAGACAGTTTACCCATTGTGGAGTGCTGTGGTCCAATGGTTACGGTGTTCGACTCGTGTGCCGTGGTACATGGGTTCGAATCCCGACAGGAAGATGGTGCTTGTGCTCTTGAGCAAGGCACTTTACCATTATTGCTTTGTTCTTCGGATGGGATGTAAAACCGTAAAACTGTTTCCCAGTATCTTAAATTTTTGACATGTTTGTAAATGCGAACTTTAAACAGCCATAACTTGTCAACAGAATGTCTGATTGAAGTGCAACAAAAGTATTGTAAGGAGAATTTTATTCTCTTTCCTCATACCAACAAACCCTCATTTTGTCCTCTGCCCAGTTCTGTCTCATTTTGCCAGAATACCTAATATTTTTCTTGCACATTTTCAAAAGGGTTTACTGTGCATTGAAACATAAATGCACATAATTTTTCTTTCGAAAAGATAAAGAAATCAGCCAGAGCGCTGTATGATAACAGTAAGTTTGATTGGAACTAATCAATCTCTGAAAAAACTCTCTTTTAATTTGGATATTCACGGAATACTCACTTCTTTTCCAAAGTCAAACTTCCGGACGACGTACTCTTTGCTGAGCATGTAAACCGGTGTCATACACATTGCCAACATCTTCTGAAAACCAACTTCCGTGTTCTGGAACAACGGTACCTGCATAGCCAGACAAAGCAAACACGGCAAGTTAATAGGACGTAGGAAAAAACAACAAACTCTCAAACCGTCCTTTTTTTCCCACCAATATCACAAATAATTGTACTTTTTTGTGCATTAAGTGTCCATTTGTATATCATGTAGTTCGACAATATTTCACAAAATGTGTCGACATTATTCTACTATGGTATTAAAAAGTCCATTCTAAATAAGTCCAGATTTTTCAATCTTTCAGGGACTCAACTGTCATTTCGACGCGTCAGTGCAACAAGGTCGTAGCTGGATTCTGCAACATAGTCGTATCTGGCAGGAATATGCTCCATGCAGCAAGGTCGTATCTTGCGTATCGTGACGTCCATTGACTTTGTGTGTACATCCGGGTTATTTCAAGCCAGATACGACCTTTTGACATTGAAAACTCACGTTTCACATACATGATGTCCCACGCCATTTTAGAAGAAACAACCTTGTTGCACGGACACGACGATTTGCTAGGAATGTAATGGATTTGGGGTGAGGGTAGCTTCGCTTTCTTTAATGTTTTAATCTTTTTTATCTTGTTCATTTTATTTTTTACTTTTTGCAACAATGGTAATTTATCCTTTTGGAAGTAATGGTAGTCCTGAAAAGAACTGTTTGGTTAACTTCTTAGATGTTTAATGTGCTGCTCTGTCTTCCAATTGGAGCCTTTTTTTTATTAATGCAAATTTTGGTCCGGGTTCTTATTGCGCCAGTCAAAATATCAGTCGCCGTGGACAAAATGGAAAAGCGGTACTTGTTTTCAATTGACCTATCGCGGTAGAATTACGTTGACGCAGCTTGTGAAAAATTTGTTGTGATATACAAATGGACGCGGAACGCGCAAAATCTGAGACAAACAAAACTTAGTGTACAAAAACTCCATAGGGTTGTCTAAGGGGCGTGGCTAACTTGCGAACGGTGATGGGTCAATTGGCCATATCTCAATCAATATTTCCCCGATTGGAAAGATTTTTTTCGTTGTTGAAAAGCTAATGGACTATACTCTTTATGCTTTTCAGCTCAATGGCTACTACACATTTTGAGAAAACAGAGAAAACGTAAGCACAATTTTTAAAGGTCTCGTAACTGGATTCCACATGTAAAAATAAAAAAGTGTGTCAGCAGGCCCATATTTTTGACAGCCTCAAAGATACAAAATTCCTGACCTTGTTCATCATATCTTGGTAGAGGTCCAACGCGACCTCCGCTTTGAGGGACAGAGGAAGTCCGTCAAACAGCGAGTTAGGGTCTACGCCTTTGGTTCGCAGCCAGCGGTAGTCATAGTAGGTCCTGACACGTTGCTCCAACGAACGCTTTATCTGCTGATCCTGTTCAACAATAAGGGAATAACAGTGTGAGGAGCCGGTCTTCACTGCGTGATAATGACCGGGTTTGGGGGTGACCGCTGTTAATGGACCGAGACGGTCCATTAACTATAAATACCTTTATAACGAAATACCTTTATAACGAAATAAACAGTTAAAATGCTCCAATTTTGTGACTTTTTTCCGACGATATTTCCAGACTTTTTTGTGTTCATGTTCATGGGCCATATTTTAGCTTAACAGCTATAACGACGTAAACTCAACAGAAACTGCTGCCGTAGCGAAACAAATTACAACAATGTTTTCATATCTTTACCTGATGGAGGAAGCTGAAATCTCATTTACACATTCCTTGTGTCCGGAATTACAAAGATGCTTGGTTTAGGAAAGGTAAATATGTTGGTGGGTGAAGTGTTTCAAAGAAAATAAATCGTACCGTACGCTTTCGTCGTAAACATCCTCAGTATATACTTCACTGCTGTACGATGTCGTTTCAAAACTTCCTTACGCGCGCGCACGCACGCATCCCTAGCAACTGTGTTGCGTACGCGCGCGTCAGTCTCACGCGATGGGGGTTGAGCGCATGTGCAGTGCTCAATTGTTAAAAGCTACTGCAGGACTGTTACTATATTTTGACCAATCATTGGCTTGCATGGGGCTGAACGGGGCTTGATCAATGCTGGTTCAGGGGCCATTTATTCGCTTGATCTTTGAAGCCGGTCCATTATCACCGTTAATGACCGGCCACGTGATCGAGTCTCGACCAATCAGAAACCATCAACTCTCCAAGGTATTTATTAATAAGCAATAATAATCTATGTACTGCTAGTTACGCCCTGTAACGCCCCAAGCCGCCCTGCCTGTTACTCCCTGTACCACCCCAAACCACCCTGCCTGTTACTCCCTGTACTGCCCCAAACCGCCCTGCCTGTTACTCCCTGTACTGCCCCAAACCTCCCTGCCTGTTACTCCCTGTACCACCCCAAACTGCCCTGCCTGTTACTCCCTGTACTGCCACAAACCACCCTGCCTGTTACTCCCTGTACTGCCCCAAACCACCCTGCCTGTTACTCCCTGTACTGCCCCAAACCACCCTGCCTGTTACTCCCTGTACTGCCCAAAACCATCCTGCCTGTTACTCCCTGTACCACCCCAAACCGCCCTGCCTGTTACTCCCTGTACTACCCCAAACCACCCTGCCTGTTACTCCCTGTACTGCCCCCAAACCACCCTGCCTGTTACTCCCTGTACCACCCCAAACCACCCTGCCTGTTACTCCCTGTACCACCCCAAACCACCCTGCCTGTTACTCCCTGTACCACCCCAAACCACCCTGCCTGTTACTCCCTGTACTGCCCCGAACCACCCTGCCTGTTACTCCCTGTACCGCCCCAAACCACCCTGCCTGTTACTCCCTGTACTGCCCCAAACCACCCTGCCTGTTACTCCCTGTACTGCCCCAAACCGCCCTGCCTGTTACTCCCTGTACTGCCCCAAACCGCCCTGCCTGTTTCTCCCTGTGCTGCCCCAAACTGCCCTGCCTGTTTCTCCCTGTGCTGCCCCAAACCACCCTGCCTGTTACTCCCTGTACTGCCCCAAACCTCCCTGCCTGTTACTCCCTGTACTGCCCCAAACCACCCTGCCTGTTACTCCCTGTACTGCCCCAAACCACCCTGCCTGTTACTCCCTGTACTGCCCCAAACCACCCTGCCTGTTACTCCCTGTACTGCCCCAAACCACCCTGCCTGTTACTCCCTGTACTGCCCCAAACCTCCCTGCCTGTTACTCCCTGTACTGCCCCAAACCACCCTGCCTGTTACTCCCTGTACTGCCCCAAACCACCCTGCCTGTTACTCCCTGTACCGCCCCAAACCAAACTGCCTGTTACTCCCTGTACTGCCCCAAACCTCCCTGCCTGTTACTCCCTGTACCGCCCCAAACCAAACTGCCTGTTACTCCCTGTACTGCCCCAAACCTCCCTGCCTGTTGCTCCCTGTACTGCCCCAAACCACCCTGCCTGTTACTCCCTGTACTGCCCCAAACCTCCCTGCCTGTTGCTCCCTGTACTGCCCCAAACCACCCTGCCTGTTACTCCCTGTACTGCCCCAAACCACCCTGCCTGTTACTCCCTGTACTGCCCCAAACCACCCTGCCTGTTACTCCCTGTACTGCCCCAAACCACCCTGCCTGTTACTCCCTGTACTGCCCCAAACCTCCCTGCCTGTTACTCCCTGTACTGCCCCAAACCACCCTGCCTGTTACTCCCTGTACTGCCCCAAACCACCCTGCCTGTTACTCCCTGTACCGCCCCAAACCACCCTGCCTGTTACTCCCTGTACTGCCCCAAACCACCCTGCCTGTTACTCCCTGTACTGCCCCAAACCACCCTGCCTGTTACTCCCTGTACTGCCCCAAACCACCCTGCCTATTACTCCCTGTACTGCCCCAAACCACCCTGCCTGTTACTCCCTGTACTGCCCCAAACCACCCTGCCTGTTACTCCCTGTACTGCCCCAAACCACCCTGCCTGTTGCTCAGGCAATAAATACAATGTTATACAACGTAATACAAGTTCTCATGGGCTGTGTATTAGTACCTTGAGGTAGTCCTGTATTGCGGTGAGTTTCTCCTGATAGCGTGCACGTTGTGAGTCGGCGTTGGCCAAGCTAGCAGCGACGCTAGCAATGACGTATCCGAAGAAGACAATTCCAAAGATCATAGACAGCAAAGCAAGTACCATCTGCAAAAAAAATTATAATAATTATAATATGATACAATTTTTGTAAAGTTTAGTTGGGTAAAGTATTCTCCATGCTTCAGCAATATATGAGGACCGATCTGTTTTACTGATTTGTTTGTTTGTATTTGAATATCACCATAGATGTCTCAGAAAAAAAAATGATAGAACTTTACTTTTTTAACAGACTAATTATTAATGGAAGTTTAAAACACATTCATAAATACTTAAGACAGTTAACCCATTCCTATTGGTCGAGAGCCTGTTACGTGGCCGGTCTGAAACGGATAAAAAAGACATGGCTGGCTGGTCTTAAAATATTTGGACAATCATGAAATCCAGTACCTTTCACTGTTTTATTGATTGAACGTTCACAATCCTCACCTACATGTAGGCATGCGCCATTAACCTATCGCGGTAGAATCACATCAACGCAGCTTGTGAAACACAGGGTGAGTAAAAGAAAACGAAATCCAAATGTCGGGACCATTGTTTTAGTGAAGTTCTGCATGTAGCACTTTCAAAATCTAGGATATGAAAGCCCAATTCATAAGCTTTCTTTTAATACAAGAATCATTCGAATCACTCATGTACTTTTCAAGTTACGGAATTTTAAACACAACCGCCGTTTTAAGGTTCTGTCCAAAAAAGTTCAGTGTTCTTTCAGCAAAACAAAAACAAATCACATAAAGGATGTGTGTGAATGGTTTTTGTTTTGCTGAAAGAACGCACACTTTTTTTGTGATCCATGGACAGAACTTTAAAACGGTGGTTGTGTTTAAAACTCCGTAACTTGAAAAGTACATGAGTGATGTGAATGATTCTTGTACTAAAAGAAAGCTTATGAATTGGGCTTTAATATCCTAGATTTTGAAAGTGCTACATGCAGAACTTCACTAAAACAATAGTCCCGACATTTGGGTTTCGTTTTTTTTTTACTCACCCTGTATTGTCCAATTACAAGATATACAAATGGATGCGGAACGCGCAAAATCTCTGAGACGAACAAAATTTAGCATTCAAAGTCCAATAGGGGTTGTCTAAGGGGCGTGGCTAACTCGCAAACGGCGATAGGTCAATGCTACCAGTGAGTCAGTATTTTACAGTCCTATAAAATTCACACAAAACCAGCACAGCCGAGTTCTGCATAAAGATTAACCAGCCGTCTTTATCAACTGTTTCAAACCGGCCATGTGATAACCTCTCAACCAATAGGAATGGGTAAACTGTCTTAGGTATTTAGGAATGCTAAATAAAAAAGATACAAAATAAGTCACGTTCAAAATAACTGGGACGAATTCCGTACAAGTTGCAGACATTGTATCTGGTATAAGTTACAGCATTCTGAACAACTTTCCTGCAATCTTCCCGCAATGAAGTTATCAGTATTGATGAGTCAAGCATTTGCTAATGAAAATTTCTTGGAAACATTCCCATGAATATTTCTCCCCACAACTTGTCTTGCATTCGTCCTGGATGTGAAACAAGGGCCTTACCTCCGATACATTCTTGGCGTGAATATCACCATATCCGACCGATGCCCCAGTAGCGGATGCCCAGTATAAGCTGACTATGTATTGCGAACTCAAAGGCCGAGTGTCTTGGGAAAAAAAAAAAAAAAAAAAGTTGAAATGTATGAGTGATGACGAAACGCCAATTTCTGTTCATGCATGGAGCTTGAATGCTTCCCCAGCCAAATTGTAAAGTGGTATTCAAATTCACTTTTATGGATTTTTTTTCAAGCAAGTTTGATGACAGTTGCTCCAGCAATTCTTGTTAAGAATTCAGGTTTTCAAATTTATTTAAAACCAGATTTTCTGGTCATTCATTTTTGGGAGTCCTTTTATCATTCAGCTTGTAAAGTCTTGTTTAAAGACAGGTTTCGCACAATGAGAACTTAAGAAAGCTTGTGTGTTTCTTAATGAATGCACATCATCACTTCTTTTTTTCAGCATTCACTTTTCCATTTCGTTAACTTTTGTTTTTCTTTTCTCGATTTAAGCCAGAGTCCATCATTTGCAGCTATCCAAAAAGTAACTGGCGTAATTATTGTTGAAAAACATACTTTGTTGAAAGATAGTAAGGGGACTAAACTCCCTGTTAAATTATTCATTCTGGCATGCTGTCATTTTGAAGAAATCAACGAAAGAAGGCCTTTCCAACGGTGCGTCTTAAGAAGCACTGTTGGATAATTCCGTTAGTAGTTCGTTTTGTTATTCGGCGAAGCGTGCACAAGAATTGGCATGATGCACACACGCTCGTGGTTTTTATGTTATTCGTCAGTGCGCGACATTGCGTCTCGGACGCTGAATTCAGGTCCAATTCAAAACATGATTCAGTAACTTTTGTTTTGAAATCGAGATCCTAGAATGTTGTTTTTTCCGAAATATACAGCTGAAACTGAGCTGCAACTTCATCAGGTTAGTTGTTCAGCACCCTTCTTTAGATTTTGAGCACTATTGTTGCTTCAAATGAACAAAATGCACAGGTTAAAAATGATGGACTATACCCTTAATTCATACGCTAGTGATTTCAGTGCAATAATCGCAACGGCATGAAAAAAGCCGAATAAGCATCAGTACCAACGGAAATCAACAGCTACGCGGAAAAGTTTCATACTACATCTCAATCATTCTGACTCACCAGGGGGCTACTAGAGAATGGTTTTGACTAGCCCGTCGCTGTTTTGACTAGAATTTAGCTACCAGGCTACAGCTAGGGTCGACCCCTGCAGATCTAGTCATATTCAAACATGCTAGGAATCTCCTACTTACAGAAATGTAAGTCCACCGCACTGGTCCAGGAGTTGTTTTTACAGAAGTGATCGTTGGTCGAAATCAACCCGGCAAGGTCCTGGGCCGTAGGATTTGCACTGAAGATGGGCAAGCAGGCGTTCATGTACCACAGACACGCCATGATATGGAAGAACAGCCCGAGGTAGAAGAAGAACTTCAACATCCTGGCAAAGTAAACAATCATTTTTTTAAAACTAAATTTACTGCGTTATAGGCTCCGTGCACAAGTACCCCTTCCAACGACCAGAAAATGAGAGTTGGGGGAGACCTAGACTGGTTCCTGGTCCACCACTGCATATTTCAAATGATCCAAAGTTATTGAGGGCGGGGATTAGTCTGGGAGACCATCGCAAGTATAATTCGAACGTATTCGTGCACCGACGACGCCTGACGCTCACGTGAAGATGCTGTGGTTAAAAGCATCAGGACATTCAGGAAGTCATGCGTACTTCGCGCACAGTATATACGCTCACGCTGTGTGTCCTGTCCACTGAGCTCCCAAAAGTGGTAACAACGTGCACTCTTTTGTTGGCGCATGGAGCCCATAAAGCTGCGTTTCAGTCTATGTTGTGTCTGCTGCACATTTAAAACTATTCTCAACTGTGGGCCTAACTACGCAACACGTCAGACACAAAACGGACTAAAATTTGCATTTGGAGTGCGTCTTTGGAATGTCAAATCTCTACACTGCTTTAATGAACGTCAATCTGTTTCTTCATTTATCGTTATGTGGTATTGTTTTTAGGCAAGATGCAGTACACATACCTGATATTTCCCGTCTCATTTTCCACACCAGATTCCAGGTAATTGAAAGCAAGTGGCTGCAATTATGGATTAAAAAAGTTTATTAAATGAAAAAGAGGAAAATTAAGCCAAATTATAAGTTGTGCATTTGGTAAGTTAACTTGGCTCAAAGAACAAACCAACCTGAACAGACCTAGACCTAAAACTAAAAAAAAAATACTGCAAGTTAAACTTACGCGATCCCCCTGGCATGCTGGCAGTTTTTATACAGTCAGTTAGTAAGCACACTTTTCAGTGTACCTAACCAAAATCAACAATGACCTCATTTCACCCCTAGATGACCTTTGACCTCAAATGTCTCAAAGCATCTTAAGTCCCCCTACCCAAAGATTATTGTCCCCAGGTTTGGTGGAGATTTAAAGCCCAAGTCCATCATTTGCAGCTATCCAAAAAAGTAACCGGCGTAATTATTGTTGAAAAACATACTGGTTGAAAGATAGTAAGGGGACTAAACTCCCTGTGAAATTATCCTTTCTGGCAAGCTCTCATTTTGAAGGTGAAATCAAAAAAAGAAGGCATTTCCAACGGTGCTTCTTAAGAAGCACCGTAGGAAAATTTAAATTAGTTGTTCGTTTTGTTATTCGGCGCAGCGCGCACAAGCATCGGAACGACGCACAGGCGCGCGCGGTTGCTATAATTCGTTGGATCAGTGCGCAACCTCGCGTAAAGCTGCAATTCAAAACAATTTGAAACATGATTTAGCAACTTTTGATTTTAAATTGAGATCCTAGAAACCTGTTTTTCTCGGAATATGAAGCTGAAGCTGAGCTGAAACTTCATCAAGTAAGTTGTTCAGTATCCTTCATTAGATTTTGAACACTTTTGTTGCTTCAAACGAACAAAATGCACTAATTACAAATGATGGACTATAGCTTTAAGTCTGACTTTTCATATGACAGCACTAAACAGTTAACCTAACCAAAAAGGAACACATAGATACACAGAAGGAGAACACTATTGTAATATCCCCCTTGCTAGCTTAAAAGCCAGGGGGATAAAAAAGAATTGATGTTTCGGACTTGGACAAGAGATGTTTTACTTCATAAAAGGTGAACGTTTGTTATCTGTATACACCCATATTTATCAATCTTTGTTCAACGCTCGCAACGTACCACTCTGTACATCTGTAGGAATCGATTCAGCCTGAGCACGGCATAAACATGGATAGCATCAGCTAAAATGTAACAAAGATCAAATGAAGTTTTATTTGCAAATACATTGTATTTAAGTTTGTCAAAATTTAAATGGTTGTAACAATAAATCATTGGAATGATAAACACTGCTAAATGATATACTCAGTACTTAGGCATTTGTCGTCTGTTCATTCCCTAGTACTTGTGATTGGCTTGTGACTGGCTTGTGACTGGCTTGTGATTGACTTGTGATTGAATTGTGATGGACTTGTGACTGACTTGTGATTGACTTGTGATGGACTTGTGATGGACTTGTGATTGACTTGTGATTGACTTGTGATGGACTTGTGATTGACTTGTGATTGACTTGTGATGGACTTGTGATTGACTTGTGACTGACTTGTGATGGACTTGTGATTGACTTGTGATGGACTTGTGATTGACTTGTGATGACTTGTGATTGACTTATGATTGACTTGTGATTGACTTGTGATTGACTTGTGATTGACTTATGATTGACTTGTGACTGACTTGTGATTGACATGTGACAGACTTGTGATTGACATGTGACAGACTTTTGATTGACATGACACATATTTGTGACTGAATTGTGATTGGATTGTGATAGACTTGTGACTGAGTTGTGAGTGACTTGCGATACACTTGTGATTGACTTGTGACTGACTTGTGATTGACTTGTGATTGACTTGTGACTGACTTGTGATTGACTTGTGACTGACTTGTGATTGACTTGTGACTGACTTGTGATCTGTACAAATCCAAGAAAAAAAATAAGAGCAATATTGGAACTTACGGGAGAAAGTTCGTAGTACTGCATATCCAATGAGTTCAGCAGGGAAGCATGCTACCAAGTCAATCAGAAAGTTGGTCCTGCACAGTCAAAAATTAAATCAATAAAAAATATTTATTTCACTCATCCAAGAATTTGCAAATTATGTAGAAGTCTACTTGTTAGGTTGTAAACAATGTCGTGAATTTGAGAGGCTAGGAACTAGATAAGCCACATTGCACTTGTGGGAATCAGCCAATAAAAGTGGTTCCTTTTGTCATGAATATGTATGACGTGTAATTAAACAAATTAAGAGGTTTTCTTACTTGAAGTAATGTTTGGCTGTGGAGAGCGGATGTGTTACGAGGACGTTGTTCTCGTTGTAAAACGCTGTGTGGAATTTCAAATACCTGAGATAAACAAAGCAAAACAACTCAGTTTTTCATCCACAATTAAAGGTTGCGTGGACCATTTGCAGACTATCCCCCCCCAAAAAAAACGGTGAAATTATAGCTAAAACTTTTACCTGGTTTAAAGATAGTAATGACACTAAACTCCCCGTTAAATTATTCCTTCTGGCATGTTGTCATTTAAAAGAATAAAAAAGGTAATAAAAAAAAAGTTATATCCAAAGATGTGTCAAGTGACACATTTTTTGAAATTTTCAATGCAACTTGTGAAATATTGTCCACTTTACAAATGGACGCGGAACTCGCAAAATCTGAGACAAACAAAATTTAACGTACAAAAATTCGTTAGGGTAAACTTGCAAACGGCGATAGGTCAATTGAACGAATCCGTGGACGGGTGCATGCAAGCATTGACACGACGCACACGCACGTGACAAGACGCACACGCACATGCGCGGTTGCTATTATGAGCGGTTCCGTGTGTGACATCACGTAGCTAGAATCGGCTGAATGAGACTAATGCTGATTTCAGGATTGTAAATTTTGACTTGAAATCGAGATCCTGGAATATTGTTTTTCTCGGAATATTCATCATTCACAGAGCTAAAACTTCACCGGATTAGTTGTTAAGCACCCGTTTCTAGATTTCGAGCACTTGTGTTGCTTCAAACGAAAAAAAACCCCACAAAATGACAAATGGTCCATTCTACCTTAAAATTACGAGTAATTTCTTCTTTTATTTCACTCACATGTCAACGTAGCAGATCAGATCCAGCGAATAATTGATGACCCATAATGCAACATCCATGTGGGAGAAGGACGCTTGTAGCGTGACGGTGAACGCCATGATGATCGCCACGGCGACACGGACTGCTTCCCAGCGCTTGAACCACGTGCCACTAGGTAGCAACGCACGGCTGAATAATAAAAAAATTGAAAAATGGAAATTGTTTAAAATATGGAGCAACCTTTCATGCTCATGTCAATTAAACAGTGCGCATAGAGCTATATTATATTACTAGAGCGTTGATTCAATGTACAAATGAACCCTGCACAAACCTATGGTACATTGTGCACAAACCTATGGTAAACTCGAAATTTAGTACGGCTTTTGTACAGCTATTTGCATATCTGCCTTTGCATTCTATATCATTGTTTTTACGTACCTAGGCCTGTATAAAACACAGTGCCAGGCCATGTTCTTCCTTTCATTTTTACCCTAGTGATTTCAGCACAAGATTTGGCAGTGCAACGGCATGAAACAGATTCGAACCAGCCGATCGATCACGCAAGCTCAGTGGTCGAGTGGTAAGACGTCTGCACTAGAAAGCAGGAGGTCGTGGGTTCGAGTCCCACCCGAGCGATTTTTTCCAACTTTCACTCGGGAGGTAACACACTGAGTGTTTACACGTCATTGAAGGGCAAAACCTAATATTGATTTACATCACCCCGACGCAAATTCCATCTTATGAATGGCATGAAACAAGCTGAATGCGCACCAGTATCAGATTTTTCTTTTTTCTAAGACCGGCTTTTTCAAAAATGCAGAAATCTGCAGATATACGCCAAAAAACTTGCATGCCTTTTTCGATGATTTTGACTCGCCAGGCCGAATACTTAGAGAATGATTTTGACTAGCCCGCCGCTGTTTTAACGCGCATTTGGCTAGCGCGCTACCGATAAGGTCAAACCCTAAACCTCAATATCCCTTTGCGTTGATGCTACAGAATCACCCAATATCAGAATAAATTAGTAGTCAAACATACTTTGCGCCACATGCAAACAAGACTCAAAATGCGCATGCAGTGTGTTCCTCACACTAGGACTTTCAAAAGTGGTCGCAGGGCGCCCTCTACTGTCCAGGTACTGTCCAGGGGCAAGTCCATCGAATTAAAAATCGACTGTAAATTATATTTGAGTTTAAGACTGAATCTTTCATATTGGGGTTCTACGTACCTCATAAGCAGCTTGGAGAACAGTCTGCCTACAAGACTTAGCTGACTGAGAGGCTCAGTGTAATCTTCAGAACTTCTGTCAAAAAAGTGGACAAAGAATTAGTTGCCAGAAAATATAAAAATGTGTTGCACTTCATAATTATTAGTCATGTTCATCAGGCCGTAAGACCAGATTTCTGCAGCATATCGAGATTACTGGAAACATCTACCCCAAGAGGTACCCATCCATACTCCTTGTTGGACAGAGGTGATTGTAGTAAAGTGTCTTGCCCAGGAACACAAGCACCATGTTCCCCTGTCAGGGTTTGAACCCATGTGACATGGGTAAAGTGTCTTGCCGAAGAACACAAGCACCATGTTCCAGCCCCTGTTTGGGTTTGAACCTATGTGCCGTGGGTAAAGTGTCTTGCCCAAGAACACAAGCACCATGTTCCCCTGTCTGGGTTTGAACCTATGTGCCGTGGGTAAAGTGTCTTGCCCAGGAACACAAGCACCATGTTCCCCTGTCGGGGTTTGAACCCATGTGCCATGGGTAAAGAGGGGCAATTGTGATAAAGCGTCTTGCCCAAGAACACAAGCACAATTCTTCCAACCGTCAAATCCATTTCCAACAGATTACAAGTTACTGGTTGAATTAAGTCAGCCACATTTGTCACTCACTTATCAAAGACTTTGACAGAAGCGTCCGTTGGTTGGTGGGATGTTGCCTCCACTGAGTTATCAGTCTGAAGATCATCAGTGTCTGTTTAAAAGAAAAAAATTGAATTAAAGAATTTACAAATTTGACTCAAACTGTCAAGAAACCAAGAGTTTCAAAAAACGCCCTCTGTTGTTGTTGTTGAACGGAGTCAATTGATCATGTGACTTTACCTCGCATTGATCATGTGACTATACCTCAAATTGATCATGTGATGACTTTACCTCTAATGACATCCAATTCATGCTGGCGTCGCGAGGCATTGCGTAATTCCTTCAAATGTTCTTCATCTTCAGCTGCTTCTTTGAATTGCCTATTCACAAATAAAAAATAAATAAATTTAAAGATATCAATGATTTTAATATCCAATCAAATCTGAGTAAGTTGCACAATTTACACAGAGCATTACTTCAGAATATAAATTGAGTCATCTATATGTTGTCATTTTTGTCAATTTGAAGATTGTAAAATAATAATTATAAATTTGAGAGAACTATTTCGATATCTTAGTATTTTGTTGATGGTGCATGCACATACCACAGTTTTTTAAGAGGCATTGCATATTTACTCTGTGATTCATGTTACTGGGAAGGATTATTATGCCACCCAAATTTGTAAGTCCATCACAAGATAATCACAAGTCCATCACAAGACAATCACAAGACAATCACAAGACAATTTATAAGTTAAACACAAGTCCATCACAACTCAATCACAAGTCAATCATCAATTACAAGTCAAACAAAAGTCCACCTCAAGACAATCACAAGTCCATCAGAGGTTAATCACAAGTCAACCACAAGTCCATCGCAAGTCAATCACAAGTTGATCACAAGTCCATCTCAAGACAATCACAAGTCCATCACAAGTCCATCACAAGTCAATCACAAGTCCATCACAAGTCAATCACAAGTCAAACACAAGTCAAACACAAGTCAAACACAAGTCCATCACAAGTCTATCACAAGTCCATCACAAGTCAATCACAAGTCAATCACAAGTCCATCACAAGTCCATCACAAGTCCATCACAAGTCAGTCACAAGTCCATCACAAGTCAAACACAAGTCAAACACAAGTCAAACACAAGTCAAACACAAGTCAAACACAAGTCAATCACAAGTCCATCACAAGTCAAACACAAGTCCATCACAAGTCCATCACAAGTCAGTCACAAGTCCATCACAAGTCAAACACAAGTCAAACACAAGTCAAACACAAGTCCATCACAAGTCAAACACAAGTCAGTCACAAGTCCATCACAAGTCAGTCACAAGTCCATCACAAGTCAGTCACAAGTCAACCACAAGTCAAACACAAGTCAAACACAAGTCCATCACAAGTCAATCAGGAGTCAATCATAACTTGTGATCAACAAGCTTGTCATGACTTGTACGGACTTTAACCACAACTCTTATGAGCATGTTTAGTTTCAGTCGTTCACATGCATATATGGGGGGAATTGTTGTGATTAGCTAGCCTGGGTTTAAGCATGGTTGTGCCAGTAGCGCTGGGCTGGGTTGGATTGTGTTGGGGGTACGACGACTCTAGGGTATGGCTGCAGGCAAAGGGTATTACTAGTAGGCTAGGATGGGTAAACCAGAAATAACTGCAATAGTTTTAAGGTAAGCTGTAAATGAAATGGTTTGCTCGTTAAACAATTACATTGCTATGATTAAGTGATCTATTGCGGTGGTTGTATTTTCAACATTTTAATTAATGGCTAAAATGTTTATTGCCCAACTTCTTATAATGAAATACATGCAAATTATACAAAGTAAATCGTCTCCTATCTTTGAAAAAAAATTACATTATGTCACTTTTCATTAAACAAATGGCACAGTTACATATTGGAGTAAAACAGGCAGTGCAATGGAATTTTTGTTTGATTATGAATATGACACTGCAAATAAACGCATGTTAAAGCATTGATCACAGTACTGCACTAATTAGCTACATACGTGGTAATCTTCAAGCAAACTTGAATCCTTGATCCTGATTGGCTGCTAAGCGCCCCCCGCAGGGGTTAAAAACGGTTTACCACTGCGATGTAACCTTTGATAACTGAAGGTTTTGATGTCCTGCCGGACACGAGACTGAGCATTGGACATTGCAGTTCTCATTGCGCAAGATAGCGCGCCCGCAGGTTCCATACGCACGCGCAATGCGTGCAATAAACAGTGCGATATCACTGATCTCCACGTAAAAACGGATAATCGTGTGACATGCATTTTTATAGACCAGACAAGTGGCCATTCTAGACCAATGAATACAGTATCCAAGCGCACAATATAACAATATCATGTAAACCACAGTCCATATCGCACTCCATGTACCGCGCTATTCTAAGATGCACGCGCTGTTCCTCCTGCACGCACATATCTAACTATAATTCCAGAAATCTCTGTCTGTCTGTCTGTATTTCGATTATCTCCAGAACCGGGCACCGTATGAAGTTGAAAATCGGCGGGTGTATTGCTCGGGACAGCAGAATGTGCAGTGCCAAGTTTGAAGTTGTTTGGAAGAGCGGTTCTTGAAAAAGCTGCAAGAAACCAGCATTTTCTGAGGAAAACGCGGCAGTATTAAAGCCCAGACCACCATGCACTGTCGTCCTTTTCCATTGTTGTGTCATGTTTGAGCTAAAGCGCGCGTGCTCAATATGACGCAACAATGGAAAAAGGACGAGTACACACATTTTAGGGCGATACCATTTTCCAGTATGGGTGAATATCAGTGTCAGGGGATGACGACGTGTACAAAGTGTGTGTTTAACCTGTGAGTGTGCGTCCAACCTGTACAAACAACACCAATGAGTCGTGTGCATTGTTTGTAAGAGCAGTCCTCATGCCCCTTCTGAACAGGCACATTTTCAACGGTAATAGGATAATTTTAAAAAAGTTCGTGTACAGCATGCATGTTCCATTTTTATTGTGCATCAAGTTTGCTTGAAGATAAATTCATTATCTCACTCGTGCGCGTGGAACTCCGAAAAATGTTGCACATCCATGTCCACGTGGCAAACGGAACATGAACACACAACATTACTCAAATGTTTCAATCACACTCATGGGATAATTCTTGGAAGGGTAAGCTTATATTTTTGCAATACAATCCACAGAACCTGTTAACTAATGTTACGAATGTTTCCAGGGATGATGCCACGGAGCTGAAGTGCAAGGGGACATTTTAGCAGCAAATTAATAGGGTGTGTGACTGGGATTCACGTTGCACAAGTCAACAAAAACAGATTTTCAGACCGTTCGTTGCGTTCCTGCTTCTCCTTACGATCCTTGTCCCGATGGGCGACGGTTGCCTCCAACCCGCTACGAACGGCAGGAATGACAAGTTAACATCGCACAAAATATCAACACACGGACCAACAGTGCATTAACAGCGCTGGGCCGATTTCACGAAACACTAAGACACATCTTAGGAAGGGTCACTCTCCTTAACTTGCGACTCGTCCTAGGATCGATTTCAGCAAATTTAAGACGCGTTCAACACGTCCTAACTTCCTTAGCAACGCAGCTGAACTCGTCTTAACTTAAGGTCAGTCTGATGGTTGTCTTATCTCATTAATGCATGCGTTTAATTGTATGTTGTATGGAAATCATTGCCGTTAAAGACGAGTGTTGGCTTAACAGTTTTGAGGAAGAAAATCGCTGTAGAAACAGATTTAAAAAGATTTCAGATACGTGGGTAGTTTTCATAACAATAGCTTATTAACCAAATTTAATTATAGCCTACGCCAACACTTTTTTTAAATAGAGTGATGAAACGGGGAGCAAGAATGACTCTATCGTATCTTGTGTAGAACCACCTTGCGTGTGAAGTTTATTGAGTTGAGTATTTTTTCTGGCGAAAGTTTGTGTTCTATGCACGGGTCCGCGAGAAGTTGGTTTTGAGCATTTCTTTCAACATCTGTTTCATCAAGTGGTGAAAACAAACATGAAACAGCACTCAAATTGGTAGTTTTGATGCATCTTGCTTAAGATGGGTTTAGTGAAATCAGTCTTAGGACGTGTCTTAGCTAAGATCAATCTTAGAGCGGGAACTCGTCTTAAGGTCTAAGACGAGTCGCAAGATGAGACGAGTTTCGTGAAATCGGCCCCAGCTCTATGAATGCAACAAGTCTGAACTACACTAAAGATGCCTTTCTATGTCAAGCGGTTGCTGAAAGCTGTTCGAAGTGAAATTTCTTTGAAATGTACATTAATATCCCACATTCAAACTGCTTATGAGAAGTGCAAAGAAGCAGATATAATTTGTAGGAAAAAACACAAAAGGAATGAAAAATGCATGATAATCAAAGCACGCTTAGGCCAAAAAAAAATAAGTCGGTCTCTGGTCAGCGCACGTGTCGATTTTAATCATGCGCGCCGATCTTTTTTTTTTCCAAAATGTTCCGCGGTAGCTCCAACAGCGCCCTCTATTTCCGCACCTCCTCAATTTTTTTTACCAAAGAGCACCAAGGAATGGGAAATTGTACCAAGGCAAATGATCGAAAGCACCAAGGCAAATTATGGAGGACACCAATGTACATGAGGACACCAAAAAAGCAAAAAAGTACCCCACCTTGTCTGTACAATCCAAGCTTGAAGAAAAAAAAAAAAAAGCCGCGTGGCCGCGTCAATTCCGGAACTTTGGTCTGACGAGAGACCTAATATTTTTTTTTGGTCCTTACTATTGAAAATTTACCTATCAACATATATGTACATGAAAAATACCAATGTCTATAAATTGATGCTTTTTAGTCAACATTTTGCACAGCTCTCTACAAATCTCTACAGGATGTGTCAAAAAGAAGTAGACATTCAGAAAAATGTCCCAAAAAAGAAAATTTAAATATTTTGTGGAATATCGCTGCATATATGGGTAGATAAACCTATCAGGCTTAAAATGACACCATGATTATTGTTTTCCCGTGATACTTACTTTGCAATGAGAGGAAAATGATGCAGGACTTCGTCCAGATCCGATCGTTTGAGCATGAGCAGTTCGCAGTACGACGCGGCTCGTACCGTAGCTGTACGGTAATCACCAAAGATCAGACCGACTTCGCCAAAATACTGACCGGGTCCTATGGTGCTTGTCACTCTTGTCAAGTCCTTGGAAAGAATCTTGGTTTACAAAAAAAAGGACGCAGAAATATAAGTCTTCAAATAAATGAAGTCATGATAGTAGTTAAACAAGTCTACAAATGAGATGTGAACTTATAAATGGGACATTCTATAAATTTCGGGTCCAAAGTGTGACATTTTTCCGGTCCCTGTCACCTTGGTACTTTGTAATTTTCCATTCAAGTATCGTTAACCCTTCCACTGTTTAAACAGTCACAGACAGTCAAAAAATCCATCCACTTCCCCTGCCATGCCTTTTACACAGTCAGATCATATTTTCAAATTCAGTCAACAGACAAAAAGCAGGAAACTTGTGGAACAGCTGTCTTATCAATCACCGACAGTCAAAGCATAGCTGTATCAAGTTACATAAACAGTCACAGCCAGTCAATGCTGCTTTACATTATGTTAGCTTGGAGCTCTTAACTGCAGGGAAAAAAATCTCACTTATTTCACCTTTTTTTTTTATAAACAGGCAATTCCACACTTAAGGGCCTAAAAGTGTGCCATTTGAGAAGACTTTAGGGTTTTGATAATAAAACTAGGATCTTGGTCTCTCAATTTTTGCTGTAAACATTGGAAGCTTTGAACAAATATCCTCACCGGCAAAGGATATAACAGACTGGTTTTGTATTTTAGAAATACGGTGGATATTGTTTTGAAAAGTGTTATGTATGTAACGAAGGACAGACATTTTAGATAAAGTCACAAAGTAAGCACATTTAGTGATGTTTGATTTAAGATGTACCCTGGAGGAATGCCCTCAGTCAAAACCTAGAAAACTCAGAGTCAATGTGAGGTATTATTTGATATTTTATAATCAGGATTTACACGTACGAACTGACTGGACATTTGTCACAAAATGTCTGTCCCTGTTCGTACATAACCCTAATCACATCATATCTTTAAAGCCAGTGCAAAAACTGTTATATTTTCACCTGATAGCAATTTTAAATGGGTTGATAATGTCAAATGAAAGTGTCTATTAGAAACTCATTTGTCCTAAGCACCCTTTTCCTTGCAGTGTGTCTGTCCATGTTACGTACAAACACAGAAAAAGACCAGTAATTTTCTCAAATAAAAAATATATCATCTCATGTATTTTCTTGTCCTAGTCACTTTCAACTTAGCAAGGTATAGGAAAAAACCCAGAAAACACTAGCTCATGTTCTACCCTTTATATGCAACATCCATAAACGTATCTAATTGGCCACTTAGTGTAAAACTGCCCAAAGAAATTTCGTGAAAATTTTTTTCAAATGCTTTTAATAAAACTCAAGGTAGCATACCTCACAAGTTCCCCTGCGAATGAAATACATCTCTCGCCCCATGTCGCCTTCGTATACGATCATGTCACCGGGTGTGAAGAGATATGCGTGAGTCTTCAAAGCCAGCATGCGCAGGAACGCAGCGTCGCAATCCTTGAACAGGGGTACCTGAAATTTCAGACAAACCCATTAAATAATTCATCTTTGTGAAAGTTTACCTAGTGATGCTGACTTAGGAAAAAGAACATCGCTTGAAATATTTGAACACAGTTTACATTTTTCAGATGCAGATTTCTTGGAATTGGGCAGACATGTTAAAATTGTTTCAAGATATTCCTAAACTACAGCATCTTCGTGGTATACGGTGAAAACGGCGCTGAAAATAAAGCTTAAATTAAGAAATGGCGATGGTTTAAAGAAAGATGGTCAAAAACCAGTTTGTCCACATGCAAGTCTATATGGTCAACACAATAGCACTGCACGCACAAAGAACTGCAATAATTGTAATTAGGTCTACACGCCTGCCATAGATGTGGACAAACTAGTTTTTGACCATTCTTCTGTAAACGGCCGCTATTTCTGAACTTGAGCTTTATTTTCAACACCGTTTTCGCAATATACCACCAAGATCTTGTAGTTAAGGAATGTCTTAAAACAATTTCAACATGTCTCTTCAATTTTGAGAAATCTGCCTCTGAAAAGGTTTAAACTCTTTTTTAAACCACTCATATTCAAGACATACTCCATGCAAAAGCATGTCCCAATCAGTTGTAACAAAGATGCAATACAAACGCTGTGGGATATTTTTAGCAGTTATCCCATTACACATGTGTGCAGCACAAACTTGCATATGCAGCCGACAAATATGGTACATGTATGTGCAATGATGGGTAACACCACACTGTTGTTGGCATCGGTCGATCAAAGCGCAAGTGGAACACGGAATAATGTAGTGTGTCTGTGTCCAAAGATATGGACACTGCATTTGCACGTTCCGGAGCACAAATGGAATATTACAAATTTATCTTCAAAGCGTGCGCTGTGGTAACGCTCTAACAGCTATTCTACTGCACGTGCGTGTAGCCGGAAAATGGCACAATGCAATATAACCATGCAATATCAGATCACTGTCGTTGCCATGGATCGACCAATCAGGTCGAGTGTTCAAGTTTGCGGGAATGTAGATTTGCATGTTACCCCGCGTGTGCACTGCATAGTTTGTTACTCGTACCTGGCCTAGCGTCTCTTGGGCGTCTTCATACGCAATCTCCTGCTGTAGCTGTATGGGCATATCATGCATGAGACGCATGCCACCGGGCATGACCTCACCCCTATCAATTCAAACCAAAGAATAGCCATAAAATATATCCAAAAAAACACATGATTGCATATTCAGCATAAAAAAGAATGCAAGTTTTCGCGCAGCAAATTAAAAAAATATTAAACATATTTTAACTTTGTTAAACACCACAATGAATTTTTCATGACGTGAAATATCCTTCACATTCACATAAAATATGAGCCAATCTTTAAAGGTAAAGTCCATCATTTGCAGCTGTCCAAAAAGTAACTGACAAAATTATTGTTAAAAAGCTTACTTGGTTCAAAGATAAGAATGACCCTAAACTCCCTGTGAAATAATTCTTTCTGGCATGCTGTCATGTTGAAGAAAACAATAAAAGGCCATTTCCAAAGATGTGTCAAGTGAAGCATCTTTGGAAATTTCCGTCAGTAGTTGGTTTGTAATTGGGCGAATCCGTGAATGGGTGTGCGCAAGCGTCGACACATCGAACACGCGCGGGCGCCCATTATTATTCATCAGTTCAGTGTGTGACATCACGTAGCTGCAATCGCCTGAATGAGAACGTGTCCCAGACGCCGATTTCAGGTGCAATTCAAAACAAGACTCGGCAACTTTTAAATTAAAATCGAGATCCTAGAATATTGTTTTCTCGGAATATACAGCATTCACAGAGCTAAAACTTCATCAGGTAATAGTTGTTAAGCACCCGTCTTAAGTTTTAAGCACTTTTGCTACTTCAAACAAACAAAAATGCACAAAAGACAACTGATCTGCCCTACTTTAAGCAAGAATTTCTAACACTAGTAATGCAAGCACACATCCGTGATGAAAACTGACGAAATTCATTAAACAAAAGTGGTCAGTGGCTAAAATTTATCCCAAATGAACAATTCTAAAGACTGTGATTATGTCAGTGTATATGATGACCTACCTGTGTCTTCTGAACACCAGGCCAAGATACTTGACCACTCGATGCTGGAGGTTCAACTTCAAGTTGTGATCTTTCATGAACTCTTGAACAGCAAACAGTTTCTCCTGGAAGTTCACTCTAGATGAGCAAGAAAGACAAAACAAACAAAATGACAAAATACTCAAACAATCAACCATTTTTGGCAATTTTAGATCTGCGATTCCAGGCATGCAACTGGGAATTTAGAAAAAAAAGGAGAAAATTCCAAACCACACAAGACTTTGTACAGTATTTTTCAATTTGTAATGGCATTCATGAGAAGTCAAAAACAAGGAAATCAGCGGATCCGAGGAAAAGTTGCATGCCTGCATATCGTGTGCTTGGATACTGTCATTTTATTGGTCGTTAAAAACGTCATATCCCACATCACAGCAGTCAACAATTATTAAATGTACGCACGGCCCAAATGAAAACCAGTTTTAAACTGTTTGGGCATACCCTACAGTAAATAAATGTATAAATAAACGATTGTAGTTTTACATTGGTATGTGTATTAGGTATAGTATACAAATAACGAATGTTTGTGAGTGCGATGGTAAGAATAATTTCATTCGGTGACAGATGGAATGTTCTATTCCACGAGGCGAAGCCGAGTGGAATAGAACATTCAATCTGTCACCGAATGAAATTATTCTTTCCATCGCACGAACGTAAAACATTCGTTATTTGTTTTATACAACACCTGAATAAATTCTCGTCATTTGATTGGTAAATTATAAACTACAATTTATTTTGATTTTAAAGATGTTGAACTACCCCTTCACGAAAATGTTTGAACCCAACGCTGTAGCGCTGGCTCTTTGGAACAATACGCGCTACGCTGAACGCGCACACCAGCATGCATTTTGCACGCAAATACCGCGTCATGGAACAAGCGCAAAGTGAAACGGTATAACGCATGGGTATAACGCATGGTCGCACCGTGCTTTATACCGAATAATAATATGTCACGTGATCTACAATTCACCAATCAGATGACGGGGATTTATTCAGGTGTTGTATAATAATGTCTGTCACGAGCCAATGTGGCCCATCAGGCCGGCGTTTATCTCCAGTTTCAGAAGCATGAAATGACTGAGAATATTTCTATTCCCCCTGGATGGGATGCTAGTCCATCGCAGGTTACTCCCCAGCTAATGCCGGTACCCATTTACACTCCTGGGTGGAGAGGGGCAAGTGGGGGTAAAGTGGCTTGCCCAAGGACACAACCTATGGCAGCAGCTGGATTCGAACCCCTGACCCTCTGATCATGAGTAGCGAACCCTAACCACTAGGCCACACTCCCCATAGGTATTTAAGTCAAATTATAATCTACATTCCCCGATGCATGCATAAAATGTCACATTAAGCAATGTAAAATGATGAATGTAAACGTGACAAAAGCAAAGTAGGTTGACTTCAAACCTTGGCGCATCAGCGTTGGCCAGCGTAGCAGCAATTGACGACAGGCAGTAACCATACAGAAGCAGTCCAATCAACATGGCGCCCAGCGCGATAGCGCGGCCGATGGTTGTATGCGCACTGATGTCGCCGTAGCCGGTACTGGTCATGGTAGCCGCGGCCCAGTACAGCGCAGTAATGTACTCGTCAAACGGTGAAGGAGTGGTGCCAGACATGGGGACGTCTGTAGTCGGGACCTTAGGACTCTGAGCTTGCTTAGGACTGTTTAAATATAAACCAAAATTGAACAAAAAGCTAAATTAGATTCTTACAAAACCAGTGAAATAAATCCAAAACACAAGGGAAGCTTTAATTAAAGAAATTAGAAAATTGAAAATACGTTGTTTTTTTTAGTGTCTCCCAATATGAGTAGCTTATTAAGTAACTTTTAAATACTGTGTTTTACAGGTGTAAATGGTTTTCTACAATATTATAACTGATTTATATTTGTTGCAAGATTTACAGAAAACCTTTTCAGTTAATTTAATTTGCCATTTCTTACAAGTTGTTCATTCTTTTACAAAACAAAATAATGAATGTTTATGAGTGCAATGGAAAGAATAATTTCATTCGGTGACGGATGGAATGTTCCATTCCACGAAGCAAACATTCCATCTGTCGCCTCACAAAATTATTCTTACCATTGCACTCATAAACATACCTCATTTGTATAAATAAAAAGAGTCACAAAAATCCAAGCTCAAACATTATGTTAATGGGTGCCTTCAGTAATTCATGCAAATTATTTTCTACTCACACTTTTTAATTAAACGTGAAAATATGTCACAAAAGCTCTACTTCTGGGGAAAAAGGTAAAACAGGATGAAAATGTTGGGAAGTGCTGGTGCGAAATATTTGTGCCGTTAAAGTGGTGCATGGTTGAATGATTGGTGCAAAAAGGTGGGGATGGTATGCATGCATACACATGGCAATGACAGATTGAATGACAAAATGGCCAAGAAATTGAAAAAACTTTGTGATCATGATAATCAAAGCACTGATGTTTGGTTATTATACCTGCTTAACAATCTTAAGGATTAAAAACCAATTCAAAGCACAATAATATCCAATCAAAACAAAATTTAACAATGTGTTTATCTGAAAGCCATTGTTAATGATTAAATTTACAACAACGTATTTGAAAGCTTTCTACCCAACATTTTTGTCTCTTTTATACACCTAAAATAATTCTCAAAATTTCGATACTGTAGGGTGCCAAACTGAGGCTGGTATTCTGGTTCACGCACATAGCTTAATCCTCCTACTGTTTAAACAGTCACAGACAGTCGAAAGTTCCATCCACTTCCCCTGCCATGCCTTTTACACAGGCTTGTCACCAACAGTCAGATCATATTTCAAACAAGCACTGTGACTAGTCAAATTCAGTCAACAGACAAAAGCAGGAAACTGGAGGCACAGCTGTCTAATCAATCACCTACAATCAAAGCACAGCTGAAATAAGTTACATTAACAGTCACAGCCAGTCAATCCTGCTTTATGTAGGCTGGGAGCTCTTCGATTCAAGTGTCGACCTCAATAAGTTGCGCAAAGCTGGGATTCAAGACGATCACGATTAGCTAGAAAAAGGACCTTTTCAGTCGCTACTCCACAACTTATGCCAACTACAATTATTGCACAAGTTAAGCCATACTTTGTTGCGCAAGTCGCGGACTTACACACTAGAAAACGTTTGTGAAATGTGTCGTAAGTGAAATGCTGCGCAGCGTGAAATGTTGCGCAACTTACGCAGTAAATTGTGGCGCAAGTGGAGTTACGTCACTGCTTAAACTTGCATGAAATTGACGGCAGATTCTTTGGAGCTTTCCAACAGTATCTAGCACATCACTGAGCGCACATCACTGAACGAAGTGAGCTGTTTTGACAGTGAAAATTGCAACATTTTGGAGAAAGATATTGAAGTCGCCCAAGCCCAGGTATAATGACTAACGTACATGTACAGTCAGTACATGTTAACTGCGGTCATGTGGTTACTCATGTGCCATGGTACAAGGGTTTGAACCCTGACGGGGAACATGGTGCTTGTGTTCTTGGGCAAGACACTTTACTACAGTTGCCTCTCCCCACCCAGGAGTATAATTATGGGGTACCTGTGAAGGTAGAGACTAGAATGCGCTGATCTCGAGCTGCTGTAGAAAAATGGTCTCTTGGCCTGATGAACAGGGGTAATAATTGTGAAGCGCTTTGAAACCTTCGGTATAAAGCGCTATATAAGCACCAAATTAATATTATATTATTATTTGCCTAGGTTTGCTAATTTTACTTTGACAAATTTTCTTCACGACACATTAATTTGAAGTTGTATTAGCACAATGTTATTGAAGGGAGCGTACACAGAAGTTGACCACCATGGATTTCCATAGAAGCAGTGCAGGTGATGTTTTATACAGAGCAGAGCACTAACTTTAGCACGGTCCATACCGCAATCTGCGTATCGCGTCATTTAAAGATGTGCGCGCCGTTCCTGCTGCGCGTACATGCAGTGGGATAACTGCTGAAAAGTTCATGCACATCACTGTTGTGATTGGATTGGCCAATCATGGTTCAGGATTCAAGTTTGTTTGAAGATAAAAATTCGAAAAGTACATAAAAAAAAGCAAGTGCTCTGTTGCAAGTTATGGACACATGTTTAGAGGTGCAAATTCACAAATGTAAAGATGTGCTTTTCGTATGACACCAAACTGTTCACACATGGACAATCGTACAATGATAGAGACTCAGTATCTGACCTGGCGCCCTTAACGTTAAACACAAAATCTGCGTCCGATGTCTTCATATCCATCTGACAGCTGCTCGGAAATATCACGGGGGTGGGGGACATGATATGGGTTAGATAGGGGGGGGGGGGGAGAAATAAGAAATGACGGGGATAAAAATAAATGTGTTAAAAACAAAGCATGATGTCAACATGGGGTCGCCAAATAACAAACGGCGATCGGTAACATTTAAAAAAGAAAGAATCAACAAGGGTAAATGTTGAACATCTACTTGTGTTCATCATGACATTATCAAAAGATAGGTTAGGAAACGGGCTTTATTGGGAAGTTGATGACATGACGAGTCCAATTCAACCAGGTCTCGTTGAAAAATCTTTGGTGCGAGGGGTGATTGATGAAATCCTGGCATAAGGTTGGAGATGAGATACAGTTTTGACTGATATAGTCTCACTCAAAGACGGCTATCTCTGTAGGAGAACTCTGCATATTTTACGCAATCAAGCACGTATTGCGCAGTGTTGAAAATCTACCAAACATGCGCGCTTGTTGCACGAAATACATACGAAACGTTGTGCAAGTTGATGCTCAAAATGCCGATGCACGTGGATGGTCTGTTGGAAATGACGTCATTTGGGAGAGACCTATTGTGCGAGAATTAAACGTTGAAAATGGAAAAAATGGAGAAAAAAATCCGCCATCATGTCCAAGGTGTGAGCTTGTTGGGTCCCGAAGCTCCATGGACCTGATCCGAAACGGACTTGGCACAACCTTTCAAGGGACAATCTTGCCTTTTGTGAGTTCGTTTGTTCGATTTTTCGTTCAATCAAATGTTTCAATTTTGTCCATTTTCAAGGTTTAATTCTTAGGAACCGATAACTGTCAAGGTTTAATTATCTGTAACACAAAAACAAGAAAAGATAATAACTTCAAACTTTCTGTGAAATCATTCATCAAGTTGAACGGCACACAACATCAGTCAAAACTGTATAGCTCATCTACTTCTATCTCAGGCCCAGACTTGTCAAGCACCCCTCGTACAAACCAAACGAAGTATACTTTTGTAAAAGTTTTCTAGCAGTTCGGTACGTTACATCTTTGGTGGTTCAATAAATAACCGGTTCGGAATTTAGAACTTCCCTCAACTGGAACAGAGGTGGGATTCAAACTTCACTTCAATAATTGCGTGTAAAATCACACAATATCAACAAACCAGAAAAGTAAAAATGTAGCCTTAGTTCAAGACGTTATTTACACTAGTGCACATTACCATTAAAACTGGCTGCGCTGCAGAAGTCCATTATAAATCATTAACGTCGTGAACCAAGGCTAGAATAAATAAAGCAGTACCCAAGACTTTAAGACGTTTTTGGGGAAAAAGATGAACTTACGCTCCTGTGTCACAAGTTACTAGATACCAAAGACAAGAGCTCCAATGCGACAGCAAAGCGATGTAGATGAAGAACTTGAAGAATCGGATAGTGGCGATGTTCACGTCCAAGTCTTTCTCCAAGTTCTTGAAATAGTTGGGCATCTAAAGGAAAACATGTACAGTAGAAACTTTAAGAAAACAGAAATTTGGCTTGGACTATATTTAATTACCGTATAGTGACAATATTTGTTTGATACTCAATAATACCGATATACAAAATACCGAAAACCTCGGTATGCAATTTTATTTTTGTAATATATCTGTGGCGGTATACCGTGAACTCTAAAAATCTAATACCGCACATGCCTAATAGAAACATAAGACTAGTGATTGACTTGTGATTGACTTGTGATGAACTTGTGATTGACTTGTGATTGACTTGTGATTGACTTGTGATTGACTTGTAATTGACTTGTGATGGACTTGTGATGGACTTGTGATGGACTTGTGATGGACTGGTGATGGACTTATGATGGACTTGTGATGGACTTGTGATTGACTTGTGATGGACTTGTGGTGGACTTGTGATGGACTTGTGATTGACTTGTGATGGACTTGTGATTGGCTTGTGATGGACTTGTGATGGACTTGTGATGGACTTGTGATGGACTTGTGATGGACTTGTGATGGACTTGTGATGGACTTATGATGGACTTGTGATGGACTTGTGATGGACTTGTGATGGACTTGTGATGGACTTGTGATGGACTTATGATGGACTTATGATGGACTTGTGATGGACTTGTGATGGACTTGTGATTGGCTTGTGATGGACTTGTGATGGACTTGTGATGGACTTGATTAGTGATACTACTGACCCTCCACGCTTTGACTAGTCTATTCAGGGATAGGAAGTACAAGGCGTTGTCCCGTGCCCCGCCCTGAGGTACAAGGAGTGAGAAGAAATCTAACGGCAGAATGGCAACGACGTCCAGAACAAAGCCCAGACTTCTGACGTAGTGGTCGCGGATACTCTTGAAGTCTTTGTACGTGCCTGTAAAAAAAAACACACCAAATTTTACTAAACAGTTTTAGTACGGAATAGCTCTAGAGATGACGTGACGCTTTGTTTACATGTGTGCTTGCTTATGGGAGCCAGATGGGCACGAAAGCCACCTGCTAGAAGGCGCATGTAAACAACGCGTGACGACATTACGTTTCAGGTCTATTAATTGACCAGCCAATTAAAGGGAATTACACAACATTTGCAAACATCAAAAAAAAAAAAATTCAAAATTGTTATGAAATGCCTTGCTGGACTGTTAGTGAATGACAGTCTTAAGCATCCTGTATTATCATAGCGCCTAGTGTGCTGACATTTTCAAGAAAAGTGGTATTTTTGTATCAATTTCCAACGCTGGTCGGCGGACCAGCATTGAAAAAAATCTGGCTTTTTCTAAAAAAAAATGGCCCAAATTTACCATATTTAGTTTGTCTGTACTTTGTTGGCAATCGATTATACACTTTGAACGGGTACAAGCCATCTAGACATCCGTCACCGAATGAAATTATTCTTTCCATTGCACGAATGTGAAGAATTCATTATTTGTTTTACACAACGCTTGAATAAATCCTCACCATCTGATTAGAATAGAACTTTTATTTTGGCGGTGCGGCAGGGCTGTGGGTTGGGACGAATAATACAGCTACATGTGATCCACGACTGACCAATCAGCTGACAGGGATTTATTCAGGCATTGCAAAAAATGTATTAATTACCGTTTGGAGTTGACACGGCCGTCCTGAGTCTGACAATGATGTCAAAGAGCAGCACAAAGTCCATGATGTACATGAGTGTCATCAGCACGAGATTACCAGAATAGCCGTCATCGGCATAATCTATCAATGAAACGGACAAGCATATTCAAGCAGTACTTCAAGATAACATTTGGTAATGTTGCTAGCATCGTGACTTTGGGCGTGATCCCTGGCTACATGGCATACATGTTTATGGCTTCTGACTAGCGCCCCATAAAAGACGTTGACAAAATGGGAACCGCCAACATAGGGCTGGATAGCTCAGTTGGTAGAGCACCGGAACGGCATCCGGAGGTAGCAGGTTCAAACCCCGCTCCAGTCAATTTCTGTTAAACTTTGTAAGTATCAAATAGAAATGACACTAAGCTAATTTAATATAATTTTGCTGATTAAAAATGAATTTATAATAATTAATATCAAATGCATGTTAACTGCAAAATGAACGTTACTTTATACTGCCTTTTTTTTGTAATCCTACCGTTTATGTCCACATTTGGTGCTTGCCTGGCCCCACTGTTTGCTGGAATGGGAAAAAGTAAACGAACAATAAGAAATTAATTTCCTCTTGTTTTGATTCAAGAACAGATTTAGGATTCTCTCTTCTATGCCATTGTGGTATTGAGGTATATTTTAAGGCATATATAGGATCGTTTGCATTTATCCTTAAAGTAACCTACCAAATTAAATTATCATCAAAAGCTTGCTTGCATTAAAGATTGTACTAGTACTAAACATGCTATGACACTATTCCGTCTGGCTTGCTGTCATTTAGAAGAAATTAAGAAATGTAGGTGATTTCCAACGATCAGTCAATTGACTGATTATTGAAAATAAAGACTACTATTGACGGATTTGTGTTTTTGTGATCAAAAGGTTGTGCATGGTTTTTCACCGTTTTCTCGTAAAATGCAATATCAACTGAGCTGAAACTTCAACAGGTTAAGTTTTGAACATTCTTCTTTGGATTTTGAGTGGTGTTATTATTGGAAACGAACAAACTGAATGTAAAGTAAATGATCTTATGTCTTGAAGCGACAAGTGTTGATCTACTCACCGATGAAGCTAGCGCAGTAGGGATACAGCACGGATATCAGCAATGTGATGGCCAACACACCTCGTTCCCACAACTTAGCAAAGCGTGAGCCCGGCATGACCACGGTCTCAGTAATCAACTCCCAGAAATCCTCCCACCACTGACCAAGCTGACGATGGACCCTCTACAGTACGAATAATAATCATCATGAATATGCATGATCATGAATATGCATCCATGATCTACTCCCAGAAATCCTCCCACCACTGACCAAGCTGACGATGGACCCTCTACAGTACAAATCATAAAAACAGTCATTATGAATATGCATGTTCATGAATATGCATGATCATGAATACAACTCCCATAAATCCTCCCACCACTGACCAAGCTGACGATGGACCCTCTACAGTACGAATAATTATCATCATAAATATGCATGATCATGAATACGCATCCATGATCTACTCCCAAAAATCCTCCCACCATGACCAAGCTGACGATAGACCCTCTATAGTACAAATAATAAAGTCATCATGAATATGCATGGTCATGAATATGCATCCATAATCACCGCCCAAAAATCCTCCCACTACTGACCAAGCTGACGATGGACCCTCTACAGTACGATCATCATGAATATGCATGATCACAAATATGCATACCCAGCAATAATCATACACATTTAATCAACGAACAACTTACAATGGACCTTCAAAAACCAAGTAACAGTAATCACAAGCATAATCATGAATGTATGCATAATTATGAAAATATTATTGAATAATTATGAACACAATTTCAGATCAAACCATTTTTATGACAATATGCAAATTCATAACTGCACCCGATTTCACGAAGTTCTGCGACGAGTCGCAACTCGTCGTATCATCCATTTCACGAAAGTTGCGATGTGTTGAACGCGTCATAAGTTCCTTGACAACGGCTTAAAACACGTCGCAAGCTTGTTTTCCTTCAAAATTGCTTCGCACGACCGCCACTTTGCTTTATGTTTTAACAAATTTCGAGCTGAGATCCGATGACTCTTTGTTGAATATCAGACGGCTATTGACTGTACGCTGACTAAATACATAAAACAGTCACCGAGTTGTACTGTGCTATAAATACACATACGACGCGTCGCACTTACGACGTGTTTTGTGAAATGGATCGCAGGACGAGTCGCAGCTGCGACGCGTCGTAGGGATACGACGCGTCGCAGCGCTGCGATGCATAGCAAGTTACGAAGAGTTGGATGAAATCTGGTGCTGTTCTTACAAAATTTTAGAACAATCCCTTCACACATACAAACCATGAACCATACAAAAACCAAAGCAACAGAATCCACCAACGAAACATTAGGCCAACAAAAAAAAGTCTCCGGTTTCTGGTATGCGCGCGCGTCGCCGTAGCCATGCGCGTCGGCAAAATGAAAAAATTTTTTTTTCAATACAAGATGATGTTTCAAAACCGCCAAACTCACTGGTTTGACTGGAATTCTGCTGCTGCACAATTTTAACGTGTTTTTAGATTGGGTTATGGTCGAGAATAAGCTTTATGTGGCCTCTCTGGACTCCCATATATTTGCACTAAGTTTAGTCGGGCACCATTTGCAGTCATCAGCCGACATTTGAAGCCAAAAAAAAAAAAAAACCAGGTAAAAAAAAAAAAAAAGCCGCGTCGCCGCACCACTTTTGGGGCAAGCTCCATACCAGAAACCGGAGACTTTTTTTTTTGGCCTTAGAGAGTTCTAAGACTGTCAAATCTGAACGCAGCTACATTCAAAATCAAGCAAGACTAAACACAGGTCAAACATTAAAAAAATGGACAACTATTTTTCATGACTTCATCTACTGTATTAAAGCATGTACACTGCACACCAAGACTACAATGACACTACAACACAATAACAAGCACAGACTTTATCACAAGATGAACATTTTCTAAACAGCATGAAAATGAAAGTAATGATATTGGAATCTTACCGGTTGCCCTATCCTTATCGGGCTTTGCTATTGAACATGATATACAAGCAAATGTTAGTACGTCAGTATTTAAAACGCAAGCATTTGGTATTAGAAATTCAGACAATGGATGACTAGCAGAGCTGGTCCCAGAGTCCACAAGATTCTACTCGATTCGGAAAGGTTATTCACTGGAAGTCTTTTCATGCATCTGGTCTACACAATGGTGTGGGATGAAGCCCCTTCATTGGAATTACGCCCAGGGTATCCTATACAACAGCACTGCCCAGGTAGCAAGTGACTGTCAGCGAGTCATTCGTAGGGGAGTCAGTGGGGGAGTCAGTCAGTCAGTCAGATAGGTATGAAGCCGAAAATAAGCTGGCCCTCTGGGACCAGCACATATGACAGCTAAAAAGAGTATTTACTTTTCACAGTGCAACAGGTTATTCAGTTAAGTTGGTTCATAAAGATCTTTCTCAAAGATGGCCATCTCTGTAGGAGAACTGCAACTATGTATTTTACACAATCAGTGTTGAACATGATCTTAACAAAAAAAATGCTTGTTGCTCGAAATGTATTCGAAATGCGACGCAGCCGATGCGCGTTATGCAAGTTGATGCTGAAAAATGCCGATGCACGTGGCTGGTCTGTAGGAAATGACGTCATTTGAGAGAGACCTATTATATTAGTCAACCAATGTCAGTTAAAAAATATCAAAATAAGTGGGATTGGAAAGTATTGACTACTTGGAAAGTATTGACTGATAGAAATTAAAAAAAACCTACTGCTGCACACGAGCCGTGGTGTACACTGACTAGTTCCTCTATATCAAACGCTTCCATGGATTTCTTGCCAAACTGGTCATGTCTCATGTTGGCTTGTGTAACTGAATGTCCTGAAAATAAAAATGTAATGTTAAAAATATTGAATGGCCTGATAGGAATAGTAAACATATTGACTGTTTTCAGAGGTAAAGTAAAGCACAAATATTGCCTGCTTTGAGTGGAATAGTAAAAAATATTGACTGCTTTCAGAGGTACCGGTATAGTACAAATATCGCTTGCTTTGAGTTGTATAGTAAAAATATTGTTGTACAGTAAAATAGTGACTGTTTTAAGAGGGACATGTAAGTAACAATACTGACTGATTTGAGTGCAACAGTAAAAAAAATTAATTGCTTTGACCGAGTGGTATAGTACAAATATTGCCTGCTTTGAGTTGTAAAGTAAAAACAAATATTGACTGCTTTGAGAGGTAAAGTAAAATTAGTGACTGCTTTGAGTGATAAAGTAAAATAATAAGACTGCTTTGAGTGGTATAGTACAAATATTGCCTGCTTTGAGTTGTATAGTAAAACTATTGCCTGCTTTGAGTGGTATAGTAGAACATTTTGACTGCACCGAGTGGTATTGTAAAAATGTTGACTGCTTCAAGTTGCATACATAGTACAAATATCGCCTGCTTTGAGCAGAGAAGTAAAAAAAATTGACTACAGTCAGTGGTATAGTAAAAAACTATTGTCTGCTTTGAGTGGCAAAATAAAAGTATTGCCTGTCTTGAGTGGTTTATGAGAATATTGACTGCTTTTGAACGGCATAGTAGAGTAAACGCTCAAGAAGATCCATTGCGCATTATATGTTCAAAAGGCGAAGCTGTGCAAAGTCTATGCTCTATTAATGGCTAACTGAGGCAGGCATATTTTATCTTATAACACCTCACCCACAGATTCTGTGTCTTGATTGGCCGAGAGCGAGTCACATGTTACTTTCTAATTTTGCTATCTTTCTGTGCACGGCCAAAAGTACTATGCGCATAGCAGCCAAAGTACTATACCATTAGCAACCAAAGTACTATTCCACGGCGTGGTATTTGTGTGCAAATGCATGCTGGTGTGAGCGTTGCGCGTTTTATTCCAAAGAGAGCGCGCCGCAGACTTTGGTTCAAACATTTCGTGAAGGGGTAGTTTTTAAGGGAGAAATACATTTTCCACCAATTTTGTATTGAAATTGAAGTTTATTTCAACTGTGTTCAGATTTAAATAATTTAAAATATTAAAATCAAGCAGAATCTGTGGGTAAAGTGTTATAAAACAAATATTGAATGCTTTATCTTGTGGTGAAGTAAAACTAGCCTCCCTCCGTGATCCATGGAGCATTCTATTTTCCCTCGGCTTCGCCTCGGGAAAATAGAATGGTCCATGGATCACCTCGGGAGGCTAGTTTTACTACACCACTCGAAGCATTCAATATTTGTATAATACCACAAATTAAACAGTCAATTTTTGTTTTATAAAGCATCATCCCCAGATACTGCACAGTTTTAAAGATAACAGATAAGTGAATCCCCCAAAAAGTATTTCTAAGGTATTTTTTAGGTTCTGGTGGTTAAATAATTATATTCTAAATATGTAATATATGTAATATATATTCTTGTTTGTCTGCACACACATCTAGGTCAATACTTACTTGGTGAGTGGGTACTGACATGAGATAATCGTCGTAGGCTCTTGGAGGCAGGAATGATCCCCTCACCCGCACGAACTCTCTCTTCCAATCGACCCGCGGCATCGCACCGCTCCTCTGCGATGCGTTGCAACTTCCTGGCAACTAGATTATCAAGAATAATTATATAGCCACTGGTCTCAAAGCACTTCACAATTATTATCGGGCCATGAGACCAGTTGTCTGCAATGTACGGCTCAAGATCATCACAATCTGGTCTCTGCCCACGCAGGTCCCTATTTATTCTCCTGGATGGAGAGGCAATTGCAGTAAAGTGTCTTGCCCAAGAACACAACATCATGTTCCCTGTCAGACTTTGAACCCACGTACTATCGCACATCAGGCCATGAGACCAGTTTTCTGCAGCGGCTCAAGATCATCGCAATCTGGTCTCTGCCCTCACAGGTCCTTATTTGACGGAGAGGCAATTGTAGCAAAGTGTCTTGCCCAAGAACACAACACCGTGTTCCCTGAAAGCTTTCAACCCATCACAGTTCAGACCATGAAACCAGTTTTCTGCAGCAGCTCGAGATCAGTGCAATATGATCTAGAACCCCACAGCTACCCATTAATACTCCTGGATGGAGATAAGCGATTGTAGTAAAATGTCTTTCCTAAGAACACTAACACTATGCTCCCGGTCAGGGTCCGACCTGATAACCTCACAGAGTCAGACACCGTTAATTTTGGAAAGCTGGTCTAAAATGGGTTTGTCTTTAACAAGGATAAATTTTGAAGTTCTATGAACTTGGGGAAATATTGCAAGACATGGACTAACCTTCCGGGTAGTGGTGCAGGACGTTCTGCAAGTCCGCTTTGTCCAGGACCATGAGGTCACAGTGAGCTGCTGCCCGGATGCTGTTAGTCCTGGGCATGCTGAATACAAGACTGACCTGCACACATTTTGAAAATTAGTCACTTTCATTATTTCAATAAATAACGAGACATGCGTAATTAGGAATTTTCAAACTTTACTTCATTTTTAATTTTTGGCAAAATACGGCACAATAATGTTTGAGGTATGAAGCAAGTTGGCTGAAAAAATAAATCCTGGCTCAGTAAGTCAATTTTAGCGTAAACACACATTTTACATGATTTTTGTGGCCTAAAGATTTTCCTGATCCGAATTAGCCCCATCCTGGTGGCCAAAGAAAAAATCCCTACTTTGCGAAGTTTTGTGAGAGAATGCTGTGGCCTTCTTTACGATGCGGGAGTCAAGTAAAGTGGCCCCAGAATGGGGCTAAGTCCATACCTCTCCGAAGAGCTTGCCATGTCTGAGAGAAATGATGGGTGTATCGTCATCTTCTGCTGATAGGACCTGAAATAACAAAAATCGGAAACACTCTTAAAAATAACAGGCTAAAAGTGTACTTCAGGACCCCTTTTCTAGTAAAACTTGTCGGGTGCACTACGAAGTGACATATCGTCTATGGACTTTGTGCACACAATACGTCACTTTGTGGTGCAACCGACGAACTTCTAAATACAGACCCCTCTCGTATGTAGACAGCGCTAGGACAATTACAACTGCGCGTTTATCGCCTTCAGGTACGTGTGCGCGCAGTGTGCAAAATGTTCTACAAACACATGTATGTGTGCATGTTGCTCGAAACATTTTTTTCGACATACGGCCAAGCGATGCGCATCACAGACATTTGACGCCCGAAATGCCGATTGCAAGTGTAACTGTCAATATCAGAATTTTCAATCATTGATATTTATTGGAAATCCAATATCAAGGGCAATCACGTAGTGTAGGGCCCCTGTTTAATTGCCATCAAATCGAGTCAAGGGTGTAGGCCTACTAAAAAAATGACCTTTTTCAACATAAACCCGACTTCTCTAAATTTTTATAATGTCACCTTTTTTGCAAGTTTTGAACAGTTTCCTGGGGTAGAAATTACGATTTTCCAACGCGGTTCACGGTTGGTGCCGTGCGATTCAGCGCACCTTGCGCGTTGACGGTAAATCGCGCGGTGATCGCCATATTCATGATCTTTATTTTCGTGTTGCGGTTTGGACTTTGTCAATGTCATCGTCATTTTACCCCCAAATTTCCCTCAAAAATTCAAAACCCTGCCCTTTATCTACCGGTATAGGCCTATATATTCTTAATGTCGCCAACTAGGGCGGCCCTAGGCCGCCCCTAGTTTGGTAGGTCAAGTGGATTTTGTTCCCTTGGCTTTGTCACGCCCCAACTATCGCATCGGTCCCAACTATAGTTGGGACTGTCCCAACTATAGTGCGGCAGTTGGGTCGGCCCAACTATAGTTAGGACTGGAGTTGCGCCGGATGCTTCATGCTTGATAGATCTTGTTGGATTAAATGTTCCGCGGCGCTGGCACCGTGTATTCGTCGTGCATGCATGCCGCAAGGCTGGCCGGTCACGTGGTACTGCCTAGTTGGATGAGTTGTCCAGCTGCTGGGTTGATTGTCCAGCAACATTTTGCAAAATTCAAAGATTGCCATGGCCGGCCAACTATAGATGGGCCCCACCCATAGCTAATGTCAAAGGTCCCAAGTAAAGTCGGACAGTATGTAACAGAGCTGTAGGGAATGTTTTATAGTCGTCGTACATCAATGTAAACTATAGTTGGGACCGCCAAATAAAAATATTGCGGTGGCCCAACTACAGATGTAGTCTGAGTATCACCCGTTCTACGGAACGAGCCGTACGTCCATATATCATAGACTACTACAGATGGTCCCCACCCATAGATAATTTCATTGGTCCCAAGTAAAGTCAGATGTGTATTAGAGTTGTAGGGAATGTTTTATAATCGTACAACAATGTACACTATAGTTGGGACCGCAAAATAAAAAGATTGGAGTGGCCCAACTATAGATTCGCCCCATCAATAACTAATTTCAGTGGTCCCCAGTAAAGTCAGACGTGTATCAGAGCTGTAGGGAACGTTTTACAGTTGTACATCAATGTAAACTATAGTTAGGACACCGCAAAATAAAAAGATCGGAGTGGCCCAACTATAGATGGGCCAGCCCAACAGTGGAACTTACAGTTGGGACCGTCCCAACTATAGTTGGGACAGGCCCAACTATAGTTGGGCCAGCCCAACTGTGGAACTACAGTTGGGACAGGCCCAACTATAGTTGGGACAGGCCCAACTATAGTTGGGACCGATGCGGTAGTTGGGGCGTGACAGCTTTATAGGAACCTTAACCGGGCTCGTACTCGGACAGTCGTGCCTTCAATTTACGCCATCGAAGTAAACAGTGGTAAAAAGGGCCTAAAACTTAAAATAAAAGACCGTTATTCGTAAAGATGACAGCCCTTTGATTACGCCATGGAGGAACTAGTGAAAGCAGCGAGAAACTGAAAGCCGAGAAAATGCGAACTTACTTGCCAGTGCCACGAACATGCGACGAATTTACCTGCAAATTTAATACAAATTTGCCGCAAGGATTTAGTCTTTATTCAAGCCGGCAGGAAATGTTGTTCCCCTATGAGCACGCACCTATAGAGGGCGCTATATTAACGACACGTACGATGGATGCGGCACCCCTGTTTTAAAATTCCCATAGACACCAGTGCAGTATATACTAATTGCCCATACTTCAATATTCTTTTTAAAATACCCAGAACCCTCACAGGTACTTAAGCTGAACAAAAAAAATGATGATCAACATGTCATCTTTCATTTTCTTTTCAAGTTTTGGTGGGTTGACCATTGACTTTTCGAGAAATTCTCACCCAAAGAAGACGACCCTTATTTTTTTCCCCGGAAAAGTAGCCATTTTGTAAAACGATCCCTCCACAACTTCGCAAAATAGCGCCACTTTTAGGCCCAATTGCATCCAAAATGCTCAGAATTGGAAGCCCCAAGTCCGGGCCAGAGGTTCATTGCCATATCTCTTCAATTTCCCAATTTTATGGCTCTCAGAACTCTCTAATATAGATTTTTTTTTGAGGGTATATATAACTTTTATCAGTGAGCTCGGCGGATGGGGCCTTTATTTACAGGTTTGCACCCTCGGGGACGGGATGGAACAAAAATGAAAAATGGTGCTTCATCGTAGCATTCAAGCAAGACTCCTGAAACATTTTTTTCCACTACCGTTTTAGCTTGGTCATCATTTAAACTGAAGAACCTTCCCCTGCCACCCTGACGTGGATGGAACGCATTCTGTTCTAGGCCAAATTAAATATATTTTTCAATAAGATAATAATTAACAAACAAGGAGCAGTTTAACAAAAATTCGATAAGAATATTGCAGATAATGTTGCACAAAACTTGGATATCCTCCATCAAACATATCAGAATAGTCAGTAAATTATCTTCCAAACCCCACCACGGGCACACGTACGCCACACCCTGTCAGGCCACGCCCATTATTAGCAATCAGCGAAATCAGTGAAGCGTGAATTCCTGTGCTCATGCGCAAATGACGTGACAAACCCGCAGTTTGGCGTCGACTGTATTATACTGTGAATGTTATGTCGCATCTCCAAATTAAATACTCCGCCATCTAATTATCAATTTTATCAGCAACTCAAGCTCATTTGCATCACGAATAACTCTTTCGCCTTTTACTAAATATTTCCGTGCAAATAGGCAATTTGATGAGTCTATAACAATTTTTTCAATGGCCGAACGAAAGCTCGGTCTAATAATTAAATCAAAAGATAGAATATGTTCACTAATAGAGTTAAATTAATTTGTTGGGTTAATTTTCTTGCCATACCTGTTAAAAAAAGAACCACTTTTGAATGAGACATCGTTATCCAAAAATAATGCACTAACTCTTATAATTAGTTCTTTACAAAAAAATAAATATTCATGTTTGACTGCCAGACAACAACAATTTGGCTCTCGTGACGAAGGCTAAAAAAGAAAGCCCCTTTTCAGAGGGATGCAGACGCCCCAAATCGGAACAAGTATTTGTTATCGCTGATACAAAAATCCAAATGGAAAATTCGACAGACGAAAAACTCAATTTGTTTCGAGGATCGAACTATTAAACCAAATGACTACCAAAATATCCGTGACTATAAGCACCGTGTACTTTTGAGGATAAACAACGATAATGGTCTGTTCACACTTTATTAGGGGAAGTTTAATTTGAAGTCACAAACAAAATTTCGCGGTAAAAAAGTTGGAATGTGTTCATATTATGACGCTCTACGCGTTCGACTTCGCATTTTGCGACATATATGGCTCGATAGCCTGAACACAGAAAATCAACGTTATGACAACGTTACCATAAACGGTGTAATTAGTAGTTGTGGACTCGGATGAAAAAAAAATAACGCGGAAACCGTTTGCAGTCAATGGTTACTTTCAAATAACGTTCTCTTTTTTTTCATTTGACAACGTAACCATACGGGCCCTTAACGCAACTTAAAAGTGTGAGTACAATAACAATAGCAACCTATGGATATATTTCTGCAACAAAATTAAGTATATTTAGCCTACGTGGCAACAGCTCGAAAGCAAGGATAACTACAAAATAACATGCACACAATTAGTTATAAACAACAGAGGCTAACTCAACACCCTAAATTCTTCAATAATTGTTATATGTTAATACGCAGGTTATACCAAGGAGTAGAATAATGTATTCATGCCATTGACTCACCTCTACTTCCCCCCTCTGGATGAAGTACATGTTGTGGCAGATCTCGTTCCGGATGGCGATAATTTGGCCCGGCAGATACAGGGACGGTTTGATCTCCAGAGAGAGCATGCGCATAAACCCTTCGCTCATTCCCTTGAACATCGGTGCCTAGAAAGATGAATAATCAAAAACTGTCAAATCGTATCAAAACAAAAGTGACTAAAAAAAACCCCGAAACCCAAATAGCAGGACCGATTTTTGAACGACGTTTTGCCTGTAGCACTTTCGATATCTAGGATATGAAAGCCCAATTAATGAGCTTTCTTTAAATACAGAAATCATTTAAATCACTCGTGTACTTTTTAAGTTACGGGATTTGAAACACAAAAATCGTTTTAAAGTTCTGTCCACTGATCACAAAAAAGGCAAGTGACAACAAAACGAAAACAATTCACACGCATCCCTATGAGAATTGTTTTCGTTTTGCTGAAAGAACACTTGCTTATTTTGTGATCCGTGGACAGAACTTTAAAACGTTGTTTGTGTTCAAAATTCCGTAACTTTAAAAGTATATGAGTGATTTGAATGATTCTTGTACTAAAAGAAAGCTTAATGAATGGGCTTTCACATCCTAGATTTTTTTTTTACCCACGCTGTATTGTTCTACTCGCTGGTACACTTTTTCAAATCACCTTCAATGATTATTTAATTTCGATTAAAAAAAAATCTGGTGGCATAATTTCACAGGACATTAGGAACCAATTTTCTCTAATACATGTAGTCGGTAGGTACTTTCCCGGTAATTTTTGGCAAAAGTTATATGCCATATTAAAGCAAATTAAGACCTAGATTTGAAATGCATACTCCAACTTTACCTTATCCAAGATGTACTTATTGCCACTCAGTGATACTTCTGCGTGAAAGGTTAGAGGCATGGCGTTGATGAGACTGTCGTCTGTGACGCCCTTCTTGCGAAACCACAGGTACTCGTAGTAGCCCACCACTTGCTTCTGCAGATCTTCTGTCACTATTTCATCCCTCTGAAATGGTCAGAAATAATCTTACAAGCCAGAACAAACCATAGAGCTATGATATTAAATTCACTTTATACTGCTCACTGATATGGACCAAGCTATAGATCACGCCACACTGGGAGGTTTTGACCAATCATAGTCGTGATTGTCAGACGCGCGTGCACGCGCTTGTGACGCGCGCTTCTTTAGCACGCAGTGTGTCATTGGCGAGGTACACGTGAGGTTGTTGCAAGATGGGCGGGGCCTATATCGGTCTTGCTTACAAACGTCTTTATTGACAACTACACTAGTCCGTCCATGCAATGAGGCGTATTATAGTAACTTTCCAGGGATTTTCTTGAAGATGTGTGTCATTATAAAATTGACCAAAAGTATGGTGTTCCGTATGTGCCATCGGCGTCGTATTTTGAAGCTCTGACATCATTTTGATCGATTTCATCTAAAACTTTCATGCAAGACTTGTCAATATGCCAATGGGATATCTTCCGTGCTTGAATAAAAAATATTTTTAAAAAACGTACGGGTAAATCACCAATTCAATGTTATACCTTTAAAAAAAAAATAATGGTCTGCTTTCGGGAGCTTACCAAACTTTGCTTGATGACGTTGAAGCGATGTGTATAGCGCGCCCTCTGTGCGTCAAAGTTGGTCAGCATGGACGCCATCCCGCCCAGGATCATGCCAAAGAAGACGCCCTCACCGAACAGCATGGCGAAAATGGAGAACCATTTCTCCCTGGCGTTCACTGCGCTAATATCTCCATACCTAGCCGAACATGAACGATTAATATAGCCACAGTTGAGTCTCAATACATGTAGTTACTTCAAAATGCACTGTTCAGTTTAGGGGTTATCTGTTCAACTTGTGAACCAAAATTGTGTTCATTTAAAACGTTTGTGAAAAAACTGATAGGCTAATTCACCCTAACCTTAAATTATATTGTTAAATCGGTCGCTTTAGTACTTATGAATCTGTGTATAATGTATTTTTCTGATCACACATTATCTACTCTTTATTATCTACAAGATTGTACACATTATAAAGAAGGGCAGCATTAAAATAAATGTTCAATATTCAATCACCAAAGATATACAATTACAAGGCATTTCGAGTCAACAAATATTCCTTTTAATAGGAAAAATAACAACACATTATGCAAGCCATTAGACATGCATTTTTCATAGGAGCACATTTTGAACAACTTTCTACTCCTCTTAAATGTATGAAAACTATTTGACGTTCCTTTTTGGTTAATTTATTAAGTGCACTTCTTTAAACATTTTTAAAATGTCATGCTTTTCCTTACAACTGAGGGCGCTGTTGCTGTGACGTCATTTCAGGAAGACACTGTTCAGTTTAGGGGTTATCCAAATTTTGTTCATTGAAAACATTTGTGATAAATTTGGATCATTGGCGTCCTGGCACAACAACGAATCACCAAAGAAATGAAAAGTTACAATAGCAAACTATCAAAAATTCAGGCAATTTTAGGTGCTAAAATACTGTAACATATTGAGGTTTCTGCCTGAAATGGCATCACACTTTTGCTCATGAATATAGAAATTGCTTTAGCATAAAAACCAAAAAGGCACCAAAATCCCCTGGAAAACGGTAAAACGGAAAGTGCAATAAAGTTAAATTGGACACAAGGGTGCATTTGCAAGGATTGAATTTAAAAAAATACATTGCATGGCATGTTAAATGAATAACGTTATAAGAAATATTGTAGAATACATGTTTTATACTAACTTAGGAAACTTCACTAAAAAAACCCCAGAAATTGTTTCTTTATTTTACCCTGTTGATGTTGCAGTAGCCACGGACCAATATAAAGCGATAACGTAGGACTCTCCAGCACTGATATTTCTGATATCGGCACCTATAAGAAAGAAGATATCCCATATTGATTATTATCAGCGACAGTCTATTCTTTATATAGTCCCAACGCATGCTACATGCAGAGATATAATCTTTCATGTGCTGAGGTTGATGAGACCTTTTTATTCCGCAGTTGGTGGATCCGGACTTCAACCGGATTTGACCCAATTCGATTTAGAGGCTATCCCATTATTAATTGTAAACATCGTCTGAATTATCATCTAAGTTTCAAATTAATCATTATCAATTTTAACCTGAAAAGCTTAGGTTCCTGTACTCATGTAAGGCTCATTCCGTAAATCAGAAATTTCACAGGTTTTACACCTGTGAATTTTGGTGTCCCTCTTTACAATGTGATATTTGTTGCCCTTGTATTACCAACAGTGAAATATTTACAACCGAATTTATGGAATGACCCAAACCTGTTTTTTTTTCTAAGCATATTAATCATGTGCTTTATACATGTACACTATTCTGTTTTTTTAGAAGCTACGTGAAAATGGGGCGGCGTTCCCAGTTCAGTTCCTCCAACACAAAAACCCATATAAGGAACTGCATGCAGCGCTTGCCGTATCCTGTCAATCCTAGAAGGAATATGGCGTCATTTAAGACAGCAATTGGTGTGAAATTATAATGGCACGGTAATGGCACACTACTATTCCGCAACCCATGTGACCGTGAATGGCGCTCTAATGATCGAATCGGACGGTGGGAGCACGCAGTGGTTTTCGTGCTTTAATTAAAACGCAATAAACCAGCATATCGATGTGCATACATTATGTTGAATTTTACAGCCTTTTTGTCAAGGATGTGACTTTGCGGTTAATTTTGCAAGCGTTGAGCAAATATTGTAGAATCTTTTAAACGTTTAAACGTTTAGCTATTTCACCAAGGCTGACGCCTGTTCGTTTAATGTCGGCAGACTGCGTACCCGAAGAAGCCAATTTTTTGATCGTGTTCCCGGTATTTTGTAAATTGTAAGCTGCTAAATGGGATGGTACCAGACTATTTATGCGTTCAAAGCCTCACTTTCAATTGTTCTTTTTAATGTGGCTTAAAACATTAGGGAATGTTTAATCACACATTTGAAATTATTCATCAGAGCAGACTGTATTAATTTGTAATTACCTTTATGTCATTGCTTTCATTTATACTCGCTAGTTCCAAAAATCTCGTAATGCCGAGAAAATGCCAATTATGTAAAAGTACACAAAAAATTCTTGTACACAAAAAATACCACTTTCAGGGATGTACACTCCTACCTATTTGTGCATGTCCTAATCCTTACAGACAACACGACACATAATATGACAAGAGTAGACTACAGATGAATTTGATGGAAATACCTTTTTTGCATAAATGAAGGATAATTGCACAGTAGGCTTACAGTAAAACGTTTAACTATTTGAAGTACTTGTGTACAGGATGAAAAACGACTACTCTTGTATAATTGACATTTTAACCCAAAGTGCTATTTTCATGATTTTTTTTCAGTATTGGAAAGAATACAAAAACACCTAAGATACCTAAAACATAAAAATCCACCGATCCCCTTGTTTTTTAAAAAGCCATTTTTTTAGGGTTGCTTTTTTTTTAGGGTCACCCTGTACACATGGGCGTCGCGAGGGGGGCAAGGGGAGGCACTTGCCCCCCCCCCCGGAAAAGCACAACAAAAAAAAGCAAAAAAAAAAGGGGAAAAAAAGAAAAGAAAAAGAGGCGCGAAGACAAAGTGGTGTAACTTTAATGAGTTGGGGGGGGGGCAAAATGTCCCTGCCCCCCCTCTAAAACTGATAATTCGAGAATGTGTTGAGAAATACAAGCATTTTTTGGCAAAATATTTTTTTGTCCCCCTCTAGAAAAAATCCTGGCGACGCCCATGCCTGTACAGCATTTACAGAGCTAAAACTCCATCAGGTTAGTTGTTAAAGCTACAGTCCATCATTTGTAATTTGTGCATTTTGTTCGTTTGAAGCAACAAAAGAGTTCAAAATCTAATGAAGGATACTGAGCAACTAACCTGATGAAGTTTCAGCTAAGCTTAAGCTGTACATTCCGAGAAAAACAGCATTCTAAGATCTCAATTTCAAATCAAAAGTTACTGAATCATGTTTTGAATTGTTTTGAATTGCAGCTTTACGCGGCGACGCGCACTGATCCGACGAATTATAACAACCGCGCCCGCGTGTGCGTCGTTCCAATACTTGTGCGCGCTGCGCTGAATAACAAAACGAACTACTAATTTAAATTTTCCTACGGTGCTTCTTAAGAATCACCGTTGGAAATGCCTTCTTTCGTTAATTACTTCAAAATGACAGCTTCCCAGAAAGAATAATTTCACAGGTAGTTTAGTTCCCTGACTATCTTTCAACCAAGTTTGTTTTCAACAATAATTACGCCAGTTACTTTTCGGATGTTTGCAAATGATGGACTATAGCTTTAAGCACCGGCCCTTCTCAAGATTCTGATCACGAAAAAAAAATGCACAAGTGACAAATGATGTAGCCCACTTTTTACACCGTGAGAAATTGTTCAACTTGGACACATGCGTATTGAAATTGAGTCTACTATAGCGGAACTATACCCCTTCGAATTATTACGCCAACCGATATCGCTCAACGTCTCCAACTTTTATTTTCCCGCTCGCCACTTTCAATTTTCGTATCGCGTTTCAACCATTGGTTCAAAACGCCTGCAGCGTCGAACGCTCAAAAACAAAATGTCCGGCCTAGCTGTACCGAAGGAGAGCCAAGATATCGCCCCCAGCTACTGGAAGAGAGTGCTGCCTGGAAATTGGACCTGTTAGGTTGCTGGTAATTTGGCGGTAATTTCATTCTTTCAGTGTAATTGCAGTAGTATACGTGGGGCTAGGTAGACTATATGTCTGAATGGTGCACGCTGTGTATATCATTCTACTGTACTCCAACTTGGTTTTTTTTAGCTTACGAATAAACGAAATTAACAATAGGGATTTCAAGTAAAGATGTGCACACTAGTTACTTGTTTTCGCAACAGAGCAACCAACTTGGATACAATGTATGCAATAATCGGTGTCGATTTTCAAAATATTGCTGTAATTGATTAAGGGAATAACCGTGGAATTGGAAGGTTTTAAACACTCTGCTTTTTAAAGACCGGTTGGAGTCTGGATGCTGATAATTACCCGAGCCGTAGGCAAAAAAATCAAAAACCTTTCGGTCCAAAAGTCAAAACAAGTCACAATTTACAAATTTTCAACGTTTCGATCAACAAAACACCCCTCTAGCTATACAATGTTAAGACCCTCTGACAACTCCTTATTTGGAGATTGACGCGCGCATCGCGCGTACGTACTGCGTGATGTAGCGCACAACGCAGATGTACCGGTGTAGAGTGAATTTAGGACTATGAAATACTGACTCACTGGTAGTATTGCGAATGCCTACGTGAGGATTGTGAACGTTCAACCAATAAAACGGTGCTGGTACCGAATTTCACAGGAGTCAAAATTTCATGTGACACAGGAAATTGTGTACACATACAACAAATGACTTCCAGTGAAAAGCCATTCGGAATCATGTGAGTTGAACATGTAGTGGGCTTACATTGTTTTGTTTACAACTAGTACCTCAATATTACAAAATGCCAAATATTTTGAAACTAAGATAAAGACTGTTTAGGCTTACCAAGGTCAAAGCTCAGGGCCCAGCTATCGTTGTGGCATGTATTAGGTAGAGAATCATGCCAGCCATCGCAGGCTAACGCATACCAGCCACACGCTGAGATATGGATGACGAGGCCGGCAACGGTGGTGTACTTAAAGGTTCGTAATAGCGAGGTGTTGGAGCCTAGTTTAGACTCTCGGGCCTCTGTGAAGAGAAAAAAAGACAGAAATGTAAATAATTTTATATATTTTGTTACAGAATAAAGACAAGAAAACTGCTGATCTGTTTTTGTTAAAATCATATTTGTTGCTCGAGGCTCCTTGGTATGCTTTGCCCCTGAACATGAATAACCCCTGAACATGAATTTAAAACAAACTTGAATACAAACCACGCATCATTATACGCAGCACCAGGGGCGGATCCAGGAATTTTAGTAGGGGGGAGGGTCATCAGAAAAAGAAAAGAAATGTAAACAGGTATTTTTTCTCCGGACACTTGGCCCCCAAAAATCAAATCAATAGGTGGGTGGGGGGGGGGGGGGGGGTATCATACCATACTTTCAATGGGGGCGCTGTTCAAACAATTGACAGAGCTGTTTTTTGTTTTGTTTTACCCAGGTACTAAAGTATTTAAACTTTACCAAGGTACCAAAGTACAACCTAGTTACTCAAGTAGTATCTAGGTACTAAAATAGTACATAGGTACTAAAGTAGTACCTTTGACACTAAAGTAGTACCTTTGACACTAAAGTAGTACCTTTGACACTAAAGTAGTACCTTTGAATTGTTAACATCACAGTCAACTGTTGAGGTATGTGTGTTTTTGTTCAGCAGGGATACGCATGGTTAGGCCTCTTGTGCATTCATTGTTACTTCATTAAAACAACAAAGAAACACCTCGGATATGCCTGCCGAAAACAAAGCATCTATATCGCTTCTATTTAAGTTAATCCACACTCAAAGCTATCCGAACAATTCGCTACAACAATTTCTTAGGGATGTCTTACCAAACACTCTTCCGATTCAGTAATTTTTCTTAATACTTATAGTAACCACTAAATTCCATCAGACAATTGAAGAAGGACATTGAAATACAAGGGTATATAAAAAAATCTGGTCGTAAAAGGTGCTTTTTTTTTTAGACATAGAAATATAGACGAAAAAACTGCTAATATGTTTTCGCTAAAATCATATTTGTTGATCGAGGCTCATTTCTATGTTTTGCTGTGCCATGGGATTGGCCCCTGAACATGAATTAAAAAAAAACATATTTCAATCCAAACTATCTTTGGTTGCATTAATTAAAATGCATGTAATACACGGTCAATATGCGAATCGTATTTTATTCATGTCCCAAGATACCTGATTTGTTTTGTGCATAATATGATTTACAGAATGCCATCATGGTACATGTATAAGCTTCTCCGCAAAGCTATCGATTGACTACTCCAAATTCATTCCAAAATGCACATAGCCCTTGCAGCGCTGTCTGTGCTGAATAGGCTGAAAATAATGCCTGCAATTTTCCTATAGAAGATTGAGATAGTCTTCGGTGAAGAATACTAAATACTATAACTTCAAATCTGCTTGTTTTTGTCCTTTGTTGTACCGTCTTAAACAAGACCATAGTCAATTAAATTATTAAATATTATTTAATTTATAGCTATGATAATATAATATAGAATTATATTATAGTTATATGGTATATTACAGCCCTATATTTTAGCTCGAGAGAGCTATCTGTAGCTCTATATTACGAAACATCGTTATGCAATTTGCTACGCAATATCCTTTTTTTTCACAGAAACAAATTATTTTGCAACTAACCCGACCATGCCCAGTAGATTTTGTTTATACACGAACGCTGGCAGTAAGCATAGTCATGTTTACCAAATCTGGCGGGAGATTCCTGCCAAATTCTGCGTTTAATGTCAACTTCTGCGGCTGATGCGACTGTTGTGTGTAGGTAATCTGCCCTGTGTGGCCGTATATCCTTAGTGTGATCATTGAGGAGGGAACAAGCTATCCTTTTGCTTCAAATCGTGAGACAAAAGTCAATATGACGGCATTGAATCCCAGTGATATCGCCTTCTCCTCGTCGCTCGGGAGGCAAATCAATGGCCAACCTACGCCTCCTCAACGACTGTTCTATGTACGAATACTTCACAATCATGTTTTTGAAACAACGCGTGGAACTACCAATTTCAAAACAGTTATGGTAAGGTCCATGTCAACCGTAAATAATAATAGTTCACTAAAAAGGAAAAGCATCGCTTAAACTAGGTACGCATCTTAATATGCTAGATTCGCTTGAAGGTCGTTCTTCCGAAATATCCGTGTTAATATTTTTCGAATTGTTTTTTCCCTTCTATTGTTAAATGATGTTATGTATATTTTTTTCTGACTACTGGGCCTAAAAGCGCGAACATGAAGTATCTTTATTGTGCAAGATATCGTTGGAATGTTAATTGTAATTAGCTTAAATGTTTATATTTTTAATTTGTGAAAGGCGTCATCGGAATAATAATGGTATTATTATCAACTTGTACTGATATTTATTTTTTTCAGTACATTTTTACAGAATAACAATCATTCATGTATACAATCATTCACACCGTGATGTTCACATATTACTGAAATGTATAACCACAATAACTGATAGTTAAAAATTTATTTTTATGGAACGGGAGTATTTGTATGCATGGACTGGAAGCAGTACGAACTGCTAGTTGTTCAACGGCCGTATATTAATATTAAAAAAATATATATTAGTCATAGTGGGGAGTCATACACATTATGACTCTCGTCATACACATGATTGATACTCTAAACCTGCTATTTTGAAAAGGGTATGAACATTATGATTCATATACTTTGATGTCTCCTTCCATTTTCCTAAGCACCCTTTGACTTAGGATGAGAAGACGTCAGCAATATTCTATACATCTTTTCGTAGCCTTGACAAATTATATTTTGATGACTAATTTACAATAAAGTTATAAATAATTCACACTTTAAGGTAGTCATCAATCATTAAAAATAAGGCTTACGGAAACTTTATTTAATTTGAAATTATATCAGACAAAATCGCTCTTCTTAAAAGGTGATGCGGAGTCTACCCAAATTGTTGGTTAAAAATACAAATAAATTTAAGTATTCGAAGTTATGGTAATAAATACACAGTTAATGTTTGGATACTAAAGTTAAACAGTTTATTTTATATTTTTATGGCAAATGATTGACTTGTGCAGTTGTTAGTACACGGTGATTGAACTATGCAAAGTTGAAAGGAACAGCCGTTAGTGTCTCCGTGTAGGGATCAATGCACGGTATAGAGTTACCCGCTGAACTTCACTAGAAAAAGCACAAGAAACTGACACGGCTTAGTTCAAACCGATATACATAACAGGGGCACTCCTGCTTTTCCCTCGTACGACCTCTGACGAAATAAGATAAGGCCAAGTTACTTGGACATGCCTTGGAGCAGTTTCCTATCGACATGAGGCATGTTCCATAGACTGCCACATACTCTTAATAATACAGATTTATTCCTATAGTTAGAAGTCGATGACTGACATGCATGATCGTTTAAGCTTTCGATAGAGTTTTTCTCGTCAGCGCAGATCTTCAGTAGCACTGATTATAAGCATTATGTGGGCTATTTAAAGTTTAATTGCACCAGACCGACCCTGATTACAATGGAATTTCAATGTTTTGAGCCACCAAACGAGTGGAGTTCTAGTCGACTCCGAGTCCCCTTTCCCGAGTCCGAGTACCGAGTCACACAGGTCAAGTCCGAGTCCCGAGTCATAAAGGTCGAGTCCGAGTCCGCGTCCCGAGACATACAGGTCGAGTCCGTCCTGAGTCATACAGGTCGAGTTTGAGTCACGAGTCATACAGGTCGAGTCCAAGTCCGGGTCATACAGGTAGAGTCCGAGTCCCGAATCATACAGGTCGAGTCCGAGTCATACAGGTCGAGTCCGTGTCCGAGTCCCGAGTCATAGTTCGAGTCCGAGTCCGAGTCACCGCTCCCGAGTCTGAGTCCGAGTGCCGAGTCATACAGGTCAAGTCCGAGTCCAAGTCCTGAGGCATACAGGTCAAGTCCGAGCTCGAGTCATACAGGTCGAGTTTGAGTCCGTGTCCCGAGTCATACAGGTCGAGTCCGAGTCGGCGAGTACCGAGACATACAGGTCGAGTCTGAGTCACGAGTCATACAGGTCGAGTCCGAGTCCGGGTAATACAGTTAGAGTCCGAGTCCAGAGTCATACAGGTCGAGTCACACAAGTCTGATTGCAACACTACAGAATGTATTCATATGGCCCATGTTTAAGCTTCGCAGAACAATTCCAAGCGCAAAGATTATCTAAAATACCAAAAGCGATTATTAAAAGCTGGAAAACGTGAAATAAAAACTAAAACTTAGGTAACAGATGGTTTAACGAAGGAACACAAAGCCAACTTGAATTGGCTGTAAATTGTAACTTTGGCAAGGAGTATTATACATGCAAATCTGAATTGTTTTAGGATCCCAGATTTACCATGAGTATTTTGAGGTAGGTCTAATTGCTTTGTTGCATCGCCTTGCAAAGTTACCACACGATGTCACAATCTTCCTATCAGAAGTCAATTTCGAGTAGGACTAATACAGTCTGTCAAGACTTCATGAAACGCTATACCAAGTACACTTTGACATTTTCATTATTCGTCTTCTGTTACTTCTGACGTCGACCTGCATTGTGATTCGACTCGATACGATCGACTTGTGATTTGGCTGAACAGGAAGCCTAGTATTTTTTTCACGAATCATGCAAGAGAATGACATCCATTAGATGATTTATTCTAAGAGCCTTAATCCCTTCTTTAAAAAAATGCAAACTATATGTTGAGAAGAACAAAACATTGTATGTGCGCGTAACGTTTACGTACACAGATTGGTTGACATAACCAATCATTGGTTGACCACATATTGGTTAATAATCCAGCCGATCGGATTGGTTAGCACATTTTAACGAATATTGGTTATTTTAACCAATCTGTTTTAGAGTGTATGCAATTTAAGTAATGTATACCGTCTTTTTCAGTATTACGGTAACGACATTGTTTCAAATTTCTATTTTATAGTCGACACAGTTTTGCTAAGACCTCACACGAAATATAAATAGAATTGCAGATTAAGTCAAGTAAAGTAATGTAAATGGGGAACCACCCAATTCTTTAGCGTTTGAGCATAGCTTTGGCAAACAAAGCAACTGTTTTTTAATGCACGAAGTATGAGTTAAAATCAATATTTTATGGTAATAATCTCAAAAAATACCGAAAGTCACACGTGGACTACACACAAACAAAATATCAGTTTTCTTTCATCAACATTAATGTAACTGAAAGTCATTTGTATT